GTCTCCAACCCTCTGGGTTGCAGATGCTCCCAAAGGGTACTCCTTCCCCCCCCCCTTACTATTAGGCACAAACTGGTTCCTGATCCATACATAATTGATACTGATTATTTGGCTGAAAGCAGCCTTATACCCAAAGGAATAGATGTATTGCTGGGATGCAAGTACATGTAATTCATGTAATTTTGTAAAGTAATAATTCAAAAACTAGTTGTTTCTCGTAAGTGCTGGTGGAAAAGAATCATCTAGCAAAGGAAACTTCATGCTATTATTAATTATATTCAGTTGATGTCTTATTCCAAAGTGAATTACTTTTGTATTGCGAGACAAAAAGCAATTTGGAATGAGTCCATTTTTCAGGATGAAAATTCAAAAATACAGGGATGAGATTGTCCATTTAATTAAAAAGTCTGAAAATTGCAAGTTATGGTCTGAAAGAAGCATTTGTTTCTATACTGATATTATCAAATGTTATACATTTTGAAGATATCTGGATGGGGGGGGGGGGATATGTCAAAAGATACTCAGCAAAACTTTGTTAAATACGTTGTAATAGTCAACTGTTAAAGATTGGGGTGCAGGGGTGGCATTTGCTGCTCACCAACCTTCACTGCAGACAACTAAAGAAAATATAAGCGTTGTTTGAATTTTTTTTATAAATTATTTCGTTTATGAAACACCTTTGAAATTGAGATGTTTTTAGTTGTCAATATTTGGGGGGGGGGGGTGTTGGCATTGTATAATTTACGAAAATCAACTTCTTTAAAAGTCACTGAGTTGTCTTACCGGTACTCTTATGTTCAAGAGTACGAATTGCACTATCAACCACTGAAAGTAGGGACCAGATGATTTAGGGTTAAAAGTAACTGTTAGATTGAATGAGTTAAAATTAAGGCATTACTGGTGTGGAAACTTAATCTATTGATTGAGTGAATTTTATTCTAAATGTCTTGTCCCTACTTTCAAATGAATTATCACTCATTGGAAATAAGAGTAAAATGACCGATTTTAATGTTACTTTTTAAGGGTTCTTGTACATTGGAATTTTAAATATCTATCTTGTGCGAGTAATATATAAACCAGGAGCCTGAACTGGAATACCCAAACAGCCTCCCACTGCATTTAAGGTTTGAAATGAATTAGGCCATCAGCCTGGCGTTTGATCAGTATCAAACCAGGGCATAAATAGTTATAGTGCGCATGCGTAAGGTATACCGCCCCTAGAGTGGTAACAAGCATTTTGATGGACATTTTGGAAAAAAAGGGTGATAACACTCAAAAAGCTGCCACCACTGCAATGCTATCACATAATTATTTTCCAACTCTGGAGGTGTATACCTTGCCAAAAATCGCTATGACGATTATTCCCCTCATTTGATATCGGTTGCCAACATTTTGGTCCGAGGCTGATGGCCTAAATGATAAATATCAGAAGCAGCTTTAGAGAAGAAACTAACTCGTTTATGTAATGTAGGTTGCTTTCAAAAAAGTATTTGTTTTCTTGTTTTTGTTATAGAATGCCATCACAATAATAAGCAAATAAAGTTTTCTTGAGTATGCATTTTGCATATTTTCCCATGTGTGCATGGTAATATGTCCAAATGATACTCAGCAAAACCTTATACATGTAAAATACAAAAAAATAGCACAATACAAAAAAAGGGAGGGGGAATTATGTACTTATTACTTGCCCACTGCAGTCAGCTAAATAATAGTACATAATTTTTGTTCATAAATCTGTAGGGGAACGGTTTTTCCAAAGTGGTTTTAAGTTCATTTTCAGTTTAAAATTGTGGGCATTCAACAACAGCTTCAATTAACGTTCTTTTAGAACTAGCTGGGATTACTACTGCCACCAAGGAGCAAACTTTTAGCGGACAAAGTTAAGTAAATTTGCTATATAAGCATGCAATCCTTAACCATGCACAACAGCACAATTCAACAAGATTCTATCAGATATATATATGTGATGCGAACAAACTAAATGAGTTGTTTGTCGGGAAATTTCATTTGGAGATTCAGGCCAAAATAGGGCCACTTCATCACATCACTTTATCACATCTCTTGGTGTTCTGACTTCCATAATTTTTTAACTAAAGCTGGTATCAGCATGTGGTTTTCACAGCAGTAATGCTGAGATTGTGCTCTTTTCAAATTACACAAAAAAAACCCAAATTTACCAGGGTCGACAAACGACTCATTTAGCTTCATCAGCATGTGGTATCAGCATGTGGTTTTCACAGCAGTAATGCTGAAATTGTGCTCTTTTCAAATTACACAAAAAAACCCCACATTTACCAGGGTCGACAAACGACTCATTTAGCTTGATTGCATCACAAATGCACTACATCTAGGATTTAAAATAATAAAGAACCAATAATGACCAGGGCCTTAATTAATTAATTAATTAATGGAGGAGCTGCTTGCGAGACAAATAGTAAATACTCGGAAAAACATTGCAAAGCTGACTTTACTCCATCTTATATTTGTGTTGGCTGTTGGCTAGTAATACTACCCTTTTCTAAAATAGATGCTGAGCTCAAGATCAACTCGAAACAGCTCGTCGTACAAAAAGATGTCGTTCAATGCCACCTCGAGAATTTGCAATGAAAGTTTTCTTGAGTATATATTTTTGGATATGATCTGGGTTTCGTATCAAAGATACTTAGCACAACTTATGCACCGAATTTTAAAATGCAATTTAAAATTCAATACAATCAACTTGTTTCATTTCTCTGTCATAAACAAATGAGAGAAATGAGTATTCTGAGAAATGAGTAATGAGAGAAATAAGTAAAAGTTTGTCTTCACGTTTAGAAAAGCTGGCATGCTACAACATCTGATTAAACAATTTGAAATTGATACACACAAAATTAACAGGTCTTGAAGTAATTGGTGATTTCACAGAAAATTTGATGATTAATTTTAACTGGACTCCAAAATGTTAACGGGCATCCACAACTGGGACAATACTTACCTGTTTTTTAAAATTATTATTGTTTTAGTATTTTTTCAGACCCAACTTTTGGAATCCAATTAAAAGCATTTACACTGGCTCTCAAGTTTACAAAGGCAAGAAAGGTCTATTTTGCTTGTTTGCTTTCCCATGTAGTTTCAAAGGAAAGAATAGTGCATTTAGACTGAAAGGTAAAGAGCATGGCAAGATATTGCAACAGCAGAAATGTTCCTGTCGTTGCAATTTTAGACTTGTTTTTCCCACTGAACATAATTTCAAGAATTTTTACTGATGAGATAATCAAATTGATGACAATTTGGCAATGCAGAGTTGATGATTGGTTCAATGGAGTTGAGTCTTATAATTACAAAGGATTTCAACCCAGTGTAACTATTTTCATTCATTGACTATAACAAAAAGTCTCATAAATCAATCACATAGTGGCATTATTTAAGGTATATTTGAAGAATTTGTCAATTTTGTGAAAGTGTAGGGTAGGTTGGTCTTCCAAAGTGATTTTGCAAAGGATTCCAAATCAACAGCTAACCTACACAGAAAATAACAATGCAATACTGCTGATTGAAAAAAAAATGAGGTAAAGCAAAACATTTTGGGTCAACTTTTGTCAAGGTAGAATTTTTTCCTGATATTTGTAGGGCTGTCCATTGACAAATAATTTAGTATTTGATTACTCCAAACGGTGTTTGACCTAATATTTTTATAAAATACTTGTTCTTTCTTTGAACATTCAAAGCAGCAAAAAGATATTCTAATATTCAGTTGTTGATCAAATATTTGAATATTTGGTGTGTTCGGGACAGCCCTATACATTTATCCAAAGGTAGACACACTTTAGCTAAGAGGATCAATTGTGAGCATGTGACTTATGAAATATAAATCTCATGACTAACCCTTAGGTACGGTGTGCATTGCAGGACATTCACTTTTGCACAATTTACAGCAATAAGTTTCACATTATCTTGTATTCGTAATATAACCTTTCAGAAATTGTGTCAAAACTTGACCTACTATTTGAAAAGTAATTAAATCAAACTTTTATGTATGTAAATTGTTAGTTGGAATTTCAGCATGTTAATTTTGAAACCACAAGGAATTAAGAACAACGCTTCACAAACCTAACAGACCCCAAACTGAATCTCAACAATGCAGATTTTGTTTTATTTATTTAGATAGGAGATGAATGAAAATAGGGCTTCACTTAATGTCCACATTTTTATATAAAAAAAAAAATAGTGGGTATTTATAGAGCGCACATATCCACCAAGACTGGTGCTCAAGGCGCTACATCATTATTACCCCTATATTACCTCCATATATGGAGGATTACTCACGGCAAGTGGCAAAATACATCTACTAAAAAAAATGAACTAGTTTCACAAATGAACTAGTTTCACAAATTAATAAGTTCGTGCATTTTCAGGATTTGGGATTTGTTAAAATAAGACTGAGAAATTTGTTAATTCTTTTCTGAGGGCACTTTAAAAAATGAAGTGAGTAGACAAGGCAAAGACAGAGTTTAATTCATCACTTTTGGTTTCAGAGTTTCAGAATATTTACATCAATTGAATTTGTTAAGATTGACCCTAACCCCTAGCATAAGAAAACTATTAAAGGTTAAAGGGAATATACATCATTTGCTTTTGCTGTAATTTTCAGAAATGGATGGAATTGGGGGTTGGAAATATATAGCAAATATAGTTACACTGACTTTTTTGAGGTTTTGGGTTCGAAAATGCTATAAAAACCAAGAAAAACAATCATTTTCCTGTAGTCTGGTTCCCTGACTCCATATAAGAAGAAACAGAGCAGTTTACATACACTGGGGAATTGTAAGGTCAGGGAACCAGTCTAGCTGGCTCGTACCCGTTCAAAGGTTTGTAATCGATTGCAAACAAGTGCGATGGTCAATTGGGGCCAGTATTTGAAAAAAAGCCAGTTTTTTTCCAACGCTGATCGGCCGATCAGCGTTGAAAATTGATACAAAAATACCACTTTTCTTGAAAATGACAGTATACCAGGTGCCATAATTTTACAAAATGCTTTACACTGTCATTCACTAACAGTCCAGCAAGGTATTTCAAAATGATTTGGCAGTTTTATTTTTTGATGTTTGCAAATGTTGTATTTTCCCTTTAATATCTGAAGGTTTTACGGCCGTTATTTTTAAGGGTAAGATACTGTATCCAATCCACACTCCATCAAACCATTAGACATTGCATGGAAGATAACCAATACTGTCGCTATCTACAAATATAAGCAGCTGCTGTATAATACAAATGGGGGGGGGGGGGGGCTCTCCAGAAAATGTGAATAGTAATTAGAGTTTTCCACACACAAAAATTCTCATAATTCTCCACTCAGCTGAAACTTCAGCAGGCTAGGTTTTGAACATACTTCTTTGGATTTTGAGTGGTGTTATTATTGGAAACAAATGCAGTGCATGAAGAGCAAATGATCTTATGCGCCTTCCAAGTCAAGGATTTGAGGTTTTGATACATCACTGCTCATCATTGTTGGAATAACTGAGACATTTCAGTGGTGTACACATTGAAAACCATTTAGACATTGAAACATTGAGACCTTACTCTTTAAAATGCAATTGAATCAGCTCAACATTTTTTGTTTACTTTAACCTTCAGGAGTTTCCCATTTTTTTGGCAATTGTGTAGTAGGCCCCTCTTTAGTTTTGTATAAAATTAAAGTCAAAGGTGTTTTTGATTATTCCAAAATGACTTTTGTCCGTCTAAAGCAGACTTCTCTTCATTCTCATGACATCGTTTTTTGTAATATTGAACAGTTTAGTAAGCACCATGCAAATTAACACACTTTTGTATGCTCACTGTACTTTGCGGTGATCGCCATTTTATTGTCTTATTGCGTGTTGTCATCTTCTATCAACACTTTAACCAAACAATTATCTCAAACAAAAAACATGGTCTCTATCTAGGGCATACCTGTTGGTTTCTAATGTCACAAACTAGTTTGGTAAGTTTGATAACCTAAAAGCTGATTTGTGTTCCTTATAAGGAACAGGGCCCTACACAACCGCCAATTATTTTAAACAAAGACTAGCTTTGATGGAATGTGGATAGGTATAACACTGACAAACGTATTACAAACTCACCTGCCACAGTGCTGCTTTGTGTAGTTCGAGGTCCAAAACCATGGAATGTTGGAGGCATTATCAGTATAGGCAAGATGCAGACAGCTGTTGGTAAAACAAATTAAAAAAAAAAAGAAGTAAGAACCTACATTACAAATTTTGGGGTAAAATTATGAAAATGAAGGCAAAACACAACACAAAAAATGAAGGCAACTGGCCACTTTTGAAAATTTTGAAAATTACATAAGATTGCATAAGTCACATTAAAGCAATCAGAAAACAGTCGGAAAGATTCCCATCTTTTGACCCTCTACGACCAGGTTCTCTAACTCTTGACATTTCTGTACTGGATGAGAAGATAATCTCATTCAAGATTGGCAGCAAATTCGCTATAATTTTTTTCAAATGATTTGGGGCATGTCTGAACTTCTGGCTGCACTACTAGAGCTTGTAACAGTGTACGGCTAGATCGAGGCACTCAAGCTACCAATGGCTACTCTAACGAGTAGGTGGGCCCACCCTAATCTTGAGAAACTATGTCCTGGATTGGAAGATAATCTTGATGAAAATAAAATCGGTAGTGAATTAGCTACATCATTTGACTCAATTCAAAAGTAAGAGCACTTAATTAAGCATAATCGTTAATACCAGCCATGACATCAGGCTCCACATGTACATCTAGAAATTTCATATAATGCCCCAACTTGTTTGATTGGATTATTTTGTTTTCAGATATAGCGTCCTCTAATGATCTGAAGTAGTGTGCAACTAAAAAACAATAGCACTCTGCATTGTGCTCATTGAAGAGTGCATGACAACAATAAGTGATTGTAGTCCTGGTGTCAAACTGCAGTTTGGAGGCTGACTGAATTTTGGAAAAAAAATGAAAAAATTTGGAAACTTTCTTTTGACTCGATATGAAATTGCATAATCAACCAATTAAATTATCATTATGATCTCCATTTTTTAAATAAAGACTTATGGATATTAAAAGTTGATCACCATTCAAATGATCCAGTGTAAACATCCCCTTTTTGACAGCTTTAGTTTGGGAAATTTCCCTTTAACAGGAAAGCTTCCCTTAACAGGATCACCACCGGGAAGGTAACTGTCATGATCCCATGTTAGTAGAGAGAGGAAGAAAAGTGGGGGGGGGGGGGGGGGGGCCAGAAATTAGATGGTGCGTGCGAGAGATGGAAAGGTAGGGGTGGAGAAAAGAGGAAGCAGGGAGGAGGAAAGGAAGAAATGAAACAGTGCGTGCAGTGCGTGCAAGTGACAAAAGAAGGTGGAGAAGAGGGGAAAAGAGGATGGAGGAAAGGTAGACGTGAAACGGTGCGTGCAAGTAATGATAGAAAGAGGATGGAGGGTGGGGATGGAGGGTGGAGACGGAGGGTATGGAAGGTTGGGGTGGAAGGTAGGGTGGAGGAATAAACGGTGATGAGCCGGTCAGGAATCACCAGGGAAGGGAAAAGTCTTGTCTCAACTGTGGCTGCAGTGCAATGACCAGCTCCAGCGTTTCACAGGTGAGATGCAACTCAACAAATGGAGGGACCATATACTCAAGCAAACGGTTACTACCAAAAAGTCACTGTAAGCTCACTAATAGTCAGTTAGCACTTGGTATAAATCAAGAGTACACAACTGAATAGCCATATTCCCCTACCTTTTTGTGGGTGGGGTTTTATATTGGAAATGGCAAAAAAAACCCACAAAAGCAGAGTCATTTATCAAGACTTCTTACAGTAAGCTAAAAAAACAATTAAAGTTCAAATTACATGAAAACCACAACATTTGGACAAACTCCCTCTTTTTGGGGCGGGACACTATTCATAATAAGGGGGTGGGGAAATTACAAATTTGCAAAATAATACAATATCAATCAAAACCCAAGTCATTTTTTCCCCTGATTTTGGCATTGGCAGTAAGCAGTAAATAAAAAAAAATTGATGTAAGAGTGAGTGCACTTTTTAATTATGAGATAAACGAGCACTTTTGTCCTTGAAATCCATTTTGTTATCAATTACAGAAGATGCCAAAGTTTGACGGTCTATTCTTTTTCTATTGAAGAAAATGTTTGAAGGATTTAAAGGAAGAAATAAATTTTCTAAATCTTTAAATTTCATGTCATATTCATATTCTAAGTGACTTTCAGTTGTCAAACAGAGGTGAAGTAAGAGTGTGTGAGTAGAATGCCTAAAATATATTTTTCATAAAATAAAAAAATTAAGAATATACCCAAATATGGGAATAAATATATATACCACTGGGTCAAACTTAAGGGTGGCATCCACCTACATTTTCTTCTCCATCCTTCGACTGATTGATCTGACATGGTTGCCTGCTATTACCTAAAAATTTGGCTAGAAGCGATTGTTTTGGTCATTGGCCCCTTTCCCCCTGAATTACAATGTATCTGAGCACAAGTTTTTACGATAAGAATGCTTTTTTTGGTTTTTTTTACACATTTTAACTTACTGTGTACTTCAAAGCTGAAACCATGTATTTTTGGCTTCATATTTTCTTGCATTTTATTTTGGGAAAGGAATTTTATCAATTGACAAGTTTAGTTTGTAAACTGTTGCAACGATGCGTTGGGCATTTGTTCCGAGCTAATGCGAGTGCGGAGCACAAATGGGTCCGAGGACTAATGCGAGTGCAGAGCACAAATGTAATTTTTGAACAGTTTCTTGGGGTAGAAATTACGATTTTCCTATGCGGTTTACGGGCCCGTTGGTGCCGTGCAGCACGACTTGCGTGCTCATGGTATACATCATGCGGTGATCGCCATCTTTATTTTAGTGTTTCGTTTTATCATTGTCATTGTCATTTTACCCCCAAATCTCCCTCAAAAATTCAAAACCCTGCGTTTTATCTAGGACATACCCATATGTTCTCAATGTCGTCAACTACATATGTAGTTTGGTAGGTCAATTATAATTTAAAAGTGGATTTTTTTCCCTTATAGAAGTGGGCCCAAAGATACACGTCGCCAAAATCGGAAATATTTCTCAGTCCCAGATTCATGTCTTATCATTTTTGAAATGAATGGGAAAGATTCCTATATCTGGCCATCACTTGTCACCCTGTGCACAAACCGCATTGTGACTGGTCTGAAATTTTTTAGTGTTTTCTCAGTAAATACTTCAGTATTTTCCCTGCTAAATTTGACTTTTTAGGACACATTATGGAAAGAATGTTGCATCCTGACGCTACTTTCGAAACAGAAAAACAACATTGGGGGGGGGGGGGGTAACTAATCTTGTCGAGCAGAGAAAGCATACTTTCATACTTTGACAAAAGAGAGATTTGAAGGAAAATGTGTGGCCAACTTAATAGTGAATTTGGGCAATTCCACGGTAACGGAAGGACGTTTTCACTCATTAAACAAAATTTCAAATGTGTGTATCACAGACACTGTTAATAGTTACAGCAAACAAATGTCACAATTGTATTGCTATAATGCTACCTTCAATTTCCACACTTTTGGGAGGCATGAATGCCTCCCGTTTATGAATTATGAATATTAATGAGGTCGGTAACGGAAGGACGGTAAAACGGACAAGGGTTTTCCAACTTACTCGCGTTTTGCGTAAACTCTGTGAATTTTATGGGGCAATTATATTTTAAAGGTAGGAAATGGAATCCCTGAAGCGTTATCTATACTATACCACCTTTCATTTGATTTTAAGTGTTTCGGTAATATAATTACAACGTTTTAAGTGGATTATAATTTGGTAAAGGAAGGACGGTAACGGAAGGACAAAAGGTTTACTCAATTATAGCATGAACAAAATGTGAATTTACACTAAATTTACAAGTGAAACAAATTGCTGAAATGTGTAACTGAATGTGAAATCAACAATATGCAGACCTGGCCGGGGGGGGGGGGGGGGGGGGGCGACCAGCCTACATGTACAAGGTAAAAACATCTACCGATAGAACTGATGGCTTCAGAATCATTATGATTTTAGGTGTTGCTTTTAATTGAACTCTAAATTCAATGTTTGAAATCACATAACAATGATTTAGAGTAGTAACAATTAACTTATAAACATCCAAACTGAAGTTGTTAACTTGGGCATAATTTGTCAAAGATTGCACCTCACATGTCTTACACATGTAAATTGAATGAAAGTGCCCCAAAGTACCGGTACTTTCTTCCATCTCATTTTTGACTTAATTTGTTTCTGGAATGGCTTTACAGAAATTGTATCTTTCTCTATTGTCCATGAATGCTGATGGCAGCAACTTTATGATTTGATTTTCTGCAACAACTCCATACATGTACAAGTACTGGTACATCGGCATATATGTACATATGTACATTGTACATGTTGTACATGCCTGTGCCATCCTTTGTAATAAACACCTTGCCCTGCTTATCCAACTTTTGTGAAGGTGGGTCACATGAATGTCCTTTCAATGCTCATTATACATACATGTATTTGCAGTGATTTTCATTTTTCAAACATGAGCACAAATGTCGTAACATTTGATAAAAATAAGATTTGTCCTTCCGTTACTGTCCTTCCGTTACCAATTTGGTAACGGAAGGACGTGATTTAATTAATTGTAATTAAAAAACGAGAAGTACAGCAGTGTCAGTTATAATGTCATATTGAAGGCCTACCTAAACTTGCTTTGCACAATAACTTTCAATGCATTCATACTGCAAGTTTTAAAAATAAATTAAAAATATTTATTTTTTCGGTAACGGAAGGACATTTTCGAAGGCTGAAATATTAGAAGTCACTGAAGCGAAACAAATTATGCAAAACATTAAAAACAAGTTTCAGTCAGTTTTTCAAGGCCAATACTTTCTCATGACAGAAACTGATGGCATTAGTAAATATTTTTGTGTGTGTATTAGTAGAATACTTTCATATCACTATTAATCACATTTTTAGGATTAAAACAGGATTATTACGTAATCCTATTTTTTGGTACCGAAATGTATCAAAAATAAAATTCCGACTTCAAATCTTGAAAATATAGACTTTTAGCTTTCATTTGATGCCAAATTTGTTTAAGTCACATGTATTTGAATTTTTTGGTGTCATGTCCACTTTGGTGTGGAATTGCCCATTTTTACAAATCACTGCATGTTGACGTAGAGGAGGCCCACCGACGCGGTGGAAACATGTAAAAATTCACTAAGTTGGCCACATATTTGTGGTTGTTTATGCAACTTGATACAGCTATAATTTGACTGCAGATGATTATTGATAAGCCAGCTGTGCCTACACTTGTCTTTTTTTTGTCCGTTGACTAAATTTAACTAGTCACAGTGCTTGCTTGAAATATGATCTGGCTGTAATTGGAAACTAGCGCCTGTGCAAAAGGCATGGTAGGGGAAGAAAATACATTCTTTTTGACTGTCTGTAGCTATGTTCAGACAGTGGGAGGATTAATAATTGGGAACAAGGCCCTAAACTTCACAATCGCCAATTTCGATGGAATGTGGAATAGGTATGACACTGACCAAGGCCTTACAAACTCACCCGCTACAGTGATGCTTCCTGTAGTTTGAAGTCCAAAACCATGGAATGTTGGGGACGCTATCAATATAGGCAAAATGCAGACAGCTGTTGGTGAAATGAATTTCAAAAGGTAAGAATCTAAATTACAACAAGAATTTGTTCAACTCATTATTAGGTATTATTGTTGGGGGTTTGTCAGGAATGACTGCATGATTTTTGTTTTTTGGTTATATGTCATCATGCAGCGTTTCCAATTGTGAAAGAAAACACCTTTAAATAGTTATGACTCCTTTGCACACAACCACCACTGTGGTGTCAGGACTTTTACATTTGCATAAATTTTCATTAAAGCTTAATCCAAATATAGCTTAAATTATGGAAAAACAAAAATGACTTCATGAGTAAGAAGCCTTTCAAATTGTTCAGGTTTATGGAAAATATTAATTCAAATTTTATTAGGAAAAGATTCCCATATCTGGCCATCACTAATTTTTCTCTTCAGTGACCTATCAGCCATCAGAAAAATGATATGTCCTAAAAGTCAAATTTAGCAAAGAAAATATTGAAGTATTTACCGAGAAAACACTTACAAATTTTTCAGCCCAGTCATAGGGTTTGTTCACAGGTAGCCCCATAAATGTGGCCAATTTATTGGACTACCGCCGTAAATAAAGGCCACACTTCCACCATGTACAAAAACATGTCGAACTAAGTTGTAAAATTTTGATTTTCACATTTAGGCTTAGTTTGTAGTTTATTTTTGCTTTCGAAGCATACTCACCCTCTTTATAGGCTAATCAGAAAGTGCTGCCTTTTTCAGATGTCTATTTTTCGTGAAATTTTCAGATTCGTTTGCACACGTTTGCTTATCAAAAGTTCAACATGAAATTTCACGAAAATTAGACATCTGAAAAAGGCAGCACTTTCTGATTAGCCTATACAGAGGGCGATTATGCTTCTAAAGCAAAAATAAACTTCAAACTAAGCCTCAATGAGAAAATCAAAATTTGACAAAGTTCGACATGTTTTTGTACATGGTGGAAGTTAGCCCCATAAATGTGGCCTATTTACGGGACTGCCTCCGTAAACATAGGCCACACATCCACATGTACAAATACGTGTCGCACTTTGCCAAATTTTGATTTTCACATTTAGGCTTAGTTTGTAGGTTTTTTTGCTTTAGAAGCATACTCACCCTCTTTATAGGCTAATCAGAAAGTGCTGCCTTTTTCAGATGTCTAATTTTTGTGAAATTTCATGTTGAAATTTTGATATGCAAACATGTGCAAATGAATCTGGAAATTTCACGAAAAATAGACATCTGAAAAAGGCAGCACTTTCTGATTAGCCTATAAAGAGGGTGAGTATGCTTCCAAAGCAAAAAAACCTACAAATTAAGCCTAAATGTGAAAATCAAAATTTGGCAAAGTGCGACACGTTTTTGTACATGTGGATGTGTGGCCTATGTTTACGGAGGCAGTCCCGTTAATAGGCCACATTTATGGGGCTAGGTGGAAGTGTGAACTCTATTTACGGGAGGTAGTCCAGTAAATTGGCCACAGTTATGGGGCTAGTTCACAGGGTGACAAGTCATTGCCAGGTATGGGAATCTTTCCTGAGTGACATTTTTGGGGGGGGGGGGGAATGTTGCAACCCGACACCACTTTTTTCTTCATATATCATCTTAATGAAGGTAAGGGAAAAATGTTGCAACCTGACGCCACTTTTTTTCTTCACATATCATCTCAAGGAAGGTCATTCATTGCAAAAATGATAAGAGATTAAGACATGAATCTGGGACTGAGAAACATTTCCAATTTTGCAGGAAATAAAATTGTGTTGACTCTCCATAGACTTTATACACAATCGCTCATGCAGCGTCAGGTTGCAACATTTTTCCCCAAAAGAAATAGAGGGTCCAATTTACCACTTGGAAAATGGCAAAGACATGCAAAAGGGGTTGAAACATAAACTGTAGTGGCATGTCGTTTTATCTGCGGCAACATGCACAGGTAGTCCTTTTTGAGGACGAATGAAAATTTCCTCACCATTTCCGTTTGTAACGTACCAAGAAAATATTGGTGAAAACTGTCATTTCTCGGACTCCCACCACGTTCATGATAACATTCTCCTTGGAAAATTGAGGAAGCTGAAGAAGTCATGGACAATATTTAAGAAAAAAACATTCAGCAGCAGTTTTCGTCTGCATCTTTCAAAATGGCGTCCCGTCTGTTCAGACACAATGCTTCTCCGGGCCGTGCACAAACAGCCGCACGTGCTCTCCCAACAAAGGGAAAAATTTTCCGCCCAAAGCTGAGCCAATCACAGAGCTCAATCCTCCGTGTGGACCAATCAGTGTTTCGCTGAGCCTGGACGTCGAAAAAAACATGTGAATAATTTGCATATGCATCGTTCATTAAAATTAGTAAGTTGAAGTAAGGAGAAAATGGAACGTGTAGTTTTTCTTTCATTTCTGGAACAACTGTTTACGACTGTTTATTTATCATTCCGGCAAGTACATAAAGAAAGAAAAAAGAACTCAATGAAAATAACAATGCGTTTTGATCGGAAAAATTCTACGTTATTGAAATTACTTGAAAAAGCAGCAGTTTGGTTATTTTACTGGAGTGGGTTGCTTTCTTGAGAAGAGAGAATTTGATAATATTTGAAAACAGAGACAACCTTTAACGATAATAAACCAAATCATATATTGTTTTTGAAATTACCTTTTAATGAGAAACGGGAGGAAATTGATTTTCCCTTACATGCAGATACAATCTTTGTCACCTTGCTCCCCTAACACAGTATAAATCCAAGACTTATAGGCGAGACTCCTCTCTAAAATAAGAATCCATTTTAAAGCATTTTATTTTTCAACAGTGTTTGGAATGAACCTGAAATTGTGTTGGACAGGGCACACGGATATAATTTTAAGTGGGGAACGTAAAAGATTCTGCCCAATTTTTTTTCTTCAATTCTTTTACATATTTCACCGTAAAAAAATTACAAATTCGGATTATGTTAATCATGGGGCACATTTCCAAACCTTGTTTGTTTCACAATCTCCTTAGTCTGCTCTTGTCTCAACATCAACCAACGCAAATATGCCATTATCTTTCATGTTTTCCCCCATCCAGAAAGTTGCATTGATTGATTTTTGCCCCGTGACCACTTTAGGATTCCCAATAATTATATCCGTACCAATAACAAACTCTGATGGAAAAATAGAAATACATGTATGTGCAATCCTGATAGACAAAGCACTTACTACTTCATTTACTAATGGTAAAATTCATTAATTAAGGCAAAGCTTCGAAATTACTGTAAGAAAAATCTGAGCATATACAAATATTTCTATTAATCAAAAATGTACAATTCTTCTCATTGTGATCTAACAGTTTGAATGCAGGAAAGCTCTACATATTGGATTGCCAACAATTATCCCGACATCTTATTACATGTATAATAACTGAGTCCAGCTCGCCAATGTCCCAACAATTTTCTTAGCAATATAAACGTTATTCACTTTCGAATGAGATATTGAACAAACAAATTCACTGACGTTTAGCTGCTGAATTACTGTGTTTGAAATGTTCTGACATTTCTGAAGTCATTTGTCAATCAAGGAAGACGACTGTTAGCAATTCCAGTCTGTGTTTGTAGACCATGGCGTAGTCTCTTTCATGAACGCCTGAGGAAAAGTAGGAAGGGGCCCCTTGCATTCCCCAGGACTCATGTCCAGTCCATCAGTCAAACCTCCGCCGTGCCAGTCAGGCTGGTTTATCTGCTGCCTCATTTGAGATATCATCTCGGAGTAGCTCAGCTCTGGAGGAGTGATGGAGGTTGATGGGTTTCCATGGGATTGCTGACATGGGACGAGATTGTGGTGGGCCGGTTGGTAAGCTAGTCCCGATCCTTTAGCGGCTTGAGTGCGAGGATGATCGTAGCCAAGCTCGTTGTTAGGAATTTGGCGAGGTGGGAAGAAGTGATGTCCAGTATATTGGTTCGTCTGTGAGCTTGCACCACTGCGGGTTGCAGTGTTGAAGTCATTTAGGTTGTGCTGCACCGTATTGTGGGTGATGGTGTTGGCCTGTTGTTGCACGATGATGTGAGGTAATATCTGCTCAGTGCTGTGGGCAGGGTGTACATTGTTCACGCATTCCTTCGAGATGTTGCTGCTACACAGGTCAATCATGTGAGCATGCTGCGCATTAATGTTTTGTTGCCGAGACGCATAATGATTGACGTTGTTGTTACCATGCTGCATCTCCATCGTGAATCCATTACCTTCACCGCTGCCCATCTCGCACTGTCCGTACCCACGATCAGCGACCGTCCTGTCCTCCCATGTCTTGGCCGTCATCATCTCGTCCAATAACGGGCCCAACACCTGATCTAAGTCGGCGGTCGAGCAAAGCCAGTCGATGGTATCATGGAGGGCACTGTCATCGTTCTCCTCCTCAGAGGTTGTCAGGCTTGGCAAATCCAAATCTGCGCTGAGTGATGGAGACATCATCATCTCCCCAGGTGACGGGGGCGAGGTTGTGTCGGGCATTTGGAAGAAAGACTCTGGGAGATTTCGCCGTTTCAGGGGCAACGTTGCCGCCTGAAATGGCCTCTGCTGGTCGGTTTTGGAGCAGTGTTGTTGGTCAGGAGCTTCAGGGGGTGTCGTCAGATCAAACATGGCCGAGAGCGACTTGCACTGCGACACGCTCAGATGGGCAGGCGTCTCCCTCATGCGGCTCCCGTACTTTGCTCTCTGCACCCCACTTGTCTTCGCGGACTTGGTGGCATCTCTCTTGGAGTCATTCTGGTCCCCCGTGACGAGCTCGCCGTTCTTCACCTGCGAGCGCTTCTTGATCTGCTTCTGCAAGTATTTGCGGTGATTGACCTTCCGTCTGGATCTGGCCGGCCTGTCTAGGGCGTGCTTGATGTTGCTCGACGCCAAGTCCACGAAGTGGATGAGATTGTCACCGGATGCTGGAGCATCTGCCCCGGGAGTGGAGCGAGTGTACGGGTAGCTGCCATATAGTGGCATGGCAGCATTAGCGTGAGCATTGTAAGTCATTATGGTTGAACAAGACTAACATTTGTCTGTGCGGCCGGGGATAATCACAGCTCACGTTTGTAAGTTTGCCTTGTGAAAAAAACACAGCTTGAATCAAAGTCTGATATCACAGACTAATCTGCATAAAGTATCACTTTCTGCATTACCACATGGCCTTTTTAAAACACAATCATCGCTATGTTGTTGTTTCTTTGAAGCGTAGCTCGAGAGTGCTACACGAAATCCTTCGGTGTTGTCCTTGTTTTCGCGATTCCCATGCGTTGAAAATTGGTTCTGAAAAGATAGACCTTGGTCGGGTCACTGACAAAAAAATGTTCAAGTGTTGATGCTTCCCGCCGAATCATACGAGATAAAACAGAATACAGGGTGATTCTGCTTCACAGGAAAGTGGCTGGCACGCCATTGCTGTTCTGTTGGGCTTTTGGGTGTACATGTATTTGCGTTGCAAACTTGAACCAGTAGTCCAAACACTTGAGGGGTGTGATTTGGCTAGTTTGGCGGCAGGTATTTGGTCATGTTGCCTAGGAGTCGGCACATAATGCAAACTCATTGAGGCTCTGATGAGTACAAGTCCTACGGCTTGTTGTCTCAACGTTGATTGGTCAATCATGGGTCACAGACGACGAGTTACGCATTCTGATTGGATGATTAAAACTTTGCCTATTATTTGTCATTGCCTTTTTGTTTAGTACTATGCCATATTGCTAATGAGCAGATCTAATTCGTGTCAAATGGTATGGTGTGTGTGTGCCCCCCCCTTCTCCCTACACCCGCGAACTCCGGGAAAAAATTAGGGGTCAAACAAATGCATCATAAAACGTTTTGAACAGATTTCTTCATTCTTCCGTTTAATCATCCACCTTTCCGAGGCACACGGTTACAAGTAAGGCTATAAACGGGTTCAAAATAACCAATTATCATGATGATGATGACGCCTTCACAAGAAACTCGCCAATTTGTTTGCATATTATAATGAAGTTAAATACACCGATGTCTACAATACATCTGGGTTAAAAGTGCGAACGGCATAAATGAGGGGTATCATTGTCCCTTGTATTCGCAAGATCTACATATCTAAAATACATGTACATGTATCTCTGCACTTCATATATTAAGTACATGTTGAAAACCACATTGTAAAATTCAAAGCAAGAAATGCGAAAAAAAGATAGCTGTGTTATATACATCTCTATCCATTTAGATATTGACAGCTCCATGCTACTTTCATTACGTGGATCTACGTACCATGGCAAATATGACAATTCGTGTCACAGGGTAATGCTGGCGGTATGAATGAAAAACAAAATAGGGCCTACATGTATTCTGATCACAGTCACAGTACATATTATGCTGCTCTAGTGTACAATAATTAGGTAGTTGGAATGACTTGTGCATTCTCATTATACTTTCGCCAATATAGGCGTATAATTTGCGTCATGATGGAAGAAGATACATTGTAGACTTTTCTGTGAGGCTATTAACATATCAAGACATGATTCCCTGTGGCTGTGGAAATATTTACGGAAACGAGAAAGCAGTTCTGTACAGATTTGGTAGCGAACACATTTAAAATGATACATTTTTGAGTATAATCATTATCAGTTTTAAAAAAGTCTCCAAGGACGTAAAACATTCACAATATTTCTGTCGAATACTAAATTGTCTATATTTATTATATGAAAACAAAAATAATGCACTTGAGTACAAGAAACACGCAGAGTAAACAAGAAAGTCCATAAATCTACAAGGAAATAATGATATCCTGTTAATCTAACAAACGGGGTTTGACATTTGCACATTCAGACAAAATTAAACAATGTTATGTACCAACCTGGTGTGATCTGCTAATAAAGGTAATCGTTATCGTTGCACAAGTGTATAACACAGGATGCACATTTTGAGGGCAGACTGTACTAACATTTTATGGACGGAGTTCAAATAATCATTCAATCTTGCAATTAGAGGGAATGTACAACATTTGCTTTTGCTGCAATTTTCAGAAATAAATGGATTTGGAGGATTAGTATGTTATAGCAAATATTGTTGAAATGACTTTTTTCACGATTTGGGCCTATAGATGCTGGAAAACCCAAGAAAACCAATCTTGTTCTTGCAGTCTGGTTCCCTGACCCCACTTAAGATGAAACGGAGCAATTTATAGACTTTGGGGAATTGTAAGGTCAGAGCATAAGTCACCATTTTTCTTGAAAATGTCAGCACACCAGGAGCCACGATTTTACAGGATGTTTAGACTTTCATTCCTTCACAATCCAGTTAGGTATCTCGATATAATTTGATCATTTCGTTTTGTGATGTTTGCATATGTTGTATCTTCCCTTTAACCGGTGAGTCTTAGCAACCGGTTGGCGGGTTTATCAGGTATGGTGTGCAGATCGCACAAAATAATATTGGTGTATAAACGACACAGGCACATTTTACGGCCCGTTGCTGTATGTACTAAGGCGATCCCGAACTGCATTACAATGTAGGCACAATCGATTATCAACGACATTTGCATAACGTCCATGTGCCAAGAGGACAACGTGTCTTTACACAAAGATGTGGTTCCCTTAGTATCGAGAACATCAAAACATAAATGTGACTACCCATAGTAAACATTGATTTTTCCCCCGGCTATTACAAAATAAAACCGATTTTTATGTACAAATACACTGACCGTAAAAAGGGAAAATACACTCTATAAAGATTTTTTTAAAAAGAAAATGAATACGTGGTACATTGCAACTTGCCTACCCCTTACATTTGCACAAACAAACAATATAATGAGGGAGAAAGAATTAAAATATTAACTGTTGCAAGATTATTTACAGCATGATTAAATCACTTACAATGCAATTATGCAAAAATAATACATCAGGTAAAAAAAAACAGTAAGTGAAAAGCACAAACCAAAGTGCATGGTGAAAGTGGGAAAACACATTGGAAAACACTATTTTCCATAAATGTAATACTCTGGTTAGATAAAAGAAAATGCATTTGTTTCTTCAATCGAGAGCATTGAATACGTGATTATTGTAAGAAATATATACAGCTTAAAACACATACAAAACTATTTCACACACACATCTACATTAAGTTTTTTAAAGATTAATTACATCATTTCTATTGTGATTTAGGCACACAAGAATATCACAGAATATACAAATTTTTCAAAGATGCTAAATTCAAACATTAAATAAGTCATATTTGTTTCTCTGAAAGAGGTTTCTAAAATATACAAAAGTACGGTTATCATTTCAATTGTACATATATATGGGTGTGTAAAAAAAGATGATATTTACAATTTATTCACAACAATGTGTACAGTAAAACTAAGCAATTGGATTAAAAGTCCAGAAATTGGAAAAAACATAAAAATTTAAAAATGAGGAAATAAATAGCTTTTATGAAAACCCCTTCGTTGTGACACAAAATTGATACACAAAATTGATACATTGCATGTGTAGTTAAAAATTTCAAGAAAAAGACACTAAACAGGTCATAACCTGGTTCTAGGCACAAGTGACGTCTGTAAGATGGTCAGGCCAAATAATAACAGACAGGTCTAATAAAGCAATGTCAGAAACGTTCATTCGATCCATTTGACTGGCAAAGGTTTTTTGAGTTTGTAAAAAAACCACTTAAGATAACTTCTGGTGCAGTCCACTTACAAAAACAAAGTCATACTTTGACTGGACACAAGCAAACCTTATAAAACCAATACCTCTATATGGAATCTGTTTTGTGAGAGCATCCAATTGAATATTAATGTTGTACAGTGACGTGGGAATAACTGTCCGGTATTTCAACCAAACCAACGTTAAATAGTGATTACATTATTCATAGGCATCTCAAGGCTGTCTGTTTGGAACTGAACACCAACATGTGGTCTACAAAGACCAAAAAAGAGCATCAATTTCCTGATACCCTCTTGACCCTACCAGACAAAATACACAAGTACGAACAAAAAAATGGGAAAAAGGTTAGCGCAAGGTCAAAGTGCTTGATATTCAATGCCCAGTGATTGTCTCCGAGGCCAACTGCTAAGCACAGAATATATTCGCTTAGCAAAATAACAGGTTACCAGCAAAACATCATGCAATGTATACTGCATGAGACTGGATCTCAGCTATTTGTGCTCTTTTTCAGCTATGTAGCTTCCTCAAATAGGACCCTGATCTGCACCTGTGCTGGGTCAAGTGATCATCTCGGGCCCCTCCATGCCGCTGATTCACCGACCCTCTTGAACTGATTTGTCCTTACACTTCTCTATCTTCCCCCAAAGAAGGAGGGAGCCTTACATTATCTCAGGCTCAATAACCACTCCAATCCACCTGGAGTGCCCGTTGCCACGACGCAATAATAATATTTCCCCAGGTTTTGTTCTGAAGAAGGTATTGTTGTAGACTGAAGTAGGGAGGCTTTTATCTTTTCATCTTCAATTGGATAGATGTACATCCACTTCAGTTCAAGGCTTCTGATATTTATCTGATTTTCATTTCAGTAGTGTGCTCAGGGTTTTAATTTTTTTTTCTATGGTCATTTCCTGTTAGAAAATCTACAGTGTCAGAGAATAACTGGCAAAATGTGCCAGTTCAGTGACATATACACAAGACATGACCATTTTTGACACATTAATGACATTAAGTAACAATGTGCCTCAAAGAAATGTAAGCATTTTCCACTTTGTAACCATAAACAATGTTTTGCAGGGGATAAAAAGCTCACATATATTCCGTAATTGGGATAAAGATAGGTAATCTGTGTACTTTTAGAATATTTTCTGAACTAATTTAAAACGGTTTGTAGCTTGGGTGCCCTTTATGAGCACAAAATGACATAACATTATAATAAGCCTATACAATTAAAAGCTCAGGTATTAAAAAAAAAAACTTCATTCTGTACAAAACCATGTACAGTGGTTTAAAAAAAAAAGGAGCCGTTAGCTCTGGAGCATGCGTAAAGTGCGCATCAGGGCTGACAAAATGGCCGCCATTGTCTGGGCTTGACGGAGCAACAGTTGCATTGTGGGATCATTGAGGTTCTTCCCATGAGCCTCAGTAGCGGCAGAGAGGATGGAGCTGAAGTTGACTGCTACTTCTTTTGTCTGAGGGGGAAAATTAAAAATGACAAGATAAAAATGGTCACTTGTTTATCAACATGCAACAACATAGATCTATTACTAAACAAAGCCACATTTTGTGGTGTGTAATGGCTGTCCTTAATAGGGAAAGATGGTTGTGCAAGCATGTGCGCTGGCTTTACTCCAGATATCAGCTGTGAATCTTTAAGTTAATGTCAAGCAATGATATAATTTTTCATTGTTAAAAGAATGACCACATCTGATTTGATAATATGATACTTTGCCATCACATGACTGCGTCTTCTCCAAAATCTCACCTTGTTTCCAAGATTTGTTGCCTGCATGACTGACACCATGGCCTTCATCATCTGTTGTGCATCTGAGCACAGTCTTGCTAAGGTGTGCATGCTGCTGTTGATGCTCCTCACCAGTTGCTCCTCTGTTTGCCCAGCACTGCTAACCAACATCTTGGTATTGCTGGTGAACTCACGGACCTCGGAGATCAAGGAGTCCTTGGACAGCTTGAACTGCATCAGGCTAGGCACAGACTCCTCTGCTTGAATGCAATCTTGCAGCTCTACGATTAGGAGCTGGATGTCCCCCAGAGCCTCGGGGACGGAATGCTTCCCTGTGTACTCTTTGCTCTCCAGCTCTACAGTGTAGGTATCGGTAGTGGCCAGGTCAGAGCCCGAGCATGCACTGGATTTAGGGGACTTGAATGATGGAGGTGGGATGAAGTGCTCTGGTAGGGCTCTTGGTCTGGATTTCACTGGGGGTAAGGATACTGGGAGGGGAGGAGGTGAGGAGAAGTCATCTGAATCAGTACTGTCTCTATCATAGCCACTTGGACTTGGAAGAGGGACAGGAGAGGGGAGCACCTCTGATGATGACGAGGAGAGCGACTCATCTGATGGATACATGGCTTTTCTTGGGGAGGCTGGTGGATTGTTGGGTCTGGGAGGAGGAGGACGTTTGGGTAGGGATGCATGTATAGAACCTGGACCCGGATACTTTTGAGGTGAGGATGGGTAGGAGACTGGTCGACCTGATGCTCGTCCGAGAGACTGGCTCTGCCGGAGTTGAGGATGTGCTGATACGGTTGAATTGTCCGAGTCCTGAGACTTTGACCTGGACTCGTAAAGGGACACTCTACGACTGACTGATGAGCTTGAGATTGCTTCAATCTCTTCAGCATTGTCACTGATGTTAAGAGAATCTGGCCGCTGCAGGCCTCCAACAGATCGCAGTGATGAGGATTCTCGGAAGGTGGGTTCGCCAGATTTGTCTCGCTTGTGATCAAACATGGAAACATCATAAGAGTCTTTACGAGACAGTGACCTGAATGCCCTCAACGGTCTGGGCCTCCTTGTTTCCTTTTTCTCCTTCGTTGTTGAGGATGGCAGGACAGATTCCTCAGCTTTACTGCTCCCTTTTGAAAAAGGTTTTGAGCCCCTAAGGAAGGAAAAACTTCTTTTCGGAGACAACAACTTGGTGATGGATGAGGGGCTGGATGACGAGATAGAGTTTCTAAAACTTTGTTTCTCTTTTGGCGACAGTTGCATTGCTTCTGAGGATGGCGATTCTTTCTTTTTGATTGGCTTAGGGGGAGGGAGCGGAGCTTGCCTTTTGATCCTCTGTAACTCTGGAGTACCACTAGCTGAGAAAGTATTGCTTCTCATGATTGGCCGGATGCCTTCACTGACATGTCTCAGCTCTATGTCTCCAGATAATCGGGGACCAAGGGCAGTCTTAACATTTGGTTTTTGTCTTGTCTCATTATTTTCTATTTCTCCTGTTCCAAGGGTCCCATCCTTTTCTCTATCCGTATCCTGATGCATATCCCCATCTTCGCCAGGAGAGGTGATTCTTGACGAATGTTGATGCAGACCTCCTTGTGCAAAGGATGAGGACCGTTTTACTGACTTCACTGGTTCTTCAATCTTTCTCAGATATTCTCCATTTTCCTGATTTATCTTCAGGGACAGTGATCTCTGGACAGCCTTGGAATTCAGCTGGCCATTTTCATCCTGTCTTGCTTCGAATGGGAAGGATTTCTTGGCTAATCCTGGAGAATATCTCTTCCTTGGAGGAGGCACGGGTAAATTCTGGGAAGTCTTCTTCGGCTCTAATTTCTCAGAGGGCTCTGATGTATCAAAATCTCCACCAGTCAGACTATCCACGCTCTCTTGGCGTGACATCTTGGGTCTCACAGCTGGTTTAGGGGGCACAACTGGAGCAGGTTTTGCTTCAGGTGGCTCTGTTTTCAACTGAAAGGTTTGGATTTCTTCTTGAAGCTCACTCTTAGATTCACCTTCAGCATTCATTCCAATTTTGTCTTCACCAGCAGACACTGAGTCAGACAAGTTTTGTAGAGTCTTTACAGCACCAAATCCATCTCCATCAAGAGATCTGTCATCTCCACAGCTTTTGATATCAATGTTTGATCTTTCCTCATCCCTGAGATGCACGATTTCTTTTTCTTGACCTCCACTCTGTTCTTCATGTGCAGTTTGTTCAGTTTTTCTGAGATCTTCTACAACCATCGTAACTGCTCCCCTTTGATCTAGGTCACCAGGTTCCAGCTGGCAGAAGCCACTGTCTTGGCTGGAGGACATCATGCTGGAATTGATTTTCTGAGGTCTGCCTTTCTCCTGGGAAAGACTAGGGCGGGGTTCTCCAGCACTTGGGGATGCCTGAATCTTAGCAGGGGAACGTGGACTAGCCTTGACTGGTGACATTGTCCTTTCTGAAGCAGCTGATGCCTGCTGCTTGACAGGACTAACTTCTCTGGGACTGCATGTTGGAGTACTGTTATTCTTCTGTCTCTTTTCTGGTAGCTTTGTCTCAAGGGCTTTGATCTCCTGGCTTAGTGCTTTCCCTCCTGTCAAATTGATCATTACCGTAGTGCTGTAACGGCAATCTCCTGAGTTTTGTGCTTTAGCAGGAGATTTTTGTGGCGATGTTGGAGGAGAGGTTGCAGGGGATTTGGGTGGTGGGGGAACTATCAGCGAATCTATAAGCCCAATGTCAAAGTCTGAAACTGGAGGCGGTGGAATAACAGCGTTAAGCAATTCCTCATCAAGCTCAATTGATTCCACAAGTGGAGGGGGAGAGATGATTAATGAGGCTATAAGGTCATCTATACTATCCTCATTATCTACTTGTTCTTGATTGTCACTTGCTCTCTCTGGACCTTCAAGGGCACTGAGGTTAGGGCTGCTGCCATGTAGGGTAGATACACTGTCCGTATCCGATCCCAGGCAGGATGTCACAAGGTTAGGAGGACTGTCCTGATCTCGATTTTCTCCAGTCTGCTCTGGGGTCGGCGTTGGGTCCCGGTCAACAGATTCCATTGTCGACCTCCGACCTCCAATCATGCTGAAATAATCAGAGGGGGAGTGACTTGCACCCGGCTCATCTGTTACACCATTATCGATGATTTCAGAGGAGATGGTCTCATTTCCTGAATCTGACTCACATTCAGGGTCTCGGTGCACAGACCGTTCCAGAAGCTCTCCTCTCTGGTTGACGCTGACACTTATGGCGTCCAGGGCTGCAAGCTGGATGCCGTGGGCCTGGTCTGCCTTCTCATCCTCATCCAGATCTGGAGATGGGAGGTCAATGATGGACACTGGCACTGGGGAATCAGAAGTCCCTCTGACATGTTCTTGATGATCATCCATCTCAGTGTCAACTGAGTACACCCCAGACAGGTCTATTGGAGGGATCTCCACTTTTGTCTGTGAACATGGGGAGTCCTCTCCTGCTGAGCTGTCTGTAAATGACACCTGGGTAAGGTCTACAATGTCACTATCCACGCTTGAATTAGAATACGATGCAAAATTGCGGAAGGCCTCCATCTTTGAGTCCTTGTGATCTGCATCTTCACTTATTTCTGGGTTCTCCTCCTCTGACTTGATCTTTCTGCAATGAGCAAGAATCACAGAGTCCTGAGTTGTCAACATGGTCTTCTGTCCGACCACATTCTCATCTGGTGGGGATACCATGGTTGTACGAAAATCACTGTTTCCTTCTTCATCCCTTTTCCAAAGATCTGTGTCATCTTCTGTGACTGACTGGTGGATTTCTTTGACCGGGATCAAGCTGTCGTCATTGTAGATAGCATAATGGAGTAGCTTCACTTGCCCATTAGTTTTGTCCTCATCCAGAGGTGAATACATAGCAACTGAATCGCTCACATCAAAATGCTTGGTCAGCGATTTCCTGCATTCTGTCTTGCCAGCCTGGTCCTCTCTGGTTTCCTGGAAGACCTTCTCATCTGAGCCATCAATAGTCATCTCCAGCCTACTCTCCTGGGGTCTGGGACTGTCCTCTTGCCCACCATCTGGAGTCTTCATCTCAAACATGTCTTCCACCATGTCTGAGAGATGGGCAAGGTCTAGTGATTTGTCACTCCAGGAGGAAGAGGAGATGGTGCTGGTGTCGGACTTGGACAGGTTGCTGGTGTCTAGCGAGTTGTTTGCATTCCTGTGGAGGGCCTGGTCATCTTCTTCCTCCTCCCTCTCTTCATAGATGGTAAAGGACATGACGGCTCCATCAGGCTGACCCCCAGCTGCTTCCAGAGGATGGTACCGTCCTTGTGACTTTAATCTAGAAAAAAATACCAAGTCATTACTGTCAGACATCGATCAAAATGCATGCTGCTTAAACAGCAAGATATTTAATTAACTTGTTTAACCCGAGCAACTATGAATCCTTCAAACTTCTAGTCTTGGTGAGACATGATTTGAAGAATTAAAAAAGAAAGAATGAACAAATATTTCAACCCATAACCTCCTGCTTACTCATTCACAAGTCTTTGCCACTCAAACACCAACCGTGCCCGGATCGGCAGGCCAATTTAAATTAATGTGGCATTGGGTGCCACACTAATCAAGCCACCTGATAGAACCGTGAAACCTACCTATTGATGTAAGCGACATCCTCCTCATACATCGGCGGTCCCATGGACAGGTCAGCGAGGTACTCCCCTTCCCCCACCCGACTGATATCCCAGTCACTCTGCCCACCCTCCTCCTCTGAGCCACGGATCAGCTCAGACACTAGATCGTTGGGGTAGTTCCACTCTGCTAAGATAACACGGTGTTTGCTGTGGTAGGCTGGCGCTGCATGATGACAAAAAGCAGACAATTACAAAATAAGCAAATATAACTCTTGGAAATGAATTTTGTCGGGATTTCAACTGATTGTCTTCATTCCTAAAGGTGTTTACATGCATGTCAAGTAAAATAGTGTCAGCCAACATGTTGTGTACTACTTTCAATGAGATACTGTACATTCGCACTGAAAATGAAACAGGTTTGAAAATCAGCATTAATACAACACCACAATGAGTTATTTGGCAATCATATTTCACATATTCTGTAGAGAATAATATCCTAGCGCTACATTTTATATGAAATTGGATAGGGTGCTTTGAAGCCTTTGATATTAAAAGTAGATGGCCTAGCAGAAAGTCTAGAGAATTACTATCAGACAGTAAGTGCTTAGCATGTTCTGTGTGAATTTTCGTATCCACTTTCAAGCTGGTGGAATTAGATTATTCTGGGGAGAGTATGAAGTGAAACCCACCTTCTATTTCTTGTGAGTGTGAGTAATGGGATGGCAGTAGAGATCGGCTGTTATCAACAAAGAGTCTGTAGTAACCGTTCACCAGAGTCACCATGTCGTAACCGTCATCATGAGTTAACAGTAGCACGATCGGCTGTTGTGAAAACAAAGTTCATTAGTCAGATATGTTATCTAGTCAAACACAAGTCAATCACAAGACATATCACAAGGCAATCACAAGACAATCATAAGTCCGCCACAACTAAAACTTTTAGCCACATCACAGCTGTTCCCCTGAATTTGCACACACCCATACTCATTCTATAGTTGTAAGGACCATACACCCAATAAACGATAGTTGTTGTGGGGACAACAGATGCTGTGGGGACAGTAGAAAGTCCTCACAACTAGATCCAAATTTTTCTAACACGTTTCTTGCACACCATATACAATCTATTCAATCAAGTCAACTAAACAATTTTTCTAAGTGAACATGTACTAGTTTGTTTATTCTGGTAATCCTTTAAACTCATTGACTTTTTTCTGTCACGGCCTATAATCACAGCATACGTTACAGGGGTTCTCATCATTTAACAAGACCTTTATTTACGATGAAGTCCGACAAACTGAACATCCGACTGCAACAGACCTTTTCGTTTTTGACGTGTAGCTCTACTCGTATGCAGTCACCGCTGATCATCAGCGGGATCAGCTGGATGTCGGTCACCTGACTGAAATCAGCCAATAGTGAGGTCACATTGTCCCGTAAGCTGATGACCTCAATGATACCGCATTTAGGGCCAACAAGCACCGTGCAATTGTAGTCTGCTAACCTGTCACTGTGAACATCTGTCTGCTAGAGGAAAAAAAAGGAAAGATAATTTACATTGAATGTCTACTGAATTTTGGCTTAAACATGATCAGTATTTGAGTCTGTAACACATCAAATCTTAAGTCTATCACAAGTGGGTCACAAATAATGGGATGAATTAAAACAAAAAATTGTAAGCCTTTTTCACAGATCTTTTGGATAGCTTGTGACTTGAATTGAGACTGAAGGATTGGTGATTGATTGAAATATCAAGCGAGACATTGTAATAAAGGTGGCATCAGGAGAAGTGTGAGCCAGGAATCAAATTCTTGTTTTTCTATATAAGATTTGTGAATGTGGGGATATAAACAGTCAACAGGTATAACAGTCAACAGAGTAGAGATAATTACCACCATGGTGCCAGTGAAGTACATCCCTCCAAACGACCTCAGGTCACAGACTATTTTCAAGTAGTGCAGCTTGGCTTGCAACTCAGTCAGATGCTACAAGAAGAGAAGTATGTTCTTAATAATGTAATTGAAAGTGTAGTCTGATGCAATTACGACTCAAAAGTATTCTTTTTTTTTTGGTGTCAGCCTTTGGACTCCATGCAGAAACAGAAGATGGCATGGTATAACCTATATACGAGGACCATGGATAGACAACACAGGTTCAGCACAACTACGATGCAAAGTGTGTCTTGCGCTCTTTATCATTTTTATTATTGGGGGCAGAGGGCTATTGCGCCGAGTTCATGGCATTCATGCATACCTTTTGGCCTGGTGCACACAGGCACTGGCTTTGCTTGATGTGTTGGCTGATCAGCCTCTTCAGATCCTTGGCTTTCATCTTCTTGGCCACGGATGGGGGCAGGAATCGCTCAATTCCATCTTCTTTCCTGCAAAGACATGACAGAATAAGAGACTGAATTTATTGGTTGGATCAAGTATCCTGAATTGTCATTAATTGGTTTATATTGAACCAATAAAACTTCCTTTTACTGAAACTTTGCAAAAATGGTATCAAAACTGTGCCAACCATTGTTGGCAAGTTTAATAGGAAATAAAGACTTCATTTAATCAATCTTTCATAGAGAACTATGTTTCTGAAGTTCTATCTACAAAATTGAAGTTTGTAAAATTGGATTTTAAAGAAGGGCATGTCATGATGGGTATTGGACATGATGGATACTCAGTGTTTCAAATTTGAAAGGAAAATTCAAACAAACTGGAACAGAATGCACAGTAAAATGAACAGTCAAGGTTGGGACATTTCTGAGGCTCAGCTCAGGCAGTTGATGAGAAATATCAAAATACATCTCACACAGACAAGAGAACAACTGTGCTGAAAAACTGATCAATGAATGGGAAAACTTCACTTTACAAACTGCAGTTGAAACAAGTAATGGCACACATGAATACAAAAACTGGCTAGCGAAAAGTTGACAACTTACTCTAATGCTTTCAAGGAGACCTTGGCAGAGTGCTTGCTGCTCAAGAAGTGCTGCTGTATTTGCAATGCAGCCAAGCGCACGGCTTTATCATTGTCCAGTTCACCCATGAATCGTTCGTTGATGATGTCATTACAGCACTGCAGTTCAAAATGGAGATTGAATGGTTAAAGGACAAATAGATGGCACAGGAAAACAACTGAAGAATGGCAAAAGTTTGAACAGTACACACTGTTTTGTACCAATGTTTTGTACTGAACAGAAAGCCCAGGGTACCACTCGTCCCCAAGCTTGTACAAACCTAACACATCTGGGTGATGTATCAGGTGCGCATGAGTGATTTTTGTACTGCACATTCATTAGTTTATGATTTATGTGAGTCCACTCATAATTTCTAAAACAAAAGGTCGCATGAACATTTCTCAACTGAAGAAATATCGCTATTCCATAAATGTAATACATTCTATGACATGTTCTTGTGGTAACCACAGAATGTTCTCAATAGGCCATGTGTCTGTGATCACAGGCTCTTCTCAAGCGAATAGGTACAAACACACAGAAATTGAAGCAAAGGCTTGATTATAAGTAGAACAAATTAAATAAAATCTATTTTGTTTATCACAAGAGCATTCTATATCAACTTGATCATTTCTAAGGACTCACTTGCATGTAGAAGTAATCAAAGGCTTTAGGGTCCTTGCTGAGAAGGTCGTAGGCATCTTGGGGGGCAAAGGTCACTCGTAGAAGGCACTTCCAATTCTGACTACCAGGCCTGCTGGCAATCTGAAGGTGAAGTGAGAGAAAACGTATACATATGTATAGCCACAGAGCCTGCAAAACGTACATAACTACAAAGTTGCACTTCCTGTGGTATTTTCGGGATTTGGACTATAAAATTGCTATTTTTCGAGCAATACAAAAGTTTTATTCACTTTTGAATGAGATATGAAACAAAAAACTCTGCACATGTCTATTTATGGATTATTTACGGTACAAATTTTAAACTATTTGCAGCACGACAATAATTCAATTCATAATTTTTTTTGGGTGAAATTTGTGCGTTATGTGCGCAAAATAAACGCAAAATAAATATTTTCAGTTTCAGGGGGGAATATACTTTCTGTTTAAATTAAACATACAAGTTGAAAATTTGTTTGGAGAACAAAATTAAGTAGATTGAAGAGCATGGGTAAAGAAACTTTTAAGACTTCCTGAACGCGAATTCTTGTGCACATGAACTAAAAATGACAACAGAGTTGCAAGTAAATCATGAGTCAAGTCACAAGTGACAGAGGATAAACAATTCCTTGGTCATAGGTCATTTGAATATGATGAGCACCTTCTTATACAAAGTGCACTGGCCATAGCAAACCATGTTTCCGGGAACTTTTTTCCAAATAACAAAATGTGTCTGACTGAATGTTTTTGTTACCTGGATCAGTGTTTCATCTTCCTGAAGTATCGTGAACTTGTTGGAGCATTGCAAGTCCTCCATGTTTTGAACCACCAGGGAGAAATGCTCCATGCTTTTGAGGGCCAGTTTCTCCTTCAGATTCCTGAGCACTTCCTGTAGTTTTGAAAAGACGATTGTGATGTGTTCTGTCTAAGCTAGACGTTTATGATCATATATAAACAATTTTTAGTTTTCAGTTTCTTTTCAGATTTGTGATCCTACATTGGTCTTAAAACATACTGTAAAAGTTTCAGGTCAAAAACGGGTGGATATGCATTATGACTAAGACCTGACACAACGAAATATCAGAAACTATCAAATAAATCAAATTATAAATGTAGCAACAATTTGATACACGTAGAATATAACTAGAAATGACATCTAAAAGATGGACTAGTGTTCTGTGAAAGTGTCGTCCATCACTACAACACATGTGATGAAATCCATTAGCTTTGCAATCAGATACTAATCACAAAATGGAATCTGCAGAAATTAATGTATTCTTGTGGAGGTTCTTATCTTTGGTGATCCACTGATCTTTGATTTGAGGGCAGAGAGATAGAAAGAGAGTGTCTTACCTTGACTGATGTCTTGTTATCATACTTGAAGGACTTAGTCTGGCCATTCTCCAGGTAGACCTTAAGGACACTTGGTAGATAGACAAGGCTTGGCGGTGATTTACCCTGCGGATATAATTACACAAGACATTAGTACAAAATTGCCTGATCTGCAGGTGCAGAGTGTGAAACAAATTACACAGGATGCATAGAAGGTTAAACTCCTCCAACGCGACGACAACTCAGGTACTCAGGAACAGTTGCAAACCATGTCAGACTTGCCAAAGACAATCAATAAAATTGAAAAGTAATGATTTTTTTTGCTGAATCATTACTGTTGGCATGTCAATACAGCAGGTTCCTTTCAAAAACAATTCTATTGGAAAGATTCTGTAGAACAAACCTTTGCACAAATGCCGCAAATCAAATTGCAATTCTTAAAAGTAATCATAGGTTGTGGGTGCATGTACATGTATACATGTACATGAATTGAAAGGGAAGCTGCAATAATGACGTACTGATAGAAATGGAGCTTTCTGAACAGCTCTATGTAGGAGAGCTTTCTGCGAGGAACAGAGAAATCTGCCAACTCATTGTTGGTATCAATTCATTATAGGTTATTGAAGGTTGTGAAAGTACGCAAGTCAAAATACTAAATATAGCACTGCATCTTCCCCCTTGGTCACTCACCGGAGCCACAGCAGCAGCTTTGACATTATCAGCAAAGCGAACCCTGGAGGGCTTGGACTTGAGTTTCTGCTTCTTGTTGGCACTAAGGAAGGAGGACTTGAGGCCCGTCTTGTCAATGTAAGGCTGGATTACTGTCAGACGGATGACTTCTGATGATTGCCTATTCACAAAGGAAAAATAAATGTAACAGAAAATAATGTAACAGAAAATGTTTGCTTAGCAAACAGGTTACCGGCCAGAAAGTCATGCCAGAATGTATAGGGCTCATGACTGGTTCCCAGCTGTTTTTCACTTAGCACATAAAGCTGCTAAGCAATATTTTCTGCTTGGTAGCCCCATGAAATCAAAGCCAGCTGCTGGTCTTATTTTAATTGCGCAAATTTCATTTACTTGCTTGCCCCCCCCCCCCCCCCCCAAATGATTTTCCTACCTACATGTACCTACATGTACCGGGGTACCTTGATAATTGTTTTGGGTTTTACCGTTGACACACTATTTTTTTTCTCAGCCTTAGCATTTTGGTTTGTGCTCACATCCTTTAGCTAGGGAGTATGTGCTTTAATACAAAATGCGTGTTGATTGTCTTTGTTGGCACTGTAGGTACAGAACAATTGCACATGCTGAGTTTGATACACAGAGCCGTATATATCATTATTATTATTTGACCAAGCAACATACTGTGATCACAAATGACATCAATATAAAAGAAAACACTTTTCAGAACAGAAAACAAAATCATTAAAAGAAATTTGGATTACAGCTTTTCAGAACACTTATTTCACTATCAATTCTTACAAGTTAAAAACTTCTTTTCAATTTTTTTATTTAGCCACACTAAAACAGCCAAGGCAGTAATGATTGTCTACAGGAACACCATTCAAGACTTGTTCAATCAAAAGGAAGAAGCCCCCGGGTCTTTGACCATCGATTGCAAGTGTGCAGGTGACGTTACTGTCTTGTAATCACATCAACCAATCATAACATCCCGATGGACATCTGTTGGATCTGCCCCATTTCAATTTTAATCTTGTATATTACACATGGCTGTCTATCTCAGGGGAGTATGACCTAAGAATGTGATGTTCACACGTTTAAACATGTTTCACGAATAATTACAATGTTTTCAAATCTATTTAATTTACAAAACCTTAGAAGCACCGCAGTGCTTGACTGGGCCTACATTTGGTTACAGTAGTTAGTTTTTTACTTTTTCAATGACTGCCCGCTACGTCAATCATTGTTGATTTAACGTGTCAATCACGCCAGTCTGCAGACATATAATGGGCACGCGTCAGCCTTTGTGAAATGGCTAAACGTTAAAACGTTTAAACCGTGTTTATATTTTTTGCCAAACCTTTACAAAATTAAATGCAAAGTCACATCCTTAGTGTGGCCTAGTGGTTAGGGTTCGTGCCTCATGATAAGATGGTCAGGGGTTTGAATCCAGCTGCTGGCAATGTATTGTGTCCTAAGGTAAAGCACAGACCATCGCACTTTGGGACAGGATGCTGCCATACTACCAGTCACGAATGCAACCATATCTGTTGTAAAAGTTACAATACCTGATTCTCTCTATGATGTAAGGCCCGTCCTTCATCTTGACATCTTCACCATTCAGTCGCAGGATTTTGTCACCTGGTAGAAGCTTGCCCACTGAAGGTCCACCTGAAAAAAAATGAATATGATTAATAACCGGTTATCAACAAGGGAGCTAATACTCAAGAAGAAATGTTGATAAACAGTGAGACAAATGAAGTAAGCGGGGCACATACATCGTACATGTACATGCACCTTAAACAGATACTGCTCAATACCCCCACAACCAATACTGTGCTTCAAAAAAAAAAAGAAAAAAAGGGGAGAGCACTTCAATGGATAGTTACTGGTGATGAATTGTCAATTAACCAATAATCATGCTCTCCCCAGTACCCATGAGGCAAAAACTAAAGAAATTTCAAAACGCAAAAGAAATGTCCATCACAAGCCAAGATGACTCATTAGGCAGGCGTCTATCTTCTGTTTCCTTGCCATGAAACGACTCAGAACATTTCTATTCCCTACCCCCCCCCCAACTCCCCATATTGGATGCCAATCCATTGCAGTTTTCTCCCTACCTCAAGCTGGTAGCCAAGGACACAACATCACAAACCCTGACCACTAAACCACCCCCCTCCTCCTCAAAATAGCAATCCCCTCTATATTTCACAGATGTCTGGATCACCAAGTCAATTTTCATGGACAGAATATGGAATGCACTGAGCCAGCGCAAAATCACCGTTTCTAAATTTACCTCCAATTGAAAATTCCATCTCAAGTCATGAGCCATATGTTATTTCCCCTTACCCACTGAAAATACCGGAAAAAAACACCTCACCCAATGTTGACAAACTCATTGGCAATCAGCAAATGTGAAGTATGATGCACATAGCCCATAGCATCCACCCTTCAATATTTCCTGAGTGCCCAGAACCGTATCTACAAATTACTCTAAGGTAATGTAAACTAATATCCTGAAAACTCTGCTTCCCATTAGGAGGAAAAAATAATTCAAGGACTGCATTTATACCAGATTTATGACCAGCACATCAGCTTGACAACTAATCAGTGAATGTGTGTCAAGCATTATGAATCCATCTCAAACGAGTTTTCGCGTGCACTGATAATGTATATTAATTCCCATCAGAATATGATTTAAGGTATTACTTAAGAGGATGTGCCACATTATTGAATGCACGCATGCTGGTAATGTTCATATAGTACTTAAGATACTCAAGGTTTGTCAGCAGTGTATGGCAACTGCAATACTGTAACTTCACTGAAGGAGAAGTGGAATAAGCATTTGGGTGTGTGTGAGAAAATCACTGCCTTCTAGGTAATAAATTTCAATGAAGCTTCAATATCTCTCATGTACGTGTATCTATAGAGCTAAGGCCAGCCAGTAAGTAGTTGCTTAATGACTTTGGACATACGGTACAGGGCCGCTCTATCCACAAGCGTGCAAGCATAAATTGAGTCTTGGCATTATCAATCAAATTTTGAAATTATGGTGAAAGTTCAGGTGGCTATTACTGGGACACTTCCATGTCTGAAGGCCCATCACACATGCATTTTGTATTATAACCGAAGGTGAGTGCATTGTGTGACTAATAAACAAATCAAGCTTTGGTGCATCCCAGTAGTGGAGGAAAGCCAGCCTAGTAGTAATCGTAAAACATGGGCAACTTGGATTGGTCCATAATGACAACATTTTAGGGGTGGAAACAGTTGTGAATCCACCATTGTTGACCAAAGTTTACATGTTCCAATTCATCAAATAGTTAGCCTACATTTTTTAAATTAATTTATATTTTTTTATTGAAATGAAGCAGTCAAATTCTTCAGTAAACTTGACATTTTACCATTTGTACCCAGAATACGGCATCATTACAGCTTACTCATTGGTTCACAACAAATATTGCATATTGTGAACTAGGCCAATCAGAAAACAGGTAAAGTACATTTGTAGAATTGGCATAGCGCAAGGCAACCAGTACACAATCACAAGCAGTTCGGGCCTCGTATCTCCTAGTCATATGCATGTATAATATGAGGTCGTGAAACATGCAGGCAACATTGTACCACAGAATACAACAGGGCTCACTAAAACAGTCAATCTGTGTATTGGTTTACAAGTAAATGAACATTTGCACAAAGGTTGAGGAGAGTTTGTCTTCACATTGATCCAACAATTTTTAACTGATATTTCAAGACATCATATAAAAGAAACCAACTAGTGTTCCACGTAATCATTCTACTAGTAATTTCATGCAGTAACCCATGCAGAAAATGTGTCATTCCTTTGACAACAGGACATTTCAACTTCAGGTTGAAAAAAAAAGAAAAAAAAAGACAGTTTCACGGCATTTGTTTGCTGAGCGTGATGCTGCCGGGCCCTGATTTCAACATTTCCGGAGTAATTTCACAGACTGCCAAATGAACACGGGTAACCACACTGGCCAATAATTACACACACCATTTATAGCAATCCACAGTGTGCATGGGGGATGCTTCACTTAATATCTTAATATCTTGCAATACATGTATATTAAACATCTCGAGTTTCTTTTACTTTTTCTTTCCCTTTTCAATTGAAATAAATCATTCAGTTCTCATCAAAAAATGTATGTAGACAGGGCTTTGGATTTGACAGCTCCTACATTTCATGTACAGTGTACATGAATGTTATACTTTTGTTTCAGTTGAATGTGCTTTATGAAAACAAGGAAGTGTCAAACAATCATTTTTTTTAATAACAATAGAAATAATGAGAACGTGAGAAGGTATTTTTTACCGTAAATCTACGAGCATATAGAAACCAACTTGCTAGAAATGAAAACTGTTTTTAAAAAAAATGTGATATTCAATCACAGAAGTAGAAAGTATTTTAATGACATCAGTTGACAACAGTAAAAAATGAACACCTGTCCTTTTTAAAGGTCTGAAAATGAATTTAATGAAAACAATTTTTTTTTCAGCTGCATGTATGTACACGTACACATTTGAAAAACAAAAACATCTGGATATTTGCTTTAACAATTATTAAAAAGCAAACTCAACACTCGCATATGTCCATTATGCAAACATACATTCTAAGCCAAGTTGTCTTTCGGTCAAAATCAATCAAGTTACTGTTTTCAACAGTTTAAAATTCCCAGCCTACATAAAGCAGGATTGACTGGCTGGGACTGTTTAATTAACTGGATACAGCTATGCTTTGAAGTTTGACTGTAGTTGATTGATAAGCCAGCTGTGCCCATGACTTGCCTGCTTTGTCTGTTGACTGAATTTGACCAGTCACGGTGCTTGATTGACATACTGTATGATCTGACTGTTGTTCATGTTAGATATTTTTTTCTTCTCGAATTGTTTTCAATGGTTTCAACTGTATGGCATGATTGAATTCAAAGATTTGCATGGATCCTTCTTCCATGATATTCCATGACTAATAGTTTCACCACTGCTTACAATTAAAAATGGTCCAAGAAAAAAGAAAGAGCCTCCCCTCCCCTTGGACATAATATCTGGCTATGGTTTCTTCGGTCTTGTGACTATTAATAACAGCTCCTTGGAAGGGATACATCGTGTGCGTGCATTGGTTTGTGTGTGAAAGGCATGAAGTACCGGTACGCACAATTACTTTATTTCTGAGTCGGTGAAACCCATTTTGACTTCACTTGAGTGTCACGCGCACTGCAGTTTTACATTCTGATCACAAAAGTCTCTGTCTGTAACCGAGTGAAGTCTGCTGCGTGCATGCACTTCATGCGCATGTGAGCATAAAGCAAATTTGACATTTAACAAAACATTAGCGGGAGTTAAAACGTGTTCAAACCCTGCAATGACGTCATCAATTTGTTCTCGCAATTGCTTTTCGCACCAAGAATGAACCAGCCTTGAGGAGGTTCTTGCCATTGCTACTTTTTTACCGAAGTCAACTGTTGCACATGCATCACTTGTCAACTTACTTCACTTCGAACTTTACTTATAAAAACAATCGTTCAGACCCACAAATAGGAAAGAAAAATCAAAGTTGGCCTAAGGCGAGTTCAAAACATAATTACCGTTTGGGGTCCTAAAAGTACCTAATGCCTTCTGCACTCACCTTCTGTGACTGATCTGACAACCACAGGTTTCTCACTGCCTGCGATGAATCCAAAGCCTAGCATCCTGTCCCGCTGTAATGTCACTTCTCTCTCAACTGGAGGGATGTCCTCCACATCATATGGGTCCTCCCGAGTGGTAGTGCAGGTCACATGACTAAGGAGAGATAGAGAAAAAGAGAAAACCATGTATGAAAAGTTCAGATGCAATTGGGACGTGCCGAATATACCAAAGATTAAAATGTTCAATCACCCAATGAATGACATGTTTTTACAAACTTTTGTAAAGATAAAAAGCATCCACGATGTTATTTTAATCCTGTAAGTTGCATGGTTATATTGTTTGTCAAATGCAACAATTTTGTGGAAAGCCACTTTACACGCATTGAGAGCTTTTGTGTGGAATATTAGCTCAAATCTCTTCTTTAAACTCTGTCAAATATCAGCCATTCTGCTACCTCAAAAAAAAAAAGTTGATACAAACATGTACATGATGCTCTTTACATTACTTTAATAAATTTTCAACAATTTTCAACAAGTGCAAGTACATGCAAATATTAATCAGCAGCCAGTTTAGCCTGGCATTTATGTACAACTTGTGGGAGGGGAGGAGGTCACTTTTTTATAGTTAACATCCTGAAGCACAGTTCACAATCAGCAACAAAATACATGCAAATTGCTATCGCGCCAGGATCATTGCGATCAGTCATCCATCAATTTAAAGGCATTCAACAATTTCACTCAGTAGCGGCAAAGACATTATGCAAATGTACGTACGTCTGCGTACATGCACCGGTACATGCATTTTGTCTGTGGGAAATCGACTGGTTTGTAAATTGCCTGGGCAGACGGGCTAAATTAATAAAGTGCAAGTCTCCCATAGATTTGTAGATACATGTATGAGACCCTTTTGTTATTATGACTGCATGGTTTGGTGATAAACCAAATTGCTTTCGGACACATTTTCAGATAAGCAGGGTACAGACTAATTTGGTGACAGCCATTTTCTGAGGTAGCAACAGGCTCGCACGAGTCGCGATCAGGTAGGACGCACCCACTCCGGGCTCCTTCAGACAACAGAGTTACCAAAATGCACGCGCACGTTGTCTTTAAGAACGCATACATACATGCGCGCGAACGTGGTGCCACCTCAAAAATAGCTTCTAAATTTGTTCTCTAAATTAGTCCATAGTAAGCGAATCACCTGTACTTTTTTACATGATGAAATTGAAAATAAAACTGAGAATGTACTGGAATTGTATTGTTTCTTACATGAGCAGCAATATCTTGTTAACACTGGGGAGGGAATTTCAGAAGGGGGGTGAATGATATACACCTGTACCATATACATGTGGGTTTAAGCCCATGGGCTGGCAAAAGTCCAAAATACGGCCAAGTTCTTGGAGCTTCAAGCCAAAGGCCTACAATTCGGGCAATGCTCATAACCAATAGTATTTTAACTGTCCCGTTCAAAATCCTTCCATGCACAATTTGGAAAAACACTTCTCTCAACATTTCACTGAACCTTGTGATTAACTCAATGCAAGTTTCACCCTGCGATTGAATCTGATAACCTTTTCCTTCCAAAGATCTGGTACATGCTGTTCCAGAACACTTCAGGCCTCAAGTACAAATTCAAGGTCCTCCTGAGCATTCAGGCACTACTACCTTCAACCACTTTTCTCCAATGGCAATATCTTGAAGTGACGAGCAGTGATGCCTTGGCATGCCACATGTATACAGAAACGTGAATGCTGGGACATTCATGCTTTATTAAACCACCTGTCAGACCGACAGCCCCATTCATTCATCAAGTCAAGTCATCTGAGCTATCTGGATCTTAGGAATTTCAATTTAGAAGTGGAAATTCTAGCGCATTGTGCACGCACACGTCCACCTTAGTTTACCTGTTCAGTACGTCATAGACTTTACATAACTGCACTCTCGAGGAGAAAACAGGGCCTGAAAAGCCAGTTTTGGGGAACCATTTTGAAATAAAAATATTGAAGATGCTCTGTGGCTTAGCTAACATGAGAGTTGTGTCTTTCAAATTTGTCAGAAGAAATGCAGTAAAGTCATTTTTGGAATTCAGCAATTAATGGAACTAGATTGTGTTAAGGTGGAGTTAGAGGACAATGGGTTTGTATCACTAGGACAGGCATGATTAAACCTTTTATGCAGTCATTGTTACTCAATTAAAATACCTTCTGAGGTACCTGCAATGCATTAAGGTCGATTAAACCTGAGAAAATAAAGAAAACCAAGTATTTGGACACAAAATGTGCACTGAAAAGTATTTGCAAAAAGACACAGATTCAGAATCAATACATTATTTTGCGTAGTACATGTACATGTCTTTCATCATTTCCTATCACTCATATTTCTACTCATTTGAAGTACAGCTGTATTCAGTCAGTGAAACCTTATGCTTAGACTTACATGTATCATGGAGGAATAATAATTCCTCCATCGACCTAGAAAGCTTAAACTTACAAAGATGTTGCACACTACTACATGAACTTGGGGGAGGGGGGGGGGGACCCCTGATTTGTGCCAAGTAAGCAGGCCTGCAGTACACATAACCACTGACTTGATCAGCTGTACATGTATGTAAATGCAATAAGATCACGCACGGTGATCCATGATTGCGCCAATGTACAAAATGTAATACCCGGTACATGATTTGTCTGTCGCCATCAGGCAGTCCGTGACAATCATGCCTTTCCGCAATCTTCTATTTCTTGTCCTGACATGTCTATATCAATACAGTCCTACCATTCTTCATTATTTTTAGGCTTTTGTTTAAATGACAAAACAGAGATGGAAGTCTTTTCTCATCAATATCACTACAAGAAAATATTGTAAGAGCAGGGCATTATAAAGGTAATGGAACACCAAATACTGAAGTAACAACACTCTGTGAAAATGTGCTGTCAACAATCATAAGACAGTTTTACATTTTCGTCCTTTCTTTTTCTAAGGGAGACATATGTCCTCTCCTCTAAATCTCCTCTTTAAGTGACAGTCCCCGCAGGCTCTGACACGGGACAATGAAATCAACATCTCAACTGGGAAAGTCCATGAGGAGGAAACTGAAGAAGGACTGGCTGGCTGGGGGCCGATGATCCCTGCATCTCACCATCCAATCAGGGCATTAACGCCTCACCAGTGAGATAAACAGGGTTTTACCTTACTCCGTAAAGCCATTTTGTATATGATCTCCTTTGACATACTGACAAGATTACAGAACTTATTGCAGTTATCCCCAAAACAAGTGTTGGTGACGCCACAGGGTCCTTGGGGATTTTCCGAGTTCAAAATTTTTCTTCAGCATGTTTAGCTTGACTATTTAGTTGGATCCAATCTTAGTACATATAATCTTCTACACATTTAAATGGGTATAAATTCACTGATATATTTACAAAATAATTTTTATCCGTACAATGGAATTGATGGTGGGAACATATTGTTCTTTTGTGAATATTTTAGCTTTCATTGTTATGTGTTGAACGATTGTTGCACAATAATTAAGTGATGCTCTTTTGGCCATAAGAAGTTTATTTGCAAATAAAGTGTGAAAATTAGTTGATGTAGTTCTTACTTGATGTAGTATCGCTTTCCATTCTTGTCCACAGCCTCCTCCCAGCCGTAGGGTAGGAAGTCCCCCTTGGGTGACCAGCAGGTGGGCGGTGGGATCCACTGTGATATCCTGTTGTTGTGACTAGAGAAATCCAAAACAAAAAAAAATTGCAATCAGTCACAATCCTAGTCTTATTTGATTGATCTGTTCAGCGAAACTTTTTGGTAACGCATTTGGGCCTATAAAAGTTCAGTGATTAACATTTTCCAAACATTGGTTTTGGCTTCTGCTTTGGCTTCCCGGCACCTGTCTTGAGGGTGCACACCGGTAAACTTGCCAACTCAGGCCAAATCGTGATTTACATGCCATCACTTTTACTCTTAATAGGGAGTGTTGTGGCCCCTTCACTTGAGGGTTTATAGAAATGAAGGGGCCCAGCTCTAAAGCAGTCTTTGAGGTTGTATTTCTAGGAAATTTGGAATGAATTTGGACCTGAAAGTTGCTCTATTTTGCAATGGAGTGGAGGGATCTTTTTCAAACAGTGATGGGATTCAGGACAACATTTATGAGTGATCAAAGTTTCTGGACAGGAAAAACATCCACAAGTTATTGGTTACTCCCCCACAAAAACCAGTAGAAAGTGAAAGATATCTACTGAGTTAAAATTTTGACATGTTAGTTTTTTAATAACGTTCAGATTGATTGCAATACATGTTGTTCTTCCTTGAATCGGCAAAAATACATTTTTGCATGCAAATGGTGTCCGTTACCTTCGAAGAACTTGAATTCAACACCCTGGTCTGTTTGTTTCAAATAAACATAGACAAGATTTGAACACTTGTTGAAATGGCTTTAGCACAGCGTATGCCAATTGCATCTACGAGAATGGCTTTGCTTTCTTTTGTTTACAAGATGTGTCTTCACTGTATTTGGGTTTGCCACTACTTAAGATTCTGTGACTTTCAAAAGACTTTCCACTAAACCCACAACTTGGATGACGTACATGTAAAGCACATCTCTATCTCATGCCTGTCCCTGGGAGACAGTTGAAGAATATAACCTCATTGTCATCTATCTATTGACAGAACCGATTTTATTTGTTGTGCATACACATGCAAGTGAATGGCTAACCTATCCTCGGATCAAAGGACCAAGTGGAGCAAATATAAAGGACGAGATTGTGCCAGGGCCTTGCAGACACTGTCCTAGTATTCTATTCTATTCTATTTTGCATTCACATACTATCAGTACGTAACTGAGTGGCATGGTGCAGACTGGTTTTTTGTTGTCTCTCATTGAAGGTTTGTTGACTCTAGCCTTTTCTGGCGGAGAACACCTTCTCGGTTTATAATCGGATGCTTTTGGTTAAAGACTGTGCAATCTGCTATTGAAGTTACTGTACCACCAATAATACATCAATGCCATTCTCTAAAGTAACCCTGTGAAGTTTCATTTGACTGAAGAGGTATGAAAATATATTCAAGCGGCTTAGGAATGGAAAACTTTTTTTCTTATCCATGTTCTGAATGTTTCTGATTCTGTGGCTAAAAGTTGGCACATCATCTCAAAAACAAACACTCTCCAGAAATGACGTGCCTATATTTCAGCTTGAATGTCACGGTTTTAAAAACTTTTAATTCCATCAAATTTAGGCAAACTAGACTTTCTGGACTGAACAACAACGGTCAAATCCAAGATCTAAAGTTTCTAACAATTGTTAGCTCACTACAGATTGTTTTTTTGATTTTAATTTCAAAAAATTTAACACACATGTACCAGTACGTACAACAATTAAAAAGGTAGAATCAATAAAGCTGATGACTGTTTGAAGTTTAAATGTGAGAACTAATAAAACTTTTGATTCTGGATTAAAGCAATGGCCACAATTAACTCAAAAGACCATTTCTGTTTTTTGAGTACCATTTGCCAAGCGGAGAGGGGGCAGTAACTGTTTGCTAATTTCAGTGTGATAGTTTCTATTTGTGGAGGGGGGGGAGGGAGGGCCAATTTTCCTATAGATGCTAAAGAGACTTGACAAACAATGATTGCAAACAACATACCAAGTACGATGGAAGGCATCTATCAATAAATGAACCCCTTGTTGGATTTGTCAAGTGTACGGTAATTTTAAACAGTGCATGCACAATTTGTAGGCCTTAGACATTCATGGTTAATACATGTACATGATTAGTCCAATGTCAAGTGTTTTGCAAAAAGTAACATCAATTCATAATAATGGCCTGTGTGGCATGTCAAGAAGTACTACGCAAGGCAAATGAGAAAGTTTAAAAACTGCTTAAAAGTTTAAATTCTGCTTTCTGAAATTTGGCATTTTGTGGGATGATAATTTTTTTTAAAAGAGTGTAAAAACATGAAGAAAAAAAAGTCAAACATCCTAAAGTCTCGGTGAATAAAAACTGTTAAGTCAGACAAACCTACAGGGTGAAAACTGTATACCGGTGGCTTGGATTCTGAGTGGGAAACACCTGCCAAATATTTAAGAATATTACACAGTGTCTTCCATTCTAATTTGTGTTCAGGGTTTTTACAAAAATTGGGGCCCATTGTGGAGCTACATGTACTATATATGAGTACATGGTCAACATTGTAAAATGTTTTGAGTACATGTTTATTGAAGTCTACTTTAAGTTTATATTTCCATGCAATCACAAGAGTACATTGTACTTTTTTGCATTGCATGGATACATGTACACATAACATGTGCAAGTGGACTGCATGTAGTTGATTACAATGCCCGAAATATAAAAATAAACAATATGGCCTTCGGCACAACAAAGAGTAACACAGCTCCCATATGCTGAACGTACACAAGCTGCTCATGAAATTTCCAGCTCAACGCCTTTTCAACAAATGATATACTGAAAAGAAAAAGTTAAATTTAGAAAATTCATGGAAACAAGAATCAGAAGAGGATAAATGGAGCATAAACATTTCTGCAAACCAGGGAAAAGGTAGCATGTGAAACTACACACGCTGTTCAGCTAATACATGCATAGGTGTATGATATGGTTTGGGAAATTTATGTTAAATATCAATTAACTGTGACAATGATTTGGTTACAAATTAAATTTGGTTACAAATTATTCAGATCATTCCCACTAACTTACAACTGTATACAGTTACAGTGTATGTGAAAATGCATGTGAAATCCGCCATCATCTGTGATTTTTTTTTTTAATGCTACCATAACAATTAACATAGTGTATGTGAAAATGCATGTGAAATCCGCCATCATCTGTGATTTTTTTTTTTAATGCAACCGTAATATAAAATAAACTTCAATTTTCTGTGTGACGAAGAGTTGGTTACAAATCGTTCACAGCATAATTCCTACAAAATTATAACGGGGCTAAAACAAAATCAGGAAAAAAAAAAAAAAAAAAAAGCCGCGTCGCCGCACTTTTTGGGCAAGCTCCATACCAGAAACCGGAGACTTTTTTTTTGGCCTTATGGCATCCTTCCATGGAATTATGACTGAACTGGATTCTTCGAAAAACCCTGGTGTTCTATTAAGCTTGTGCAGATAATGATAGGACTTTATCAATCAAAATCTTATTAATAAACAAGCGTCCTTCCAATGAAATTATAACCATACAGTCACAAACTCATGATTCAATAACATTATTCATAAACATATTGAGCAAACAACCTACATGTAGACTTCCCTTCCAAACCTCCTGTTCATAGAAGTCAGCCGACATTATAGCATAATTACATTACAGATACACTTGTGTGGCATTTGAGGTTGTGGGCGTCCTAAGAAAAAAAAAACCAATCAAGGCATCTGTTTCAACTGAAGGTTAATGATTAAATATGAAGGGTTGATCATAGTGTGGAAGATCTCTCAATAGCCCCATCTGGTCGCCGGTCAAAGGTCCACCTTTTTTCTTTTTTTTTGGTCTGGGATGACGTCCTTGCAGGAGAAAAGTAGCATCGCAAAAGTGCAACTTGGAGACAGAAGGATTTCATGTTGAACTCCAGGTGCTGTTCTGTAGACTAATCTGTTTCCCAATCACAACTGAAATGATTACTGAAGAGTTTATGGCATCATCGACAGCTCTGGTCAAGATTTGCAGCTGCGCACAGACATGCACATGCTCTATGAGTACAGACAACTTGTCTTTAAGAAAGCATGTACACATGAAACACCTTTGGAAGATGCCAGGTGAAACTGCACGTACCGTTAGCTCCATCAGAAATGTTATTGAAACCATGAACTCATAAATTACACTATTGTACTTGCATTTTGCTCAAGGCAACACAATCACTACAGGGATGTACATCTGCTTGTATTAAAAAAATTGTGCAAGACAAAAGAAGACCACTACATTTCAATCAGAGTGTTAAACTCCAAATACTTGATTGATAATAACAATGGCATTCAATGACAAGAAACTAACCCAAAATGATGTACTGGTAAGAGGCTCAAAACACAAACAAATAACACGCAAATTGAACCTTTTTATATATAGAAAGTAAGATGATACTATACAGTACATGTGTATTTCGATGTTTTTGCTTTTAGTTTTGAGAGAGAATCTTAAATATCAGGTTGCCTAACTTTTTAAAATATACAGTACATACCGGTACATTGTACGGAGCATGGGATTTTCCAGTCAGTATATATTTGGCAGCAGTTTCAATTTCATTAAGTATGCATCAGCAATTACCAGCGATGTCTTATTTTATGATCCCAATCATCAGCTTATTTTGTGTCTCTGTCTTATTTTATGATCACAATCTTGCATATAAGGAAATCAGGCAAGCTCATAAAATTTGACAGTTCTTTTTTTCTCAAAGAAAATAATCTCCCTCTTTACTGGCAGGAAAGGATACTTTTCTTTTTAGTTTTTGATAAATTTAAGAAAGCCATTAATATAAGGTAGCACATGTAGTGAAATAAAGATCTTTATCTGCATCTGTCACTCTATGACTCACAGACATTTTGCCCATTCACCCAGAAATTTCACAATGGAAATTACATCATCTTGCGATGATTTCACACAGACACACCCAAGCCCCAAATTACCGGTACCTGTCCTTCCATCCATGATCTATCACAATCTCAACCTCCCTAGATGCTGTTGTAACCAGTCGCCATGGTAACCCAAAGATGGTGGCAATGATGCCTACATGGTCGTATGATAAACGCAGGCCTGTCATTCCCAATTAAGAAAAGCGGGGCGTGATGCAAAAATACTAATAGAGGTATTGATGTGAACAGTGTGTACTGAAACAAAAATCCAGTGCTCATTGTGCATTTGAGATTCACAGTGTGCAAGGAATTGGCTAAAAAAGTAGTACACACTGCATGGTAATTTTTAACCATACCCACAACGAACCAAAATTGTAACTGTTTCTGAATGATACTTTAGCACAATTTCTACCATGTGCCCATGCAAACGTGTGTTCTTCTTAACACTTTGGGTTTGTGCACATTAAAAAATTGAAGACTGTAACCCAAAATGAAATTTTAAATGCAGCATATTAGAATCACATTTTGTCAGATATGCTTGTGAACACTTTCTTCAACAAAAAAAAAGAAAACCAATTTCACTCCTTTGACAAATTGTCCTCATAAAAAAAATGTAAAAGCCATTACAAGATTGAATTATGCTAATGGACTGGGGCAGGTGTTAAGCAGACCTGGAGTAGCATTGTGCTGCATCTACACGTACACACTGTACAATGTACGAATGTACATGTACATTGATAATGGATAAGAGAGCCTATTACATGTAGAAAGGGGGGGGGCAAAATTTTGAGATATATGCTTCATTGCAAGACTGTGCAATGGAATTTGCAAAACCTATTCCAAATTTTCTACGGAAACAAAAATCATTCACATTTGTTACAACTTCCCAGTCCTTGCTGGCGATTGTCCTTCTCAACTTGTTGGACACTACTCAATAACACTAAGTGAATTATCAAATTACTTGTTCCCTCAATCCCCGAACAATCATCCATTCAGGGGACTGTTTTGCAATTTACTTATTACGGTGAAACTGATCACTGTGCTTTGAATAAAAGGGAAGAAACTGAGTGGTGTTTGGCAGGAATTGGTGTCCAGTGGCCTGACATTGGATACGTTTTAACTTGAATCGATGGCTGCGTTATGTGCATTTTCCTCAGAACTCAGGGAGTCAATTTCATGGTGATGACTAAAGCTTTACAGATAAATTTATTTTCACAGAGTATAGACGTGCAAGCTCACATTTGGGCATGCAGGGAGATTTGTATTGTTTATTTAAAGTTTGTACCTGTAGTAACACAGCATGTTTTTGCTTTATATCATCATGCACACAGGCCCTAATTTTAAGATCTATGTTAACATTATGGCTCTTCCAATGTTCATAAAAGACAGAAGAAAGCTGAAACAAATTTATGGCAAGTTATAATGCCAACGATTTTCCATTTTCACAGCAGATCAGAGTGACCTGAAATATAAAGACATTTTGTTTTCAGCAGAATTTTGCTGAAATTGTTGAGGAAATTTCTGCTTAAATATTAAACATACATTCAGCACAGCTTGCTTTCATCTACAATGTAATTCAGCGAAATACTCACAAAATCAATCGAACAGCCTTTTTTTAATTGAGTTCAACTTTGAAAACAGACATTACATTTTCAAAAGAGATATATTTTACGAAACTAAAGCAAGGTAAAATTTATAACAACATTTTTAGGGAAAGAGTTCAACAGGCCATTTTGAACTTCCATTTTCAGTACACATCAGCACAAATAATAAAGTTGAAAGTGATTGTTTTTTATGCTGTTACTCACGATAAGCACAAAATTCCAAATCAATAAAAAAGTGATATTGACAAAGAGAATCACTTCTTCTTTTAACAGATGCTGACTGGTGGTCACAGCTGTTGACTAATAATATCCTACTCCTTGAAGACAAATTTAATGCAAAAAAGTCTCTTTCTTTACAAAACTAACACTTATTACACTCTTTCAGCAAAGTTCTTAATTAACATGTTTTTCATGGCATTAAATCAATTTGAAATATTCTTTTCTTACAAATAGTATGTGCTTATAGATGAACTGTTCAAAAATTACATGCAACTTAGGCAAACATTTTCCATATTTTTCCTCTTTTATCGTTTTTGTCAACATTGATGGTCGTAGGCCTACTTAGCAGGGTTTTAGCTTTGTATAACTACAAGTATCATGATGTTTTCCCCATACATTGTACTTTCACTTCACATGAACTAATGAACTATGCACATGTAGTCTATAAATTCTGCTCCCTCTAAAACACATGTAAACATGTACTTTCACAATGACAGTAAAATATGAAGCGGTGTTTTGTTATTGACTCTGAAGGCTATATTTCTTGAAAATCCATTCGGGTTCAAAAAGCAATTAAAAGATACATAGCCGGGGTATTCTAAGAAATCAAGTCAAAATATTTTGAAAGAAAATATATAGCTCTAGACAAGGTTACATGGAGCTTTAAAATAATAAAAGGTTGTGCATGAAGAGCAGTTCCCAAAAAGTTTATTTTCTTGAAAGATGTTTTGAGAAGGAAAAAAAATACATTAAAAAAAACTGAATGTTATTTATGTGTTATGCCTGACATTTCACAAAATGTCATGGTCAAATGTGTGCTGCAAATTCCGATTTTAAATTTTGTTGGCCAACGTTTTTATGTAAAATGACAAAAAAAATGAAGATTAAAAAAAGGGGGGGGGGGGGGGGTAAGGAGTACATTCAACATGAAGCTTCTAAATGATCAGCCCCAAAACCATGATCTGATATCTCAGAGTTAGGTGGAATATTGTTTTGCCAAAGGAAACAAAAAAACCTAGCAAGTTCAATATGAGCGTGTTGGTTTCATAATAAACAAAAAATATAAAAATATAAACCAATATCATAATTTCAAAATGCCAAGGTTTTTAACTACGCGCCACTGCACCTGCTTCCACATGATAGACTGACACTCATGTATTCAGTTGAGATTACATTTCTTTTCATTGCTCTGTTTTTTTTTCCTTTTAGAATAAATTGACTGCTATACGTACATGTAGCTGTGAAAGGCAATCTGCATTTATAAATAAAAAAAAGTTCCCTGTTGAATTTCAGACAAGCTAATTAGAAATACATGGCTCAGGAGCAAGTCAAATCAAACACTGAAGTTAACTGAGTTTTTGGTTGGTTCTGAACGATAAAATAATTATTTAACAGGTCAATTTTTTTCTTCAATTGAAGAATTAAATTCCAAAATGTGATCCACTTGAAAAAAAAATTGAAATATTGGATGGATATGAAATCCTCTGAACACAGGAACCACTAGTCTCAGGAAAAGTAACAGTAACTTTCCTGAGCTGTTTACACTGGAATTAAAACTGGGAAAGTAACCATCGTCTTGGTAAGCTTTACCCCACAAAGTCTTAAGCGGCTACATCTTTGTTAATGGGTTTAATGATCAATTATGCTGAGGAAAAGGCCTCCACTTTTTAGCTCTGTTTTTCCAAAAGCAAAATATTTGATTTTCACATTATTTGTTCATTATTTTGGTTACACCATACTAACAAGGTATGTTTCGTCTAATGTTGTCAGTACAGGCGCTAATTTAGCGAGCACAAAAAAATTACTAAACACAGACAATATTTGGTTAAGCAGAAACAGAATACTGAAGTAGCAAAAAGTACTGACATGAGTATTGCTTGTGAATAGTTGTCAGTTTATTTTCGCGTAGATTTCTCCGCTTAGCAGCTCCATAATTGGGCCCAGATACCAAATTGTATACTTACTCTGTGTAGTACAATCGGCCATCCTGGTTCAACTTGGCTTGCCAACCGTCTTGCAGGGAGCGGTTTATTCCGGCCAGGACGCTGTCTGGACTATCCATGGCAATTTGACAGGGGTAGGCCGACTACACGCACAATGTACGGTGCTAGCCAAGCACTTGGCATACGCAAGCACATCCTACATGTATTCCTACATGGTTCTCTTCTTGCCAAGGCCACAAAGGTGTATCACTCCCAAACTCTGTGTTTACAGGTCTGTATTGTCCAGTGGTCCGTGATTCGCTCTTGGTCTTGCACCTTATTTATTCTGCAGCACAATAAGGAAGGGAAATGATAATTGTAAGATTAATTACTGCATGGTCAACAAACAATAACTTACAAGAGAATATCTTGAAATTATTTTTGCTACATGTACAACCTAGGTCAAATCAAGGTGATTTTGGACACAATTATCCAACCACACCTAGCTGTGTTCATCAATGGTAAAGACTTCACCTGCAGCAGTGGTACACATTTCAAGTCAGTACACGCCACAGTATCCCCACTCACTAAACTTGATACTGGGCATTTATTGCCTATATGATTGCTGTATCAATAATATATGAACCTCATCATAGTCAAGAGGATAGGGTTACACATACATTTTTTTTTTAACAATGCCATACTGAATGTACACGTGTGCACTACGCATTAATGTATGAATGACATGAAAATTAGCTTCAGCTTCTCTTTACATTATATTCAATTCCCTAATGAATCAATAAAAAAATGTAACTGCTCGGGCAGTGTCAGGTGACACAGGGAGTGATAGGTAGGCGGGGTAGAGCAGTTCAGGGACTAAAATGGGTTAAAAGAAATTGACGGGAGATTAGGAATTTTTTAACACATTGTATCAGCGTGCCAAATTTGTGAATTCCCCTTACTCTTCCAATGCACACCTTAATGCATGCATACAAACACCAATAAACACATTCACAAAGCACAACTTAATGTTAAGCCTTTTTGAAACGTAAACAATTACAGCAAATATCCACTGAGCTTGCATGACTTGAATCACTCACTTCTATTAGCAGAGTCAAAAAGTTCATAAGGAAATACACTAACATAAAATCAAGTTCATACTACCATATATGTGAGGAAACCTCGTTAACAAAACGAGAGTTTGTTGGATAAGCATTGTTCCACTTATAAAAAACCTGCTTGTCGAAACCACTAATGTACAAAGAGAGCCATACAAAAAAACCCCAGGACACACATGGGCAGCAGTGCGAGAACTGAATAATAAAGAATGGATTGAAAGCCTTTGTGTACTGTTTCCATGGTAACCTATAGCTTCTTTACACACTGTGTTTACCCCTCTGGCTACCACTGGCCCAGGAGCATACACATTCATAGGGTTTTTAAAACCTTTTCAGCATACACAGAAAATCTATGATATTTTCCAATGTCAGCATTATTAATTACCACATCTTTCAGTACCCTTCACGATTCATGGCATCAATTGATTTATAGATCCAGCATAGTACACACGTGTAAGATAACAACCACAAGGCACATGAATCCCAAAAAACAATTGGCATCTTTCATTTTCAAGAATACAAAACTCAAAACTATAAAGATCTTTTTCTCAATACTTTACATTTTGACATGTCGATAAATGCAAACTAAACAGCCACAATTTGTAAACGGAACGTCTGATTGAAGTGCAACAAATAGCATTGTAAGGATATTTTATTCTCTTCCTATTTCCGCAAACCCTTATTTTGACCTCTGCCTACTGTAGTCAGAATGCTTTGATGCCAGAATGCTTCACAAATTTCTTCCTTTTTTTAAAGAATCATTTGCTATACAATTTCTAGTAGAACAGTAAGCATGGTAAGGGAAATGCTTCTTGGCATATCACACCTCATGCTTGACTGCACTGTTGTGTAGCCATTCCTTGTCAAATTGCAAATGGCTTTTGACGGCGAACCGTCGGGGGAATGGTCCCCCAGACTGGCGGCATTGAGTGGAACTTGAAGTGTTTGTCAATGACTGGTCATGCGTATGCCGTCTATAATGTCAAAATTCAATAACACAGCTTCCCCTTGCGACAAAAGCGCGTAGATAAATTGTTTTCATGCAAGTGCTCTTTCCAGGGCATTGGTAAGGCAATTATTGTGTCTGCACGCTGTGTGTCGCAAATTAAAATTTGGAAAGCAACTGAATTTTTTATTTAAAAAAAAAATTCAGGGTATTCAGGTGAAGATAATAAGCAATTGCAAAATACCTGACGGAGTGAAAATTCATTGGAAATTATTTCAAGGAAATTTGTCAACTTTTCAACCATTTCAGTAGTAAAAGCACATCAAGTGTTGGATGCAATACATGTGCAAGGCGATTAATTAACATTTTTTTTGGGGGGGGGGATTATTTTCTGATATATTTCTTCACACTTTGGATGTGAAGAAAAACACTTTGGATGTGAAGAAATATACAAAATACATGTAACTATATAATGTGAAGAAATATAGAAATAAGTCTATAGAAGAACTAATTCAGTGGAACCTTGACGGTTTTGTTTTGTTAGTCACTTTTATGAATCAAGTCACACCATGTCAAAACCTTACACTGAAAGATACAATCCACAGGGATAACACTTTTCCTAACTTATATGGACTGATTTAATGTGTTACCATGTACAGCATATTGTCAAAATTCTCAGAAGGAAATTAAACAGGCATAAATACATGCACATCATTGCATCTATAGGCAAGATTTACACTGGTTGACTAGAAAATCCCGACAAGAAATGTCCTTCTACCCAATTTTTTTTCTTAACTTAGGATTTGCTTCAATTGAATTGTAGTGCCAGCACTTCAACTTGCCATGATAAGTGCAATATGTTGACTCTGGCTCCTGTCTGCTTTTGACATGTTTGAAGGGTTACATAAATACAGCTCTTGACTGAGTCTAGATTGCTGACTTCTGGTTAATGGCTGTGCATGTGCTGTGTGAAGAGTAGTGTTTACTTTCAAAATTCTCTTGACATTTTTATCTGGGTTGATGTTGAAGATCTGACTTGTGAGATGCAATGGGCCATCTCCCATCCCTTCATACAAGAAATTAGGGAAGGAGGATTCTGACCTGACGTAAGTCACTTAAGAGGAGCTGTAAATGTACTTTGTTATTTTCTTAACTGTCTTTAACTGCAAATACAAATGTAGTATGGTAATTTTTTTCCTGTCATTACATGGGGGATGTCTTTTTAACCTTATTTCTTTGACTGCTAACCTGAGGTTTACTACATAAATAAATTAACATCAAATCAAACCCACTTGAATGTAAACAATAGAAATTGTTGGTCAAGAACTATAGCAAGTTTGTCTTCTTTCTTTTTCTTTCTTTTGGTATTAAATATAATTCGGAATTAAATAGATAAATTGAAAAATTTTGTTTAATTTTTTTTTTGAAAGTGTAGTTTTTAAACAATTTTGAAAGTTCTAGACACATTTGAAAATGTAGTTTTTAAATGATTCTGAAAGTTGTAGACACACAGAAAATATTAACTGATGAACCATCTTTCGCTATAAGTGATTCAAAAAGATATATCTTCTATATTTCATCACTCACACGTGTTTGTATGAATTTATCAAGTTTTGAAAGAATGTTAAAAGCAAAATGTCGTTTTTATGTTAACCTTTAACCAGTTCAAAATCAAGGCTAAAGGTGCTTTCCCATTGCTATTTAGGAGTTTTACCCCATTAAACTGTTCATAATACATGTACTGAACGGTTTTAGTGAAAAGCTTTTTTTTTTTGCAATTCAAAGTTATTACATTTCAACTGAATCACTAGCGGAAAAAAAAACATGTTTAGTGAGGGAATAATTGTACTCTGCAAATTTTAAATTATTAATGGCCCAATAATAAGGCAGTGGATATTTGACCTTGAACCGGCCCGACTTTTTTGGGGGACTTGCCACACATTATTACCGAGATGAATCTTTGTCTGGTTCCGCGCTAACATTATCGTTGTGACTTTGTTTTAACATGGTTAAACTTAGATGGGAATCAGACCTATTACAATTTCGTACGTACAGTATTTCCCTTAATCCAAAAAAAGTTCTCCAGAGCCATAAATCAGAAAAAGAAGATGAAATAGGGCCTACTCTGCAACTATGAACGGAAAAAAAAATGCGAGACCAGTTCATGGCGAAATATTAATACATTCCGTAATAATTAAGGCAGATCTTTTTGATCTGCCACAAGAGGCACAAAAACGACCCAAAAAATAATCTTTTTTTGTCAAACGATGCCAAAAATTAGAAGAAGAAAAGATCACTTCAATTATACAACAAACGACAAAAACTGAAAATAGACCTAGGGGGGCGCATAGCCAGGCTCCTACTAAATGAACTACAAATTATGTGGTTACAAAAACAAAATCCTGACCGAGGAGGTGGACTGGAACACTGTGGAATACGTTTTTTATTTTGGTTTTTTTTTTCTAGAAGCAAATACCTTGCAACATTCTAAGCAATTGGCAGTGCAATGACTGACCCCTCTGAATAAAAAAAAAATTGAAAGTGCTGTTGAAACTTATTCTAGTATAGGAATTTAACGCAACTGGTTAAGCAGAGCCGTCCACAGACAAACACTTTGTTTTCACGGACATGCATGATGACACAGTCACAGAGAAATTTTGGCGACATTTTCTTCACAGCACGTCAAATAAATTTGGAAATTCACTGAGACTTACCTTGAAAGCACGCATCACCAACTGTATCATTTCTGCTCGTAGGTTTCAGAAAATAAAAGCGAAAACACCCCGGTTTTTAAATTCGTCAGCAAAACCGACAGGCAACAAGGTGAAAGTAGGCTTTCCCTTTCATCACATTAAAATTTCAATGGCGAAAGCTTCCCTTCTCCATCGCTACGCTTTCGAACATATCCGGTAGCGTAACTGGTACTTTGTCCCGTGGTTAGTTTATGGCGTTAGGTGGCTAAGAACCAGCGTAAGCAGACGAAGTGAAATTACTTATGCAAATGAGGACACCTGTAAAATGTGTTATCCCGAACCAAAGAGGGCGTGCTCATTATTTGCGGTCCTGTCTTAAATCGTGATTTTTTTCATTATCAAGCAAGATCAGGGAAGCAAGATGTCAAGTTCTTCTGCTTCTCGCTCTATGATTTAATCAATATCGACCAAATCAACATGTCTACCCACAACCTGTTTGATTGAATCTTGAAAAATAGGGTTTTTTTCATTGCGTTTTCTCTGTTTTATCTTTCATGAAAGAAAACATGTATTAATTAGAAGGTCACATTTTTTCCTACATTTACGTGTTTATACTTTGAATTATCTGGATGATTGGAACATAACCTTAACTTTGAACGAAAAGGTTTCTCTTGTGTTTATGGAGCTAGATGTCCTAGTTTAGAACGAAAATAGACTCCACTTTTACTTTTTGTTCTAGTACACATTTCTCTTAATATATTTATGGTATTTCTTCGAAAATGAGCCTATATATGGGGACCGACCTTATGTAAAAAAGGGGCAAAAAAGGAAAAAGAAAAAAGAAGCACATTTTCCCCAATTTTTGTCTTCAGAAAATAAAAGCTGGTACGTATTCGTAGACATAAACCATTGGCACAAAACCCAGTTAAAGACTATAACACTTTCTTACTGGGTGACGTGGCCTGGTATACTAAATAAATTTCATTGACTAACCTGTCTGAGATAAAGGACAATTCTGCAAGTAATATTGGGAAGTACATAAGCCTTTTGAATATAATATTATTTCAAGAGAATGAGTTGCGGTTCATTAAAATCATATGTCACTGTCAAACTACTCCACGCAAAGATTACCTCTATACAGAATAGACGAGTCTAACAACTCAATCAATTAGTCGCCATGGTGACGGTAGAGGGCGTCTATATAGGAGGCCACCTGCATTTCCGTGTGAGGAGTTGGCTAATCCAAAATGTGTACAGGTGTCATGTAAATCCACCCATTGTGTTGCTCCTTTGTCCTCGTTTCCACCAACAAATGGATTGACCAGATATCTTGCCAGACGGTCAAGCGGTAAGGCTGTGGACTGCATCTGTGCCTTTTGTGCAGTGGAACCTTAAAAATGTTGATAATGTTTGGTCATCGGATCGGAGTTTGACGATCATGATGGAGCTGTGGGACGATCATCCCAACTTGACTCCAGAAAGAAGTCTAGATCATTGTAAACATGGGTCAAAAAGTAAGGAACATATCATTAGATGACACCAGAAAATACTGTATTATTTTGTTATGTGAAGTTAGTGAAACTATTTTTATTCTAAAAGTTCAATAATTGTTCACATTATTGTTTTGTTAACTAATGCACAGTAAAAATTATTCTGACTATATCCATGTGTACCAAGATATATTTTATTATCCTGTACCAACACAGTTGGCAAAATTTGCAAACTTAAATTTTAAATATTGTTCAAGGATATTTTTATGGCAGTATTTTACTATTTCTCACCTACAGGTGATGCGATCTTGTGCTGCTCTTCAAACTCAAGAATGGTGTTAAAGTTGAGGTGATGAGATGAACATAACTTGAATGTCATCAACAGTGAATACTGAAATCAAGATGGAAATCTCAACACTGGCCAAGGATGGGAATGAGACTAACACTCTAGGTGATGGAGAAGAAGAATCTCAAGAACATCTTGAGATGACATCATCTGAGAACAAAACATGTTATGATGAAGATCTCACAAGCCAGGATAGATTGAGTGAAAGCCCCGGGAAAGAAATAGATGAAAAGTACCAAGGCAACAACAGGAAAGATGCTGAAGGCAGTGGGATACCAAAAATGGCAGAAACAGAAGGGGCAACAGTAGCAAATAAACGAGAGGATGATGCCATCACTAAAATTGAATCATCTGAAACATCAGAGCAGAATCTGAAAACACAAACTACTACTAGTACTAAACAGGAAGTCGGTGGAACCAGTCCTTGCAGTGATGTTAACCCCAATGATCTACAGAAAACTGTGGATAAACCCCATGATAGGAGTGATAAACCAACTGCTGAAACTGATAACGGATTATCAAAGCAGCCTGCAAAAATTACCCAAGCAATCATCATTGACCTCAACATCCCTCAGGTCACGGACCCACCCCAGAGCAGAGGTCATCCTATAGGCTTAGACAGATGGACAGAGGGACCTGGTAATAACAGACATGACAGACAGGGAGGCGGGGTCTGTAAGAGTGTAGACTTCTCTGTACCGGTCAGCATGGATGAGGTGGAGGCGGAGCTAGCCAGGGTCGTGGCCGGGATGACTGAAGACCAGAGTCTGTTTGATCCACACGAGTGTGGCCGCGGAGCCACTACCAATACGCCTGTAACTGTCATGACTGATTATGCAGAAAGGTTAGAGGATTGTGCATTAATGTATCATTAAATCAATTTGTCAAAAACAACTTGTAGGTACAAGGTTTGGAGGTTGTGAAATGCAGTTTCCACAAGAGAAGACTATAAGAAAGGGCTTGGATTTTTAAACCCCTCCCACATAAAGTAAAATTTATCTTGAGCATCTCTCCCTCCCATCCTATCTAGATTGTTTTATTGTACTGAAAGGTTCCCTTCCAAGGAGAAAACCAACCAATTCTAAAATGGGAACCTTATCCTTAAAGTTAAAGACAAAATATGCATAAACAGTTTGTTTCTGTCTCACTCAAAATAATTAATTGAGTACATGCATTAGTATCGGATACTGTGAACTGAAGACCATTATACCATTATTTTTTATTGACTGGACTTTAAATTTGCAAAAGATAGTGTTGTTTACACAGCAAAACAGGACAATGCATATTAAGGCGAAAATATTGATTGGAAAAATCTTTAAAAAATTCTAAATTCTCTCATTTTTTGTATGCACTAAAAATTTCAAATTAGTTTCAATATTTTTTTACAGTGTCAGTCAAATTCAAGGCCGGGGGCTCACCACTCCTTTAAGGGAAAACATTTATCAACACGCCCTGTCCATCATGAAGAAACGCTGCCAGAGCGGTCGCACTGCTACGTCAAATGCGAGAACCTCCTACTACCGGCCCAAGACACCGGACAATGTCGTTGAGGAAAACGGAATGGCTTTCCCCAACTTCAGTCTGCCGGCAGTGCTGGCCAACATTGACAAACCACCGCTAGTGCAGAACCCAAACTGTTTCTTCTATGTGACGCAGAGCAGGCAGCATCCTATTGCCCCAGTCAAGGTAAATTCATGGTTTGTTCTTTAAATATTTGCACTTTGAAAGTGTGCACTGAAAAACTGTGTTTTGAAGATGTGCATTTTGAAGGTGCTCTTTTAAGATGTACACTCAAAGACTCCACATTATGCCACTTTGAAGGTGTATACTTTAAAGATTTGGCTTTTTATGATGTGCCCTTTGAAGGTGTACATTTTGAAAACATGCTCTTGAAGGTGCCTTTCAGAGATACGCAATTTTTGCACTTTGAAGATGCATGCTTTGATGATACCTGTACATGTACTTGTACATCACTGAAGATGCACACTTTGTACTAATTTGAAGTTCAGCGATCTGAAGATGCCTGCTTTAGACTTGAAGATGTGAATTTGATGGGTTAGATCAGACACTTTAGAATGGATAAAGAAGAGCACAAGGGCAAATTGTGTATCACTTTAGTCCCAAATAAGTTACAGTGATGTATGGCAAAATGCTGTGATTGTAGATTTTTGTATAAGTTTTATGATTTTTGATTTCCACTATTTCAGGCTTGGAAAGGTTATGAGGGCAACTTGTACTTCCAACCAGTGGTATGCAAGAAAGCTGATCTTACCCCCTCAACTACACCAAGGGAAAATGCACTCAACAAAGCCACACGCAGAGCCTATTCCACTCCACATACGAAGGGCAATACTGCAGACATGGCAGAGAGTCAAACCGTGCAACTCCCGCAGTTACCACATACTGACGGAGCAGATGGAGACAATCAGACTAATATAGCGCCCTCTGTTGTTGGAGTGCGTTCGGTCTGCAGCCAACGCACGACAGCACCAAGTCGTCAGAAGTCTTTCTCTCGTAATGCCAGCACGGGCAAGTCTAGGGCCAGCACGGCACGCCAGCTGGCCATACTGGACAAGCAGGCCGTCTTTAGTAGAATGGATTCCAACATCCGAGAGGACATTCGTTGGATCAGCGGCATGGACGCCATGGGTACACTCCACCTGGGAAGCCTGAAGCTGCCGCGCTCCACATCACACTTCTACAACAACACGGGCAAGCACCACAAGCTGAAAATCCAACGGGGTCTTGTGAGTCACCAGCTTGCCGCACATGACCAGTCTCTGCCAACCCTGCTTGGAGTTCATGGTGGAAGGCTCAATGATAGTGCCGACGGCGTTGCCAAGACCAAGCACCTGCAATCGCAGTACCAATCCAGTAAGGTTTCTCACTCCTCAGATGACGAAGACAGGAACATTTACTCACCGAATCTCTACGGTGGCTACTCCGGACCATTTACCTCCGTTGAGCAGTTGCGTAGAGACAGCTCCTCTAGTCCTAGACGAGGAGGCAGCAGCCCTAGCTCAGACATGCTCCTCAAGGACGATTCTCTCCACTCGTTGGCATCCGTCTACAAGAACCCCAGCAACATGCCGCTGTGCAGCAGCAAAGAGGTCTTGTTCAGGAATCGAGAGGCCCTGTTTCTGACTAGACCAAACTATAGATGACATTAAGGTCCAGTAACAGTGCAAGATTAAAATGGAATTTGTAAGAAATCCCCTTGGAAAAAATTGATAGTTTTTGTAACTTTTATTTCCTTTGGAGGCAACTGTTGAAAGAAGGTATTTCTACAGGGTTTATGTAGTATAGACATTGTGTGCAGCAGCCATCTTAGAGAACATCTTTTATTTCAATTCAGTAACATTGAATGCACAAACAAAAATGCATTTTACCAGCAAAGGAAAAGCTGGCCAGCCATTAAAATAACTTTGCCAGACTTACTTGTACATGTAGTAATTCCTTGTTCATACATGTAAACATTGTTGAAAACACAAAATCAATCTGCAGCAGATATAATGCATGAACATAATTCAAAACAATGGGTTTTTTTTGCGTGGGGTTTGAATATTTATTTAAAGCAACCCAGAATGCAGGACTGGTTTACGCTATACATTACGCAAAAACGCTTACTTGCCTAACATTAGAAAGGTAGACCACTGCAATGCTGGTTACAACACGTATGGGCCTGAACAATTTTTGCAACTCATAAGCATGTGCCAAATGTGTATTGTGTGTATTTTTGTGAAATTCATATTAACTTTTCACAAGAATGAAGTATTAAACTTGGCAGAATTAATGACATTGTCGCCAATGAGTTTTGTTATTTCCAGGGCATCTGAAGATAATGTTTTTTATTTTATTTTTTTAATTATCAATCTCTAACGGATTGAGATACTTGTAAGAAAAATAATAGGAGCCAGTAGTAAAAACAAAAACACTACACAAAATACTTCAACTCAAATCTTGTATTTATTTGTAGGAAAGCAAAAACTCATCTGTACAGATATTTATTCAACTCTGAACACAGTGACAGTGTATCATACAAGGGGAAAAGGCACTGAAAACTAGAAATGTTGGACTATTAACCTGCAGCACACAAACATAATTGGTTACAAAGTCTGAACGGAATGGTATTTTGTACAAGTGCTTATCAATTCAAAGTACAGTCATCAGTCAACAGAGAGCAAACAGTGGATCGGTTGAACGGCAAATCGTGCGGCAACAATTGCATACTTCATGTCTGGTAATTGATAAGAATTCCACCAAGTCTGCTGAACTGCGGGTAGCTTGGCAACTGGTCAACACTCAGCCATTTTGGTACTCTCTTTGCCCACTTCACTCCAATGGTCCATCCAAACACAATAGATATGTAGATACATCAGACAAGTGTAATTGCTATGCAAACACTAGCGAGCCATTTGGATCAAGCCGTACCATCAAATTGAGATTAATTTTTGTAACAATCCTATCTTTTATATCAATTTTTTCCCTCTCCGAGTACCTTTGGCAAAAAGTTAGTGAAAATTATGTGGAATTTATTACAGCAGAGTCTTGGTATTACCAAAAGATGTTTTGAGGGAACTACATTGTGTGTTTCATTCGAAATTGTATACATGTAATGGGATTCCATAGGAAAAAATCTACACTCCATCATACAGAACACAACAGAAACCTTCATTCTGAACCTGTGGGGGCTTGTAAGCGTTCAAGATTTCAACGATTGTTTACATGTTCAACAATAGAATAGCAGCCCCTGGCAAACTGCAGATACAACAACAAATTTAAAATCACAAAATCGCATAAATTACAAAACAGTTGTTGCAACTTACTTAATTTCATTGGTTTCATCATACATATCCAAGTTTTTTGTTGTTGTCAATGTTAGACTTTTATTTACACAAGTCTTGAAATCTGACACAGACGCATAAACTTAACAGGTTTGTGTTCGTAAATCACAGATCAATGTTTAGGTATAAAATCTGGGCATTGTGCCAAGCTCAAAGCTAAGATACTTATCCGTTTGTTATCTTGAACAGAACACCGGCCACCAGGTGTTCTGTAAACATCTTTTATTTCTTGATGGACTAAATGTATCAAACCAATGGGTTTACTTAATAGCTTGTAGCCCTCGTGTGGATTAAAACCTACGTGACAAACTGTGTGAGTGTAGAAGCTGATCTTATGCAAAGGTGTGATACATGTATATCCATATACACAAAAGATATACATGTAACAATGAGGATTATTTGTTTCCACAAGAGTGATCTTGATCTTGCATATGAATACAATCGATGAGAAAAGTCCTTAAGAATCTTGCTCAGGTGCAGTCTTTTTCTGCGCACCTAAAGCAAAAAATAATATTATTAAAACACGTACAATATATCATTAGCAAACAAGTACATGTAATTATCCATTTCCTAGATCTTTCTCAACTTTATCGACATATTTTTTTCACCAGACATTTTACAAGGTGAGTTTCACTTTCACATTTTACAAAACCTTAAGCACAGTGTTGCAAACTTCCTACAAAAGCTCACAGTAATTTGTCTTGGACTTAAATAAAATGAGCTCACTTTCTAGTTGCAACAGAAGTTATCTGACAAACTTCATGTGATTTTCAGTTGATCAAAGAAAATTAGCTAAAACAACATGTGAACTTGCCACAGCTGTATTACTGTACTAGAGCTGTACCAATTAACCAGTGTTTGCACTGAAATCTGAATACATGAACATGTTCTAGAGTCCTTAGACAACCTAGTTTGCTACTACCACCAATTTCAACTAAGAAACACCTTATTCAAAATAAACCTTCAGCGCTAGAAACTCTTCTTCTTCTTTTTCTACATCACATGAACATTGCACACTGAGAAAAGTATCTAATCATTCACCAAAAGTATTCCCAACACTGGGAAAAATATATTTCACCTACTGTGAATCACTAGAGGGGGAATGGGCTTTCAGAGATAACTTCCTTTTCTCCTGGAAATAATTATTGTTGTTTATTTAAAAAATAATTCAGTGAATTATTTTAAATGCTGAACATAAACTATAAAGCACTCTTGGTAATCAAACACACATCAATCAAATAACATTTTTACAAACAAAACCAAACCCACAACGATTTTAATTAAAGTTGCAACAGTAGAATACATGTAAGCAAAACGATTCAAGGATCACGAATGATTTCATTTGCATTTTTTCTCTATTCCTGTTTTTTTTTTTTTTTTTACGTACTTAAAACATTTTTGGTCATCTCTTTAATAAATTGATGTACTTTTTGTAATCTTTTCCTTTACTCTTAATATGACACACATGACCAACATGCTCAACTTTTAGTCATCTTTTCTTCCACAAAACATTAGAGCATCTCACAACAGTAGCGCATAATCAGTTTTCGCATCAAGGCTGTTATTTAAGATTTTGAAAATTTGTGTCTTTTCCATTTTTAAATTCAGGTTTAAACCTGGCTCTCCCCCAAAGAAATTTGTGATAAGATATACACGTACACATCTTTTACCATTTCACAGCATATTGGGTACGATTAAAAACAAAATGTGCTTTCAAAGCCCAGTCTCAAAAAAGGTCAGTGCTTCAAAATGCTACATGACACCACTTTGCTGTCTATGCAAATGCAAGATACATAGAAAGTATGCATATTCATTTTTTTCAAGTGTTTGACTTATTATTTGAAAGCCCATTGATGATGTTTTTACTGTACATTCTAACAGTTTAGATATTACCTTTGTGTACAAAAATGCAGCAATTTCTTTGTAAAGATAAACATAGTGTTCACCACTAAAGGAGTAACTACACAGAATTGACACAGAATTTTCATTAATTTTTACACTGTTTCTTTTAAATGCTTGAGCACTTTAAATGCTTTGGAAATCATGTTTAAAGGTATTATTATTATTTTTTGTAACAATCTTACAACTGCAACCTATATTATATTTTCCTTTTTTTTGCATGGACGGGATCGAGTAATATTTATTTATTTTTGATAAACGATTTGACAAATACACTACACCCCATCAAGCCATATTTCCATTACATATACACACAGACTGTGGCCTGGAATTTATCTTCAGACAATATACAAACAGAAGTCAAATCAGCTATTTCTTTTATTTTTTATTTTTAAGGTTTTTTTTTAATACTTCGAAGATGTTAGATTTTTACATTCCCACACCTTTTAGGCACAATTTTTCCTCAACTCAAAATCCAAATTAGAACAAGAAAACGCTTCTTTTGAGATCTTGTTTAACAGAGACAACGTAGAAAAAGGGAATGTAGATTTAACATCTTGCCTGAAATGGGAGGCAAATGCATAGGAATATAAAATGGATATGTTTCAATCTGCAAACATTGGATTGTAATACATTAAAACAGAACATGCAGTAAAGTATAATAAAACTCAAGTAACTAAAAAGTAAATGCTAAGGAATTTCAAAGAATGCAAACTATAAACCCCTGCTTTACAAGCACAAACTTTTATGTACATTGGTTTTTATCATCACTCAACATCGTAATGTAAACAAACAAAATTACAAAAATTCTCAATTCAACTGCTTTTGAATGCAAGGGGAGAAAAAGTATTTACAACCTGATGTAGCAATTCTACTGCACTTATGTCACGTTTCCTTTATTCATGACGTCGCCAGATGAAGAGCTGTTTTTTTTTTGGCAGTTGAATACTCCTAAACTGTTGGATGGTTTGACTACCAGTCCATCACTCATACAAACACGTGATAATACGCAGGACAAGGCCTTGGACACGGAAACTCCTGAACATTGGTAACGTGACACAACTGATATGCGATATCAACAAGATTTTTTTTTTTGCAACAAAGCATAATGCTGCCAATCTCTCTCACATTTCCCATTGTACTCATCAATATATCAAAATAAAAGAATAATACACGTGTTGCACTCTAAATCCATGCAACGATATTAAGTCCTGTCATCCTCAAAGGCCAAACAGAATGGTTTTTCACAATATGCCAATTAACCTTGAACTCACTACGCAAATTCTTTCCGAACCTGCTGTTAAAACCTGCATTTTGAAGGATCTGGAATGGATATAGGGTTAATTTACACAAAATTGTTTCCTGGTTGTAACATTTTGGCACCATGCATCAGTATGAAAATCTGACTTCTGACAGTTTAATAACAGTAGACTGCAGAAGTACAACACTTCAAAGCTGGAAACACTGGGATTTGGCAGGGGTCATTTGTATTGAACTGCTGAGCACAGGAATTTGCTAAACACACACACAAAATCCTAAGCAAAACCAAGTCACCAGCTAAAATATAAGGCAGTGCACATCACGTTTGACTGCTTCTCAGCTAATTGTCATTCAACACCAAAATTAGCTTTGTGGTATTTTTTTTCTGAGCAGCGCCATGAAATTGGGCCATGAAGAGGATTACCTTCAACCCAAACCATCTCCAGTGATACAGGTTGCCCTGGGGAGTGGGGACTATGTACCGTTCTCTTGGATCTGTGGTTGGGCTGCCTCCTCCGTTGTGGCATCTCCCCCACCGGTTGGGAGGACAGGTGGGCCGTTGGCCGTGGGGGGTTCCTTCAGGGCTGCTGGGTCGCCGGCCAGGGACGCCTCACCTGAGACGATGGTGTCAATGATGCTCTGTAGGACTGCTGAGGGGGCCTGCTCCTCAGATGCTTTGGTTTCAATATTGACCTGCCAGAAAAATTGTTACACTTATATGTCACTATGAACCAGAAATGTCTGAAATGCTTTTGTTCTGGACACAATGTCTGAAACACAAACAATGGTGATTATTTCAGACATTTGGTCACGTTTCAGATATTTTATTTTCAACATTATCAAATGTTCATCATTATCAAGAACTATGTCAATGAGGCAGGGCCTACAAGTAATAATTATCATTTTATTTCATTATACCAATACAAGGTATATTTTTGTTGTGCCAAAAATAATCTCCTCCTTGATGAACACATCCGATTTTATATCAGCAACGAAAGGTTTTTAAGGATCAATCTTACCTCAGTCAGGCTTGTCATCTTGGACGGCAGATCATCTATAGTGACTTCATCATGATCAGCCTCCATGCTACCATTGGGCAGGCTGGAGGGTGCTGGAGCTTGTGCCTGGGGATCCCCCTCTGCTTCAGGCTTGTCCTGATCTCCTTCTGTGTCACCGTCACTCTTCGGTGTATCTACTTCGGTGGAATCAGGCTGCGCACTTGGTTCCGCACCCTGTGAATACGACAGTAGAAACACTAAAACCTTTTCTTTGTGGGTCACATTCAAATTCCCTGTGGTTTTTCCTGAGTTTTGGTGTTTTTCCCAAATTCCCATAGTTTTCCCTGACTGTAAAAAAAGGAAACTCATTTTCAAGGTTTTCCCTGACATCCTGAGGGGCTGGGAACCCTCAATGATGCAGAGTAGGCAAAAGTCATTGTGTGAAAACTTGACATATTTTGAGGGCAGATTGAAGATGGGGCTCAAGTGTCCTTCTGGGTTTTTTTACCACAATTGAAGGGGCAGATAAGTAGAGAATGCATATAATCAATGCAAAGTCATTTACCTCAACTTTCTAAAATCCTTGAAATTCCAATTATTTTTTAAGGATTTTACAAAATGTAGGAAGGTAGATTCCAGTTGCTATCACTTTAAATGGGGCTTGAGACCCCTTGAACTTAGGGAAGCAGAAATCAGAGACAATTTCTTTTACACGGGGATGATGCCCCTTGACAATTTAAGTACAAAGGATGTGCCATTGTTTTCTGTATCCTGCACACTCGTTATTTTCAGAGGATTTAGGAAGGCTCAGAGAAAAACACTTGCACATCTTTACATCCACATCAATTTTTATGAGAGAAAAAGAAAAGCCAACCTGGCTGTCCTCCTCCACCTGTGCTGCTGCGGCCCCTATGCTGGTAATGGTCTCGTCCTGTTTGGCACTCAGCTCATCAAATTCATCATCATCCTCGCCACTACCAAGACTGCAAATAGGGGAGACATGGTGGCTTAAATGCTGTCCTAAATAAGTGATAACTTGTTTTATCTTCCCTCACAAAATAAAACTGCAGTGAATTGTAAAGCTCTTTAGAAGCCAAAATGGGTCGTTAAAAGCAAGAAGAGGAAATACTTACTATGTAATTGCATTGGTCTCACTCATTGAAAGCTCTATCTTGACTTGATCTTTACTTAAAGCACTCTCGCTGTCTCTGTTGTGCAAAACAAAAACAGTTTTTCTTCAACTAAAAAGTAATGATATACAAAGAGTTCAACAATAATTTACTATTCATGCTTTTGAAATACCATATGATTGATCGTTATCCATCACTTCTTTGCCAGCAACAGGAAATCTAGCCAGCAATAAATCTATCATAGATTTCTTTCTTACAATCATGCATGGCTCGCTACTTGTTCTTTTTTTATTTTAATCTTAAATTAAGTTATAATTGATTCTTCAGAAACTCACTCATCCCGATCGCTTGCCTCCAACTTCCGGGCCAAGTCATCATCTCGTGTCTAAAAGAAAAAATAGAAATCAAGTTTAAATACTTTGAACTAAAAGGCTGAGAATTGAAATATATACCAAATCCATATCAATAACCCAGAACTGAATGATAAATACCAAGTCAATTTCTGAAAAGGGAGCTCTCTTTTGCTTTTTACAACTCCTATGTTATTTCCCCACAAACAGGTGCCGACACGCTGTTGTCACGTTATGTACACTTTGTACGGGAATTTTCTGTACAAATTATGAACCAAAAAAGAAGCTCATAGAAAATGTATGCACAAGTAGTTTTCTCATTGGTCCTTCATGTACTACATTGAAATTCACCCAAAACACAGGTTGACCAAAGCAGAAACCACTAATTAATGGCAAATTCTGATGCTGAAGCAGCTGTAGACCTGCAGCTTCAGCCTAGCCTTAGAAAATCTGTGATGATCTAAGGCTGAACTCACCTTTCCCAGTTCTTCCTCTTCCCTGGATGTTGCTATGTCCATAGCCGTCTCAAGGGCTGCTTCATCAAAGGAAGGCTTCTGGGCAGGCTGGGTGGCAGCTGCTGGCTTAGCCTTGGCAGAAGGCTCCGCTGCCTCTTCGGATGAGCTAACATCAGACTCCCCTTCAGAGCTACTACCTGGAGTTGGGAAAAAAAGAGGCAATGATATATATTTTTGAGTGAATGAGGACACTGTAAAAAGGTCACTTTGTGACACAACTATATTAGTAACTGAAAAGTACACAGGATCATTTATATTTGTCGTAATTTCATCAAATGGACTGATTTTAAAGGCTTTTAACTGTAAGCAGATATTGTTCCACTGAGCTGTTCATGTTTAGGGTCCTCTGGGGTGCAGAAGATATGGCTAGGAGAAACAAGTTCATGGTCTGGGGGAGGGGCTTGGGGGAAGAAGCTCACCCTCATCGGAACCTTCTTCCTCGGCAGCTGTTCCTGTCTCTGTCCCCGTCTCCGTCCCTGTTGCACCTTCCTCTTCCCCTTCCTCTTCTTCTTCTTCTTCTTCTTCGTCATCCTCATCTCCCAGGATCCCGGCTTCTTGTCTCAGCTTGCTGCCGGCCGTGTCCAGGTCCTGCATCAGCCGGAAAAAGGCCAGCTCGTTGAAGAGGATCTCTGAGATGTCCACCAGGAGGTCCTCCCCACACTCCCGCATCCTGGAAACAAACAAAACAGGGACAAAAAGGAGAGGATGTCGTGTCTGAAGGAATCTTTGTCAAAGGTGTTCCTTATAATGATATATCATTTGGTTTCATATCATCAGATCAGAAAATTGTTGTTAGAACAAAAAAAACTTCAGTGCATTATTCTTGTGCTATTTTGTAGTGAACTCACTTTCTCCCTGAGAATTTGGCCAGCGAGTCCTGCAGGATGGAGCCCAGCTGCCTATTGAAGAAGCGCACAAACTCCCGGCTGTCATCCCGCTGCTTGGACAGGGTCAGGACCAGACGGCGGATGTAGGACAGCAGCTGAGGGGAACAGACGTCATCCATGTGCTCCTTGAGGTAAGGAATGACCTCCTGCATGATACTCTTGATCTGAAGGTCCAGTTGACGGGTGTCTATCCTTGGGTACTGTTTCACATTACACAAGTAAATGTATATACCATTGTAAGGCCCTTTTAAGGTTTAAAAAAAAACATGGGAGTTCAAAACCCTAATTTAAAAAAAGAAGAAAAAAAAAATTCTTACAGGTAGATCAGAGAAGGAGCTCTCACTACCCACGTCCTGAGCCGAGCTGTTACTAGTGACTTCACTGTTACTGACGGCTGCTTTGTCCTCGGACGCCAAGGCATCAGATGAGATGGCTGCTGCAGCCTCTGCTTCTGCCTTGAGACGCTCGTACTCGCGCATCCTCTGAAGTCAATGGGAGGTTTTTTTGAAAGTATGATTTAGTAGAGTCCAGAGGAGTTCGCAATGCACAAATGAAGAGAGGACATTGAGTTGTATTTTTCTTGAATGATACAAGGCTAGCCTACCAAAGCTGATTCTTGAGTGCATAGAATTCCATTCAAATGATTCAGTATGACAATTCACTGGAAGGCTTTTCATGCATGTGGTTCACACAATCGGCCGGTTTAGCCCATTCATTGGCTTTATGGGTTAATCCTATACGACATCACTGCCCAGCTCTCTCCTCACCAGACTACAATTGTTTTTCCAAAACATGAAAAAGCCTGATTTCAGGCTATCCGGTTCGTTTGTAAAGAAGTCATACACGCGCGCGCACCACTGATTACTAGCGTCCATTGGATAAACGCTCGAGGTACGTTAACTTCCGGTTCCATTCGTTCTATGCTACACTGTGTGAAGTACGCATGGTTGAATTGAGATTACGTCACACTAACGAAACGGATAGCCTGAAAACTGGCATCCCTGAACAATATTTCATGCTTAGCAGATTGATTAAATTGGTCCCAAATTGGTCTGAAATTTATAACACAGTAATGGATATCTGTGGATGCTTTACCTGCAATGCCTTGTCCAGATGAATGACAGTATCGCCCAGCTCATCATTGGCAAAGCCAAAGTCCTGACTGAAGGAAGGCGGTGTGGACATGGAGCTGGCTGAGCCTACACTCTCCACGTAGTCATACTCCTCTGCATCCAGGGAGCCCAGGGATAGCTGGGCCGTCTTCTTAGTTTGCTTCTTTGGGTTGGTGCGGTAGATCTGGGCCTGGGTGGAGAAAGGAAATTGGGTTAAATGCCTTGGGCAATTTTTTTTTATGCTCACTGAAATGCTTTTAAATCAGGTATGAGAATGCCAAGTCACCCAAAAAGACAGATTATACCACATTCTAAAGAGTTGCAACAGAGTCAATCACGCATCAAAACACCAAACTGGTCACAAGTCATAAGGAAAAACAAGAACAGCAGACTAACACTTTCAAGATGGGGTGTACGGTATAAAATAAGGACAAGGACATGTGGGACAAGGAGGTTCCTTCTGTGGATGCTCTCACCTTCATCTCTTCTTCCTCAGATGTGATCATGCTCTCGCTGGGAGTGTGCTCAGAGGCTGTGGTGGACATCTGCCACAGGCTACTGGGATCCTGCTGCTGCTGCTGCTGTCTGACAGTCTGCTGATGAAGAATCAGAATTTCAGAGACTATTTTGGAAAGGGGGGCGGGTAAAGTGACTACAGACTAAAGCCATTGTTCAACTTTGGCAGTAACTTTGGCACCAGCACCCAAAACCCACATCCAACTTTAGACAAAGATTACTATTTTGCTTACTTCCAACTGTACCATCTTAAATTGTATTTGTGGCATAAACAGCAGATTGTCAAAAGACTCAAATTACACTACTGGCAAGGAACATTCAGGAAGATACTGTTAACATTTGAAACTAACCGCATTTCCCATAACGGGGCCCTTGGGCACATGCACCGTTTCTTCTGTCAAGAACTTGGAGACCAGATCCTGCAGTGAGTAGAGCGCCCTCTGTCTGAGGTAGTCTGAGTTGAGCAGCTGCAGCTCCCGGAAGAGCTCGATCAGGAAGTGGGGGCGGGACTCGTTCTGGGAGATCAGGGTGGCTACTTCTGAGTAGATGGACTCGCGCAGGGCCTCAAAGAGAGAGAACTCACTGCCTGCATCCGACTCCCTGAATTGAAATTCCCCAAATTATTGCATTTATTACAAATCTGCTAACTTATTAACACATTTACCATGTTACACATTCAGCATCCACTCTATGGAATCTATGGTACAAATTTTATTCATGCCATTTCCATTCTCATTTTATTTTCATATAATGATGTTGCAGATTGTTTTGCAAATTCTGCTCAAACTTGATTTTTTTTTACCTGACTTGTGACTTAACTTGTGATTGACATGTGATTTTACTAGTATAGTAATTGGCTTCTGATTGAAAATTGACTTGTAATTGACTTATGATGAACTTGCGACTGCTAGTGATAGGACTTGTGATTGACTAGTGATTGGCTAGTGTTTAACTTATGATTTGACTCGTGATGACTGGCTTGCAACTGATTGGACTTGTAATTGACATGGATTTGACTTGAAGTTGGACATGTGATTGATTAGTTGTTTGACTGATCCGATATTCACTCACATTTCACTGGTAGTGGTGAGGAGTGACCGCTGTGTATCTGGCAGCTTCATCTGCCGCTCAATGTCCCCCGGCATGCTGGACATGGACATAGTGCTGCTAGCCACGCTGGCAATATCCAAGAAGGCAGTGCCACTCAGGGAGCTGCTAAGGCCTGGACGGGGGCCCTGCCGCTTGCCCGAGCTGGGCCTCGTTCCCTGGGTGGAATCCTTGGACTTGGTTGCGCCGGTCTTCGAGTCTGCAATTCCCAACAAGATTAGTTATAATACTGACAAGAACTGCAACTTCTCAGAACTGATTTTCTGAGAACAGAATCCATATTATGCAGAATATTATGCAGAGGAAATTCCATTATTTAGCCCCAAAGTCGGTCTATGTTACCTTTTGTTTTATCTGTCTTAATTTGTTATGGCAATGTTTTGGCCAGATAATTGAAATAAGTGCGTAAACTCACTTGATTTCTTGTTAGTTGGTTTAGGCCCTGATGTGCTGCCTTGCTGAGCCAAATGCCTTCGCTTCTCCCTACATAAAAAGTAAAACAGTGAAAAATTCATGAGATAATAACAAATACTTCAACAGAGTGACAGGTAACATTGACAAATTATGGACCGTATACAGGAACGGCAGAACAGGAACGCTGAAATCTAGATAGACTCACGATTTTTCCAGGAGTCTTTGGATGTCTAAGGGAGGTATGTATGGCTGAGACAGTCTATCCTCCTGGTCCTCAGCACTGGGCTGTGGAGCGCGCTCAGCGAACGCATACGGGTACCGGCCGTAGTCGATACTCGCATTAGCTTCCCGGTTCAAGTCAAACTGTTCCACGCTGCCTTGGGCAGTATTCGGTGGCACGTGGTAGTCGCGTTGCCTGGCATCCTGTTCCTGCCGGTGCCGGGCGTATGCATCGTAGTCACGTTGGCGTCGGCGGGAGGCTTCTGACATCTGGCTGAAGGGGGAGGTGTAGTCTAAGGGGTTGGAATTAGGAAAACCTGCTGCAAAACACACAAAAATACAGTGCTTTAACCTCTAGAAGCTGTTAACTTGGTAAGGCGGGTTTGCAATGACATGATTGAGCCTAGCTCCCTTGTTGAAAGGAATTTTTATGGCTCCTCCGAACTCCAACACTGTGCTGGTAAACTTTTTATACTTGAACCCAATTAGAACATGTACTAGAAGTCTCAGGTTGTCAAGAGTAAACGGCCTCTTCTGGATTTGGCCATAAGCCCAAGGGAAACACACTCACCTAAAATCCTTATGTAGTGAAGTTATCAGTGGAAATCATTTAGAATCCAGTAAGAAATACAGGATGCAATGGGCCTATTGTGGATAGACTTTTCCTCAACCTTTCCTGGATATTTATTGAGATGACTCCTTACCTCCATGCGGATAGAGCCCTGAGCCATAGGGGGACGTGCTTGCGAATGGGGTGAAGCTGCCCGTGTCATAGCCAGCCACGCCATTCATTCTGTTGTTGTTACTATTGGGCTCCCCAGCTCCTTCAAAACTGTAAGGTCCACCGCTGACATTGACTGGTTCAGTCTAATGAAAAATACATTCAGACATAAAAAATCATCAGATAGGTCAAAAAGAGTTCACCTGTAGAACAATTTAGTTATTACATACACTTCCTTTTTACGTCTGTAACTTTGACAAGTGTTCAATAATGTTAACTTGGGCAAGGTTTCTAACCAAAATACTCTGGAGGGTTAGGGTTAAGGCCATAGCATCATGAGTAATGTATATTAGAATGTGCGCTTTATAAATCCATATATTATTTTTATTCTTGTAGAAGACTTCTGAAAACCTGAAAATCCCCCCCCCCCACACCAAAGATCAGCCTACCTGAAAGCGCTGTATTTCCTGCTGTTGTTGATACAGCTGGTTGTATGCATGGTTCATGTTCAGCTGCAGCTGTTGATGCTGCAGTCGCATGTTGTAGTCATTCATCAGGTTGGCCAGGCGGGGATCACTGTTGGTCGGGGTAGGGGTGGTGGAACCGAAGGTAGGGGTGTGGGCAGATGGGGGCGGCTGCATTCCAGTGAAACCACCTACTAGTGAAGAAGAAATACAACAAAAAGTCAAGCTTTTATAATGGAATTAAAGTCAGGAAGTAAATCCATCAACAATTTTTAGATATGCTATTTACTCAGTTGTGTTTCTCCTTATGTTTTTTTTTTCCATTTCTGCTTTTTAGCTTGCTCTGAACACTAACTTGTTTGAATAAATATCTGATTTGTGTTTGTATGTACATTATGACCATCAGTCTCTGGCGGATAATGTTACTTCCTTTTCTTCCTTAACTGACAGCATCTATGCATTAGTAGAAATTAGCTTAAAAGTGGTCACAGCTTTCTATGGTGTAGTCAATGACTTCATCATGAAAGACTAGCGTCACAGAAAAGACAAGAATAAGATCAAGCCAAATATGCAGGACCAACATTTGACAACCACTTGCCACTAAGTTTTTGTTTCAATTTTATGAACCATCCTCTGCAGTTGTTTTTGCAGCACATGACTATTTATACAACTTGATCCGGACTTGTTATGACCTCAATGTGACCTTTCACCCTTGACCTCTCACCTGACATAGAGCTCTGCAGCATGTTATTCATACACTGCTGGTCTCTCATCATGGACTGGGACAGGTTGATGCTGTTCTGCAGCTGCTGCTGCAGTTGCTGTATCTGATACTGGTAGAAGCCGCGGTCCGAGTCTGGGCCAGCGCCTGCTGCTGCCGCCGATCTACCGCTTTCTTCTGCCATTAGTTCCTCAGCAGCACGCAAATTCTGCAAGGTTTGAGATTATTGGGTTTGTACTGAGTTAACAAGCTATCTAGTTAACAAGCTCTGAATCTTGTAACAGTAGTAATGTTTGTGATAAGAAATTGAAAAGAAAATGAGAAATGGCTTCACAAGCTCTCGTTTTGATCACTTTGGAGAAACATAGAAACACACTAAAGGTCACAAGAAGGAGACAGCAAATGTGGCTAAATTGAATGAATCACTGTATGCCATGATCATTCTACTTCATAAAAAAAATAATCAAGCAAAACTCATGCGACATTGGGTATTAAAACAAATCCGAACATTGAAAAAAAAAAACACGGAAATCTTCTTTTTATTAATAGCCCTGGCTTCGTAGTGTATCCAGAGTTCACTTTTCTTAACTGGTGATCTGATCTGGTTATTGCCCAAAATAGTACAGATGAGTACTTCTGTGTTTCTCGCCACCTTTTTATGTTATGTTTCTGAATCTGTATAATTATTCCATTCTTTATAAGTTATTCAATTAAAATTTACATTATTTAAGTGTCCTTTATTCATCTGCATATTTTTTTTTTTAATCTTTAAGAAGGTGGGACATTGCTATGCATCACTGTCCTGATTCAGTATTTTGTCAAAATGGCTTTTTATTTCAAAACTTTAAAATTTGATTCAATCAATTTCCCACCTGTTGTCGCTTTGCTGCTGCTGCACTGGCCCTCAGTCGTGGGTCCGAGACCCACTTGGGGTAGCGGATCCCATGCAGTGCCTCCAGGTCTACTGGTGTCGGGGGAGCATTGTTCCTAATCGCTTGGCCAGGGAAGGAGTTAGGTCTAGGTACATGCTGGCGGTAGGCTGCGTCGATGGTGTAAGTGCTGGATGTACCTGCAAGGCTCTGCTCCTGAATTAATAGAGTGAACAATAGTTCTCAGGTATTGAGGATTTTTGGAGGATTCTGCAAGATTGACGAAGCTATGGGCATTAATTCCACATGAACTAACTTGAAAAGATTGTGCCAATGGTTTTCTGAAAGATTTGGAATGTACAGTTTCGAAAGTCGGTTTTGTTTAGCAGTAAATAGGAATGTCAGAATCGAGTTGCTAACGCGCACCTGTTAATAGTCTTCAAGCATAAAAAAGAGTCAAGTGCCAGAATAAACCCAGCCCACCATACTGCTACATTACAGTGCAAATTAAAGACAATTACAGTTCATAGTGCCAATTTAGTTTTACCCAAAATGTTTCTCAATAACCTTTGGATGTCCAAATCGCTCATAAAATGACTGCTTCCTTCTTTCATACAGCGGTGATTGAAAACGTGTTAAGTATTTCAAAACCAAGTTTGAATTCGAATCTGCTGGCCCACCTGTTCTTCCTCCTCCTCTACCTGCTGGATACCGTCGCTAGGATACGCATCATCCTCATCATCATCACTCTGCTGTGTGGAGCCTCCCCAGGATGCTGCAGCAGTCACATCAGCACTACGCATGCTCACACTGCCACAGCAAATAAATACACACATTACACCAATGCTCTACTAATATCTCCAATCAAGGTTATGTATCATTGTGATCCCTGTTCATTGGGTGCATAATAATACTCCATAATAAACCAACTCATATCAATGAGTATTGTTATGAAATTGAAGCACTGTAATAAGCTCTTTAAAAATGAAATAAAATTTGACTGCAATCTTGAACTTACCGGAAAAGGTCATTATCATTGCTGTCCCCTTGTGCTGAACCACTGTCAGAATTCATGTCACCCTGAAATACAAGTTGGCAAGAAATGCGTCTAACTGATACCTCGTCTTTACAGTAAATCATGCAACTGGACATTTCTTGCTGATTGTCTTCACAGCTTAAAAATTAATTGAAGAAAAAGTGCCTGACTGTTTAAGTGGAAATTGGCTTTCGCATTGAAACACTTTATGGCACACAATCATTTGAACAGCTCGTATTAAATAATAACACAACTGTGGACTTTGATGAAACTTTAGGCCTTCTTTTATGCAGCTGCCAAGCAGAAGGTATTGCTTGAAACATTCGTATTCTAAGAAAATCTCAGCAGAGCACCAGAAACAACTTATATACATGACAACTAAATTTGCTGGTATTAAGCCGTCTTTTGTCTAAGTAAATGTTTTCTGTGCTCTGTGCTAAGTAAATGTTTTCTGTACTTAGTAGCTCTGTGATTAGGATCCTTAGGAAACTTACAGTGTTGTTTCGTTTGACTCGGTCCATCAGGGCTGCCAGCTCCTGTTGTTTCAGCTTGAGCTCTGTCTGCAGTCGTCTGTGTCTCAGCTTCTCTGCTATCAGTGTCTCATGGTTTGGGGTGACAACATCTGTGCATAAAATGACACAAGAAAAATGGTGCAATGAGTCAACAGTAGACATATCCATTAAGCCCCACCCAATGTGATCACAGCCGTGATTATTGACTGGCATGCATGAACGAAAATCTGACATGCGTGCACGTGCATATGCACGCGTTGCTGGCATATGCAGTGCTGCTATTGAGAGGTGCACAATTGACACCAACTGTGGCAAACAAGACAAACTTGAGCACGATATTTCTTCTTCTTTTTTTCACACTGTGCTAACAGAATATACGGTTATATGACTGTTTGTAGTAAATGGTCTGGAAAATGTATTTAGCTGTTTTGATCCATTGTGTCTGTCCAATGTTTTTATACATGGTCATCACAAATTTAATTTTTTTTTTAAGAAAGCCAAAACAAACTGTTTCAAAATCCAAGTTGAGAACCTCTTTATACCAGTTGCAATTTCTGCTCACCTTCCAAGTGTGTTGCAGCTAGCTGTCTGGATGCTGATGCTGCTACAGATGGGTTCTGTCTTGTGGTGTTGGTTGCCTTCACCTAAGCATACCGAAAAATATGATCTCAAAATTCACATCAAAGATTACAATGTCGACATTAAGGGGTTCCATAAAATGAAAGCAAATAAAATGCAACCATTCTACGTAAGATTTACATTTGTTTCCTTGTTAATAGAATGGGGAGTGCCAAATTATGCTTACTTTACATTCTAGGGATACCAATGTAGCGGTATTTTTATAATATAGAGTTAATTCCTTTCTAGACAAAACTTCTTAAAACTTTCTAGATATCATCTGCACTGTTTCAATGTCTTAAATATAAGTTGAAGATTCTGACTGATTGAACAAAACAAAATGAGCAAAATGAAGAAATCGCAGTAGATATTGGAGGCTTGAGAAAGTATCCAATATTTACGTGGAGACTGTTACAGGATTTAGAAGGACCCAGGGGGTAAGGGTTAATAGCCTTGGCGTGAAACCTGCTCACCTGTGGAGCTCTAGGTAGCTGCTTATTCAGGTCTCTGAGCTGCTGTTGGACGGACAGTAGTCGCTGACGCTCCTCTTGCAGCTTGCCAAGCTCACGTCGCTGCTGTTGCATCTTGGCTTCAAAATACGCCTCCCTAAAGGAGATAACAGTTAAACAATGTACATCAAAATCAGTGTCTGTATTCAAAAGGAACTGGCTAGGTAAACTGTTGACTCTGTGCAGGTGCAGTGCACGTTTCTGTATGATCACTGACGAGAGCTCCAGTGTGTGAAGCTATGCAATAGCTGTAAACATTTTGATCTTTCCATAGGTATGTACACAAACATGGATCTGCCCTGCAGGCTTCACTGTGTTGAATTAATTCTCTGGGTTGAACACAGTAAGTCCACAGAATTGAACCCTGGTTGAGGGAGAAGACACACTGCTCATTTACCTTGTTTCTTGGCTGACCTGAGGCACCTCTTCACTCATTTCTGACGTGGTTACGTTGGTATCCTCCTCCTCCCCCTCATCACCATCATCCCCATCCTCATCTTCATCATCCTCCTCTTCGTTCTCAGCATTAGAGGTGTCTGCTTCATCATGCAGGGTGGCTGCCAGTGCAGCCAGGTCGTCTGGGAGACCCATGGCCGCCTCGGGCTGGAGCTGCACCATGGTCACCAGATCCTGGAGCTGCTTGAGCTTCCTCTTGGCAGCTTGGAGTTTCCTGGAGAAATGTACGAGAAAAGAAGATGCCGCATATTGCGAATCAAGGATGTAGTTTTAAAAATGTGATTGGACACCATAAACAGAGTCCGAAAGTAAAATGAAGGTTCCTTTTTAAAAACTCCCTAAATATATTTGTTTAAATTGAAAAACACTTCCAAAAGCTAAGTTAAATAAATTACAAAAAATGACTAACAAAATGGATGTATTCTTACTCTATCTTGCCCCTGATCTCGGGGTCGTTTCCCCACGCTAACATCAAGCTCTGGTTGCTCTCTGTGTCAGTGGTTGCCAGCTGGGAATCATCTTCTGATTGCTGTGTGGATGTGCCATCCTCAGCAGTATCCAGCTAGAAAATCGGGAGAAGCAAAAAAAAAACTCCTGCTATTTTTTACTAAGAGCCTTCCTGAACAGGAGCCCAATGACACATTCTGAGAACTGCAAAGTTCAAGGATATTCAGGCCGTATGTAAAAGTGACTAGGATGGGCATTCCTGATATCCGCAAAATCCTCCTTATATCTACCTTCTATTTTTTGCCCTAGATTCCTCTGGAATCCCTGAATCATCCCAATACTACATGTAAATTCCTCCTATCGTTATCAACTACCAAGTTTTTTACCTGGACCTGTAGGCCTTGATTCATCTGGAATCGTCCCACAGGCTCCCCTCTCTCTAACCGTCTCAGGTTGGTCATCAGCTCCGGATCTTCAAAGTTAACCGAGGAGGAGGTCTTCCTTGCATCTCCTGTCTCGTCTACTCCAGCTAGGGCACCGGTGGGCCCGTCCAGACTCTGATACTGCTGGACCAGGTCCCGCAGGTCATCTAGACGCTGGCGTACCTCTTGTAGTCGTCTTTAATAGACAAAAAAAATTCCAAAATATTAACAAACGCCATCAGCCAAACAATTTCTAGAGCAGTCAAAACTTCAGTCAGATCATATTTCTGATAAGCACTAAGACTAGTCGAATTGCATGTACAGACAAAAGCAAGTAACTGGTAGGTACAGCTGGCTTATCAGTCACCTACGGTCAAGGCAAAGTTATATTAAGTTACATTAACAGTCACAGCCCGTCAATCCTGCTTTATATAGACATTTAAAAACAGTCACTTGATTGTTTTTGACTGCTGGGATGGTTTGATGAATGGATCAATATAGGATTTATATTTTTCTGTCTGTGACTGTTCAGACAGCAGGATGATTAAACTAGAAGTAGTAATTCAAGGTAGTAAACTTAGAAACCCTGTAAAACCTTGTTTAACCTCGAGGTAAACCTCGAGTTACAGCCTGTTTAATTTTGCATTCTCCGCTTACCTGAGTTTATCTCATCAATCCTCGTTTAACCTCGAGGTATACCTTGAGCAAGCCTCTATAACTTTGCATTCTCTGCTTACCTGAGCTTATCCATGGCTTCGTTTTCGTCTAATGATCCCACTACCTGGGCCTCCCTGACTTCATCCCCTTGCTGCAACTGGGCATGCTCCAAGAGATGGCTGGAGGATGCTGCACTCATTGCAGAGTCAGTGTCTGTCCAGAGAAAAGATTGATACCTTCAGTATTAAACACACAAATAAAGGCTGCATCCAATTTTATTTTTCCGTACAAATATTCAGAGTTTCCTTTTTGAGTTCCTACATTTTAAAATATTTCTGTCCATTTTCAATTTTTTTTAAATGGGACCACTGTTTCGAAGTTAAGAGCTTTCATTAATCTACAAATCTCTAAAATGATGACGTGGTTTATTGTAGAATAGAGTTACTACAAGCCCCTGTATATTTCATCACCTGTTGCTCCAGGTATGCTGGGCCTGAGTTCTTGCAGCTGCCTGAGTAGTTCATCCATGTGGTTCTTCTTCTGCTGTAAGGCGTGTAATGTACTCAGCAAGTCCTCGTGTTCCGAGTTCATAGCGGCTACCTCACTCTGCGCAAAGAGAGATTGATAAGTATTAACACATATTACTATGTACATAAATATGCAAATGTGTGTAAAATGTATTTAATTTCCACACGTTTGTGCATAAATACTGAAGCATCAGGCAAGCTCCACTTTGAACAGTGAAGCCTTTTACAACATTATAACCCAGGATAAGATCATGGCCCAATTTCACGGCGCTGCTAAGCACACAATTTTATGCTAACAGAGCCTCCGACCATTTCATGGAGACCGTAAGCATAAGCACAGCAAAAGGCATGCTTACTTCAGAGGAAAATTTGCTTAACTTAGTGACGTAACAATAGAAATCTCCATGCACGCGCGACCGTTAGCACATCCACGCCGTGAAATAGTGCTAAGGATTTGCAAATTTTTCTGCTATGCTAAACACACCTTTTCTGCTAACTGTAAAGCAGCGCCGTGAAATTGGGCCCATGTCTTAAACAATCTCATCTCCCAGGGGAGTTTACAGCTTAATTTTGCCATTTTGGCACAATAAACAAATTAAAACATACCATCTCTCTGCCTTCAGAGGCACCCATTTTAACTCCGAGGAAGGAAGTAAATAGCGGTACAATGTCTTGCCCAATAACAAATGGACCCTTACCAAACAGACTTGTTTCAAACAATCTGCTGAATAACCTACAAGATCTTGGGTTAAATGCACCAAGAAGTGCCATCTACTGTTCATGCCAGAGTCCATTACAGGGCGTAACACTTTCCAGCATCATACCTGTTCTCTCTCTGCCAAGTCCATTCTGTCCAGCATCCTAGCCCTCTGCATCTCGGGGGCTCGGCGGGCCATGTCCTCTGACAGGATCTTCATGAGTAGCTCCCGGCGCTGGTCGCTCAGGTCTGCACCACCTCCCTGGGTGTAATCAAAGGCAGCCAGTTGGGATTGGAGTTGGTCCTCGGTCGGTTCGGATTGGGCACTGACGTCCAGAGTGCTCTGGGAAGCTGCAGTTTGGAAAGAGAGGTTTTTTTATCTAAAAGAAGAGCAGTCTTTTCTTATGACTTTAATTATAAGGTTTCTGTTACAACGAAAGTGGTGATTAGGAAAGTATCTGCTAAAAGTCTAAACAGCAATACTGAAATGAAATGTCCACATAGAAATTCAGTCACTGCTTTATACCTGTGTCAGTATTCTGGTCTTCAGATTGTCTCAGTCTCCCTTCAATGTCCTCCTGTAACTTCATCAGAGCGCTCTGTCGATTCTGTAAAGCGCGGAGCTGGACAGATGAAATATAACCATATATTTGATACAGTTTGAAAGGTTTAAAAAGTTTGGAAAGACATGTAATAATTTTCCATGGAACTTGCTTTTATTGTGTTGTTATTTCACTTTACCAAGTACAATGACCAATATGCAATTTTAGACACCTTTTTGGCATCCAGAGTGTTCCCCCCCCCCCCCCCCCCATTGACAGCGGAAAAATAGCAGATATATCTGTAGATACAGGTAGACACTTCACATGTATTGGTAAATCCGTCCCAAAATATACTCTCACCATACAATGCTTTGAACTGTATTTTTTCAAAGAGACCGATTGTTGTTATTTTCACAAAGAAACAGTACCTCAACTTTGATTAAGTGATCAACAGAACTTGATAACAATTGGCGTACTTGTTCAAAAGACTCGAGACTTGTAGTCAAGCCGTCACAGGTCATTCACAAGTCCTCCATTCTCAAGTCATGAGCTACTAAACTCAACTGTGACCGAGGCATTCCTTGTCATTGTTTAGCCACCGTTTTGCATGACCAACTTGATTGACTGACATGACCGGGCTTGTCACAGACTTGTGATTTGTTTTGTGATGGACTCGACTGCGACTGTGCAAAAGATTGATGTTGTGCATGTGAGGGTGGGAGGGGTGTGGTTGGATGGGGAAAGGGGAAGAGATTAATTACCTCTTCCTGTTGCTGAAGCATCTTCTTGAGGAGATCGTGCTGCTGACGCAGGCCTTCCAGTTCCTCCATGCGTGTCTGGATGTCCTTATTTTCCTGCAGGTGCAGTTACAGATACATAAAGACATTTGTAATTTGCACTGTGGATAGTTTTTGAGATGAGACGTTTAAAATGTATGACTAATCCAGACCAGATATGTATGAATGTAGCCATAACTATCTCAGTCAAGTACATCAGACTACTTTGTTTGATCAACTCAAATGGACAATTTTGGTTAAGAGGTATTTCTGTTTCAAATTCCCTTTAAATGTTACCCAAGGTTTATTGAACCTTTCTAACTGTTATTAAAATGAAAAACAAAACAGGAAAAATGTGCCTGTCATTCAAAGAAAACTGGGGGTCACAATCAACCAAATATGATATTAACCTTAACCCCCTTTGCAATATTGTTGGGAAGACTTTCAGAAAATTTCAAAGGGCATCAAGACACAGTTATAGTGTCCGGGCTCATAACACCATAAATCCTTCAAAATCTTCCCAAATGTCTCGATAGATCCGGAAGGATATTTGAGGGTTAACGATAAACTACATGTCATAGTGTGTGACACTGATGTGCTATAAAACCTATCTAAAGGTACTGAAATCCTACACCGTTACATTTTCCTCGTTCTGAGGAAAAAATGGTATGTCAAGCTTCATTAAAAAAATAGTGTCAGGAATTTTGCAATCATGTTGATTCAGGGTTATAATAGTTAATATCTAATGAAAAACAAATTTACCAAATGGGCAAGACTTGTTTCAATGAGGATACAATACAACCACATGATAATGGCAGAATAGAGGGTACTAATGAGACACTAGCTTATACATGTCATATGCAATAGCAGAATATGCAAGCCCAATTCAAGAAGTGATACTCTTTCCAAAAATGCCGAATTATCCACTCAGTACTTCAAAACACATGGACTAAATTAACTGAAAAAATTCCAGGGCTTAACCAACCAACACAAACAGAAGCAACAATCAGAATCCAACATGTTGATAAAATATTTTTAAAAACGATTGTGAACCACAAATGTATGAAATACGATGTGTCTATTTAAGATGAATGGATCAGACAATCACTCAGACCAAGTTAAACATTAATGAGTGAGTTGTTTTGTTAGTATAGTTTATTATGACAAAGTCCAATATCTGTGCAGATTCCAGGGGTGAGACTGGCCAAACTTGGGGATAGACAACTGTGAATCTTAACAGAACGTTTGGATTGCTTGTTCTTCTGACCAGTGGAGTATTTCATTAACAACAAAACTAACCAAAAATCCAATATTTCTTTTAAATTATAACAATGGAAAGATTGGTTCCAGGTAGATCTAAAAATTGGTAAATGCGTGAAGGGATTTTTGTACTAGGTCTTTAATAATTCTCAGTCATCAACAAAAGTAAATACAAATCACAACATAAGCTTTCAAATGAAAGTTGGCAATATCAGAAAAAAAAAGAATTAGGACAATTTGAGGCCACAGTGGGAGTAATGAAGATAGTGTTTTGTCAACACACTGAATGACAAACTGTGCAGTTTGCTCCTAGTTTAGCACAGAACAGATTCAGAAATCAAAGCCAAAAATCAGCTCAAACGTCAAAAAGAAAAGTTTAGTTCATACAACATGAAAACAGGAAACTATCAAATAAGGCTTCAGACCATTCCGTGCTGTGTCAAAGATACTTGTCAGCTTGCTTTTTGTATCAATTGAATATCCCATGCTTATCTTCAGGTTTGCTTAAAAGTACAAAAACAAACATTTGATCTTTCGCCAATGGCATAGTGTCACATGCTACACTTCCTTCACCAACGCACGTCATGCCGGTGCACATGCAAGATTAAAATGTGTTAAATATTTCTGGCAGTTCCTGTGGTTCACTAAGGATTTTCCCCCCTTTTTATGTAACTTCATGCAAAAAAAAAAATAGATCTTTAATGAAATATGCAAAAACATTTCCTACGGTGGCGAAGTTTAAACAGCAGTATTTTGAAAGGTCATAAGGACAAGTGCCGTTGTCCTTTTTGTATCACAGGGGAGTCTGTTAAAAAAGGATATCCTTCAACAAGTGTACAGGGAATGACAACATGCTGCAAGCCTGGAGCCCAGCAGTCTCCCATGCAGCATCCTGCTCCAAGATTTCCTGAAAAAGCTTCTCCATCCAACCAATACTCTAGACCAGGCTCACCCCCTGGAATTGCAGGGCTTAACAAGCAGCATGCGTACCTCGACTGGGTCTGCTGAATGGGCAGTGAGGGTGGACATGGCTGAGTCCAACTCCTCCTCATCCTCTGTGTCATCCAGTCGCTTAGTGACTGTCTCCAGCGCTACTGGTTCCTCATCCTGCTCTCCTTGCTCTTCGTACTTCCTGAGCATCGCACTGAACTGTTCGTGCAGTTCCATGGTTCCAAAGGCCGAGGCAAACTCAGAGTTCCGACTACTCATAGAAGAGGCATCGTCCTCACGGCCAAAGGAAGCCTCTGACCCACTGGCATACTCAACGTCCGAAGGGTAGTTCCCTAGTTGACTCTCTATCTTTGGTCTTGTGCGTGCGGTAAATGTCCCCTCCTTTGTGTTGTTTTTAGTTTGAAGGATCAGGGGGAAATGTAGGAGTGCAGGGAGGAGGGAGGGGGCAGTTATGGTTGATGAGTTAGGAATAATTCCATGCTTACATTATAATATCAATTAACTGCTGTATTGGCATGCCTAGTGAATGCTCAATCTTCTGAGATTGATATTACTATGCAGAGTCGAGCTACATGTGATCCATCCACAGCTGCAGTGGCGATGTCAATATCTTTACACACAAACTACACAACACACAAAGTCATTTCCAACATAACAATGCATACCCTGTACAACATAACCTGCTCAAACTCCTTACAGTGTAGTGAATTTTCTTCAATTACACTTGTTTTGAAAAATTCAAATGTTTCAACGTTATCCACAAAATGTTTAACCATAGTCACAATCAGAAATTGACTTGATAGTCTGTCAATCGGCATTGTGCATAACTGACAGACTCTGCCTAGCAAAAACACCTTGACTGTTGGCTACTAGGCAATGTTAAATTGTTCTTTTGACAGAAAGTTGTTCAAAACAAAGTCGTAATCAAATCAATCACAAGTCAAATCCCATGGCAATTCACTATGAAATCACAAGTCAAGTCACCATAACAGGGCATGAAGAATGACAAAAGGAATGTTTTGTCACAGTTCATTTGATTTAGAATAGGACTGTGACTTGGCTTGACTTGTGACTGAATCCATTACAACTCTTCTTCGAAAATAATTGCATTTTCAGTGGAAAAACTTACTGTGGTAGCATCGGAGATATCCGACTGGGCATCGATGTTGATGGACGCGCTCTCAGCGATGGATGTGGACTGGGACTCGTTGGAGTTGTGACTGCTACGTCCTGTCGCCTCGTCAGACAACATGCGTTCCAGCAGGGCCAGATAAGCCCTCTCCTGGTCCTGTAAGTGGCTCTGGAGCTGCACCAGCTTGCCTACCTGCTCATCTGAATGTGCTGGGGCAGTATTAAGATTGGCCAGCATGGAAGAGGCTTGCTTCATGTAGTCCTGTCAAATGGGAACAGTTTAGATGTCAATGCTGGGATTGATTGTGACTTATAAATGAAGTTGAGTCTAAAATCAGTATAACTCATTGCGGCTGGTATATGTCTTTTTTCCTTGGAGATGCCAACCCACTGAAGATTCCTCTCCAGCTAATGCCAGTACCCATTTATATACTCCTGGGTTGAGAGTGGCAAATGTGGGTGAAGTGGCTTGCCCAAGGACACAACATATGACCAGCAGCTGGATTCAAGTTCCAAACCTCTGATCATGTGTCACAAACCCAAACCACTTGAACTACACTTCAGATCAAAGGTAATTTTTTAATCTACAGTACAAACAGCTTACTCAAAAATTACTGCAAAACTCATGACAATGCTCAAGCGCTTGAAAAGAAATTTATACTAGTATCAACAAACCACCTCTCAAGAAAACTCACCCTAATTTGCATAAGTCTTGCAACAATCTGGTTTCTGTCAGGCTGTAACAAAAAAGATCATTTAGAATTTATACCCTTTCAGTACACTATTTCGAAAACACTCTCAATGCATTCCGACAATCTGCTCAAAACAATGGAAGCTTTGCCTACAAATGATATTGAATCACTTAACAGTGTTTAAAACTCCACGGGTGTCTGTAGGTTCACTTCTAGAACAATTTAGCGTTTTTTTCGACCCAAAAATAATTGAATCTTTCCAAATTCCCCACAATTCAGGAAACCCATGGTACACGTTTTGAACCTCAGGGACTCCAAGCTCAACATAAAGTTTCTTATATCCTGCAAAGTCATCCTAAATCTCCCATTAGATTTTGAAGGGATACGGGTTACAGTAAAGAAATGAATGGGTTTAGCAATGCCCTTATCTTGATATCCTAGTGTGTGTACCATTACCATTTCATTGACACTGGAATCATTGCCAGACTGTGTCCTCTGTCGATTGGCCCCTCGTGGTGGTGGCATCTCATCCACGTGGTTCACCTGGCCGGCAGTTCTCTTGGACTGCGACCTGACGTCGCGACGTACATTGTTGGCCGCGACACCTTGGCCGTCTGTACTGGGCTGTCAACGCAAACAAAATTACACAACACAAAATTAAGTCACAAGTGAATAATCTCATGTGTTTTTCATGAGCATCCATTGCCATGTGTAGCAAATGTTGCTGGGCTCCCCCCTTCCTCAATATTGAAAATCCATACAGCCCTTTAACGGATTTTGAAGGATTGGGAGGGGGGAGAAATACAGGATTCCTCAATTTTTGAGAGAAATATCCTGAAAGCTATTATCCACTACATGCAATCAGTGAACATGAAGCCTTGAGGTTCGTCGATAAGAAAGTAAAGAACCCTATTCAGTAAACCTTTGTTTACAAGTTATCAAGGACACAAAACAAGAGTTTTTACAACAGAAAGTAGTAGAGAGAAATGTCATTTAGTCAAAAGCTCAACGGAAGCGTACACGTACTTCATCCATTTCGCTGAATGTCAGCTGTTGTCTCAGCAGTTCCAGCTCCACCCGTTCCCGGGCGCTGGCCACATTGCGGGTGCGAGGGAAGGTTGCCGGGGTGTGGCGCCGGGTAGACTCCCTGCTTGGGGGCGATGCAGGCAGAGGCTCATGGGCAGCAGCAACTGCTGCTGCTGTTGACGGGGAAGCACTACTGGTCTTCTCCCGATCCTTGTTCTTGGTCTTGGATTTTTTGCCCGATGCTACTGCTCCAGTTGCAGCCGGTCTTCTTTCCATAGATGGCTCTGCAAATGTGGAGCTTGGTTTCCAGTCCCACTGTTTCAAAAGCATGATAGAAAGTTATCTTCTTTTTACACATGTCAAGTGAACATGAGAATGGCTGGGTTTCTGTATTTAGTTTCACAGTTGCTACGAACACTTACAAATTAAATTTTTTTCTTCTATTTTTTTCATCTGATTTCCCAGATTATACCCCAAAACAAGCAGAAGTCATATTATATTCTCCATCAACACATATTACAAGAATTCCAAAAAAGTTAGCCATCAAAAAGCCATAGTTGAAACACTCTCGTGTTAAATAACTTAGAATATGAGTTTTGTCTGAAATGTTCCTCTTTTATTTGTTTTAACCAATTAACTGCAAATTACATAGTTATTAGGTCTGTCCTCATCCTTGTCACCGATCCAGTTGAAGCGAAAGTTGTCATCTACACCTCCTAGTGGACGATTGATCCTTGACCCAGATGGTCGTGGTCGCGGCTCAGAAGCCACACCTCTCAGCATGGAGGATCCACCTGTGGCCATGGTCTGCACAACTAGCTGTAAAACATGAGCGCAATAATGTCAAATATTATGATTTGCTCTTTACACACATAATGCTGCCCAGGGGCTTGCATCAAATTGCAAGCTCTCTTTGGTACAAGTTAGAGCTCGAACCCACAAACCATTGCAAACTCCTAATTTCTAGTGCAGATTTATTTGTACGACTCGACCACAGACCTTGCAAGGATTGACTAGTCATGCTAGTGGGTTTGATGTAGCTGTAGGAGCTACATTAGCATGATTAAGCTACTCATTAGGTCTACATGGATGGACATGGTCTATTTCATCATTCATCATGTGCAATTTGCATTTAAATTTAAAAGTTGTTTTGAATTTGATCACTAACTTATTACTTAAGACACAACAGCATTAAAAATCTGCATTTTGTACAACATTGCCCATTCGCCTACGCTATCACAATTTGCAACCTAGTACAGTAGGGCCTAGTACCGGCCGACAGAGTTGACGAGCAGTTGGGCCATTCCGCGCGCGCTTCCAACCCGGCCTGCACAAATTTTGCATTGCAATTGCGCACTACAGTACACATTCACATTACACAGCACACGGGTAGCACAGCACTTCCCGCTTGGTAAAAAACCATGACAACCACCTACGTTATACCATGAAATTGGTGTATATTAGACACAAACATTCAACAACGCAGCTATATTAATAATGCTTGATAATTATACTCACGTTATATTCAAACGGAATGTAAATTCACCCCTTGCTTTTGCAGAATTCAGCTCGAAAAAATTGCCTTTACGCCCTTTGGATTCGTTCAGGAAAAGTGGCCATCTTGAAATTTAGAGGAAAGGACGCGGAGTGATTTGGAAAGAGTGGTTAGGTCAACTCTACTCCAAATAACGACAACAAAGCCTGTAGAGTGATTCTTGAGGACTCAAAGACATGGTCCACGTGTGTAAAAAATCACTTTAATTCAGATGTTTAAATTCATTCTTTCTTGCAAACATCTTCTAAGATTTAAACGTGGCCTGAAATAGCACTCGTTTGTGTCGGCAGATGCATACAAATTATAGGGTGGAATGCGGCTAATCTGTGGCGCGGGATCATTGCAAGGATGAAAGAAGCATTTCTATTGGTCAATCAAATATCTACGACCCTTTTATGTTTGTGTGTAAAATTACATAAAATAGTTTCACATCTAATGGGAGTAGCCTGGTTTCTATCGATAGAGGGCGCTCGCACCATCCGACGGTCTTCTTTTCTAATTTGTGTAGGTAGCCGCAATTGTATTACTATTACTATTAACCTAAATTTATTGAGTGCTAAATTTTGCTAACCCAACAATGTCTGGCAGCTATTATTTCGTGATTGTTGGTCATCATGACAACCCGGTTTTTGAGATGGAATACAGTTCTCAACAGAAGGGAGCTGACACTACAAAGGTACAGTAATTTTGGTCAAGCTCACCGTTGTGCAGCATCGTTTGTGTACAAAAATCCCATTTGTCCATTGCATTGAGTTATTTTGATCATCATGGACGAATGATGGAGCTCCAATTCCAAATGTGTTTTTTATATCTCCATGTTTTGATGGTGTGACTGTACAAAATCAGGATGTGCGGGGAAGGCACTAAATTTGTTGTTGTAAATTACATCTATTATTGTAGGTTGTCTTTGTATAAAGCTTTAAATTAATTATTAAAAACATGTTTTTTGTTTCTCTTCGGTTCTATTTGCAGAAGGATGACCATCGTCATTTGAATCAGTTCATCGCCCATGCAGCATTAGATCTTGTGGATGAGCACATGTGGGGAACTAATAACATGTACGTATGTCTAAGAAAAGATCACACTTTAAAATAAATTTGGCCTATCTTTAGTTTAAAGCCATGGAGAAAGTAGTCATAGTCATACTGCTCCCGCAACATATACTTGTGAAACACAAACTTGCTAAGTACCTGAGACTCAGTACTCAAAGCATTTTAACTTATAACTTGGATTGGTTGCATTATTTTACTCTTTAGTATTGTTTTTTTCATATGACAGGTATCTGAAGATAGTGGACAAGTTCAACGAGTGGTTTGTCTCTGCATTTGTCACTGCTGGACATATCCTTTCAATGATTTCCGATGCATTAGGAAGCAGTTTTGTGTCTTTTTATTCTGGGGTTTTATCATTTTGGTAAAATGCAGTGACACAATTTTGTTAACCATTTGTCAATAAACACAAATATCTTGAGGGCTTAAATGAATCTGGTGGAAATATAGCCATTTTTTAAAACAATTATTGGGACTCCTCAAAGACTTTGCAAACAACCACAAAAATATGTCAGGATACCTTGGTATTTCCATTTTTTATCTGTCAAATATTGCAGACTTTTCTATAGTATTGTGCAACAGCAAAATGCTTTGAATGTTTCTTTTTAACTTGTATGTCATTTTGCCTTTTGGTAAATTACTATAAAAAAAACCTTAGAAACTTGCTTTGAAAATAATCCAAAACTGCTTTTTTGTTAGTGTTTAAATCCTTGACTCATTGATCACGAATTCGCTTCATTGTGCTTCACGACACCAAGAATGAAGATGGCATCAAGACTTTCTTCTCAGAAGTCTATGAGATTTTCATCAAGGTAATAAGACGTATATCAAGCTGTACACATTTGTTTAATACACCTATATCAAGTCTGATCTGTTGTAAAAGTCACTTTAAATTATCAATAGAAATGCCAATTTTTTTTAGGTAAATTATGTATAATAAATCAATTTTCAGGTATATTGGAATTAGATGAAAAAGATTGCAAAATCTTCACCAGAAATAATTTAATTTGATGAAATGCTTAAGCAATCTACTACTGAAGCTTATATTAAACAAACATAGATAATTTATAATGCAAGTTTTAATGCAATTTTATCTCCTTTTTTTATTTGACAGTACTCGATGAACCCGTTCTATGAGCCCAGTACACCCATCAAGTCTGCAGCATTTGAGAAACGAGCCCAACACCTTGCCAAGAAGTATCTGTCATCATAACGATCAGGGATCAACTTCTAATAACCAGTAGCGTTGGACTCTCCAAAATGTGCAATATTTCATAGCTGACCACAAGAACCTGATACACCAAGTACACCACCAGTGCAAAAAGCAGTACACCATGAAAAGCGTAGCATGAAAAGCGTTTTAAGAAATACCTCCTGCACTATAGAGCTGGAGTTTGCCATCTTCAGAATAGACAGCGTCAGAAAGAACTTGTGCAGGTGAAACACCATTTGGAACTGGAAATTATATACACTCATTTTCCCAGCAGCGAGACACTGCAGGATTACCATGCAAGCTCAACATACCTGCATTCTATGTATGTTCTAATGGTGACACCTCTTACTATTGTACCTAACTAGACTATGATTACAAGTCCCAACTTACCGTCATTCCATTATAAATTGGAGAAAACGCCCATTATAATAGAAATTGCCAGTACATGTATCACATGTATCTCACTTAAGAATATTATGAGTTTTTAATTAAAAAAAAACAAATAAGTAATACCTATTATTGAAAAAAAAAATTAAATGAGAACAAAGAGATGGAGGGGATCTACAAGACGAATACGGAATGAAGAGAAAAACGTAATATAATAATCACATTACACATTTGTATATAGATGCACTTATAAGGAAAATGACGACGCTAGTCTTTTAGTGAGTTAATTGTTTTTCATTTGAAATTTGCTCAAGTGAGAAGCCATCAAGTGGTTCATTTTTATTTTAAGAATATAATTAAGTTCATGAAGATTTGAGATATGATGTGATTATTTCTACTTGGAATAAATTGTAAATAAAACACTTTAGAAAGAATACAGAGTTCTGAGTTCGTGTTGTGAATGGATAAAATTCATGTAAATTCCGGTCCCATTTGGAATGCATTTTAATATGGTTGCTTACTAGTACCAAAATGTTCAACGGGTTATCATTTAAACGTATTCACACAGAAGAGAATGAAAAGTTTTTTAATTTAATAGTATCTAAAGAGCTTTCATAAAATTATAACTTGAAAGTCCAAAATATCTTGCAATAGCCCTTATTTAATATTGAGGGAATGAGAAGCTTTAAAACAACCCCATTTCGGGGAAGAAACGCACGAATCCCAGGTTATTGACGAAAATATTCTTATATTGGTAGAGCTCAAAAAAATACATTTGTATACTCTATAATTGTAAGATTTATAATTGCATTTAAAATGTGTCGTTACAGCGCCCTCATGGCTCATGCTCAAACATAATTATTTTCGCCAACACGGCATAATAACTTTTGATTTCAACTATGAAGCATAGATATAAAACAAAAATTCTATATCTATGGCCAGAAGCTACCGAAGCAACGCGCGCGTACGTCATTCTTTGAACATTCCTTGAAATGACGTCACAATTGCCCAGGGCATAATGATTGTGCCATCACTTCCTTATTGAACTGAAAACGGTGTCAGCGCGTTCCCTTGGACGCAATGTTTAACGCGCGTGCAAGCAGAAGTTGCGCCTACTTCCCCGCTGTTAATGTACTGAATTGGGAAGGACCATAATATTCTGTGCCGTAAAATGTTTATTGCAATGGCCGGTCCTGTGGCAAAAGAAGTGTTATTGGGAAAGAATTCTATCACTTAAAAAAATATGACTAAGGAGAAGTTTTGAACTCAAATGGCGCAGGATAGCTTGCTCGGGAGCCCAGATGCAACCGCCATGTCGCCGTTACGACTGACCGATATCTGGACTCCCGAAGCCGGTATGCCTCCAATGCGACTATCTGACATCATGACGCCTGGAGCCGAAGCACAAGCAACTACTGATGACGGGACACCGGTAGACAGTGGCCACGAGGTATCACCTCCGTCCACGGCAATCGCCGGCTTGGTCGGTCCGATTCCAGACTCAGCACCGGGAGAAGACTCCGAGACGACCCGTCAGTTGAAGCAAGAGGTCCGTGAGCTCAACGAAGAGAATCGCCTACTGAGGCAGAAGCTGAACCTGTTGCAGACGAATTCTAAGCTGAAGCAGGTAGCGCTTATTGGCACTGTCATCTCGTGGTTTGGGGACAAGGGTTTGCTGGGCGATGACATGGATGCTGTGTATGAGCTAACGTCTATGATGATGTCGGCTCGGGCAACTGATGAGCGAGCAATTCCGGCATTCGCAGACCAAAGCAATGCTGCTACAGATGACGTACCTCGGAGACTACAAACCAACAACGATATGGAATTTGCTGTGAAGTTTAATAAAGATGAGTCTTCTAGGTTTCTAACTCCAGCCTCCAATGTACGACGCACTGACAATGACGATACCTCAGACAGGCACATTCAGGGTTTGGATGGTTCCTTCAATCCGCCATTTTCGTCATCAAAGAAAGAAATGAAATATCCGATAACGCTTAAGTCCAATTATGAGCATTCAAAATTTCAAACACCTGACTCCAATCCAGGACAGAGTATAAATGACGATACCTCTAAATGGCCCAGCCCAAATTTAGATGGTTCCTTTCATCCACCTTTTTCGTCAACGAAGAAAGCCATGAGACATCAAGTGACGCCAAAATCCGGAGACGAGGATTCCAAGTTTCAAAGTCCTGAATCAAATGCACGACTACGTGAAAATGAAGATACATACCAATGGCCCAGTCAGAGTTCAAATGGTTCCTTCAATCCACCTTTTTCGTCATCAAAGAAGGATATGGAACACCCAGTGGCACTGCAAGGAGATGTGACATTGTTAACGGAAGGTCCCAGGCAACTAATAGACAACCGAAGCGTCCCTACCACTCCAGTTGGCTCCAACTTGCAACGAGCAGAAGTGAACACAGATTCCTTTGACGAGAGTACGGGGCGCCTAGACACTCGAATTCAGCGGATGGAGAAGGCAGTGAAGGCTCTCAGCGGCCAACACGCCGAGATGCGGAGCCGCATGACCAGGACGCGTCAGAACGCCGCCAAGCGGTTCAGGATCTGGAAAGCCATCGCCGCATCTCGTAGACTTGCAGCTCTGAATTCCTTACAGGATGAAGATGAGGCAGTTGATGACCTGATGATAATGAGGGAGCAATCGGTCACACCAACGCCACTGACGCAGTATCCCTTCCATTCAGCTGAAGAGACTGGTATTGCAAGAGTGGTGGATGGTTCTACGAACAAGACGATTCTGGGCGAGATTGCCTTCCAAACCGAACGGCGCATCCTCGCGTTCGTCTTTCAACGGAGAGAGATTTTATACGGCTACAATTTAGGTGAAAAAAAGAACGATTAAAAGTACTTTTATCTGATATTTTTGTTTGCCGATAACTCGACTCATCTTTACAAAGAAACACCTAAATCAAAATCACATGGTTAATCAACAAATTAAGGATGTCTTAAAGACGTCGGTATAGACTTAAATGTTCTGAAAACGGGGGTTACAATGATCGAGAGGTGATAGCTTTAATCTTAAGATAACATATGATAGCGACTCTATAGCAAGTGACGGTTTGCTATTACAAAAAAATGGCCAACGGCGCTACTACAATCGCAAATGCTTCGTTTATTCTCTCATTTCCCCCAAAGGAAACCTGGAGATCATGATCCGCACGCACCCAGACCAAGACTGTCGGTCCGTGCTCCTTCGGCGATACGAGCTGTTGATGGACGTGCTCCGAGGCTACGGGTGGCTGAGGGGACGACATGCGCAGTTCGTTGCCGACACGATTGCCCGTCACGGCATTTTCCAAGATGTGGAGTCGGCTCAGGCTGAAGCTTTGAAGAGAGGTAATGTTAGGAAAATCAAATGATGACAGCTCACAGCTGATCTGAAATGAGACAAGACATCCGTCACCTAAACCTTCCAGATGAGATGCGTTGGTTGACGTTCGAATCTGAAGTTTGATTAGCTTGACCATTTTTTTTGTGTGCCGCCTGCCCACAACAGAACATATGAAAACAGCCAAGACTCATCACTTAGACCGTCCGTTTCGTTTTCACTAATTATATTCATTGATTGCTTCCTTCTGTAACTGATATATTGTTTGGTTTAAGGTTAACAGAAGTCGTGTAACACTTTCAATTCTATAAGCAATGAATTATAAATTTGCAACAAGAGTACTAAGTCCCGACGACCATCATTGAAGTGCATTGTAAACTGCTAATTTTTTTCATCACACAAGCAAAGATCGTCTTTAGTTTAAAAAGGCAGTGTTCAACTTCAAGACCTACAATTCAACACATGACCTCTTGTTTCTGTCCCCGGCTTTCAGGTTGGAGCAACCCGAGCGAGTTGAAGCGAGGCGTATTGTGCCTGTGTCCGGTCGTGGAAGTCCTGGACATGTTGGTGATTCTGGACTGCCTGCTCCACATGGCGCGCAACGACGGGCTACCGGTCTTCTTATTTTAGCAGGCAACAAACCCTAGCAACATACAGTGGTTGTCTGCAACCGAGGACCAACTTTAGATATACTTTAAAATACGATGCTTGAACATTTCTTTGGGCGAGAAACTTGACGCGAGAGGGGTTTGGGGAATGTAGGAATGAAAGAATAAACTCATGCACGTACTTCGTATGTTGGGTTTAGCATAAAGCATAATTATGTAAACATAACTGGAATTGTAAGCAAGCCGCATGTACAGTACACATGAATTTTGGCTAGTCATGTTTCTGCTTGAAATAATGGGTCTTTTCAAAATACATGTAGTATTGAACAAACAACTTTTAATTTATTCTCCTTCTAAAAACAGGCTATTGTGAAAATATTCCATTATTAAATTCAAATTGTACAGAAACTGATACAGGTACAATTTTTGTCACCAGTATATCACTTTCGGTGTTTTACTATAGTACTAAGTTTCTTAAATTCATCACATTGTTATAATTGTAGATTCAACATAAAGAATCTCTTCTAATACCACATATGTTGTATGTGACATAATTCTTGAAGCCCCCCCCCCCAAAAAAGATCTTTTGCATGGCTGCTATCTTTGAGGTGTGTGTTTTTATTCAAGACCTCTCGTGAAATGTGCATGCAGCCAGGGCCTATACCAAGAACTACATACAGTTTGCACAGTTCGGATTCAACACTGTTATTGCAGACAGGCCTCCCACAAGGTTTTTTTTGCAAAATGAAACTTTCATAAAACTTGAAAATTGCTATAAAACCAGTCGCACACAACCCACTGCAATGATCAACCCCAAAGGAAATTAAAAATGCATATATTTCTGCAACGAATTATAGCTTTAGATTGATGGTTTATGTGGATCAAAGTGAAGATGCCATTATTGTAGGACTGTTGTGCACAGCTGTCAATCACAAAAGGAAGACATGCCCCTTTGAAGTTTGGATCCACCCTCTTTGCATTCAACAGTTACTATCCTGAGTCCATTCTCATCAATGTTGGCATCTGTCCAATTTGGTTCACAGTCACAGACATCAATGGCCCACTAGCATCATTGTCCGGCTTGTTTGTTGATTAGCTGCTGGAATCTATTGGTCATTGCCAGTGTTGAATCAATGAACCTCTCCACGCAGTTGACCAGGCAGGTCTCCGTCTTGCTGTCCAGTTTGTTGCTGGGTTTGTCCACGCACCTGTCCCAGCAAACGTCGGTGAACATGTGAACTTGGTTCTGAAAAAAAAAGATGAAAAGGGCAAAAACTGCATTAGTAATTATTAAACTACAGGAACAATCATGACAATAGGCCTAGGCCTATGTAAAAAAAAAAATCAATGCTAGTACTAAGTAGTAGGCCTACTACTACTAGTAGTAGTACATTTTATAATTGCCACCTTGCATTGGGGATATGTACACATTATGTTGGTAATGATACATACAGAAAATTCTTTAGCATATTCCTAGGGCCTACACATAATTTCTAGACCCAAGTCTATGATGCGGTGATCATAATATTAATGAAGATATAATATAAAAATATGTTTGAACTTCTTGAAATAATAAATGAACATAAAAATAATTTAAATAATAAGTGGCCTAGGTGTTTTGTTTTGTATTCTTTAAAAATTAATGTTCAGATGATTTGTTGTGTGACGATTCAACCCAAATTCACAAGCCGGCACGCAGTGCAGCGAGGAACAATTCTTCACGAAATAGGTGCAGTGTAGTTTCACATTTGCCTCACCTGGAATTTTGCTTTTTGGCCTTCTACCGCAAGAAAGGCCTTCAGTTCTGCGTCTTCGCCATCTGCCCCGCCACCAAATGACGAACTGTCAAAAGACATCTTTGAATATTCTGCTGAACTCCACAATGTAAAGCGAAATGGGACAAGAAGTGTTACAAAACTGTAGCGATTGCGTGCACCCGATTCGATTTCTCACATGTTTGACCTTTGACACACTGCGCGGGCAGATAGGCTAGACTTATTAATCAGTCCTCGGCCGGCCTCTGAGCCTAGTACTACTCTACGGACAAAATCTGCGAGCTCAGCACATACAATGTACATGTACACAATATTTCCCTTCTTACATTGTGTTTAAGAGAAAGAAATTTAAAGAACAAATTTCTACATTCAAAAACATGAAAAATAAATGTCTGGGTCTACATGCGCCATAGCGTTGGAAAAGTGAAAGGGAGCACGGTTTACAGATAGTCACCCGGCCGGGCCTGGATGTAATTTAACTAAAATGTTCATCGCACAGCAGCATTTTGATTTTGTAAAGAGAATTTTTCTGGTTTAAGTTCCTTTATCACACATTTCTAATGGGTTTGTTATTCTCAGATAGGTCCTATCAGTCAAAGTCCTCCGAGATGGATCGATGCGCACGGCTGGAAAACTGGTTGCTATTTCTATTCATGTACATGGTCATAATGCCTTCATTCCATCATCATAATTATCATGAAATAATTCGGATGTATCTGTTGATTATACTAGTTTTGCGGCGGTGCTTTCAACTTATGTGAACAACGCAGACGTTGCCAATCATGTCCCTTTGGATATGCACAAAAGAAGCGCGTTAACGGAGATTTACATTGTGACGTCATCATTTGCAAATTTTTCACTTTGGTTGTACTATTTGCTGTGCTTACTATACTGCTTACGGTCTTTGTATTCGGGGGAAAGGTCCATTAAGTTTCTTTTGTAGATTGTACTTTAGTAAGTGGCACAACGAAACGTCTTACGTACCCCCAAATTCATGTAAATTCACTTGTTTTCTAAACCAATGTATAACATACACAGCGCTGATTGGATAAATGTTTTCAAGCCACCCCGCAATACGTCACAATGCAGTGAATATTTGTTTTCACGTATCCATGTAGCAACGACGCACGAAACTGGGTTACACACTCGCTTCTTGTGGTGTGAATTTATAATCATCGACTTAGAGGGCGAGAATGTGAGCACATGGAGAAAAAGGTATACCCGTGCAATAGAAACTGCATATTAAATAGCTCAAATATTGATACAGGTGGCAAAAGCAGCATCATGGTGAAGTAGGGCAAACCATTTAAATGGTTCTATAGTTGCATGTTAAAAGCTGAAATCAAGTAGAAGGTGAGGGGCTAAATATGGACTCCGAGTCGAAGACGAATCTTGTCTCCGGTGAGGACGATGACGAGCAGGATTACATGAACCCAGCGCTCAAGAAGCGCCGCGGGGCAACCATCACGGACGTGTTGCCATCTGAACCACCTCCACCACCTCCACCGGCCCCTGTGGAGAGCTACAGCGGTAGCTCGGAGGGCAGTGGGGAAGAGTCCGAGGATCAAGGCAGCGGGCAGGAGGATGGTGCACCGGAGAGGGCTGACGAGCGTCCCGAGGCGAGCAAGGAGGATGGACACACAGAGGTAAAGACCGAGGAAGCAAAACCTAGCGAAGCGAAAGCAGCCACGGAGGGGGATGAGCCGGAAGGGCAAAGGGGGAGACGGGAGTCGTCAGTTGTAGATGTCCAGACGATGCCGCCTTTGAACACGCCGCCACTGCTGCATCACAGCTCGACACAGAGACGAGCGCTTCAGGTTCGTATACAAAGCTTCCTGCTTTACAATGCTCAAATATCCGTGTCAAAGTGCCCCCCCCCCCCGCAGAGGCGTAAAGGACTTTTTAACTTGCGTGATTATGAAAGTTCTTGCCTGTTTTATTTTAAACATTTGGTGTTTCTTGGTACATGTTTTGGAAGTTACGGCAGTTTTGAGATGCTTAAACCAATTCCCATATACCTCTGCAGTCTGCGCGGACCCCACTTGAGAGATTCCGCGCCATTGCCAACACCATCAAACACAACTTGAAATGGGCTAAGATGCTGTCTACGACCAAGCAAGAAGGGGAACAGAAATCCTACACAGTGGAACATGAAGATGGTAAAAAAGTTATTCATAAAATAATAGTATGCACAAAATACTTAAGAGGCAACACAATGTTAGGTTATGAAAGAAGTGTATACAAGTAGTGATACCCATCACATTGGCAAGGGATTACACAACCGTGCTGTATTATTCATTCTAAAAAGTTAAGTAAGTTTTTTTTCGAATCGTCTATACCACTATTAAAACAAGATAATCCAACCAAAATTGTTTTCCTGCACTTTGTAACAAACGGGATGTCTTTAGTCCATATAGCAAACACTGAGATTGTTTTAGCTTTCACGGTTGTTTTCCTATAGGCAATACTCCCGACTCGGAATACTTAAAGACATTCAATCGCAATCCGACCCTCAACGCCTATTAAATTCTGATTTCTGAAGTGGGTCAAATTGTACTGTATGAGAGACACACTCTAAAATGCAATGAAAGAAACAAAACAAAGGAGATAGCTTACTCAAACTGGCAAAGTTATGTTTGATATTCATTCTTTCGCACCAAGCGGTTTCCTATTGACCTCAATGAAGATACCGTATTCTCATTCGCTTCTCAATCACCTAAACGATTCTGAAAAAAAGTACAATCATTGCAGGTCACGACACGAGCCTGACATTCAACGTGAATGCCTTCAAGGCAAACGTCCAGTCGGTCAGCACACTCCCGGCCGCAGTCAAGCTGACCATGCGCAAGAACCCATGGGAGAGATCACCCAAGGACCTGGCTTACATCTTCAGTTTCGTGGACAAGGTTTGTTCGTTTTTCGGACGACGATGACAATGACATGACATGTGTTGACGTTCAGACATTAACCCCAAATTCAATCCCTTTAAAAAGGGGGCATTCACCCAGCCACCTAAATCCTTTTGCAAAATCCTGGATCCGCCACGTGCATCAACAATTCTGAGCATTTTTTTTTTTTGCCTGGACTTGGCTGGACCAGAATGACCAGTCTACTGTCCTCTGACTAAATGATTGATTGAGCCTATACCTGCCTGCCTGATTGACTGACTGACTGAGTCACTGAGTATAACTAATGTCCTAAACTGGGACTTGTGGGTCCAGCTTGACAAGATAAGTCTAGTCCTGCTGACAGTGTTTCCATCGCTTGACTTTCCATCACAGCTGAAATGCTTCGAGCGGTACTCTACCACGGCCAAGCAGGAGCTGTCCTGCGTACTGCATTTCGAGTCGTTCGAGGACGGCAGAGTCATTGTCAAGCAGGGCCATCCCGGTCTGTCGTTTTATTTTATCTTGTCCGGGGCGGTGACCGTGGAGGTCACGGAGGAGGACAAACGGACGGGTGAGTTTAATGATACTTTAATATTTCAAAGTATTTTTAAATGTACATGTTTTTTAATGTTTATTTTATATATATTTTATCATATTGTGTTTAAGCATTATTATCTTATTTTAAGTTGTTAACAAAAATTAAAACGTTATTTTTTAAAAGATCATCCTTGTTAACATGTACAATTCAGTTGTAACTGAAAATATGTTTTAATAAACCATCATTGAATTGACTTGAATTGATTTTACAAGGGGAACTGACCAGTGGGTCATACGTACAACAAGACAGACAGTCTGACCATAGTCTATGGAATATCCCCTTGCACAGCAAGGGTCTATGATATGCGAGCAGATTCGGCGATTAATCATGCAAAACAATATTGAGTCTGGGCCTCCAGACTCTGACCATTCAGACTATTACGGCTTTCCGTAACCCGTTGACCAGTCAACAGCTTATTCCAAATTTCTGATCGAAGTGACGTCACAGTCTCAAAAGACCACTCCGATTGGCTGGCGCGCAGGGTCGCATAAGCTTTACATGCTACGATATGTCAGATGTTCAACCGTGGATCTAGCTCTCTGCTTATGTGAATGTCTGATCCCCAGACTAGTCTGACCCACGGGGATAACCATTGATCTCCATGGAGATCAATGGGGATGACAGACAAATAATGGTAGTCTGTGATCAAGACGCTATTCAATTAATCATCCTTAAATGTTGTTCAGTGACTCATGATTGATCACAAGCGCCAAAGATCGGATTGAAAATAAGTCATGTAAAAGTTGAACTTCACCGTATTGAAACCTCTGTTTGATTACCTTAAAGGTGAGCGTAACACGCACATGATGGGGGAGCACACGGCAGGCTCGTCATTCGGGGAGTTGTCGCTGCTTCACGGATCCAAAAGGACGGCCACAATAAGCTGCAAAGGTAGACTCTTGGTTTTCGTCTCAAATTGTTACAAGATTTTCTGAATGCAAAAATATTCCAGCTGCATCCCCTCTGCGTGTTCCGCGGTTGCCGTGTCCTATGTCTACACCATTGGAAATGTTGCTAGCATTGTGTTTTTTGGCGCAAAGGCCGCCTGTCAAATTTGGTATATATACGAAGAGTCGTGCACATTGTAAGCAGCGTCCCATGTCGGGACCCCACAGCAAAATGTCATCTGGAAATTCCTGACATTTTTTTTTTTTTAAAGATTACTGTTCCTTGTTCCTCTTGATACATCTATGACATAAGGCGATGCCGAGTTCCTGATACTGGACAAGCCGGATTTCGACCAGGTCCTGCGGCGGAGCTACCAGCAGGAATGGGACACCCGCATGAGCGCACTGCGGTCGCTGGCGGCGTTAGGTCACTGGTCTGAGGAAGAGCTCAGCGCCACCAACGACAGGGCAAAACTAGTGGAATTTCCACCAAACACGGTAGGCTAATAATTTCACTCCCGCTTGTTTGTTTATACATGTTTGCACGTAAGCAGGAGGTCGTTGGTTCGAGTCAAACCCGAGCTGGCTCGTGTTCTTTTTCACATTCTGTGGACAGCACCATACCTAGCCTGTATGATGATTATACAATTACGTAGGCGGAGGACAAAACCCGATTTAAAAAATGGTGACAGTTTTGTACCGATCGCACGTCGTGTGTACATAGAATTCACGTTTCAGGATCATGCAGAGTGGAAAGTTACCCAAAATGCATTGCGTTTCCTTAATGTTTGTGAAACGAGATTATTATGTCTTAGTAACAGCACCCCGGACAATGCGATGGCTGAGTCTACGTGCCTAAAACCCAGAGTTTTATCATACAGTTAAGTTCGTCGATACCTTCGTACGGAGTTAATTTCTATATACTGCAATTGGCCATACAAACTTTTCTAGCCAATCATCAGCGATCTCGCGCAAGCGCATGATGACATCTACTTCGTCAAGTCCGGGACCTGTAAGATCGTCCGTGAGGTGACGCTCCTACAGAGCAAGCTGCCCTTCGGTGACACCAAGCTCTCCCTGCCGCCGCTCGACGCCGACCACAACGTGCCGGACAGCTTCAAGCCCGAGAAGCACCAGAGACTGATCCGGAAACTGCTGCACATCGCCAACATCGGCAGGGGTAAATTCTTCGGAGTCGGTGAGTGGTCAAAGCCTGGATCCCAACCATGATCTAATTACAATCGAGATGACCACCTTTCTCATTGCTTCCTCCCCACAGGTTTCTTAATTATGACTTATGGTACACAGATTTAATACCCTCACTGCACCCTGTCCATAGACCCCAGTTTGCGCTAGCGAAGGACATCTTTATGTAGTGTGTGCGCAAAATGAAAACCTTCATCCATAAAAATGAAGCAAGTGTTTTGTTTGGGTCTTTCCGTTTCCAAACCTCGGCTCCGTCTCTTGTCCTGCCTCCAGAGATTTTAGGTCTCCACTCTAAGTTGCTGTATATATCCTTCGGGAACATCAGATCCTACAGTAAGTATGTGGCAGATTTGTAGAGATTTTCAGTTTGGTTTGGGCATTAAAGGGTTCCAAATGATTCCGGAGCCAGAGATTGAGCCGAAGTTAAAACTAAAGCCGGGGTTTGCGGAAAGCCTCTATGTCTTTTCCCACTCTCTGCAGGCGAGGACCTTCGCCGCACTCACATCATCTCTTCCGGCAAAGTAGAGTGCATCCTGGTATCCCGCGTCTCCTTCATGCGTCACGACCGAGGCAAGTCCCTAGAGAGCATGCAGCAGATGGTGGAGCAGCTCTATCCGTCCTACGAGGAGACCTTCACCAACTATCTACAGGACAAGCGCTGGCGGGCCTACAAGCACGGACTGGTCAAGGAGTTGATGCTGAGACGCAATATTCCCAACAACACTACCATTGAAGACGTACCACTCATCTTGCGCCAGGACAATAAACTCTAGCACACTGCTGAGAATTTGTATGATCTTGCCTTGAATTATATCAATTCATTTGTATTTTATTTTTAAATCGTGCTCCTCGAATCATTCTATTTATTGACTTTTAAATGGGAAGATGCCAAACAAATATCATTTTGTGGTTGCACTGCACGTCTCGCTTTATATTAATATTTTCGCATTTCGGCTGAAAACGTGAGATGACCTGTAATCCATACCTTAATTAATTAATTAATCAATCAATCAGAGCACAATTATGTTAATGTATAATTCACATCTATTGCTCAACTTCATTCATACATACCCATTTTTAAGTGTAAACAATATTTGCAGGATTTGCGTCGCTTTCGATTCCATAGGTTACATAATATACTTCTATAGTTATTACTTCTGTTTTTTTTGTCTATCAGTCTTCACATAAAGGCAAGTCATCAGGCCCAAATAAACTTATCAAATCACCATTTCGAAACGATTTTCATTTTCATTTAAAAAATGTTCGTCTTCAAGAGTACTAATGACAAACCGTGACGTACAGCCACAGAAGAACGACCAAATTCCACAGGGCTTCAAAAGGTCTCAGAAGATTACCAATCATGGAGCGCCCTCTAGCTTGACTTTCTGGAGAGCACATCACTGCTTGCCACGCATGCTTCAATGCATCACCTGGAGAATCGATATAGACACATGACAAGGAAGACGTCAGAAACAACATTATCTTTGTCAAAATTCATTCGCAGCGTCGAATAATGCCCCGAGTTTTTTTAAGGTATAAGATTAAGAACCCCCTTTTATTGAACCCCCCCCCCTCCAAACACACACACCCATTCGTTATAGAGACGGCATTTTGTTTATTTATTTTGTACAAATGGCGGCAATACCTGTTTGTTGGTCAATCTTAAGGGCAGTTTCGAGTATATACAGTGCCAAGTTGACATCTCGGGAGAAATCAGGTATCTTGGGCGGTCTGTCTCCTGGTTGGAGTACACGCCCAGGTAGGTACTTCCGCTGGAACAAGATCGTTGTGTTGAGATCGGTGACGAAGTCGACGGTGGCTATGTATCCGATGAGATGGGCCCAGCTTAGGCCGAAGATCTGCTCGGGCTCGGGCATGAGCGGCAACAAAGAGGCGTTGAACAGGGGCTGGGCTGTCTCCAGAGAGTTGGTGTGAGCAACCCAGAGCTTGGTGATGATGTCTCGCTCTCTCGGGCTAAACGTTGGAGGTGGAGATGGTGGGAGATTGAAACTATCGCCCTGGTTTGCGGTGGTTTGGTAATAAGGGTCAGGAGAAGCTGATCGGTATGTCAGAATCTTGAAGAAATCTGCCCAGTCTTTGATCACAGATGGAAACCGCGCATTGCAGGTTGCTAGGCTGGTGCAGTAGTCCTGCGGATGATGCGACGAGAAGGTGAACTCGATCTCGTAGGGCCACTCCGAGAACAAACCAGCCTTCACAGCACCCAGGAATGGCAAGACGGATAGGTAGTAGTTCATGCTGGCCCACCAACTGAAGGGTGAAATGCAATTCCAGGAGTTATGCATCCTCATAGTAGAGGTGCCGCTATGCCACCGAGTACCGTTGGGAAAGTCAAGCAGACGGCCGGAGCTGAATTGCCACCCGTGCTGCAGGGGTAGACCCCAGAGGATGTTGGCCGTGTTGTTGGCTTTCCCCAGGGTCGGATCCCCGGAGGTAGCACGCAGGAGAATCTTGTACAGCCCGAGACGGTCTGTGTAGACCCAGGGATCCACCACGGTGCGATCGCCATGCCGCGGATAATCGGCCAGCGATGACGGGGCCTCGTCCCAGTGTGGGATGGGCGCCACTCTGGGGTCTTCCTCGGAGGCAGAGCAGTCAGATCCCCTGTCTGCCGTGGCTAGACATTGTAGAACCAAACTGGCAAAAACTGGGATCAACCAGACGACATTGACGCCTGATGGCACAGATGACAGGGCCATGTTGTGTTTATTTCATATTGACAGTACCAGGTGGGCTAGTTAACCAACTTTGGATAAAGTCAAATAAGGACTATATGCACATGCAATGAACTGTTGAAATCGTGAGTAAACAGTTCCTAGCACCGTGGCAGTGCTTGCATGCAGTTTAATAACAACACTTGTCGAATATATATTTCTGTACAAGCAGCGATATGCCAGGACCAAAGGTTACAATTCTTGTCTGGCAATTCTGAAGTCATTGTAGTTATGTACCCACTTTGTAAACATCACAATAACACAATGACGGGGGGGGGGGGGGACTTCTAAAATTAGTTGAAAACCGAGGTATTGAAAAGTGTGGAAATGAGTGGGAAACCGTACTCCTGCACTTTCACGCTTTAAAACCATGATATCGGGTGACATGGACCCCTACGTTTTGGTCGACTTAATTTGATTTTATATTTGAAGCAAATTGTCTTTATAAAGATTTCACATGAAACTTTTTTGCTTCCAGGCATTCTGATAACGACAATCCCGAGATTATAAAACAATGTTGACCTTATATAACCTCCAGGGGATGAGCTACAATGACGTCAATTATAGTCGGATAATAAATTGCCACCATGGTTTAGGATTAATTTTGGGTGCGGAGAGGGGAGGTGTTTAACTTTACTGGCTACCATTGCTGGTAAAATTGAAAAGTAATGGCCAATGAGCTCGTCCATTTGTCCCTCCAGTGCCACAGCATTAGTGCTAAGTGGTTTATGGTTGCGCTTCGTCTGCTACGACTGCATGGTCACCGTTAAGTGCACCGTCTTTTTCAAATTAAAATCAAATGTACGCATTTTACTATAAATTCATGTCTATTTGAGCCCCCAAAATTTGGCGTCGTTGCAGCTCCTTCGGCATTTATTTTGATCAAAGAAAATGGCATTGTGGGTGAAAACAAAATAATGCGCGCACGCGTTGTTCAAAAGGGGACGGTTCAATAGGGTCACGAGCTCTCAAAGAAATGGGCCTTTATCGGTGCCCCGGGCCTTTATCGGTGCATGCCCCTGGCCTTGGCATAGGGCCGATGGGTACAATCGATAATTAGCCAGTCGCCGTCACATGAAGCCAGTGCAAACTTCGCAAAGCATTGTGGGTAGCTCACCGACATGACCAGTAACGTGCATTTTGTGCGCATACTAAGTATTGAAGCCGGGTCACCGATGAAAGGAAAACATATTGGTCAACATGTGATTTCAATCCTTGGATACTAGGGCCGGGCTATAGGGCGGTGAGAATATACGGTTTATGTACGGAGCCCCAGAAGTGTCACACTGCGTTCTACGACCGATTTTCTTTTTAAATTAAGAATAATAAGTTCTTACATTCATTTTGCATCACTTAAAGTGTCGTAGGTCGACATAAACTTTCTACGATTCATACGGGAAAAAAGGTTTGTAACAATGTAAGTCAATATTTAAATACGGCCGATCAAGAGTATAAAAAAGTCAATTCGCTGGAATTCTGTTCTAGCGAAAATCACATTTTGTGGTTTCATTCCTCGAAAGTACCTTTAATAAATTACAATAGATTTCACCTTTGATCCTCCACGTCTATACCATACACGTATTAATATAATGAAACCAACATGTTATGCTCAGCAGCTGCATTATGTACTGCACTGCCGTACATTGCGAGGTGCATTCACACTATAGGCGTTTCTCCATATTTCTATCCAGTGTTATAGGCGACATTTTCTCCAAACTCCCTTTCTCCAACTATAGGACGAGACCTCTCTGCAATATGAATGAGTACGTTGTTCCTGCTGTGCTATTCCTTGCTGGACTATTGGTATTGCATGTGCTGGTGAAGTTCCTTGTACCCTACGCTTTCCCAGCCTTTTTGGTTTGGTTTTCGAGGCGTTACAACGAAGCTATGACAAGTTTTAAGCAGGAACTTTTCAAGGACATGGAGACTCTTCGTGAGAATCTCGCCAACGGAAAACTTGCATCTGACGAAAAGCCATCGCTGACTGTCCTGGAGATCGGGGTGGGCACGGGGGCAAACTTCAAGTTCTACCCCGAGGGCACCGCGGTCATCGCGGTCGAACCGAACAAGAATTTCGTCGGCTATTTGGAGAAGTGCGTCGCCGAGCATTTCCCGCGGGTTCGCCTGCAGCGCACGGTGATAGCTTACGGGGAGAATCTACGGGGCCAAGTGGAGGACTGCAGCGTGTGCTGTGGTCTGCACATTGGTGCTTTGCACTGTCAGGGATATCGATGCTGTGCTGAGTGAGGCTAAGCGTGCTTTGAAACCAGTGAGTACAACCAGACGTTTGGATTGGGTCAAAGTTTGTTCTTGGATCTATTCTTGGATCTTATTATATACACACAAGACATCAATATCGTATTTCCTTAGATAATTCGAGTCCTAAACGGCTTCTTATCCCTTTAGCTTGGCTCCGTAGTATACACGGTGGGAGTTCACAGGATCCGGATCAGGATCTGTACCAAACACACATGTCCTCTGTTCAATGAACTTCATACACTTTATTTGCTTCACCGATAATTAGCTTCGCCATAATTGAATTAGGGGCGACACTATTGGCGAGAGGTTTTTTTATTATAAATATGGGTGGGCATTATAGGCTAAGAAATTTGTCTTACCAAGGAGCCCGAGAAGACCGGTACTACACATTCCTGAGCCTTGTCTTCGCGTCGTTACTCATGGAAAGCTAAACTATTTCGAAATCCATCCAGTGGATGTCGTTATAACCAGAGAAGCCTTTTTTTTCAATTGAATCCAACAGGGCGGCAAGTTCTTTTACCTCGAGCACGTGGCTGGCGAGCCAGGCGCGTTTGTCAGCAGATTGCAGTGGTTCCTCAACCCGCTCTGGTCCTACATCTACCGTGGATGTCAGCTGATGAGGACACCTTGGATCAATGTTGAGCGTGCGGGCTTCTCTAAGACCGACAGTCAAAGGTTCCTGGCTCCTCTTAACCTCGGTGCAGCATTCTTTCCAATAGAACCGCACGCGATGGGCGTGGCTACCAAGTAGTGAATTTCATTGATGCTCTAAAAAGAAATCAGGTTTTGGTTTGCTTTTTCAGATATTGCCGACTATTTTGTTGTACGTATAATCAACATGCCTTTATGTATTTAGAAGACTCCGTAATAATTCTTGCATGTTAGTCCTAGCCCGCATGCAGTATTTCTTTACAGCTTACATGTACGTACTTTCTTTTTATTTTGTTTCAAATCACCGAAGTAATTGTATTGGCATAATTTTTTTTTTTTACTTTAGCGATGCATTCGGTGCTGGGACGTTGAAGATTTTTTTCTTTTACACTTACTGCCAATCAAATGTATGACTATATTACTTTCTGCCAAATGGGTATAGAAACGAACACTCAAAATTTAATTATGTATTCTCTGTTTAAATAATTATGTTACTTAAGTTTACTCATGTAGGCCTACTTGTACGATCGAAAGTATTGCTCTTTAAGCCAATATTTGCAGTGGTATTATGGACCTATGCTATGTTACGTTATTTTGACACGTACTAAGTATGATTCACTCGAAGATAATAGCTAAAATAATTATTGCTCTTTAAACCAGCATTTGCAGTTATTTCCCTATGCTATTTCCCAGTTTGTTATTTTGATTCTTCAGTTTCACTATGAAGTTAATAAATTCAATTGTGTTGGAAAAAAAACTTTAATTAAGATTTGATTGTGACACCATTAAACACTCCATCTGAGAAGACCGACCAGCCGGCACCCTAAAATCGCGAGTGATGAACGTTTGACGGGGGCACGTTAAACTCAAATGTCTTGATGAAGACTGACTGGAACCCTTCTATACATGTATTAATATTACATTGGCTCTAATTTTTTTGTATTGGGCAAGGGAACAATATTTGTATGCCGTCTGTTCCAGTGAAACGATAAGTACAAACAGTGGCATAACTTGAGAAGGCCACCCGCCCCCCCCCCCTCCGGCCGTGTCCCTCTCAGAATTTGGAGAGGTTTATAAGTTGAAAATGAAGTCCTCAGAAATGGTGCCTCCTGTAATGTCGACCACAATTACGCACAGGATATTTCAATATACACACAGCAGCCAGGCTTTGAACTGAGACGTCCAGGTATTTGTTACGAAATCCAAGTTACATTTTGCACGACCAGTTACGTGCCAATAAAAAAAATGTTTAATTTTGGGAGGATGGCCGCGGCACTGATCTTCAGCGGTTCAACTTCTCACACTGGACCACTAGGCCTACAGGTCGAGAAATGGGCATTAATTTGCACTGTCGTTACATTAATAAGAGGCTTTCTTACTAGACTTGAACTTGGGAGTATCATAGCTATAAAATGGGATGATGGGAGTATTCAGGAGGAAAATCACCAAATACCACGTAAGAGTCAAGTAGCCTATTTATGAGTGGGGGAATGAGGGCTCCATGATGATTTGAGTTCAGGGGTGCACACCACCCAAAAGCTGTAAATTAGTGCTCGCGAGCTCATTAATATTTTGTGCTCCCACATATAATTTTGATTAAGAGGATCTTGCGGCCTATAATTGGGATGGATTGATTGTGGAAATATTAATGGAGATCAAGCATTTGTGACCTGTGGTTTGAAGCTCGGGCGATTTTGTTCGAAAAAACAACAACCACCTAACTTGTGGGACTATTTTGCTATTTGGCGGGGTTTACATTTTAAAGGGAATATACAACATTTGCAAACATCGACAAATAAAACTACCAAGTTTTTACGAAATACCTCACTAGGATGTTGGTTAAAGACAGTCTAAAGCATCCTGTAAAATTATGGCACTTGGTGTGAAGTCATTTTCAAGAAAATGGTAATTTTGTATAAATTTTGTATAAAACCTATTTTTTCAACTTCTGCTCCAAATTTACCGTTTTGTTCAGTCAAAATGTTGTTTGCTATTGGTTACATGTTCATGAACGGGTGCAGGCCAGCTAGACTGGTTCCCTGACCCAACAATTTTCCGGCATCTATAAATTGATCCATTTCATCTTTAGTGGAGTCAGGGAACCAGACTACTTGAACGTTTTTGTTTTTCTTGGCTTTTCCAGCATTTTCGAACACAAAACTTCAAACATGTCAGTGCAACAATATTTGATCTATTATACTAACCCCTCAAATAGTTCATTTTTAAAAATAACAGCAAAAGCCAATGATGCACATTCCCTTTAAGACCTGCTGCCCAGGGATGGTTTTGGGAGAGGGGAATAAAATAACATTGACGGGGCTAACTCTGGGTAAAATGGAACAGAAAGTTGTCCTGGGGTCGTAATCTTTAATTTCCAGTGGGTGGGGGTGGGGGGGGGGGGGGGGGGGGGACTTGCTCTTGAGCTTCACAGGCGGCGCTCTGTGTCAGAATTTTGCATTGTCATCCGGTGAACAAGAACAGCGCCACCCAGCGACCGTTATTCTCAGCGCGTCACTACTGGACCTTACCCGTACCCGGTGTAGGTGTACAACTTAATTTCAGTGCTTCTTCGTTGAAGATCCTCGCAAAAAAACATGGAAAAATCTCCCCTAGCTGGTCTCTTGGACTATGTCGTCCCTGTTCTACTTGTCGTGGTTGTACTGTTAGTTCTTCATTTGCTGAAAACGATCGCTTTTCCCCATATCTTTCCATGGGTGGTTGCGCGCATAACGATCAACTACAACAAGGCGATGGCGAGCTTCAAGCAAGAACTCCTCAAAGACATGAAAGACCAGCTGGACTCCCTCCGCGAAAAGCCGGTGGATGGAAGCTCTGCGAACGGGGAAGCACAACCCTCCCTTACCGTGCTTGAGATCGGGGTGGGTTCGGGAGCTAACTTCAAGTTCTACCCCGACGGCACCACGGTCATCGCGGTCGAACCGAACAAGAATTTCGTCGGCTATTTGGAGAAGAGCGTCGCCGAGCACTTCCCGCGGGTTCGCCTGCAGCGCACGGTGATAGCTTACGGGGAGGATCTACGGGACCATGTGGAGGACTGCAGTGTGGATGCTGTGGTCTGCACATTGGTGCTTTGCAGTGTCAGGGATATCGATGCAGTACTACAGGAGACAAAGAGAGTGCTAAAACCTGTATGTGGGAGCTTTGCGATATTCATACAAAAAATTACAATTAATTTAGCTTGAGTAACTCCAGCTTAACAAGCTCATCAGGAAAATGCTACATGTGAATTCCTGATGAGCTTGTTAAGGTGGAGTTACTCAAGCTCAGTACAATTAATTATGTTTACGCTATCACTAGTAGTATTAGTGTCAGTATCACCTAGCCCAGGTTGGACAAAGTCCCTCCGTACGTAGGAAGGAAAGGGAGTCCACCTGGGCTACAGTATAATGTGGCCTCTAAATTCTTGTCAACCATAATTTTCATCATCACTATATATATTTCAACAACAAAACAAAAGCATACCAGTTTAATTTCTCATGTTGCCATTCTTTTTCCAGGGAGGGAAGTTCTACTTTCTAGACCACATCGCCGCAGATCCTGAAACCTGGACCAGCACACTGCAATGGGTTCTCCGTCCCGTCTGGTCCTATGTAGGCGACGGCTGTCAACTGGTCAGGAAAGTCTGGCCGGAGGTAGATCGGGCTGGCTTCTCCAGAGTCAGCTATAAGAAGTTTTTGGCTCATCCTACACTTCCTCGCGTCATACGACCCCATGTGATGGGAATGGCGACCAAGTAGTTCATAAAACCATGTCTGAGATTTACAGAAAAAAAGGGGTTTGCTTGACGGTAGCTTGTACCAGTCTTACAGTGTGACCTGGGCCCAATTTCATGGCTCTGCTTACCATAAGCGAAAACTTTCCACTTACTGCAGCAGACAATTCCGTGCTTACCGTAAGCATATATTTCATGGGTTAGCGAGGATTTTTGGTGTTTAAATGCATGTGCACACATCCTGTAACTAAGGATTCTGTGCTTACTAGGTAATAGCATATATTTTTTTGCTAACACTGTTACTGTTAGCACAGAATGGTGATCCAACACACAGAATTCTGTGGTTAGCAGAGCCATATGAAATTGGGCCCGAGCATAACAGCAAATTGACTAAATACTCTTGTACATAATACATGAGTATTTGGAATAGGTACATTGTAGTGTACGATCATCAAATTAATTAGAAAGATGTCAGACTGGGGAATGAATGTAGTATCCTGATGCTACTTTACAAATATATAAACAACAAAATTGAGATGGTGTCTTGTTTCTTAGATATTAGACAACTATCATATGAACACTGTTAGAAATGTGTTGATATTTCTATTAGAGATTTTTTTTGTGGAATAATGTTGCACCAATATGAAGCTTGCCATTTGGAAGGATCCTTCCGGTGACAAGGCAAGTTTGTGCTGTCACTAGAGGGCCTCCTTCACATTGATGTAAACATAGCAAACTGGAATATCGCAGCAATATTTTTTTGAAAAAAAAACCTCTGAAAAGTGAAACAGTGAAAAAATGTTATCCGAGAAAAAAAGGTCAGATTAGAATTTCCTTTGAGGGACTGAAAATTTGTGTTAAAGGCAGCTGAAACATTGATTGTGAAGTGTGTAGCTTTAGCGTGGGATGTCACATTTTAATTCAAAATATGAAATGACCAAATGCTTTCAGTTTAAGCCTAGAGTAAGGAAGAAAAAAATCGCAGCTGTATTCAAATTTTGGAATGAGAAAAGGATGTGCAGCTGTTCAGTTAGAACATCAAAAGTAGTATAGTAAAATAGTATCCTTTTGAAATATATTACCTTTTTTACTCGCAAATTGTTAATCTTTCTTGTTACTAATTTTTTTTTTACCAGATTGTTAATTTTTCATGTAATACCAAACATCTCATTTAATTTGTTTAAGCGTAACTCTTTTAACTTTATTTAGCATCACTACCATTCTAGTTCAAGTTGTGACGATTCAAAAGCATATATTTTAGTTGTGATAAAGTTTAAATTGCAGTGACATTTCAATATTCAAAATATATCAACACATTGTAGAGTAAATATGGCATGTTGAAACTTTTCCGAGCAAACTACACATATTTAGAACTCATCTTATTTTGCAAGTTTTGCTAGACGCTAATGCCTGTGATATTCATGCTTCATGCAATGCCTTTAATTAAAGGTTTAAAAAGAAAAAAAAATTCAGACACAAATTTGCATTTCAAGTTTATTCAGCAGGTTTACTTTTACTTTAAATTTATCTTTTTACTGACATTAGTGTTAGTTTTTGTGTGTAGATGTTATTCAGTGCGTTTTGGTTTGCATTAACTTCAGTCAAGCATAAATGTAGTTCTGCACCATTTACTGGGTTTTACCTATTAAACAGTGATTCCATTAGTGCAAAAAACATGCAAAACAGACCATGTGAAAACTAATACTGACTCTTTAGCCAGCAAACGTTTCCCAAATTCCCAAAAGGTAAAGTCTCAACTCAGATGTCTAGACTGCATTTTAAAATCTTTTGCAACAGAGAATGAAACGTGGTTCATAATATTTACACGCCCAATTTTGTTTGGACAAAACAGAGCATTTGTTAATCTGGTGGCGTGACTGCAGGGAGAATGTATAGAAGTACATGTAGAGATTTGGTACCAGACCTTTTGCGTTTGACACAATAACTTGTGTAATACTGAAGAAATGGACTGGTTGTTTCATGCATATTGCATATTTTCACTACAGTCACGACAGTATTGCGAGTCTTACATTTTTGGACTAGGCTTCGTGGAGGAATGGTTGTTTCTGATAAATCCCCTCAGGAAAGGAAAAAGGAAAAAGGTGGGCCCACTTACCACAAAAAAATAGCTGGCTCATATTACACAGTGCGCCGGCACGCCCTTCCTTCCCCCACTCCAGCTAATTGACTTTCCTGGTTGTTTGCTGGCCTGTAGCTACATTTAGAGCATTTTTTGGTGTTGCTTGATGTTCAATCTACAGGCGTGAACATGTAGTGCAGTTCCGCTAAACAACCAAAGAATTCTGTGCTCACAGTGCCAGCAGAGCAATTGTGCACTGACCCTGCAAGCACAAATCCATGGAATGTACCCATGCTTGAAATTCTTTGCTTAGACTTAAAAAAGCTTATGCTAAATTTTTCTGCATTAGCTAACAGAGATTTCCAATTTTATTTGCATGTAGTTGAAAGAATTTGATATCATGTATGTATATTTTTATTAATCACTTTGAAATTTTAATTGTTCTACATATGTTTATCTAACCTCCACATCCATTTTAAAATCAAAAGTGTGTGATCAACTGTATTCAATAATTCATATAATTTTCAGTATTCCATTGTTTTAATCGGATTAGTCTTTGTAAAATACAAATTAACTGATGATTTGAAAAAAAAAAATAAAAAAAAATGAGACACATTTTAGAAAGAATGATTGCTGTTGTCTTTGCTCTTTTATTGTTCCTTGGTTTTAATTCTAATGTACATGAGGGGAAAAAGTCATTTGGCAAGACAGTATCAAAGCATTCATTTGCATCTTTTGGTTTTGAACAATTACAAAAAGTAATTTCCAATTCATTAACCATTGCTACTATTCATAGCTTGGTAGGTTAAAAGTAATTGGATCATTTGCCTTTTTCATTTGAAGCAACACAAATGTTCAAAATCTTAAGAAGATGCATAACAACTAAGTTGTTGAAGTTTGAACTTGCTGGATACTACGTTGTACGCATTTCGGGAAAAGGTATGCACAATTTTTGGAGTCTCGTAACTGGACTCCATTGGTAACATACGTAAAAGAACTGTCCGTGGGCCCATTTTCTCAAACCAGTCCTATACCAGTCCTATCTTCACTTTGAGCAAGGATCTTCTCATTAAATCAGTAGCTTAATTTTCCGGGTAATTGCAAATGTTCCTACATGCCTTTAAAATGCGAACAGTTTGAAAATGCAAGAATATGCAAGAGTAATTAGAACAAAACAGGAAAATTTCACAACATAATCAACATCAAACCTTCAAGTGAAAAATATGAAAACATCTTTAAGAAAAATTAAGTAACAACCAATGTGAGAAGGCCATATAGTAGGGTAGTCAGAAGGATACAGACTATGCAGCTCAGGTAGATGTATGAACAAAAGGACTTATAGCATTCAATATTGGGTTATGTCCTTCACCAATGTCATTTCATAAACACTGTATACTCGAGTGTTGTCCGAGGGCTTGTAAGAACCCACGACCTCCAGCTTGGTAGTGCAGATGTCTTACCACTCTACCACTGAGCTTGCCGGGGTTTGTTACCTGGTTCGAATCTGATACAGCAGGGGGTACTGCTTACAATCACTAGTCGTGAAACTAGCATTGTTTTCAGTTTCCCTAAAAAAACCTGACAACTTGCGGTTTCCTGTCTGTATATTTTTTTTGCCAAGAAACAAACCCCATGTGTGTCTGCCTGTTTGAGAATCTGCAACTCATAATCAGTATACTTCTACAAGTTCAGCAAGGCATAGACCGCGCAGTGTATACAGTTAATACTTCCGGAAATAAACCACCAATGCCAGTTTGAATACCATAAACACGCACATGTATTGCCTACCTTATTTTTAAAAAAATCTTGACAACGAATAACAAAACTAGATTTATTTTAGTTTACAAAATTGATTTTTTTTAAATGTGCATTTTCCTCTTAAGCTTAAAAAGTTTTTTTAATTAAAAGCATGGGCGGATATTCACATTTTTACACGTTTTTTGTTCCTTAGCAAAAATTAATGTAATAATTAGTGACTTATAGGCCATGAAAATACAAATGTATACACAATCTTAACAATGTTGTAATTACACATGACAAGATATGTAACACTTTTTATAATGAATACAGTCATTTTAAGCAAATTAGCAGCAGCTTGATAACAAAAGTTTAAATTTGGGAAAAGCTGGAATGGTAGGCAGACAGACAGACAGACCGACCAACAGACAGACGGAAAATCATCTAAGGCCTTAACAATGTGATTTGGATCTTGGAAAATCAAATGCTTCCCACATAAGGTTATTATTTTCTACATTTTCCCCCATTTGAATCAACAAAATTACTCCAAATCTGAAGTAGGGTGGATAACAATTGAGCCGTTGAAGTTTCAGCTCAGAGGATACTATACATTATGAAGAAACAGAGAAACATACCTAAGCACAGTTTTTTTGGGGAGTCTAGTAACTGGATTCTGCCATGGGCACACTTGGTTTTTAAACAATCTTCAATATTTTTTAGGGGAATAATTTTACAGGGTATTTGGTATCACCCCTATATTCACTTTGAAAAAGCTTGCTTTTTTCTCTCTCATAAAATGGAGAGTTAATCTACCAGGCCAGACTTGACTTCAACATTTTTTTTGTCAGCGATTAATAAACATTCTTTCAGCTAAAACTACAATCACTGATCAATCTTATTCATTAAAAATTCCAGAAAAATCTGTAAAAAATATATTTATATTTCTTAAAACAATCATACCCAAATAGTATTTCTTCAATCACATTTGAAAAATCTGTTAAGAAAAATATGTACACTGTTAATTACAACAAACCATCTTTTTAACAGTCAGATTCCAAAGTTTCCCCCGAGTTAAAATATAGGTTACAATACGATAACTGCTCTGAAGATCTGAAAATACTTGACGGAATTTTTTGTCTCTAGTTATCCTACTTCCTGTATGAACTGTAATGCGGACATATAATACTGGACATGATATACTCCAGTTGACAGTAAAATACAAAAACAAAAAAATTCTATCCGTGTTCATTTCTTGTATGTTAATATCCCATTCTACAATCTATTTACAATTTTTTTTACAAAAATCTGATATCTCTGATAACTGCTCTGTACAGATCTCACAATGTTCAATTTGCTACACCAACCTAGTGCAAATGATATAACTGGAAATGTTAGGAAATTTCAAATTTTCACACACTTTTTTTGTGTTATTAAATTATACTGATATAATCACGCAATATACTCGTATCAGTTTTCTGAGGTAAGCTATGTAATTTTTACATTTTAGATTAACCCATTTTTTTTTAGATTCTGATAAAAATGCTGTTAGTAAAGAAAGCAGAACATGTCTTTGTGTTTGGTTTGAACTGTAAAAGGCACTCATAGTTAATCACAGTTTCCTATTCACATTAGCGTTCGCTGATTGGATGGCTGTTTATTTCAGTATTCAATACTTAAAGGGCCCAGGAAATGGGGTTTAACATAACAAAATACTGTTTTTAATTTCAAGAAAACTAATGGGAATTCATTTTGACTGAAAAAAAATTGCATGTTTCTCTCAAGTTGCCCTCTCCATGCTTTTTCCAAACATCGTGGCACTGTTCCTGTGATACTTATTTTAGACACGTACTGTACAGTCTGGGGAATTTGTTTTACCAAAAAAAGGAAATCTGAAATGACACTTATTCCATTTCCGCATCAAACGTTCTCACAGAATGGCTGACTGCCAACACAACAGTAAAAAAAATTCATCCAAAAAATTCTTAGATTTGAAAACTTAGCACGCAAACAGCTTTCGCATATGAAAGATACACCAGGAATATTTCGAGAACTCCAGTCAAAACAAATCCATTACATGGGCCCTTTAAGTACGAGGAAATTAGTGTAACAAGCATTCCATGTTGGATTACTAAAAATAGTGTCAACCTTATGGCAACAAATGTTGTGTTGTTTTGTTCGTTTTGCAATCTGCCAGTGTCACTCCATTTGAGCTTCTGAAGCCAATTTCTAGGAAATGCTAAGCACACTTTTTTTATAAGCAATAGATATATCTGCTTAACAAAAACAGGCTTAAACCCAAACATTCCAACATTCTGACTAATGAGGAATTCTAAACTATTCTGTGCTCAGCACAAATTTTGCTGACCGATATTTGTCTTTTAACCCTCCTGCTATTTAAACAGCCACACACAGTCAAAATGTCCATCCACTTCCCCTGCTATACTTTAATACAGGCTAGTCACCAGCAGTAAGATCATGTAAAAGTAAGCACTGTGACTAGTCAAAATCAGTCAACAGGCCATGAACGGACAAAGCAGGGAAGATGTGGGCACAGCTGGCTTATCAATTACCCACAGTCAAAGCATAGCTGTATCAAGTTACATTAACAGTCCCAGCCAGTCAATGTAGGCTGGGAATTCTTAATTGTTGAAAACAGTTACTTGTTTGACTTTGACTGAAAGGACTACTTGGTACAGAATGTATGTTTGCATAGGAGGGTTAAGCATCTCAACAAAACTTGGCCTAGATGTGCACAGAGATGATTTTGAACACTGCGATGAGTCATGTTACACAACCCAACCATACATACCAGTACACTGCCATGCATTACCAATCCGGCAGAGTTCAACGCAAATCCTATTTAAACCTTTAAGATTATCAAACTAAATCCACACCCATTTTTCACTCATTACTCAACTTTATTTTTATACTCACCACTTGCCAATTCCACAGAGCTGCAAAGCTGAGAAATTTGGTTAAGCGCAGAAAATATTTGCTAACCAAAAACAGGTTACTAGCAAAAAATGACAACACGCATTTGTCTGTTTACTTCCTAGCTTCACACAAATGTGTTTAGCTATATTTTTTTGCTTAGCAGCTCCATAAGATTGGATCATATAGTGAATGATTGTTATCAAACCGTTACCCGCTTTCCTGTGTCCATTATAGAAAGATTAATTTGGCACTAATAGTTCCTCTATACCAAGAAGACAGCAAATGGAATAAAATAATATAGATGCATCTGCTATGAGTAATATGATCTACACTAAGAAAGGAAGAGTACAGTTGACTTTTAATGCTGGAATTATGTACAACTTGAAACAGCTGCTTCTGAACAGACATCCAATAGATTGATTGCATTAAGCAGCCATCTTGGAGGTGCGTTTTGTTGTGATAATTCATTAACAATGAATGCACAAGAGTTCTACTCATGCCTGTCCCTGTTGATAAAATGCACACGCCTCAAAGATGGCTGCGGTGAAAATGATCTATGTTTTTTGCAATTTATAGCTACAAGTTCCAAAATTTTTTTCGTAAGAAGTGCTTATTTAAAAACAAAAAAGGGAGAAATTTCAATGTAAAAACCACTGTCTTATAAAATTGTTGTTTTGGAAACAGAAAACTGTTCGGTCGTTATCAATGTTGATTCAAACTATCACCACATACTTAGTCTTGATCTAGGATAACATTTTCCAATCTAAAAACTTCTTAAACTATCTTATTAAAAAAAACAGCTGAAACAGTAAAATATTAGAAGTAAGAAGTGCATTCTGGTATTAATTTTTTAACTGATAAACTCACATTAAAAATTAATTATTCAACATAATACATATATTATTGTATAAAAGAGCTTTAGATGTTTCAGACCTACTCATCTGAGACCGAGTTCTTGCTCACTGAAGGCCACCGCGTGCTCCTGCGAGATGGCCGCCAGCTCTTTCAGAAACTCATCAAAGATGACGGCGCAGTAGACCGCGTTGCGAGTCTTGAGTGACTGGTACTCGGCCGAGGCAGCCGGTAGCGCCATGCCGCCCTCGTTTATCTTGGCTAGTTTCTGCTTCTCGGTGGCGCTGAGGGACTTGTTGCGTGCTTTGCCGCGGCGTAAGAGGTTGTCAAATGCCGACTTGTGTTTTGCTAGAGGGAACAGAAATAACAACTCAGTGTTTTCCTTTCATATTTTGATCAGACACAATGGGTCAAAATGAGGCTACAGTTGCCCTAGACCAACAGTTCTTTCCAGCAACATATCGTCACTTTATTAATTCCTCAATATTTTTTTTGCAAAAGCCTCTATAAATGTTCCATTACTTCCGGCAATTATGTCTTCCATAAATCAGTAGATTAAGATTTTCTCTCATATCAGCAAGCTCGAATTGCACAATCAACAGCTGTGCATGAAGACTTAAGATGGCAAGCTGGTATCTGTAATTGCTAAAAGAGGACCACAATGGAAAGTGAATAGATTCACTTCACAGTCAACATTCATGTTGAAAGAAAGGCTTTGAACCTCTGACCTCAACGTAGGGCAGGATAGCTCAGTTGATAGAGTACCAAAATGGTGTTCCAGAGGTTGCAAAATGCAATTCCCATTTCAGTAGTGTGTTTTGCTTAAGCTTACGGTTTATAATGCACTTTTGAGAGAAATTAGAAAATTGTTCTTACCCAGAGTCTTCAGAGAGCCACTTCTTGTCCTGCCAAATTTTCCAGGCTCTACGATTTCACTTAGAGAGCGCCCTCTTAAGGTGCTGTCACCATCATCCTCTCGCATGAAGAGGTAATCTTTAGCGCGCACCAGGAGGTCGCCAAATTCAGGAATGCTCTTCGCGTAGGGATCCAACCTGTTCCGTATTGTCGTCAGAATCTAATGGAATTTGCACATGAATTAAAAAAATGAGATGATGATGAAAAAAGAAAACAAATGCTTAAATGTATCCCATCCACACGGCTCTCGAAAGTGGTAAAAAAGCATCTCTCTTGATGGCTCACACAGTCCACAGACTTTGTAACTCACAGATGAAGAACCACAAAACTCACCTGAATGAGGGAACGCACACTGGGCTGGAACACCATGGTAGTGTTGAGCAGATAGGACCGTAGCAAAGGCTGTGGGTAGTAGGCAAGTCGGGCAATAATGCCAGTCAGAAGGAGGTTGACGTAGAAAGAGTTCTCCATCATGGTGTCCAGGCGGGAAAAGATGGCCTCCATGAAAGGGCCTGTCATTAAAAGGAAGGAGAGCAAAATATTATGAATACTTCAGAATTGATAACGAATAACATGTTGCGTCTCCTAACATGGCCGCCTTGATTCCTTTTATTTTAGCACCTCACTTAAGTAACAGTATAAGCCAAAATTGCATGGAGAGTGAAATTTTGGGAAGTTCACAACTTTGGTCAACACAGTGCCCTCTATTTTTGAATGGAGACAGGAATTCTTACCTGTTGTTGGCATTCCAATGGCTCTTCCAATGGGAGAGTACAGAGGTCTGGCTGCGGCCTCCTGCGGCCTCAGAGACTGCTTGTATTGGGGCATTTGAGTCGGGGACCATCCAGTGTGAGAAGCACCTTGTGACGTGAAACTTTGGTTTTGCCTTTTGACATCTGAGCTGACTGAGGAGTTGAGCATCGAAAAGTGGTTTTCGTTCAGGGAGGAGCTGAGGGGTTCATCGGTACCCGCTTCACTGGTCTCACTGTCTAGATGGGTGCGATGCGCCTTGCTTCTAGAGTTGGATTGCTGATTGGTTGACATTGGCTCGCCTTTTGAACTATTGAAGCCCAGAGCATCCAAGATCTGCTTGGCTTCATTAGCCGAGCCCTCGCCACCAGCTAAATCTTGTCTCGGCCTGCCCCCTTTAGGGGAGAACTCAATGTCCGAGTCAAATTCCCAAAAGACACAGGGTTCGTCCTGATCCTTCTCGGACTCAGGCTGGCCGGCACTACTGAGCCGTTTCTCTTTCTTCTTCTCATTCGACAGGTTCTCAATGAAACTGGCTCCACTGGCATCCTCTCCGAGAGCTTGCAGCCAGTTGGCAACTTGAGATCCTTTCTGGGAGCTACCAATATTGCCATTTGGGACACCACCACTACTTGTTCCGTTGTAAAGATTAGAATCTAAAACAGGGGAATTGCTACCAGAGAAGGCACTATCAGACTCCTGAGACGGTTTTGTTGCAGGTCCTGTTAAATTGAGATCTTTGGGTCTAGACTTGCCAGTACTCCCTTTACTCTCAGGCAATGGGAGTTCACTGGCATTTTCAGATTGGTCTAATTTGACGGGAGAAATTTTCACTTCATCATGGGTTTCGCTGTCCTCAATAAAACCATTTTCAATTGGCTTCACTTCGGTGATAGTTTCTGATGATGATCTCTGTTCAACCTGAAGTGTGGATGCTTCAACCCTTGGTGTCTGAACTGCTACAGCAGCATTCTCGTCCATAAATAAATCGGTGATGTTCACGTCTGACGTGTCCACTTTCTCGCTGTCGCTCCCTATTTTCAGCGAGAGCACCTCCTGGATTGTGGCTGTGAGTTTGACATCCAAGCTCCGCAGTCTCTCCCGGTTCCTGGGAAGCAACTCGGCCACGGCGTGTCCTTTATAAGAGGAGGATCCTGCATTCAGATCCTCTTCAGTAGCCAAGATGGGAAAAGAAGCCGAGTTTGGTGCATTTGTAGTGATATCAAATGATGATGAAATCCTAGCTTTGTCTTCGGCAGGTGACAAGCTATCTGGACTGAGAGTCGCCGGGGGAGGGTTGAGACCATCATACGGTGCCGACCAGTGATGGGTGCCGAGAGTGCATGCTTGTATGCCTTCCTTTGCATCCAGAAGATACTCTACCTGGCTCGTCTCAAAGTCCGAGAGATCGAGAATCATTGGTGGAAGTTTTGGAGGGACAGGACTAGGTTGAGGGGGTTGGTGCTTCTGAATGGCCCCCTGGCCGGCTCTGACATCTTTGCCTCTACTCAGAAAGTTCTGGCTTGGAGTCCTAGCATTGGGATGCACATGACCAGCATTTGGCATACCAAGCATCACCTGGTTTCCTGTCCTTGCCGAGTCCATGACACTGCTTGTCGTGGCATTTGCAGAGTGGCTGTCCATGCTTTGGGCAGACTTGACGGCATCTTTGGACGGGGACTTGCAACAAGCTGGCCTGAGGGACAGGAACCTGTCTGCTGATTTGCTATGCAGGTCCACCTCCTTGATGGCTTTGCGTTGGCTGACCATGATGTGGTTGCATGGAACCAGGAATCTGTCATGGTTTAAAAGAAAAAAATAATATTACACAAGCTGCTAACATTTCAAGCAGACTCTTTGACATCAATGGGTTTTGCAGCTTTTAGCAGGACCAGGAAGGAAGAACCCAGCTGCTTTTATTTATAAATATTTATAAGATGGACGCTCCTATTGTGTATGATGCATGCTGATAGATACGTATACTGAAAACATTTTACAAAATTCAACTTCTAGGGGCGTTTCCAAAGCTACTCACTTAAGAATGAGTTCCAGCATGAAGTCTTCGCAGTTGAGATTAACCAGAGTGTGAAATAGAGACAGTGTCACCAGACATAACTACATGTAGGGGAAAAAAAATCAAGTTTATTTTATCAATAGATATGTAAACACTCAACAGACTAAGAAAACAACATCCTGCCATTCAACATGCAAAACCAATAACTTTTGCATCAAAGTAACGTTCACAAAAAAGAGAAGCCGAGATTTGATGAACAGATTTGTGTACGTTTTAGGTATCTCAAGATGGCTTCTAGGTGACTTCTGCCTATGTTATCAACGTGCTATCCAGTCAGTGTACAGTTGACCCTCGTTAATTAAAACTCTGCCAAAAAGTTTGTCATTTTAGAATTGTGTATTAAGAGGAGTGCCGTTATGCACTAACATACACAGTCAGGACCAAGGCTTTATGTTCACTGCAACTATAATCTAATTAACAGAGTTTGTGTTAACAAGAGTCAACTGCATAGAGATCATTGGATAGTGCACTGGTTACTAGGACAGCTATCAGGACTCTTACCCGGGAGTTGGAGCCTATTCTGGCCAGCAGAGAGTCCAGCACTAAGCGCCCCTCATGTTGGCCCATGCATAGGTAGTGCAGGAACGCTCGCATCAGTCTTGAGGACGTGATGCTGGACACAAAGAGATTCACGTAGGCCGTTGTGGCCACAATTTCATCCTGTGGGGCCTATGAGAAAGAAGGGAAAAAAGGGGAAAGTTCAAATTATGCAGTACAAGTAGGAAGGGGTAGAAATGGGTCTTTCCTGGAAGTTTGGAAACGTTTTGTGACAACTTGACACATTTGTAGCCATAGTGTTAGGAGTCACTTATTTTACTTAAATGTTATTGATGTTTGTTTTAAACGTTTCCAGTTGTAGAATATTACACAGCATTCAGATATTATTCAGCGAGGCATTTTAAAAAAAACCTAGAATTCTTGCTCAAGTTTCCTTCAAAGAAATAGCTGAGATGATTCCCAACTTGTAACACTCTATAACAAGAAAAAGAGTTAATGCGAATGATTATAACAATTTAGTTTTATAAAGGATCACTAATAATTCATTTAAAAATGTGATGTGTCAAAATGTCACAAACGGTTCCTCATTTCATTGTGAGACTAAGTTCTGAACAGTTGTATTTCAAACTTGAATTGGAGGTCTTTTTATATAAGATTGTCTCCAAAAACATTCCGAAACCATTCTAACCCTTTAGTGACCAAAGCATCCAGAGGTGGCAAGAACTGAAATGCCAATGAGTATCACAGACTGCCAGCAATTTTGTTTATATTCTTTTTTTTTAAACCCCTTGAAAACTTAAGGTTAATAACATTTAATAATAACATTTATGACATTTCCATGTCTTCATTTAAATCAGTTTGTCTCTTTAGAAAAATGCCTACCTTTTCCATCACAGCAAACAGCACTTTGATTCTAAACATGCTAAATCATGCTAAATGCTATTTTTTGTGTTACTATAATGCCATTCCTTTTGCACTGCAACACTTGGGTAAAATCTCAGAAGCATTTTAACTACAATGTATCTCCATGCCTGAACAAGTAATCATACATTTTTGCAAATCTCTACAAAGAGATTTCAGAGAGTCAGCTACCGTGTAAAAGATGTTCTGTGTCCCAGGTAAAGTTTTGCCCAGTTGTACGTTGTCCCACTTTACCTTTTGACCCGATCAATCACCAAAATGTTTAAAAAGTATGTCAAAACATGATGATGTAAGACCCTAATGGGAATCACTGTCTGTTTTTGTTGTTCATGACTAACAACAGGGGTGTGAGTGACCACTGATAAAAATAGCTGAAAACAGCTGGAAAAGGTGTAAAAAAGCTGAACTTTGGAAATCTCCTATACTTTTGTACACAGCAAGTGAGGGAAAAAACCTGAATTCCAAAACAAAAACAGCTGAAATCAGCTTTAAAGCTGAGATTTCACACCCCTATAACAACTTATTTAGGAAACAAGGGTGTAAACAGAGATTTTTACAACTTGGACGTCCACCCTCTGTTTTTGTGAAAGAGCGCCCTCTCTAGTCACACCTTTGACACCAGCTATCCCAACTTTTGCCAACGACACAGCCAGACAAGTTTTTTGGGCAACACTATTTTTTAAAAGTTGACCAAAGAAATTGACTGGACGGGGTCTTACCCAGCAACCTCCGGATTGCCGTTCCGGTGCTCTACTGAGCTATCCAGCCCTATGTTAGCAGTTCCCCACTTTGTCAGTGTCTTTGTTCAGGGGGTGCTAGTCAGAAGCTATCAATCCGAAATGCCCAAAGTCACGATGCTAGCAACATCAGCAATGCTATTATAAGATGGAATTTTTTTTTTTTGCGTCGGTTGATATAAATCAAATTAGGTTTTGCCCTTCACCGACGTTTAAACACTGTATACACTGTATATAACACACTGAGTATACAGTGTTTAAACGTCAGTGAAGGGCAAAATCTAATTTGATTAGCTATGCTGCAAACCCGGGAAATAGCAAATGGAGATCACTCACAAAAAATACTGTTGTGTATTACAGTTTTCAAATAAAACACAATTGGAAAACTGACTAGGTGCATACATAACACTATTAGACTTGTCTTGTATGTCCTCTCATAGACAAGTTAAGCAACCAACAATCCCTCACATAACAAAACATCTGATCCCAAAAATATCACAACTCTTTGGTTTCAAAATAACCATAACCGCATCAACACAAAGAGTATTAAAAATGAACCAAGGTGAACATTCCACACCACCGTCACAGTGCAATACCAAGAAAATACTGTGCAAATCACAACCAAAATATGAAAGATTAAAAGTGTGAAACAAATTTTCTGAATCAAAAATTATAATGCTCTCTAGTGGTACATCTTCCAGAGAAAAACAAAAAGGTAAAATATTAGTTAATAGACAAAATATGTTCATTTAATAAGATATTACATATGATTACGCTAGGGTTAGTAGTAAAATCCAAAAGGAAAATGAAACACAATACAATAATGATAAACAAGGGCGTTATATCAAATGTTGGTCTTGTTTCATGGAGCTTATAAGCTTAATTTTCTATCATAGATTTACCTTTGCTTAGCAAAAATAAAGGACACCAGTCACAGTGACATGTTAAGCATATTTGGTAAATGACTGGCTCTCTGGTTCTCTGCAGATCTTCGCTCAGCGGATACATTTTAGCAATATTATGTGCTTAGCAGCTACGTGAATTTTGGACGGCGTTGATAACAGAACCAACACAATAGCAGTTATGCAAACACAGTGTTTGAGTCCAAAATACAAGGGGTTGCATTAAATGCATTTATTAGGACTATCCGTTTTTAAAACTGTGATCACAGGTCAATAAATTTTGAGTTCTGTTTACTTTTTTAAACATACATGTACACGTCCCAAATTAATATACACAGGACTGTGAGTTTCAACTAGTACTGTGAGAGTTACTTGTAGGAAAATGTACAACAGCAGTTAAAAAGTGAGAAATGCTGTGTGAATTTCTTCACCATATTAACATGAGGCTTCCTGCAACACTTTATCCTGAACACGAAAGAAATGTGATGGGTGTAAAGTTGGATGGTTTAAATGGTGTCGTAAGGAAATGAGTGGAAGTTTGCAGTGACATTATGTGACAACAAATTGTGAGAATATGAGTGCTTTCCTGTAGAACAGTTCAATAGTGTGAACAGTATGCTCTGTTCATTCTCAGGAGAGACCCCAGAAATATAAAGACTTGATCACGGAAGCAACTTCCAAGTTGTTTTTGTTGAATTCCTTATCTCAATTTGAAAGGATTCAGTGTCACTCCACGGAACCCTCAATCCTGATTCCATGATTTGCCTTTCCTGGACTTCCCTAAAATGTATAAGGAATTCTATGACTTGTCAAAGGTTTTCTATCATGCATTTGAGGATTTAGCAATATTTGTGATTACTATCCTGGACTTCCCAAACATCTATAAGGAATTCTATGACTTTTCCAGGGTTTCCTATCATGCATTTGGGAATTCAATCTTTATCACCTAGTCCTGGATGTTAATTTAAAGACGATTGCCATCGAAAATGAAACACACATGTATTCTAAGTACTGACTTCTACCGGTACTGACTGAAATATTAGTGAATGCAAAGTACCGTAACAAATGAACTATTTCATTCATCTAAACAAAACTACAGGGATTACTATAAAGCATTCAGAACACTCTGCAAAGGAAAAATGCCTCAAGACATGCCCCCCCCCAAAAAAAAGAACAAAGAAATTAAAAGAATCAGTTTAAACCGAACAAAACCTGAAAATAACTATGCATAAATTAGAATAAATATACAATATTTAAATGAGGGCATGCCAACACCCATGCTGTATTGCTCTAAAGCATGCAGCTAACCAAATGTTAAAGTTCTATCCATCCAAAACCAACCAAATTGGAAAAAAAAATATATTGGGAGGGAAAAAACCTACCGCATTACCAACGTCATCTGCCTCACCATCAGAAGAGAACTATGAATGAAATTGGGAATGAGGGGAAGGAATAAAGAAACAAATGACAAATGACAAATGATGCTATGTATCACACTACTGTCCTAGTGTACCACGTCGAACTGTGGTACAGCACATACATATTATTATATTTTCTTACAGCACACAGTAACTGTTCCTCCTTTTTTTTTTGGGTGGTGATTTAAAAAAAAAACGATTTGCGATTTTTTCTCGGCGGCGATTCTGTAATCGAAGTGTTTTTTAAAAACATGGCCCAACATGAGATCATCATTCTGTGCTTACAGTTAAGTACACACAATTCTGCGCAAGTCCAGAAGCACAGATTGCATGGGCACAAGCTAAATGTCTTGCTTACCCGTCAAAATGCAAATATACACGTATGCAGTTAGCAGAGATTTCCCGCTTACAGTGGCACCGTAACATTTGGCTTTATTGCATATTTTACCGTGAATGCAAAAGAAACAGCTTTCTCAACAATATTAAAACACTTAAAAGTCTGCCACTAATTTATCTGGTATGAATACACATGTATGCACGCAAACGCAGCATTTTCTACACATTTGTCAAGTGTGTGCCCATGCTCAAGGCTATTTCAAAGCCAGAAAGTTAAGCATGTAGATCACATATTTGTGCCTTACATGAACATGATGAAGGTGCTTAGTTTATGCCCGTTATAAAGAGCACACTTATGTGAAATGATGCGAAAATGGCATGAAACATGAAACCTTAATGGAGAAACAATTACGTAAGATGATGAAGCTAATTTATTCCTCCATGTATTCACTATACATGAATATGGAGACCTAGTTACTTAAATTACCGGTACATGTAAGCTTTGCCAGACAGGGTATCAACAGGGTTCATGCAAGGTGGATTGGGGTACCTTGAGGGTAAACGGGCTGGGTTAACTTGCTTGAACAAAAAAAGTGACCTCTTTAGTACAAAAACCGTCACAATATGGAGCCTGCAGATTCCAACAGTTAGAACTTAATAAGTTCTTGTCTTCACTGCTTGGATGGTATCAACAAAAAAAGACTCTTTGGGGTTATTTCATGCAAAATCAACTAAATTTTGGACAGACTCAATTTTTTTTAGCGGAAACGAGAAAGGAAAAAAAAATACTACAAAGAAAACTATTCATGCGTCTAATGCTAAAATGTATGAGTCATGTCTAGGCGGTACAAACAACTCTAATAAATATCAACAAAAAGATCTGTAATAAACTGGAACAAAAATCAACAAAAGTTCTGTACTAACGCAAGCACTAGGGGCAACCTGTGGCAAACACTACACAGTCAACCAGGGAAAGCAGGGACTAACAAGCACAACCATAGCCAGACAAACTCAAAAGCCACATACATTGTACAAAGTCAAACGTCCATAAAATGTATACAAGAATTTTTTTTTTTTCAAAACTGGTAAAATTGTAACATACTTTGTTTTAAAAGGCAAAACACTACAACTTATTCATCATCTAACAAAATTGTATTGTTTTTGAAAGGGGAAGGATCCCTCTGCCAATTTATTTTTTAATCCTAAATTTTAAACCAAGGATACCATCCAATTAACTGTTTAGTAATGACAATTTTAGCGTGTGCTTTATTACTAATTACATAAAACAATTCCCTGATCTGAAAAATAAATTTCTGCATATGTACATATATTGGTGTTCATTAAGACTGTTCAATGAAGACAGACTACCAGCAACTTTGCCTTGTGAAGCATTCATAAGCATATCGGCACCTGTCACTGTGCACCGACTGTTTGTACGTCAGTTGCACTGACAGCTGTATGCCAACTGATGCAAGATGTGCCAGAATTATCTAAGAGTTGTAAACATTTTAAAAGCCTATCTTGAGCAAGGAAACCACAACTACCGTGCTGTTACTTTTTATTTGGTGCAATTTGTCCATGTACTGCTTTGACTTGAAAGAAGCACTGCAATAATTTTGAACTGCACAGAACTAACATGATTGACTGATGCGTTAATATAGTTGTCAAGCTTCAAATTTTTGAAAACTGAAATTAAAAACAAAATTCCCAACTTGTCCAAAAGGTATTCCTTAACATTGTGTCAAAACTGATGATAACTAATTAATTTAAAGTTCATTGGTTGTCTATCTATGTAAGTCCTTTTGAAAATTACAGAGCTGATGACGTAAACTGGATTTCTAACTGCAAACTTAATAAAGTTCAGCTATTTTTTTTAAGAATTGGTATTCAACATAAAAATTTAAACAATTTCCGTAACATGTGAAAAAAAATTTGCTGATTGTCACACAAACATAATTTAAACTTGACGGTTGTCCTGAAATTTCCTTTTTCAACATGAAGCCATGGTGATGTGAAACATGATCTAAATCTTCTGTCATTTTATTCACTATTGTTAGGTTTTGCAGGAAGCATGTACTTCTCTAACAATAACTGTTCAATGTGGTAAACCGCAATATACAGGAAGGAAGGAAACAGACATATGTTGGAGTCTGCAACATGTAATTCAGTAAAACAATTGCAGAACAGACTTTCCCAAAATGGACAACCTATGGCTATAGAAGGAAGACACTGAAACTGCACAGTCCAGGTTCTCCCAGAAATAAAGAAAAACAAAACAAACAAACAAAATAAAAGCAACAACACACTAAAACAAAATACAAATTGCACGCAACTATAGACCATGTCAGATTTGTTTACAAAATTAGAAGTTGTGGTTATGTGATGCCAACTTTCAGCACAATGTGCTCTTCTGCACTGCATTTCTTGAAGAAGAAAAAACAGTTGACATTTACACTGTTTAATATGGGCAAAATAACATGCAAATGATGACTGAATGTCTGGGTTGCCTGTCGTTACTTGACATCACAGTCAATATGGTCTACAGGATAGAATCCAGAGTTGGGATTTTGAACTAAACACGGCTTATGGTCTGACGAGAAAAAACATTACGGAGCAATTAATTTTAACAGAATTTGGAAATCAATTACTTTAATTCCTCGGCTGTTTTTTTATTAGACTTATGCTTGTACATGTTGTAGATTTACGTTTATTTAATAACCATGGTGCATGTGAATAGGGGATATACGGTCGAATTAACATGTAAACATGTAAACACACGGGGAGAACCAAAAACACACTGTAATGCGCACATTTAAAAATTGCCATGGAAAAAGTATGAACACTACTGCGAGAAAATTGGCAAACAATTGTGCTTTGAGCTTTTTTGGTTTTCTGTGAGCAACATCTACACATTTTGTGATAACAGACTGCACTATTCAGACCAATGTCTAGATGACAAGAGTGATTGACGATGATCCAAAAATTCCAAGGGGAAAAACGATAAGGAGTGAAATCAAATCCAACTTACTAAATACGTGTTGAATGCTGTTAGCTGCCATTATAAAAATTTAAAATAAAAAACAAACAAGAAATTATAGCATTTTCAATGTATATTTCTCACACATTTTGGATTAGCTGCTTTTGAATTTCCACTTTTAAAAGAGTGAACAAAAAGAAAACTTAACAGGATGGCCTAATCTGTGAAAAAAAATAGAACGGGTTATGTTCAATTCCAATTTACTTTAGGTGGAAATTTAAATGGAATAGACTGAACCCTCAGAAGTTGTTTTTGACATTTTTTCTTATCTAAAAATAACGAAAATAACACATGTACATCTTCATAAGACAGGGATTTCTTGGTTTCTAGCCTTGCATTATAAATCATTCATGACATTCAAGCAATTTATTGACATGTTCAAAATCTGCTGTGCAGAACCAATTACAAGATTTGCTCAATAATAACAAAAACATGCATAGCATGGGACAGATTCAAAGCTGAATTCTGCTCAGCACTCAACATAATAGCAATATTTTCTGCTGAAAAACCAGCTCTATGAAATTGGCCAATGTTGATAATTCATCTGTTTATAGGCTTGCCTAGTATCCCAAGTGACGTCCATGTGTAAACCACTGACATATGATAAAATTGTCAGGGGTTTGTAGACCCCCATGGGGATTCACAGTGGCTCTGAGTTTGGCTAATAGATTGATATGCGAACCCAAGTCCAATTACATGCACAGCAAAAGCAACTCAAGAAAAAAATAACATAGGTCTCTGACACGGCTGTTAGAAAAATCAGCACTTCCGAAAGGTTAGAAGATCCATGACCTTTCAAAACAGCGTTTTGGTATCTACTCAGATTAAGGCATCTGACAGTTAAAAGAAACAACTTCTGCTTTTGAGAACTCAATGTATTTTTAGCCCCATACGAGATAGTTACACACATGTACATGCGAATAGACATAACTCTAGATTCATGCATATGATTAGTACTATATAACTACTGTTTAATAAATGGTCATTTTATTTTACAGGGCAATATTACATGCGAAAGTGATATCAAAACAAATCAATTCAAGAACTAGAACAGAAACTAACAGAGGCATAGGAAGGAGAATTGGAAAATATTGCAAGTTGAAATCCATGCATTATTGCACGTATGTGCACTTTGTTGAGACTACATAAGAACAAAATATATAAATTACATATTACAGCACAACCTGAATGGCCAAAATAGTATATTTTCTCCCAAATCCAAAAATCACGAATGAGAAATTTCCATGTACATAAAACCAAAGAACGACATGTGATCTGCAATTTGGAGTGAATAACATGCACTTAACCATTCTGAGTTGGGGTATGTGTGTCCTTAGGACAGCCTAACACTATCGCAACTTAAAAGCAAATTTTGTCACATCAGGGCAAATTTGGACACCAAAATACAAATGGTGACTTTGAACTCAAACGAAGAATACTTCCAGAAGATACACAAAAACACTAAAAAAAACAGTAACTAAACCAAACACTAAAACCAAATGCTATTAAAAGTCACAAAATTTAAATTACAGCCAAGCTGGACGGATGTTTTTTTTTTTTTAATATGGAAGTTATAATAAATGCTTACCTGATGTAGAGCAGGCCCTATGACTGGCACTAAGAACCCATCGTGAAAGTACTGCACTAGCTGCGCACTGACAAGCGGATGAGCAACCTGATTCACAAACAAATAACAAATAAAAAATCTGGAATCAATTGAAATCTAATGTCATCATCAGAGAATATGTTCCCAATTCCAGACATCAATTTTATATATTATAATACCATTAACTTGTGTATGTGTATAGCTCAGCCAATTAAGTGCTACGGAAATGACACAGTAATATGGTGTACTTACCCCAAATAAAAATGTTTTCAATATGAATAACGAAATTCAAGAAACCCTTTTTCTCCCCCTTAAAAAAATTAAACAACAGTATCATTTGACAATAATATGTACATCAAGACGCATAATAATACAATGTTGAAGCTTGTGGTGCATGTAAATACATGATCAAAAGCAAATCGGAGCATAATATTTTTTAAGTAGTGATTATACCTGTAAATAAAAACTTATACATAAAAAACATGAAAGACAGCAGACAAAAGTAAATTACTCAATGCAACACAGTTAATAATGGATCAAGTTTAATATTTGGAAATCAACAAGAACTTTGTTACACAATTCATTACACAAGACAAAATACACTTCAAGAACAATGTTCCAGTCAGGAGAATTGTGGCCATACACACCTGTACTACTGCATTGCAGAATTCCAGTGAGTGCAGGAACATGCATAGCTCTGGCATGACCGTCCAGTCCTCGCGGGTCAAACAATGCCAATGGTCAACCTTGATGTCCAGCTTACGAGGCAGGCGTGAGTAAAGCGCCCCCAGACCAGTCGCCAAAACCTGACAGTGAAACAAATTGGAATCAAATGTATGTAGGAAGATACGACATATATTACACATCTTGACCTTTATCCTGCCAGACCCTTCCAAAGCCATCAGGAGCTTTTGGAAGACTTTGAGCAATTGCAGAATGTATAGCATAGTCACCCATTATATTTCATGGGGCTTGATGCCCCTTGAAATTTAAGTTCAAACAAAATTTGCCATGGATTCCCTGCATAGTGTAAGATTTTTGAAGATTCAGTGAGATTCCCTAAAAAACACATGAGTTTTATAGGGTGAATATGTTTTTCCATTCATGTCTTGTGCATGTTTTGACAACAAGTTAACAACTTTCAGACCAAATGTTCTGACAAAATATCTTTTGTTTTAAGCCCGGGACAGTTGTTAAAAATGTTCATAACTTTTAGCCAGCCTATTGTCCTCTGGCTGACTGACTGACCAACTAGAAAGTGGCCTAAACTTAGTCTTTCTGCTTGAGCTGAACTAGGCAAGCCTAGTCTTGTTTTATACACAGCGTCCCTTCCTTCTAGTGTCCTGACTTACAGGGCAGAGGTTGGTGCTCTCCGTGATATACTTGGCAATGTTGTCCCCCTGGCTGGAGACAGCGATACAGAGCAGGAGGGCATCCCTGGCCTGCTGGCCCACCTTACCATCCCGATGCAGGAATGGGATCAAGAGGGAGAAGAGTAAGAACTTGGCTGGACCCTGGCTGGGACTGGCGTGAAAGAGGTACTCCAGAAGCATAGGGTCCTGGCAAGCAAAAACAATAACATGCATTTATTGACCGTTAAATCCTCAAATGAGTTACATCTGCAGCAGGATACACCTGTCGCATGTTTCACAGACAGAAGAACTTAATCTGTATCCAACCTACCTTTGATAAAGACACGCAGAGCTGATGCAGCAGAAGCACCAGATGCAGCTCCAGTCTATCTGAACAGTACCCAGACAATTGCAGTAGCAGTCGCAGTAGTGGGTTCAACAACTCGTTGTGCATCAGCACAGCCTGCTTGGCCTGCGACAACATCATCTCATAGATCCGCAACATCTCCCGCGTCATGTCCTCCACGTGCTCCCCGCAGGCCAAGCCCCAGGACAGTAGCCGGTCCATGACTTTCTCACCGATGGTCAGTTCCAACATGGGGCCCATGGTACCCTCTGCAGGCTGGGTCTCCTCCACTAGGAGGTACATCATCTGGGTGGCGTAGTTGGCCACGGCTTGGATGTCATCAAAGGTGGCCTTGGAGCGAGGGAAGCGGTTGCTGCCACTGGCATTCTGCTTGACGATGATTCCTGTGATAACCAAGCAATATTCCGTAGCCAACAATTAACAAGATGTATAACAGCCAATGGTGTTTTTTACTTGAGTAGACCTTATGTGTTAAGGCAGAGTTAGAGGGCAATAGTTTTGTATTGCTTGGATAGTCATGAGTAATTTTTTAGCCCATTCAATTTTACTAATTTAAAAAACAAAGAGATCGTCTGAGGTACCAGCAAAGCATACATGAAGTGGTCTATTTGCAAGTTACAAGTTTTGTTTATTTCATATTAATGTCAAAGTTTGACAGCCCATTTTGATTTGGTTTTTCTCTCCTAAATCCTGCAAAAATCTTCACCCTCCTAGTAGACTTTGAAGGATCTGGGAAGCTTACAGTGGAATGAAAAAAAAAAAGCTCTGGAACAGCATTTTGGGTAATTGTTTTTTGTTTTTGATTTTAAAAGAAAATTACCTTTAATTTGGGCCCAGTGGCTGCAGAAGACCTCAAAGCACGCTTGGGGATCAGCGTCGGCAGGAACGTCCATGGGTCCGACTGACCCCGCCACCCCTGGAAGACCATTGGTATGAGACGCTGGCGTGCCGATGGACGTGATGGACGTAATGGAGGCATTGGACAATCGTCGGATAAGACGACTCATGATATCCCCGCCAAGAAATGTGTCTCTTCTACAACAGATCCACTATACGCTTTGTGTACTCATAACATTTGTAATCCAGGGTTGATTATCTTACTTCCATTCTGGGAAAAGAATTGTCTTAAATATTGATGATGGACAAAAGTGTTTTTGATCGCAGTCACATCCTGTCCTGCCTGCAGAGGAAAGAAAATTGGTGGCAAATAAATCATGAAAATGTAAAGTGAATTTGTAGTGTAATCAGTTTGTTTATAAAAACGGTGATTATTTTAAAGTAAATATCAGCCCTTTAAATTACTGTTTTACAATTCAGATCTCTTTTATCATCATTAATTAATAATACAAGTATGATAAAAACACAATTTTTTCATTAAATAATGTGGTAGGCCTAGGCAACATAGTCTTAACCATTTTGCCTACTACACTACACAAAACTTAAGCTTAGAAAAAATCAAGTTCAAGAAGTTCTGCGGTTCAATTTGGTTTCATGAGGATCTTCAAATATTCAATCTTTTATCTTAACTGTTGACACAATACGTTACACTTTTACACAATTATTTACACTCAGTAGTTGAGTGAATCAGGAGTGAGTTAATAATCTAAAAATATAATCTTAAAATAAAAACACATTATGAAAAAATTATGATGGAAAAATGTTCGAAGCAGTGCCACTGCCAGTGTTGAAACGAATGACATTGACAGGCATGAGCATGATGACCATGACCAACGAACAAACTTATTGAGCTTGACCAAGTGACAGTTTTTCCTGACAATACATAAACAACGAATTTCATATTGTTGGACATACCTGTACATTTCAGTGATATGTCACGGATTACTGGTGCTTACATTTTTAACACGACATCACACAAAACTAAAAATGAAACACATTTAGTCTACACACAGCTGCCGATGGGCGTCCCTTTTTTTCTTGTAAGTTTATTTTTTTCTCTCTTGTTAAACCGGTGTCCGACCGAAAGGTAATTTGCATAAGTGATCATTTGGCAGAGTACCAGTTGAGCTTGATCGTCATGTGATTGGCTAAATATCGTCAAGAGAGGGCGTGCTCCACTTTTACTGGGCGTACCGTACTTATGTGCTGGGAAAGATAACTTTTTTTGAGTAAAGCGACTTACATTCGGAACACTTTCAAATAAAACGATTGATCAAACGTAATTTCTATTCTACCATTTCATAATGAGGAAACTTGTCAATGGAGCAAAATAGAGATTTGTAGATAGCAAAAATATAATGCAAAAGAAAATAAAAGAAACACCAATAAGTGATGCGAGAAACTTAATTTTGACAAGTTTTGTGACTACATTTACTTTTTAATTTATTTTTTAAAAGGATTGTGTACAATTTCACTCCTCTAATAAGGCAGCTTCAAAGACAAACAAAACACAATTTAATGTTCCTTTGTAGCAATGCCATAATGAAAACAAATCTTCCACAAATGAAGCTACGATTCCAATCCTGTCAATGCCTTATTCAATGATTTCATAAAAACCAAACGTAGTATTTTTTTCCATGATAAAAAGAAATACATGTACATGTTTTTGGTGATGGTTGTACTATGGTTAATTATTTTTGGTTAACTAAACGTAAGAACCTCAAGCTTGAATTCATATACATGCTTATCATAAGTAACCAAAACCTAGCTCACCCTTTAATTTAGCAATTTACATTTTCCATGCGTTCTGAAGAAAAAAAGTATGGGGGAAAAAACTTCACACAATTAGCAATTGTCAAATTATTTACAAGTTAAAATCAAACAAAAGGAACACCTACACATTTTTTTCAAACAATAATTTCTCAGATTTGCCCAGGAAACTGCAATTATGAACTATTTACAATCTATTCCTTCACCAAAATAAGTTTTAGAATTAGTTTAGAATATCAGAACCAGGTTTGAATTTTGTGGAAGTTCTCAACTCAACAGTGCTTCTAGTGGCATTTAGAGTGCCTGGCTAGATGCAGCAGAGTACCAGTCACAAACAACACATACCACATTACATTTTGGCTGGTAATTAATCCATTCTTTTCTGTGCTTAACAATCCCATAAAAATGCTTCCTGGTCAACACTGAATAGATAAGCTCTCTGTAATGTAGTATTTACTTTAATTCTTAAATAAAACCTGAAATAAATGTACAATTTTCATTTTCCAGCACTTAACACTTTTCCCAGTTCATATCCCAATGTAGATTAAAACAACCATATATTCCTCCCTCAATAGGTGAACATAAATTTTAAAAATCAACGTCATAAATCATTTACAGTAACATTATTACAAAGTTTTTAAAGTTCAATCAAATCTGTGAATAACTCAGTTAACACCTGCCTCCACTAGATCTAGAACCTTTACCTGTAAAACCTGAATTGAAAATCAAAATCAGAATATTTTTGTAGTACTGTGAAATGCACTCTGTCTACTTTCAGATTTTATTGATACATTACAGGAATCAGCGAATATAATACAACAGTAGTAAGCAACAACTATTTTTGCACGAGCAATCAAACCTTGCCTATAAACTTGAATCTATTAAAATGCCAATCGTAGGCAACAAGTTTATTTGTTGAGAGTCAAAAGCCATGCCTATAAAGGACAAAGTACACTCACTGTGATGAACATTTGATTGACAACATGCATAGACTTTGTATGCAAGCAACTTTCCTTCCTAAAATCTTTGACTTGATCAAACTGTGAGCGCAATATGTTTACCATGTTGTGCTTACAGCACTAACACAGAATTTCTGCGCTTGCCCTGTAAGCTACAGAATGCATGGATGATGTTTACTGTATGGAATATCCAAACTGTATCTACCATGAAAACCAGTGGTCTCCCCCAACTTGTGCACTGGGTCCACAGTTCATGCAGATTCTTTCAAAGTACATATCTGACATTAGGCCTTATGGACAAAGTACCAGAAGAAAATATGCTATGAAAGCAGACCTGCAAATCAATTTTAAAAAAATTACTTGCAGTACAACAAAACCATTCCATCTGAATATGGTCGATAAAAACTAAGTTGGGTAAACTTGCTTGCTGTATGTAAATTTTACACCATTACACTAATAAAAATTTTAAGTGTTGAGCTTTTTACTTTATACAAACAATATTTACATTTATCACTAAGCTACCCCTTAACCATAAATATGGTGTTAAAAATAGGTATTTTAACATTTTGAAATGATTGTGAAAATTGACTGCTAAAAGGTCAACATGTTTGAGCCTTCACTCTAATCACACAAAATGATTCTGTCTAATTCGTTAGTAAGTTCAGTAAACCATAATATGTACATACCAAATTTGCATATTGAACAGAAATACTTTTTCGATTTGAACTTTAAAGAAAATGTTTATGTACACAGGAATAAAGCTGAAGGTGACACAAACCCGTCAAAGCAAAACCAAAAATTTTAATTAGAGGGCCAAGAGGGTCTCAGACACTATTGACAAGTTTTTGAAAAATTTTCCAAGAGGTTTTTAAATTCCAGAACCAAGTTTACTGATGGGTAGACGTTTGTTTCTTTAGGTGGGTGTAGATCTGTGATGTCTTGTTCTCCAAAGATGAAGTTTACTTGCCCAGCCATTTTGCGATTGACCTCTGTGAAAGTTGAACATAAAAAGACACAAATGAATAAGAAATGAATTACACATAACAAACATCCATCACTATGAAGGATCCTTGTTCACATTTTCCATGTTCAAACCTTTCTCGAAAAGTAAGTCTCACAAAAGATAGATTGCTGGGGATACCCCTGTGGTTTGAAATTCCTCCAAAATTCATCTTCTTGGAGGGATATACACCTACCCTTTTGGATTTTTTGCTTGGGGTGGCTCCAGGCGTGGCTGCCTGCACCTTGGGGCTGTTGGTGGCCTTCTTGGCTAGGGAGGCCCGGTTGGGTCGCCGCTTGACCTGGGGCTTCGGGGAGAACCCGATACTGAATGCCATACTCTCCCGACGATTCTCACTCTCCTGTTTTGACAAAACATGGTTTTTGTTAATCAGTCAAAATCCTGAATAACCACTAGTGTTTAAAATGAGCAAAAGATGAGATGCAAATGCAAAAGTCAGACAAATCTACTCCATTATTTTTTTTCAATCCTTGTCTACGAATTTCTTGTGTGTTTGTAACTGTGTCTATGTGACTATGGCTCTAGGAAAATTCTGCTTATGTTTAAATGTTAAGGCCACGTCATACCCAGTGCAAAAGCAAAAGCAGATGCGAATTTGTGACATCATGGCAAGTTTTTCGCAATGCAAATTAGCATAAGGTGAACACATTTCATGGCAAATTTTGCAGCAAACTTTTCATGACGTAAAATTTGGCTTCACATTCACGTTACTGTGAAGTATATACCATACTTTTAGCTGTCTATTTTTTATAATCTGAACCACTTGTTGAGCAGTTAGCTCTGTTCAGCTAGGACCTACCTGCAGTGCTTTGACTGCTGGTGCCTTGGCTGCTGCTGCTTGTTTCTGGCTCTTGTTTGACTTAGTACTGGCCCTGAGAATGCCGGACCTATGGAATCTGCTGCTGCTGCTTGTGTTGCTGCTGTTGCTGTTTATGCTGGTGGTGCTGTTTACGCTGGTTGTGCTGGTGCTGTGTTTACTTGATGCTCTAACAGTACTCTGAAAAATTACAGCCATTCATAAAATTTCATTAATGTGAAATTTACATGTTTTCAGGAAAGTCTCTAAGTGTCTCAGTGAAGTCATTTCAGATGCCAGAATCTTAAAAATGCTCATAAGTCCATAAAAAAAAAAAAAGCACAGATTGACCAAAATCTAACCTAAAACCTGAAATATTAATACAAGCAATCCTCAGTACAGAATATATGCTGTATGAATATAAAACACGTATTCACAATGCATCATTGGAAAGTCGACTGTGCAAATGTTACCAACTCGTTTTTATTTAGTGCAAAGCCCCAATGGAAAACTGACCACTTCAAATTAACACTTTGAAGTACCCTTTATGAAGAACCCCTTTCAACATTTGATCAATTACAGCATTATGTAATGTCTATGACAGCGCTTTTAGGAAGTCAGTGAATAAACCTGGAAATGTATGTTTCAAATCTTATACATCCATCATCTAGTAATGGTCAAGGAGATTACAGACTAGGAGTTTTGGATCATTTCTCGGAATCACTAGTTAGATAACACTGGCTCTGTCATGGACAATACACATAACACTTCCTGTCGTAACCCTAGAATTGCCCATTTAGTGGCCAAGGCATTCTTGCCAAATGAAAGCTTCTGATTTTGAACGGACAAGCCATCATTTCTGGAGTGATATCTGTTTAGAGTGGCCTTCAATGAAAAGTCTGCAAAGTTTTTTTTTGCTGCATTCTGGAGACACTGGCCATACCTTGCTCTGCAGGGTTGTACTGCTGGGACCTGCTGTTGCTACAGTCTTGATGTTCTGCATTGACACCGAGCGTTTGGCTTCCGGAGGGGGAGGTGGGGGCATGGCGTGGTAGGAGTTGGAGGTACTCATCTGTTTTTGAGATGTATGAAACAGTGAGACAGTGACAGAAATATTTGAAAAACATGTTCCATAATTTGTTTTGACATGTTAAGCCTCATAACTTTTGCTTTTGCATTCAATTTTGTGTGAAGTGTAAACTGGTTTGCATGACTGCTGTTACCACTTGCCAGAATAAGTCTGAGGTCCCCCATGCATAAAAATGTTTCCCTCTATTTATTCCAACATTTTCATCAACTTTTAACGATCAAAGACAATTACCAGCAATATCCGATACCGTCGCACCTTGACTAAACTCCCCAAAGATAGAATTAATTATTTATTTGTGACTCTGCTTTCACTTGTATATGTGGTATCACAGTTATAAACTTCAAAAGAATGTGTAGAGTTATGATTGACTTGTGCATGTGATCGCCTTGTGATTTGATTAAAACTGTCCAACATTGAAAAGAGTAAACTACAGACCTTGGCAGGCACGCTAGTTTGCGGGAGGTCCAGATCTCCGCTCTTTCGTTTGCGCATGCCACGGGTCACAGGCCCTTCCCCGGTCTCTTCCAACGAGGCTCCAACTTTCAACCCGTCCTCTGTGATCTCTTTGGGTGCCCGGGTCTGCGTCTCCACCGGGTAGGAAGTCTGGAGGTGGGGGCGGCACAGGGTGTTGCGGCGCTGGAGTTCTGCCAGGCGGTCCCAGTCAAAAGCCTCAGGCTCCTCTTCACAAGCACCCACAAGACAGAAACCGGCGCGGCCTGTTTAAGGATCAAAAGCAAAATAAGGAATAACCCTCTCAGTACAACAGGCAGAGTTGTATTTGAGTCAATCACAAGTCAATTCATAAATCAGGTCACAAGTAACAGAGGACGAGCAAAGAAAAAGGAATGTCTTTGTCACAGCTCATTTGAATAGCTTGTCATTTACTGACTCGACTTGTGAGACTAGATGACTTGTGATGGGCTTGTGGAGACTTGTGACTAACTCATTTACAACTGTAGTCTGTCAACCAACAACTTAAGTCAAACTCGTGTTGTTACCACATGCAACTTTATGGCCAAGTCACACGAGGCAGTTTTCACAAGCAACTTGGAGGAAACTGAAGGACTGCAAACTAAATTACTTTCAGATAAAACAAGAAACCTGTCCATCAAGTTGCGAACAATTCCATTTTTATTTTGTACCTGTTGTCCTGCGGCTGATCTTGGACTGTCTCATGGATGCCCGGAGTGATCGTGTCTTGAAGTGATCAGTGCTGAGCTCATCAATGGTCTGCGAGACCTTCTCGGGGAGGTTATCCCCCACTGTGGAGTTGCTAGCCCTGGACAGGGACAAGGAGCCTAAATGGCTGAGATTCAGGGTGTCTGACATGTTGCTGGCCGTGGAGAGATGGAACTGGCTGTTGGAGGCCAAGGAGTTCTGGCTAGCCGATAGCTGGCTGGTTAAGAGTGAGTCCCGGTATGTTGACTGCTGGGTTGGGGTGGGCTGACTAGTAGATAGGGAACTGTTGCTGCTGGTGCTCTGACGACTGTGTAACTCTATGGTGTACTTGCCTGAAAATGCAATAGTCACATTTTTAAGTCTGGATGTACAAGAGTACAAACTTCATGCACAAAATCACACTTAATAATGACCAAGATTGAGCTAAACAATACTAAATAATAACAGGGACTAGAAAACAATTCACTTACATTGGGACTTGGAACTCCCCGTGGATCGGCCGCTCATGGTTGATGAATTAGAAACAATGCTGGCCCTGGATCCGGCTTCTAGCTCAGCTAGGTTTAGCTCCCCGTCATCCAAGCTGTCAATACTGTGCATGCTCATGTCTGCCGGTAGGGGGTCCGCCATGGGTGGAGGGACACTCCCCCGCCCTGCCTCTAGCAGTCGTCTAGTGTGGTCAAGCTGGGAGGGGGAAGGATTTTCACTTTCAGTTTCTCTGACTCTTGGCAAGTTTGCATGAACCTATGGCACATTCTGGAGTGCGTTTTGGCATTCATCATCAAACAACTGGTTCAGTGGTTTGTTATTGGTTTATCTTTTTTTTCTTTTTTTAAATTTTCTTTATTTAAATTTTTAAAATGTGACAATTGCAGATTTGTTGCCAAAACATTCAACCAATGGCAAACAACCAAACCAGTTTTTGGTTATGACTGTTAGATCCTTTGTCTCAATAGAAGTCTATGTCCTGCTTTAGGAAAATCAAATACTATTAAGGGAGACGAAAGATTTGAGTCTCCTTCATTGGTTTGGAATATCAAAGGCTTGTCAATGACTCTGAATATAGGAATGAATCCGAAGCTGGTGGTCAAGTTTTGGAAAATGGCCACTGAAACTTGGCAAACAAGACATTGTTTTTAATAGTTGAGTTCATCACAAGTCTGGTCACAAGTTAATTACAAGTCCAGTCACAAGTCGATCACAAGTCTAATAAGAATTAACAAGTCTGGTCACAACTAAAAAGGAATGAACATTAACACAGGACAGCCTTTTGACACAGCTCATTTGAATAGCTTATTACTTGACTTAGGAATGGAATCACCGGATGACTTGTGATGGACACATGAGGACTTGCCAGGACTTGTGATAGACTTGACTACAACGTTGAAACAATGTGGGACTGCCTACCTCCTCCTGCAGGATCTGCAACTCCTTCAGGGAGCTGTCCTTCTCAAATCTCATCTGAGCCTCCAGGGATGCCAACTGCTCCGTCCTGCTGGCAATCTCTCGCTTGAACGCGACACTGTCTTCTTGATGCAAGCTGGGGATTTGGACATTAGAAGTGCATCATACATTGAAATACAATGGTGGAGCATTGAATGATGTGATGGTTTGAACCTTCACTGACACAAGTTTAGTTAAATGAAGAACAAAAACTGATACTCCAGTTGACATCTGCCAGTTGTAAACTTCTATCCAAGTTCCAACCAAGCATTGATTATTGCATCCCAGATTTGAAATGGCCAGCCAATCCTGGCAAGCTCGGTGGTTGAGTGGTAAAAACATCTCCAATGATAAACAGGAGGTCAGGGGTTCAAGTCCCACACCCGGCAAGCTTGAGAATTTATTTGTCACAAGCTCCCATACAGCTCTGAATATACAATCCTAAATCATGTCAGCGAAGGGCAAAATCAAACATTTTGTGATTGCGAACAAAATGTTAACTACATTGTATTTGACAATGTTAAATATTCAGAAATGTAATGCTCAAATAGCTGTGAGAACCAAGGAAAAAACACTGAGGAAAAAAACTCCACAGATTGAGCAACTTCTGAATGAACACAAGAAATGCATAAATATCAAAGGACAAGTGTTTTGCTCTTCAAAAGTCTGTCAGAATTTGTCTCTATAAAGTTACATGGAAAGAATGGGTGCTTAAGTTCTAAAGGTTTTATTTTTGGTTAAGCATATTTACCGTTTCTGGTTTTCCAATTCCAGTTGCAACTTGCTGACCATCTTTTGGTTTGTTTCTGCTTTATTCTGGAGCTTCATCATACCTCCGTTCAGCTGTTCTCTAGTGGATTCCAACTCAGCTGCCTGTGTCTTTATGGTATGTTCCAGACTAGTGATGACTTCTTGTTGACTCAAAACCTGTTTTGAGACCTCGGTAGTCAGCCTTTCTTCAGTTGATCTCAAGCCCTTGATTGTCATTTGCAGTTCCTGATTTGCTGTGGCCTGCTGTTCATATTGGCCGGCAAATTGCTTGGCCTCTTCCTGTAGTTGCATAATTGTGGCTTCTAAGCTTGCAATGGTCTGTGCTTGATGCTGAGACTGTACGCGAGCATCCAAAACTTCCTGTTTGAGACTCATCTCCGTCTTGTTCAAGGCATCAATTCTTAGCCTAAACTCTTGAAGTTTCTGCTCTGAATCTGCATTCATTTCCGAGTTCTGTTGAAAGTGCTTCCTTGTGGATGAGGCCCATTCTTCCTCCAGGTTTTGCTTGCTCTCTTTGAGGCCAGCGATGATCTCTTCCTGCTGCTGAGCATGAAGACAAGCCATTGAGACCTCTTGGGACAGTTTCCCTTCAGAGTTCTTCAGACATGTGCTTGTTTCTTTTAAGCTTTTGATTGTCTCAAAGCTCTGCATCAGCTGGTTTTTAGTTGACTCCAACTCATCTGCCTGTGCCTTCATGGTATTCTCCAGATTAGCAATGACTTCCTGTTGCTTGTTGGAAACCTGTTTGGCCATTGAGACTTCTGAAGTACGAGTTTCTTCTGTTGACCTCAGACCCTTGATTGTCTCTTGCAGCTCCTGAACCTCTACAGCCTGCTGCTCATACTGCCTGGCTACTGATTCAGCATCTTGCTCTAGTTTTGTGTTTGTTGTTTCTAGGCTCACAATGGTCTCTACATGATACTGAGCCTTTGTGCGAGCATCCAAGACTTCATTTTTATGCTGTTTTTCAGCCTCGCTCAAGGTATTGATTCTACTAATGAACTCCTGTATTTTCTGCTCTGCAGCGACATTAATTTCCATGTAATTTTCAACCTGCTTCCTGGCAGAAGCCAATTCTTCCTCTAGAGTCTTCTTGCTCTGTTCAAGACTAGAAATGATCGCCTCCTGATGCTGAGCATAAAGACGAGCAGATGAGACTTCTTGAGACAGGTTCCCTTCGGAGTTCTTCAGACCAAGGCCTGTCTTCCTCAAGCTTTCAATTGTCTGCTGCGATTGCTGAAGGGTCTCAAAACTCTGCTTCAGCTGTTGTCTAGTGGATTGCAATTCATCTGCCTGTCTCTTTGTGCTGTTCTCGAAATTAGTGATGACTTCCTGTTGTTGACTCGAAACCTGTTCGGCCATCATTACTTCTTTAGTGAGCCTTGCTTCTGTTGTTTGCAGTTCTTGTATTGTTGTGGACTGTTCCTCATATTTCCTGGCAACTGTTTTTGCATCTTCCTCTAGTTTCATCTTTGCCGCCTCTAGGGCCACAATGGTCTCGGAGTGACGCTGAGCTTCTGCACAAACATCCGAGACTTCTTTATTGAGCCTCTCTCCCGTACACCTCAGACTCTTGATCATGGCTTGTAGCTCCTGAACTGTTGTAGACTGATCATCATATTGGTCAGCAACTGACTTGGCATCTTCCTCTAGCTTCATCTTTGCTGCCTCTAGGCTCGCAATGGTTTCTGAATGACGCTGAGCTTCTGAACGCGCATTCGAGACTTCTTTGTTGAGACTCTCTTCTTTTGACCTCAGACTCTTGATAACTGCTTGCAGGTCCTTAACTGTTGTAGATTGCTCAGCATATTGATCAGCAACTGATTGGGCATCTTCCTCTAGTTTCATTTTTGCTGCCTCTAGGCCCAAAATGGTCTCTGAATGACGCTGAGCTTCTGAACGCGCATCCGAGACTTCTTTGTTGAGACTCTCTTCTTTTGACCTCAGACTCTTGATAACTGCTTGCAGGTCCTTAACTGTTGTAGATTGCTCAGCATATTGATCAGCAACTGATTTGGCATCTTCCTCTAGTTTCATTTTTGCTGCCTCTAGGCCCACAATGGTCTCTGAGTGACGTTGAGCTTCTGAATGAGCATCCAAGACTTCTTTGGTGAGCCTCGCTTCTGTAGACCTCAGACTCTTGATCTTTGCTTGTAGCACCTCAACTGTTGAAGATTTTTCAGTATATTGGTCAGCAACTGACATGGCATCTTCCTCTAGCTTCATCTTTTCTGCTTTAAGGCTCACAATACTTTCTGCATGCCGCTGAACTTCGGAATGAGCGTTCAAGACTTCTTGGGTGAGCTTCTCTTCTGTGGACCTCAGATTCTTGATCACTGCAATTAATTCCTGAGCCTGCTGCTCATGTTGCTCAGCAGATGACTTTGCATCCTCCTCCAGTTTCATCTTTGAATTTTCTAAGCTTGCAATGGTTTCTTCATGACACTGAGCTTCTGCACGAGCATCCAAGAGTTCCTGAGTGAGGTTTTTCTCGGCATCACCCAAGGTATCCATTTTTTTGATGAACTCTTGAATTTTCTGTTCTGCAGTGGCGTTTGTCTCCACATAATGTTGAATCTGCTCCTTCAAGCTTTCAACCGTCTGCTGTGATAGGTGAAGTGTCTCACAGCTCTGCTTCAGCTGTATTCTAGTGGATTCTAACTCATCTGTCTGTGTCTTGGAAGCATTCTCCAGGCTAGCAATGACTTTCTGTTGTTGACTAGACATCTGTTTGGCCGTTGAGACTTCTGTAGTTAACTTTTCTTCTGTGGACTTCAGCTCCTGGATCCTAGCTTGCAATTGCTGAACCTGCTGCTGAAGTTGCTCTGCTGTTGATTTGGCCTCTTCTTCTAGTTTCATCTTTGCAGTTTCTAGGCTTGTGATGGTCTCTCTTTGGCGCTGCCCCTGTGTGCGAACTTCCAAGATCTCCTGTTTGAGAATTTTCTCAGTATTGCTCAACGAATGAATTCTTAGGCTGAGCTCTTGAATTTTCTGTTCTGCACTGGCATTATTGGCTGTCTGGATGTGCAATTCATTCTGAAGGCTGTTGAGTTTTGAAGTTGCAGACTTTTCCAATTCTTCAAAGCGCTAAGTGATTAAAAAATAACGAAACAAAGCTATCGATAAGGTATCAGAACAACAAACAGATGCTATTACACCAATAATACTTACACGCCTTACGATGCAAGTACACCTCTCAAAACCGTTAACCAAAGAATATTCCACTTTAAACGAAATCCAAAACTGAATCTGTAAGGTTCAACTGACCTTGTTCCCCTCTTCTCTTGCCGTGTTGACTTGTGCTATCAGTGTCTTTTGATCTGTAAACATTTAAAATGGAAATTGAAAGCAATTCATGACAAAGAGTCAAAGAGTCTTTCAAGAGTCAGATAACGTAATGGTATAGATTTTGAAGCATCTGGAAGGTTTCCAGTTAAAAAAAGACAAGAATCAACTCACATTCAATTTTTGTTGCTTGAAACGATTCTTCCATCTGCTTCATCTGAAAAAAACAAAAACGAGTTGATGATATTGTAACAGTCAAAATGGCACACTTCCTCATTAAAATTGTCAGTGTTTCTCAATAGTTAAACATGATCAGTTTTTCTCACAAAGCATTGACTTTGTGGTATAAGATTTGTTGTGAGTAGAATTGCAAAGCTGGTATATTTAACAATCCATTGATCATGAGTCAAAAGCCCTAACCACTAAGTCGCCCACAACGACTATCACAGACTCTTTTATCTGATCACAGAATGCTGACAAGACATTTTTGCCCTACCTCTTCCTTTGCTTCGTTTAGCTGGTCAAGGACCTCACCCAGGCGACGTTCAGGGATAATATTCAGGCTTTCTCCACTGTTGGTATTCACTGCAAATGAAATACTGGCATTGTTACAAAGTTGTCGGCTGCATAGATGGGGTCCATGTCATGTTAAACACCCAAAGCGGGTAAATGGTTTTTCCCCTAAGATGTACAGAAAGCCGTGGCCAATGACTCCTGAGGGATACGAAAACTCATGGGTCATAAACAAAAACATTTTTTTGTTTTGGTTGTTCCATTTTCTAAAACAAGTCTGTAAATAAACTCCAGGTCAGCAGAACTTGTCTGCTATAGTTTGCACAAGTTTTCTGCTAGCCATCATTAACCCCTCGTTCCCAATGCATTTTCGAAAGTGAACTTTCCCGAAAGCTCCATAGTGCAGGATGCAAATGACATGATCTTTTTCCTTCAACTTTTATAGGTATCAAGCCTCATGTGAAGCTATAGTGTCCTTGTTTTTCAAGTCAAGCACGGCCATAACTTTGTTACCAGACTAGTTTTTCGTCAGCTCGATCAATATTTTAAGTTTCTCTCTCACCAAGTTGCTGCTCTTCTAGTTCCTGGATCTTTTGCTTGTGTTCCGCGGTCAACTCTCTCTGCTGAACAAGCATGGCTTGGATCTCTTCATTGGTTGTGGCCAGCAGTTTGAGCTGCTTCCGCTGCTGGGATTCCGTGTCCTGGAGCTCTCGAAACCGTTGTAGACTCTCTGACAACTGGGCCCTTTGACGTTCGTTTTCCGTCCTCAAGCTGGTGAAGTTGCGCACCTGAGACATTATTGCATTTTAAATGTTAAATGGATGCCTCAAAGAGAATCGATGTGTAAAGGATTTTGCAGTAGCACTCAGGGGTGAGATTGGAAGGAAAAAGGAAAAATCCACCAAATAATCGGCAGAAGGTTTGAAAGGCGCCAAGGCCCCAAGATCAATGTTTTAGAAGCACATACACCTTCATTGTAAAACCTCGGGAATTCCAGACTTCAAGAGAGATTTTTAAAAATCCTGACAAAAAATCCTGAAAAATCTCAATCTACAACCTTGAACACTTGGTACCATTTTCGCAGCTAAGCGCAAAATGGCTTAGTGCAAACAAATCGAAATCAATCAGTAGCTTAGAATTGGTATTAAGCTGATATAGATAATTGAAAGGGAGATATTGTTTGACCGTGTCCAACTGCATGGGATTAGGGTTCAGTAACATCAAGTACAAGGTCACTCACTTTAGCCTCCAGGTCATTGTTCTCGTTCAGTAAGTTTTGCACCTGCCTCTCCAGGTGTGAGTTGGCAGATCGCATGGACTCCAGCTCAGCTAGTCTCCTCTCTAATCTGTTACACAAATTTAAAATATAGTAGTAATGCGGTGATTATATAGCAGATTTTGTGACTTGCTTAATTTCTGTTCCTTGTGGTGTCTCTTCATTCTTGGGCGAGACACTTTACAATTGCCTCTCTCCACACAGGAATATCAATGGGTACGCTTTGAGAGATTCATATCACTGTTGTTGAAAGAAAATGCTTTGATCGATTACAAGTTCATCACAAGTCCTGCAACAAATAAATCACAATCCACAAGTCGGGACACAATTAACAAGGGATTAGCAATACAATAGGAAGGCCATTATAATGGCTCACTTAAAAAGCTTTTCCATCAACTTAGGTCTGTTGTGATGAATTTGTGATGGAATTTAGAGGACTTATGATCCATCACAAGTGCGTTGACTACAACACTAAATAAAGCCCTGTTAGAAACGTTTGTGTATAATTTTCTTTTTTGGGGAGGGGGCAATGGGAAGGTAAATGGTATGTGTACCTGTCCACGCGTGCTTGGCTCAGTTTCAGTTGGTCATTTGCAGAGCGCATGCTATCCACATCGGCACATAGTTTCCTCAAGTTGACTACCTGCTGTTTCAATTCATTCACTTTAGCCTCTGTGGAGAAGACACGTTAGAATCAAATTACATGTGTATTTAACTCTGTAAAAGTATGGGAAAATCAAGGATCCGACTCATCCGCCTAAGTAACATTGGTATCAATTTTTTGTCTATCAATATGGAAATTTGTATTACCATAAACAAAATCATTACCTTAGAACAGGTGATACAAAGGCTTAAGAATGGAGATAATGGGACACAAAGATGCAATCCTAGGATTCAGTTACAATGTTACCAGTTTAGGGGCCCTACCATTATCAGTTAATGCCCACATTTGAATGAAACAATCAAATAAGCATAATTAAAGGAATGCAAGTTTTTTCCTCACCATTTTCACCAATGACTTTGTTCTTCTCAAGGATTTCCTGCTCTTTATCTGAGCGCATTGCCTTCTCGTTTGCGATTTCTATCTCCAGTTTTCGGACCTTGTTGTAGTGGGCCTTACGATCTCTCATCTGGAATGTGGGCAAAATAAGCATAACAAGACCTTGCAAAAGACTTGAAAACAAAACTCAAGTAAGCATCTGTGCAACAAACGTGACTTATGGAGTTGTTTTTTCTGTAATCTGTGATCTATCAGTTTTAAATTGATTGCTTTTACCTTGCTGACCATGTTGGGAGTGTTGAACAGGGCCTTTACGGGGGAATATCCAAATGAGGTTGGCGCTTTGCTGCCTGGTACCAGTGGAGTGATAGGCTCAACTGGAGAGGATGTACACACGTCTTCATTCACTGGAAAAAATTGACAACAATAAAAGTTCTTCTTTTTCAGTGAACATTATTTACTATATATATGCATACAACACAAAACATAGTGACTTCACATGATTCACTGACTTGTGACTGACTTGTGACCGACTTGTGATTGACTTTGATTTGACTTACGACCAACTTGTGAATTGGCTGGTGATTGACATTGTATTTGTCTTGTGATCACACTATCGATTTTGATTTGTGACTGACTTGTGACCGACTTCTGACTACATTTCTTGGGAACTTTTACAAGAATAAAATAAAGACAGGTCAGTAAAACATTGTGTTCATCTTACACTTTTTGTACAGAATGCTTGCAAAGTTAGTCTGAAGAACGTCGCCACTCCCCCGGGCCACGATGACTTCCATGATCTCCTTCAGGTGGGTTTGAACCACCATGTCTAGCTTGGTGATCATGTCCACGAAGAAGTCCACCTTGGGGCCCTGGACAGAGGCACAGAGCATTAGGGCAGCCACCTTGGCTAGCTCACCAACATCTGCTCGCTGGAGGATCTTGGTGTGGTCAACGTGATGCTGGAGCGATATCCCATAGAAATCTGAAAAGAGGGGAGGGTTGAATCACAAAAGTTGTAGGTGCATGTGTCACTCAATGACAGATGTTTCAAACACAAGCTGTGGTGCAATTTATAATACCACATGATTGTACACACACGGAAAGGTTTCTAGGGACCCTATAAGGAAAATGTCATTAATGATATACTCGGCACCCTCCGGGTACAATGCATCAGATTTGAATCACATGGTATTCATTTTATTAGTTGAAACAAACTTTATATTGATTAAAAGCCTGTCAGTTTCCGAAAGTAATTTATTTGATGATTCGATCATTTTTGCAAAGTTTGATTCAAATAATTTTACAACAGAACGTAAAATATTTTCCAAAAATTACAGTTATACATAATACTTAGAGCAAAATAATTTTGTATAGAATTTAAATTTATTCATGATGCCTGTATCTTCTTTTCTGTACACTGCAGTGTTTGATTTAAAGCTAAAATTCAGTATCACAAGAGAGGTGAGGGATTGTTGTTGACATTGTTCTCTTTTCACTGAAGTCATCAGCTTTAGATGTCTGTCAACAGCCTATATCTTACCTTCAAGAAAGGAACATATGAGCCGGAATCGCTGCATGGGTAGCTCACAGAACTGGGTTCCCCTGTCACCATTGCTGGCAAAATAGGACCAAAGTAAACTTTACTTGATACGTTCAGTTTAATAGTGGGTTTTACCCTTCACCAACATAATTTTTAACCATTGCAAGTTGAGAGGTCAAGGTCAAGTGACATCTGGACTCGTAAGCAGGAGGTCATGGGTTCAAGTCCCACCCGAGTAAGCTTGTGAATTTTTCTCACAATCTCTTCGACAGCACAATGCTTTTAAACAATAAAATCAGTGACGGGCAAGACCAAATGTTAAAAGTTGAAATGAAGTAAGGCTGGGACTTTGTACATTGACATGTAAACCGATTCCTGACCAGTTTATTTTCACAAACTTGCACTGCTGAAACTGCTGAATTCAGCACAATTAAGGTAACCTCAAAACACAAGCACTGATTTCAATTCCTTGCAAATAAAACATTCATAATGATCAATATGAAAATAGATCTTGAAATTGTAGTTGCTATCTGTAACAACTATAATCTCAAAAATCAAGCGATGTTGCTTTTTAAAAACCAAAATATTAGAAACGTTTTGAGAGCACTTACATGATCTTGATAATGCCAATAAAGTGTGATCCATCTTGGAGCTGTTGAAGGGACTCCACACATGGGCCCACTCCAACAGAATTCACCTGTGCACAGGAAAATCAATCACGAAATAGGTCAGAAATGAAAAGATGTGTTACATGTATATTCAAATAACTCTTTCCAATCAAGATGCCATGCCATTAAATGTTTACACGTTTAAACGACAAAAATTCTAACTCCATTTACAAATTTTCCAAACATTTTAAAAGAAACCTGAATTATAAAAAAGGACCTATGTTCACGCGATGATAGCGATCTTCCTTTACATACATACTACAAATAATTAACAATTTTAATTAATCAAACCTATATAATTTACAAAACCTCAGAAACACTGCAGTACTTAAGTAGTTAAGTTTTACTTTTGAATGACAGCCCGTTATTTATTATGTCAATCATTGTTTATTTTTTATGTCAATCACGCCGATCTGCAGACATACCAGTAATGGGAGCACGTCAGCCTTCGTGAAATGGCTAAATGTTTAAACCTTTCTTAAACTTTTTGCTAAACGTTTAAAAATCACTTACCCAGTGAGCCAAGCTTTTCAATTTGCCGGCATCCATTATTCAGTGAAGTTCTGTGTACAAAACAAAAGTGGAAAACTATGAATTTGAAGAAATGTAGGTTAATTTTCAAAATTACTTTCTTGTTGTGTGTATAAACTCTACTGGGGGTCATTAACATTTTTGGAAGCATTCGCTAACAAACTCTGAAATGAACTGAAGAAAAAATAGAAATAATTGAAAATGCTGCAAAGCTTTGCAGCTAGAAGTGACCTGAAAGGTTGTTGTTCTTTTAACTTCTTTGCAGTTCCAATCCAAAAGGGAAAAATTCAAACAGGAAAAAAATTCTTTCTCATAAATTTCTATTTTTAGTTCAGTTCCGGCAAGTTCTGATGGGGAGCTTTCCGTTTTTTAAAACTTTTTATTGGGCTATCATTTGGTGGCTGTGTGACTACTAGATTAATTAATGGATGTAAAGTGACTACTCTGCTTTTTCAAAATATTGTTCGTTGGATACATTTTTGTAATTGTTCTTATCTGGCTTTAGAATATATTACTCGTAAACTGAATGGTCGTGGGCAATTCATTTTCATGTCAAACAGGAAAAATTTATAATAATTCGTAGGCCCAGGCCCTATTTAATTTTGACTAAAAAATTGACTGAATGTCAGAAAAAAATCATACTTTCTACACTATAGCCTAATTAATGACTTTCTCTCAGTCTCAGATTCAAAAAGTCTGATTTCAGACAAAAGGCTGGAAAAAATTGCACACCTGATTAAATTTATAATTGGTCATGTTGATTTGCTCTTTTAGAACTTCATTTTATAAAATGTTGATCCTGGGAATTTCAGACTTTCTTTTTTAATAACATGAATAATAAAAACAATCCTTAACCGCAAATTCGACTGAAATTAGAAATAAAAGGTGATCGCCCCATTTGCATTGGCAGCACGATGGACCATTCAAATAGTGCAGCATTATATAGAAAAAAATGAAGAAAAAAGAAACCACTCATGTTAGTTGGACTAAAGTTTAAGGGGCCTGCATAGGTCAAGTTTTAAGTTGAAGTTTAAAATAATAAAAACAAAAGAAAATGAAAACAAATTAAAAAGATACCTATGAAAGTATGAAAAATCTGACAGGGTTTTAAACTTTTAGGCTTAAGTTATAATATAACTGTCACAAATTGAAAGTCATCAGTGCAGTCACGTCTGTGATTTTGCACCTATTTTTTTGGTTTTCAACTGTTCCTTGCGGCTTGCTCTACTTTATGTTGTGTTTATGAACAGCACAGCAGTACAATCCGCATGATCCGGGCCGGCAGCTGTAACTCTGCTGAACTTTAATTCATGAACACACAACGCTTCCATGATTAATGTCTTTCAGTTCTGTCATTAATATAAAACATACAAACATAATTCATACAAACCATAGTCATCAGAAGATCGGAATCCAGCGAACGTGTTAAACTTGGAATTTCAATGGAAACGAGCGAGAGCTTGAGCAGTTGGAAAAGTTCTGGAAATCAAACGCAGCGCTAGAAATGACCTTCTCCTTCTCAGGACTAAAGTGGGCGCTTCGCGATCATTGGCCATAGTCTACACTATGCATAGTACGAGGTTGTTCTATAGCAAGCTGTGTGCATGACGGTTAAGCTTCTGGATTAGTCTTATTTCCAAACTTGTTTTCTGAGAGCATAATGACTCTTTATTAAATTCTACAAAAGTAAGCTTTATATTTCTTATTTAAACTTGTAATTGCATGTTTTTAAACCTATTATTAATCAAAATATTTCGAAATTAGCTAATAAATAACAACCTACTGAAAAAGATTAAATGAGGTTATTAAGAATTGCCACGTACGGCTTGAATCAAATGCATGCAGTTGAAAGTAAAGATGTTCTCAATTCATCAGTAAGTAAAAAATAAAGCCAAAAAGAAGGAAAGGAAAAGAGAAAGTAGAAATCAGAGAAAATATTGAATGTACTTTGTTTTTTATCAAAATATGTGTACTTCACTTATTTCATGTTTCTTACATGTTTAATGAACTTGTTCTGAATTCTGATAAATATTCAAACGTATGGAAAAAATAAAGGAAAGGACTTATTACAAGTTTATTAAATGTACCCTGAAAGTTCGTCGCCCTGAACAACCAAGATGGCGCTCTAAACATCTTTACGATCGTGCATGTCGTCCGGTGATGAGCTTCTAAAAATGGACAAATTTGTTTAGAACGACCACAAGCAGTATTGTAGAAGAAAATATATTGAGGTGTGCAATCTGACAGGATTTTCATAAGTAGGCCTACAAGGTATTTTTCCCCTAAACATTATTAAAGAAAATCGGCATTATGTTGTGAGCGCCGGCAAGTTCGGGCAGGGCCGGCCAGGGGGAAAAAAACATGCAAAATGGCATTGAATTGAGTAAGGTTTGCCATGCATTGTGCAGTGTACATCCGGCTTACGTTGGGCAGTACCACCAGTAGGCCTATACATGTACTTTTGTTCCGCCAGAAAAGGCATGAAGAGTAACTTGACATGCTTTGGTTTAGATTTCACAGTGCCACTGCCAGTGCCACACTGCCAGTCACCAGTGCCGTGGTCATGGTGGCTTTCGTTATGGCAGCCGTAATGGCTAGCGATGTTCAAGTTCAAGTTCAACGTCAAGATATTTGGCTGTTGGAACCAGATTATCATTTAACTTAATTTTAATGGTTCTGGGACTTAAGGGCCTAATTCCCTTTTTAAAAACTCCTCCAAAGCTATAGATTAATGCAAAGAAGAAAATGAAATGTACTAGAATAAAAAGAACGATTTGATTAAAATATGAAAGTAAAGGAAATTATTACACATTTTTTTTTTAAATTGAGCAGTGCCATAGTGGTTTTGAACCCGGATTCCCGGGTCAGTAGTGGAATGTGTAACCAATCGAGCAACCAAAGCATTTTGGTTGGACGGGTAATGTGATATAGATTCTCAGTGGTGATTTTGTAATACCATTACAATAGCAATTGAAAATTGTGTTACAGCTAGCCACTATGTAGATTTAAAAGCCTGTGTTTTATTTAGCCTATTTAAAAAAAATTAAAGAGGGATATTTTTATTCATTACATTTTTTCTTTCTGATTCTTTTTAAGATTTGAAAAGTCAGAATGTCAACAGGGTTAAGCCCACGAGGCGGCATTGATGCCAAGAATGAATACTGTGACCAACCTATCCTGGATTACTCCTTCAAAGGGATGCTATTGACAGATGGTAAATAAATACTACCTTTTTATTTTAAATAGTCCTGCATATCTTTAATGCCATTACTTTCCCCGCCCTCTGACCCCCATCTGAAAAGTTCATTTTTTTAACAGTTTCTTCAGGAAAAAATCTTGCGTCCAATGAGAAATATTTTATACAGGATGTTCACATCCTCAATTTTTGAAACAAAAGACAGCCAACTTCTATTTTTTGCTTGTGTACAGATAGTCAAAACCTTATCATGCTTATTGCTTTTTTTCCAAATCCTTTTGTCAAAACTAGAAGTGACTTTTCACTTGATAAACAGAATGAACATTTTGGAACAAAAGCAATGCAACATTTGTGTAAATAAAACAAAGAATCTTTATATTGTTAGAAATAAAAGGCCATTGTTTGGTTCTTTGCAGTTGCTCTTTATATTGACAGTTCTTCCCATGAACTCTTTTTCTTATTGCAGATGTCTTGGACGAAGAGCCGCGAGTTGCCAAGAACAGCAAAAGTCTGGAGAAGAATGCAGAGGGAAAAGTCAACACACAGACGGTGAAGCTGAACAACAATCAGTTGTCAGAGATGGCAGGGTTGGATGTCACATTTGAAAAGATCGTAGAGAGTCCTGAGGAAATGACCTGGCTTGACCTCTCCTTCAATGACTTCTCCAAGATTGATCCAGTGAGTTGGGTTTATTGTAATACCAGAATGTCAAGTCAGGCTTGGGAGGGGTGGTCTAGTACGTGTTGGGCCTTCCACCTACCTGCCTGATTCCATGGGTTTTCTTGGAATTTCATCCAGGATTGTCCTTCCAACTCTATAACTGAACATTTTTGGTTGTCCTTTTTTTGGGGGGGGGGGGAGGAGGTTGACACCCAATTGGGAAAATCAAAACCTGAAATGATGCTAAAATATTACCCATTCATTAATTTTTTTTCTGTAGAAAAAAAGAAAGAGTTGAGCTTGGTCAGTGAAATACCCAAAGCTGCAGTTTCTGTACCTTCATGATTTTGAGTGTTAATTTAGTTTCATTTATTTTTTCTATTTTTTTTTAACAGCTTCTCCTCCAATACACAAAGCTGAAGGTTTTGTACCTCCACGGCAACAACATCAGCAACCTGAGTGAAGTAGACAAACTTGCCGGCCTCCCTAACCTGATAGCCCTGACGCTGCATGGCAATCCCTTAGAGGACCAAAAGGGGTACCGGCAGAGCCTGGTGGCCAAGCTACCACAACTCAAGAAAATTGACTTCAGTAGCATCACCAAATCGGACCGGCAGAACGCTGTGACGTGGGAGCGGGTCTATGGCAAGCGCAAGCCGCCCAAGAAGCCCAAAGATGACGAGTAAAAACACCCTGGAGTAAAAAACGCCTCACCCACAGATTCTGTCTCAGAATAATAATGCATTTGGTATTAACACTTCAAGCAACCACAGATTCTGCTTGTGGTTTTCAGAAAGGCACCCTGCAGTGCTTGCTCTCTGATTCAAGAAATTTACAAAAGACCAAGTTTAATTTTCACAATGAAATAGAAGTACAATTGCATTGGTTTCAGTTTAATCAGATAACTTAAACTGTACAGAATCTATGGGTGAGGTGTTATAGCACACATATTGACTGCTCTCATCGGTGGTATAGTAAAACTATTTGTGAGGTGATCTGTGTTGCATGCTATATTCCCTTAGCTTTGCATTAACAAAAATAGAATATTGCACTTATCTTCCTGTGGGCTAATTTGATTATACCACTTGAAGTAGTTAATACTTGTGTGGCATTTGAGTAGGTAAAGATCAAATAGTAAAAAAAAAAATCCACACTATTTTTCCTGTGAATAGAACAATACATGTTTGACAATGGCCTGTCACACAAGAATTGCTTGCTAATTATCCCATTACATTGTATGCAGGCGTGATTGTTAGTCTTCCCAAATTTTGAACATAAGGAGCAAAAAAGGCATTTTCTGCATTTTTAATTTTTAAACGTAGTTGTGGGGCTAAGTTTGCCACCATTTGCATATTTTTCTTGAATAATGCTGCTGCTGAAACATGACCTCTTATAATGGAAGGCACTCATCCAAAAACAAACAGCAATATACATCAAACCAGTATTAATAAACTGTTGACATATCTTGCAGCATATTTTGCCTTCCAAATAAATACATTTAAGCTACCCACCTATAAACCTCATAAGCTGGTATAAGGGAAGATTTTTTTTGTAGGTTTTGCAGATAACAATTATTTTATGTATGATTTGATGAACTTTTGCCATCTTTGTTTGCCATTCAAAGAGACATCAGTAATTAATTTGCTCACTGAAGTTTACTTGCTTTTAGAAACCGATAGAATTTAAGTCATTACGAATGTCCAAGCAGCTTTAGTGTGAAATTAATCTAATGAATTTCATGAAATGTAATTAAACCACTACATACTTAATTCTGAATTTCCTTACCTAACGTGAATTGTTTTTTTTCAAATGGGAGGGACAGGTAGTGTCGAAGGTGCCTGGGGCTCAGATATAAATTAACACGAGATGTTATTGCAATAGGTGCAAGTACCCCCTCAACGGTTACACAGAGAGAGTTGGGCAGACTACTGGGAGGGACATTGGAACGCATTGCCATTTGCCAATGGTGCTTGACTCTAGTGCAAATATGCTAAGCGTTTGTGCACATTCAGGATAACATAAGTGGAAAATACTTAACGTATTACACACACGAGAAAACTCACACAGGTTTGTTTATGGTGTAAATCAAGGATTTTCTATTGTTCCTCTTCCCTTTTCCTTTGTTTATATTCTCACTTTATTGCAACAGCTCTCATTGGTTTTGCACACGTTTTCTAACCGAGCAGTCCGCAATTTGGTTCCCGTCCTGTATTCATAGATGATGTTGCATGTGTGTGTCCTCGATTTACACCATAAACACGCACCAGCGACACGTGCTGTGTCTCCCCATTGAAGCTCTCGAAGTGGTCACAAAAGTGCCATCTAGTGTTTTCACATCAAGTTCATATATCGGGGCCATAGATTGGTCATAACTTGAAAGTTATGAAGTATAAAAGTGATTTTTATACAATGCTTTTATTATAGGTACAGTTGACTGCATGTTCTCTAATTTTCTAATTTTCCCACCGTCAGTGATATCCGTCCAAATGTTCAATTAGTGAGTAGTACATTTGCATACCCAGATTAACCAAACAAAATACTTTTAATATTATATTTACAATGAATTTGTGTATATATGAATTGGTGGAGTGTGATAACAATGTATCAATATTTTTGTATTCACTGAATTGACAATGTATATTAGCAGCACCGAACATAGTTTGTGTTTTTGGGTAATATATAAAGTATACATATATCCACGAGCATTTAAATTGAAAGAAAACTGTATTTTGTGATCAAATTAAATGGCATTAAATAAAAAAAGCTATTTGACAGAGAATTTATTTCTGTTTGGAAAGCTAGTAAGGTTTTCCCTTTCTAATTTTTGATACTGTTCAAGGAAACGTATTAAATGTGACATGTAGTCTTCATAAGTAGTTCCTTAAAAACCTTTATTTCCCACATATGGATAATCAGCTCCTCAAACTGCATTACTAATACAAAAAATTGATTCTTTGAAACATGCCCACAAAAAATTTACCAAAAAAAGACAAACAAAAATACACAATTTGTTTTCTTTCCTTTTTTCTCATAGAAAAAAAATGGATCCACCTTACCAGAACAGAAAATAAATGTTGTAACAAAAACCCAAATAAACAACAGTAATCGAATTACTAATCAGTTCCATTTTTAAAAAGATGAAACATTTCATTTTTTGTCACTAATCCACCAACCAAATTATTCCTGATGTGGTATCACATGAGCAAGTCTCATGCACGTTTATAAATAAGTTGAAAAACTGTTAGCATGCTATTTGTTGAAAACCCATCGAGTGTGCACATGAAACCTGTGTGTAAGCATGGAAATGTCTGAAGTTGACCTCTGTTCTGATTTGATCTAGGCAAGTTTTTTTTTACAAAGTTTTGGCACACTATATGAAAAGTAGCCATTTCATATACAAACATGTATCACAGACATGCAACTGGGTAATACAAAAGGAAAATCCATGCTACAATTTAATTTTAAAAAAAAAATCAATTTTCACTGGCCTACAAAAAACGTTATACACATGTACAACCAAAAAATAGTACCCATATAGCAGAACTGAGAAAACTCTTAAAAAAAAATCAAACTTTTTTGTGCCAAACATTTTACTGATATCAAAACGCTTCACCCTTAAATTTGAATTTAGACTTAATTTCTTGAAATAGACCTGACAATCTTACAGTCCTTGCAGCGTTGTGAAGCCCCATTATAACTACACTTCACAGCCCACTGCTGTAGAACACAAGTATCAATTATCATACAAATGCTTGTTAAAACAAGTAAATAAGTTTATCATAACAAGACAAGTCCAGTATAAAAAGATACACTTTACCAATGATTTAACAACAGAGGCCAACGTTATGGAGCTTCAAAGTGCCGACATTTTCTAAACGGAGAAAATAGTTGCTCAGCCAAAACAGGTTACCAGGCAAAATGTCATACAAAGTGTATTATTTTTCATTGGTTCTCAGCCTATGCTTAGTGGCTCTATAACGTTGGGCTTAGCGGTCTATTAGCTTACCGTCAACATAAACAAATCAGCTATGTATTTCTCGGCATTTTCTTAATATCTGTGCTTGCAAATGTTTCTTTGCAAATAGTTGTGATGGAATTTCTGTAGTCATAACCTTTATGTAAGCTAACAGACAACTGGTGTTGTGAACATAATACATTCAATAATCACATATTTACCAATGCTTATCATTAGCTTGGAATTACATATTCATTTATAAAAAAAAATGCTTACTAAAATTATTGCCAAGCTGAAAGAAACAACTCAGGAAAAAGTCCTCGCATCTGTGATGAAATAGCAAGAGCTTGTAAACCACACATCAGATGCAATATTAAATCACCGCTATTTCAAACAGCATGTTGTTTGACAACAGAAATATAGCTTCTTCTAGGTCAGTTGGGAGTAATGTACACGTATTGCAACAAATCGGCTGGCATTGAACCAAAGCGAGCAATAAGTACAATAGTGAGGGGCTTATTTTAAGGAGATGCTGCATAAATTTACATGCTACAGGTTGCAATTGTATTAAGTGGGGCTGACTTTTTTTCCAGGAGATGAGGTTAATTTGTATACAAGGTTAGTGTACAATACTAACATGTATGGTGCCAATATGTCACCTGAAATTTGTTATAACAAGACTTAAATCCCTGATGCTAAAGAAAATAACAGCGGGGGAACGAAATAGTTACAAGAAAATTTAAATTACATGATACTTTTTGCTTGGAACTTTATTTTTCCTTGAGCTTGATATTGGCCATGAAGGGGAGGGGGAGGGGGAAGTCTTTAATTCGAACCCCTCATTGGGCTTTCTTTTTTAGCCAACCTGCTCAATCTAACAGAATCCAACAACAGCTTACAGCTGCCTGCTGCAGAGGCTAAAATGAGATACCAGAAATTTACTAACAGTACAAATTCTCAGACAAATATGATAAAATGCCCGATGTCCGACTAAAATAAGTCGTTAGTTCACTACTGAAATTGTTCAATGCCAGTAGGAATCCCCTCTGTTCGACTTTGTAATATTTGGCATGGTTTAGGGGCAACACTGTACATAGTGGCTCACTCAACATTATGACGTAAGGTATTCAAAAAGAAATCTGTATTGTATACGTCATTTTTTTATATACACCTTTGTTACTTTGTCAATCGATGCACCATTATGTTTGTGGGAACTGCACTACCAGATCCTCTCTGTGTTTGACCTTCACTCCTTTGACTGCCTTGGAGGCGTTTTCAGCAGCGACGTTGATCTGAAGATAGATTTTGATAAAATCATCATAAAGAAATGGGAGAAATTGGTAGAAAGAATGAAATATCAACGCTGAAGAGGGCTTGCTGGGATATTAAAAAGGAAAGGGATTTAAAAGGATCTGTTTTGTTGGTTGATAACAGAGTTCACGTTATGGGATTGAAGGCTGTTATTGAAGGCTATTTTAAGGGTTTCAGGGCTACCTATTGTGGGTATAACAGGGTTGACATCATGTGATTAAGGGCTGTTCTGTGGGTATAACTGGGTTCATGTCATGGGGCTGTATGTGGTTATAACTGGGTTTGTTTCATAGACTAGGGCTGTTTTGTGGTATAACTGAGTTCAAGTCATGGATATTAGGCAGCATCGAGCTTTATACTCCTAAGGGATGGTCTTTGATGGTCTTTGTTATAATACTTCATTAACCCAATGAAAGTGAAAAAAAATGTAGCACCAAATACTCAACATTAAGGAGTTAAGACCTACCATGTTGATATCTGCTAGTGATACTGGCTCATCAGCGAGCACTGTGTAGGGCACTGACACACCCTGTGGCAAGACCAATAAACTGGACGACGGTTTCTTCGTTCCTGTGACGACTACCGCTACTCGAGAGCTATGGAGAACAAAAATTGATAACAAACTCATAACTAGGGAGGACAACTACAGGGAACCTAATTGGTAACTCATTACAACAGGAGACATGTTTGATATCCACTCCAAAACTCACTGATTACTGGACTGAGTCCTGTGATTTAAATGCCAGTCCTGCGCTTTATGTGACCAAATTGGCCTGATGGTTAAGAGGTTTTCACTCCATTGATCATTATTCTACGTCATATGCTCCATTTGGAGTGGAATTTTTTTCATCTTTATAAACTTATGTTCATTTTGAATGCAATTATCATTTCTTATACAAAATAATTCATACAGCATAAATACATTACTTGGCTTTAACAGTTTTCAAAGAACACAAAATCAACAGAAGCAATATTTTAAGTAATTAAGCTAGACATGGGAAATGGCTGTCAGGACTGAGTCTCTGCACGTGTCCAATTTTTGCAGAATGGTTAGGAGAGGACAGGGCCACTGACCTGTACGTTCGTGCCCTGTCTAGATATTCATGCTGTTCCATCGTATGGGAGTCGATGGCCGACACGTCAATCACATCACTGAAAAAATTCAAGCAAATAAGGGGAAAAAAACAAATGAATTACATCGTAACAACTGGAGTGTACGATCTAATCCCAGGAAACCATCTGGACAACATTTACCTATCCACTTCGTCAAACAGGGTATAAACTTCAAACTTGATTTGAAAAATTGCAATCCTGGCTCCCTGCCATATATACTGTAATACGAACGGCTACTGATAACAACCGATGTGACCGACATAAGTGGACCAGTCGAAAACAGTTGGTTAGACTAGTTCAACTATCGTTGACTATACATCCAATGAAGAGCAGTCAAACATAAGGGGGGAGGGGGGGGGGGAAATTTCACAACTGCCTGGACTTACTTGGCTGCTTTGTGTAGAATTCTGTTCAACTCAGACTGTTCATCGCCTTTCGTCAAGGAAGATGGACTCTGACTTCCATATTCACTGAAAGTAAGACAAAGTAAAAAATACTTCAATTACTTAAGTATATGTATTTGGCAAAGAAAAAAAATTAACAGATTACATGATATCTTGCTATCCTTATTGTGCTGAAGTATATAAACATGTATACAACCACATACCATACAAGATTCACACAAGTGTGAATACATTATACATGTACATACAACTCCAGAAATAAAAAAGAATGGTTTTCTTTTTGCTTTTCTTTTTTTTTCTTCAAAAAAGAGAGGTCAAGAAGAATATTTGAGGAATAATCTATGGAATCAGGTAGGGAATGGAAAAAAAAAACACATGTGGAGCTGGGCAGGAATCAAACCTGGACCACAGAGATAGAAGGTAAGGAAAGAAGCACTGTGCAGACCTGTCTCCCCTAAACAGTGCCTTCAAGCACTGTGTTGACCTAAGGAGCTCTACAAGAGGTTAGAGCTACTGTTGCCAGCTACTGCTCATGCACACTCACCTGTTGATTGGCCTACTAGATGGGTGCCTGCCAGGGTCAACAAGCAGACGACTCCTCTCATCAGGAGATTCAACCTGAAAAACAAACCATCCAAACGAACAAAGGTAATCATCAAATAAAATAACAGAGGGACAAATAAATTAACTAGGACAGGATTTGAACCTGCGACCTCCGGATGGTGCTCTACCAACTGAGCTATCCAGCCCTACGTTGGCAATGTCCCAATTTGTCAATGTCTTTGTTTACTTTCTATGATTGTTTTCTTTAAAATGACATCATTTCAGGTGGAATAAATTCACAGGAAATTTGGTACCAGTCATATCTTCAGGCAAAATCTTGTCAAATGAGTAGGTAATTACAAATGTTCTTATGTGCCTTTAATCCAGTATGGGTCACGTTGCCAGGGTTTAGGCCAAAGTGATTTATCACTTTTCTGCATTTGGCTTAATAGCCCAAGTAAGTCATGTAATGACATACATTTCTAGTGGGTCTGAACTCTAAATATAGACTTTTTGCACTCAGTTGCCATCTTTGAGGATTTTTTTGCTATTTTTTAATTCACAATGAATGAAAACACAAGAGGTCTACTTGTGCGTATCGCTATAAAACAAAAACACACCTCAAACATGGCTGCAGTGCAAAGGATCTATTCAACATGTTAAATTAAACAAACCTGTGTTCGTTTGTCTTCATCTCGTCCAAAGCAGCATCCCATGGTTAACTGTGCATCACCGTCTCATTGAACAGGATGGAGACTATGTGCTTGGAACTTCTACTTGTAGATCACATACACCACAGGAGGGGAGACCAGGCTGTGAGAAAATCAGACAAGTTACTGTGCTGAATTTGAGATTCACTGAGTTGCGTTCTAGTCACCAGAGTAATTTCTCTTCAATGGAACAGTAAAATTATACTTTTTAAATTATAAGGGAAGTAAAGTCCGCAAACAAAACAGTCAACTCCCTTAAACATAGCAACAGAACGTAATAAATTGCTTTCTTAAATGTTTGCCCTCTCTTTAGCCGTACATTTTATAATTTATATTTATTTGTATACAAAACTGTAATTTATTTGTAGGCTGATCAGTATCAAGTATCATATTTTTTTCCCAAGAGCTTGGTCTTCCTTGGCACATATGGAAAGCCGACTCTTCTTACTGAAAATGTGAAATCAGAAATGGTCCATTATGTCAATCCTTCAATAACATTTTATACGGAAAGTTTCCCATATCTGGCCATCACTTGTAAGTTGTCACCCTGTGCACAAACCGTATGAGACTGGTCTGAAAATATCCCAGTGTTCTCTCAGTAAATACTTCAAATTTCCCTGCTAAGGTGAAATTTAAAAAAAATGTTTAGCGTCCCTGCCCGCTTCCTTTTTTGGTGGCCCATCCTTCTTTTCTTTTTTAACCGAAAAAATGACAGATTTTCAACGATGACGTCTTTATCTGTTTCATCTATCCAGCCTATATAAACAGTGATGATAAAGCACAGTGTTACTGTTAGTGTTATGTCATTTGGAGGCCATTTAAAATGTAGACTACCCAACTGCATGCAAACTATTGCATTGCTGCACACAGTACACCACACTAGTACTAGTATACACACACGATACGCATCCGGCCTGTGCCTGTACGCAGTCCAGTTTATAGTATAGGTGTTCAAAAAATAATGCCCCACGCAGGCCGTAGTGATATTCTCCCATTAATTTCGGCAAATAAACCTCGCGTGTAGCACTAATTTTTCCCCCTCAACTGCACAGTACAACCGCGTAATAACCATACGTACCAATGGTGACGCTAATAAACTTTCGGAAAAAGTGCACTTCGTTGTCAGTTTCTCATCACAAAACGAGAAACTCAGCTGTTTTCAAATCAGTGAATTACCCTGAAAATTGACCTCGCGTTCACCTGAAGATTACACACGTGATGACGACTCAAGTCCTCTACGGGATTCAAACTGTTGAGGGCGCCATAGCGATTGATTGGGTGCAAATTCCCATACTGCCGCAATGCTTGCTTTAAAATTCTTTTTAAAATACTCGGAACTCTCACAGGTATTTCAGCTACACAGAAAAATGATGATCAACATGTCATCTTTCATTTACTTTTCATTTTTTGGTGGGTTTACCAATGAATTCTCGAGAAATTCTCACCCAAAGCAATGTTTCCCAAAGCGAAAAAGTAGCCATTTTGAAAAACGATCCCTCCACAACGTGGCAAAATAGTACTGCCACTTTCGAGCCCAATTGCAATTTGCATCCAAAATGCTCAGAATTGGAAGCCTCAAGTCTGGGCCAGAGGTTCACTGCCATATCTCTTCAATTTCCCAATTTTATGACTCTCATAACTCTCTAATATAGAATATATTGTATTATCTAGTGGTATTTAGATGGGTTTAGGCCTATTTATAAACGGTGTGCTCCCCTAGCGTAACATTCCCATAGGCACCAATGATGAAGACTCATATATCTTGGGGAACTACTCATTCTTTTTTGGGGGGGGGGGGGGGGCTGGGGGTTGAATTGACTTGGTGGGCGATTTCAAGTTGTCAGTAAATTTTGAAAGGGCTTTATGAATGTTGGGTTGGGCTGTTGGCTTGGGCTTCAAGAAAACTCTGAGAAATACATGGTGGCTCTGAAGGGACATCACAAAATCGTGAATATGGACGTCACTTTTCTCGATTTGCGATGTCCCTTCAGAGCCACCATAACTTGAGGTATCGCCAGAAAATTCGAAAGGTAACTTGCTAGTGTCGTAGTGACACTTAAAAAACTTTAAAAAGCCCATTTTTTTAAATTTTAGTACGAAGATAGAAGTAAATTGAAGTTACTAAAAAGCAAAGCTATAGTTGTATCTCAAAATAGATTCATTTGTTTGCTAATACTACTAGATGGCGGTAGTCAATGGTTATTACCCAGTAAATCAATAGAGGGCGGCAGATAAAAGTAACGGGTTCGAAATACAATGATAGCCAACAACTGAGGGCGGCAGACAGAAATAACGGTCTTCTTTATCTTCAACTAAACAAAAAGAAAACTGACGATTGAGTTCGAATGAATTATTATGAACTCGCTTTTTACAAGAAAAGTGTTAAATAAGGTCAATAACATATAATTGGCATATTGGATAACGTCTGACAATTGATGTATGTTTAATTTTACCACTTCACAAACGGTTGTGTCCAACTTCAAGATAACTCGGGTAATGCTTATGTCCCCCCCCCCCATAAGCAAAACGCTCGTACCCCCGAGCAAAAGTTCGAGTCAGTACATGCAGTAGGAGCACGTTTTGGCGGCCCTTGAACTGCAACATATTTCTGACGTCACAGCCGTGACCTGAAACATGTTTCCTGTGCACCGCGAAAACGACTGACCGGAAAATTGTTCATGACGTCATGTTACTGCCTACGTGACTGCACAACCCCCCCCCCCCCCCCCAAACAAAATCACGCGGCGACCGGACACGATTAACAATAACATTCGAAGCAAAAGTGGGAGTTTTTTTTTATAGCGTTTCCCCTAAAGTTCTAAAAAGAGTAGGCCTGATATTCTGTATCAACTTTCGTACCAATTGAAGGTAAAACCCCACTATTTAAACCCCATTTATGGTAAAAAGTAACGTCGTCTGCTAAGCTTGTTTACCTTTCCGCCATCTTGAAACATAAGTGAACCGACCGGAAACCTCGGTTCAACTTTGGTCGAAACAATGACGTCATTTCAGTGAAAACCGAAGCGCCAAAACGGCCGCGAACCAGAAACATGTTTACGGTCACAGCGCCAAAACGTGCTCCTGCTCATGCACACAATTGAATCAATAGAGGGCGGCAGATAGAATCAATGGTCAGCATCGCAGAATCGATGATGGAAGGACTTGGAATAAGTCTACTAAATGTGATCGCCTTATACAAACAACTGAGGGCAGCAGAAAGAATTAATGGTCCTCATTATTTTCGCTCGTACCCCCCGCCCTGCAAACAGGGGAGGGCGGGGGGGGGGGGGGGGGGGTACGAGCGAACTTATTATTTTGCTAACCTTTATCAATTGAGGGCGGCAGACATAATCAATGGTTTAAGAACATAAAAACGGCACGTGTTGACATGTCGACTTTCATGGATAAGCTATCATGGCTATCCAATCGGGTAAGCAAGTAAAATGTAATTGAGCACGAGTGTTATTTATTCCGGGCGGCGCTCACGCAAAACATGGCGTATATAGAGCCTAAACTATCTAGTATAAAGGCTAGCTTCGGTAAGTAGACCAAGTCTAAGTCTAACTTAAGTAAGGTATGCCTAGCCTAGCCTAAGTATGGGCTAAGCGATGGAAAATTGGAGGAAAAAAAATTGAAGCTAAAAATTAATATCCTTCAAAGTTCAAGGTCGAGATAGGTCGCAAATGGCCTTCTAGCTTTATCATGTTTACGGATATTATTGGTTATTCCTGACATCGACAGCGCACCCGTGAAAAAAACTTGTTCCATTAATAATGTCTGCTGCCCTCAATTGACGTTTAAAGATAATGCTAATTAGGACCTGTCTGCCGCCCTCAGTTGTTTAGTGATCGAACTGTGGTTCGAACCGTTGATTCTATCTGCTGCCCTCTATTGAAATAATTGGATGCCCTGCATTGTTTATTGTTACCGCCTCATTAAATTTGACCTCAATTATTGTTAATAGACTTCAGGGTTTTCGGAGTATCACCTCAGCATTTAAAAGGCTCCTTTGAGAATCTTATTTTGACAATTATAATAAGCCTAAAATCCTAAAATGGTTTAACATACATTAAAGTCGGACTGAAATTTCAATGCCACTTTTTGCCTGTATTATTTTTATGTTTCGTTTTCTGTTTAAACTGTGATCCGTTATATCGTTTCATTTGTAGGTAAGGAGCAGCTACGTAACATATTAATAGATCTTAATTAATTTATTAATATAACCGTTAGTTTACGGTCTGGGACCTCGTTTAGGCTGTTAATTTGTCATTAATAAGGACCGTTAATTCTATCTGGCGCCCTCTATTGATTCAATTGTGTTCATTGCAATTAGGACCGTTAATTCTATCTGGCGCCCTCTATTGGTCAATTGTGTTCCATAACAGTCAACCTCGTTCGCATGGTATCGAGCAGAACACTCTCGCTACCTGCTGCTATTGGAAACGAAGTTCAAACTAAGTAGGCCCTGCATGGGGATGAGGTTGCAACTTATTTTAACTTGAACTTCCAAAAAAACTACCTTACTGACTTTGAACTAATTTCTCCATATTAAATGGACTTTTCGGAATTCAGCTAGCAAGCCATCAGTTTTCTGGCAGTATACATCAAGTATTACAGAATGTCTCACAACCCAACCCAACATTCGGCTTGCAAAACAAAATAAATGCGAAGAGATTTTTGAAAAGTGACATTTGGGAACAAATGATAAAAATGGCAAGTTAAATTTCATTGGACTGGACTCTGTAATTTTTTTTACAAAAGAGGAAAGGTCTTACTCTCATTGTTCTCAGTCACGGATGACCCCCAAATTCTCCAAAATTGTCCTTGTAACAAATCAATCGGAAGGCAAACTTCAGAACTTCAGATCACACCTTGAACAGTTCCAAATAAGGCCTATTTAAATGATCAACCTTTTTTTTGGTAAAACAAAATCTGTGAAGGGGGGGGGGGTTGACCAAATGTTCCATCCCCCCCCCCCCAAGAAAAAGGGTAGTGGATATATCCTCCCAAGCCTAACTGGCATCATCAACCTTACAACTTACAAATTGATGGGTATTGACAATTAAATTTCCATTTACAGGTACATTTATTTATCCTTTATCTCATTATATTGAATTTCTTTCAAGAAAAACTGATTTCGTTTAACCTGAATTCTTTTATCTAAAAAATATTTACAATGACCTACGATGTATGGAGTCTAATACACCTAATCACCATGTTTCATTCCCTGGAAACATTTTTAGATTCAGGGAAGGACGTCACACACTCACAGCTTAAACTCTTATGATACAGTGAATTTTATGATATACCAACAGTTGCAATGCCATTTCTCCAGCAACAACTGTCAAGCAGATATTAAGCCATCGCAAACTCTGTTAGTCTCCAATCAAGTGACAAGGTAATTCAAATGAACTACATGTATGTTACCGTTCAGCCTGTGTAACTTGTGATCTGAAGTGTGATTTGGCTTGTTATAGACATGCGATTGACTCAATTACAACTCTGTCACACAGTAGCAAGCAACAAGAATCATCATGTCAGTGCAACAAGGTTGATGTCGTATCTCGCACGAATACGCTCTTTGCAACAAGGTCGTATCTCGACGTCCACTGACTTTGCGTGAACATGCAGGGTATTTTTAGTGAGATACGACCTTTTGAAATTTTGAAACTCACGTTTCACGTACAGCCCATTTTAGGTGATACAACCTTGTTGCACGGACATGACAAAATGATGAATGACAGCAACCATCACTGTCTTTGGTCCATGAATTTTCAACAACCTTCAACAACTTCAACAGTTGGCTGGACCATAAGGGCCAGCCTATCGTCCTGTGACTGACTCACTGAGTCACTGAGTAAATAAATAATTTCTTAAAATGAACTCTGCAATGTTCATGTCGCAATATGTAACACGGTGCATCACAACAAATGGCCAAAACAATTGGCAGGCCATTTGAAATCTTTCCAAGTGGAAATTCCAGCTTTGTGTTCGTGATATGCATGAAGAAGATACTGCAATTCACACTGTGATTGCTTGACTATCAGTGCCTGAAAATGAAGGGAACAAACAAAAAAGTGCAAATTAGCTTTAATTAAAATGATATATACAAAAGGTTTAAAAAGATTAAAGACAAATGCCCAGTGAGCTGTTTAAAACAGGGAACCAAATTAAATCTTCAATCTGAAAGTTGTCGTGCAGTCAAAACGAAAATGGATGCAATGGGCACACAACATAATGTGTAGAAAATAATTTTTTAAAATGGTGCAGATGAATATTATCCTAATTACTTTGTTTTATCAACTTGAAGGGGACAATAATTTTGTGTTCATGAGCAGTTGTATACAACAGGAAAGTGACATTTTTCCCATTTGATCAGTCTTTGGTATACTAAATCAACTTCAAATATGCGGCACAGTTAAACTGTTTCATTCACTGAAAATTTGTTCAAGTTTGAAACCGTGTGGAATATGCGAATGTAAATTAAAAAATTAGTATACTGTGAAGAAAATAATATCTCTGACCTACTTTTTTGTGGTTCCAAATCCTGAGAAGCCCATCATGGCTGCCATGTCAGGGTCCAATCCCGAGTCCAGATCGTCGTCCTCAGCTTTCCGTTTTCGCTCCTGTCTTTTCTCTTTCTTGTACGCTTTCTGTTTAGTTTCCTTTTGCCAAAAACAAACAATCAGGTAAATTATACGACAAATTAAAAGCAAGTTTTATGATGTCGCTAATAACTTGTAGCTTAACAGTGTTGTAGTCGAGTCTGTCACAAGTCCTCCAGTCCCAATAACTGTGACAAAGGCATTCCTTTGTACTTGTTCATCCCCTGTTTATTATTGGGACTGGACTTGTAAATGGGTCTTGTGATGTATGGGTGACTGGAGTTGTGATGGACTCAACCACAATACTGTTGCTTTGGAAATATACGTCATTAGCAAAAATGTGCTGGAGAACTGGTGGTATGCAGTATATGTTGCACTGTATTTTGGCTGATATTATCAACAAATAGTCACTGTGCTTAACAATTGTCTATATTTAGCTGCTTAAACTGGTCCAGAGTAGCCTTGTAATCGTTGACCAAAAGCCAATTTTCAAACCCTTGCTTGCTCTCCATGTTTGGCTTTACGGACTCCAAACTCGTTTCGTATATAAATAGGATTTAAATATATTTCAGCAGAGTAATAGGGGACCTGAATTGAGCTGGAGTGTCTACAAAGAAGTTTGAATTAAAGGCTAGAATCCAAAGCTGCCGACAAACCCAGGGTTTTGGAAATGGTTGATGTTTTTGTTTATGTACCTCTTCTCTTAGCTCTTGCATTCTGGATTCAAAGTCGTAGTCCTTCTTCTTTTCCTCTTTCTTCCTCTTGTTCAGTTCAAAACGTCTCTTGACTTGGTCCAGTGTTGACCGTTCCACTTTCATGGACATGCCAAGATTTCTTTGATCTGTCGGTGTGTAAAATATTTTGAGAAATAAAACTTCAAAGGGAAATCAAGCCTTGTAACTGGGCTTCACCTTAAAAAAAACCTGCAAAATCTTCCAAAATCTTCTGGAGATTTTTAAAGGATCCAGGACGGTTCGGATTGAAGTAGTTTTAAAAAAATGCAATTGTCTTGCAATGCTAAAATTTCCACAGATCTAGGAAGCTTCAAACAATGTCCAGGGTTAAGGTTTACAATAAATCCATTTCAGTATTGACAAAAGAAATAAAAATCTTGGAACACCTACGTTTTTTGCCATTGATGTGGTCAAGGAAATTGATGGAATCTTTAACGACGCAGTCGCATACATTACAGTAGTAGCCGCCCATCTGTGAAGAGGGTGTGGTCTTGGTGATGACCTGGGACTTCCCCAGGCGTGACTCAAGGTCAACTTTGTACTCCCGCTGCTTGAGGAGTTCCCGTTTGACGGGAGGCTCTCTGCTTTTTCTGTCTGTCAGTTGGAAAAAAGTAAAAGATGACAAAGTGAATACAAAGGAAAGTTCAGGCTTTGCACAGTGGAAATAGATTTTTGTGAAGTTTGCAGATACACTGTGTGAAGTGGCAGAAATAAACATCTAAATTGGGTGACTGTCAATATGAATTACCTGCTTCATCTTCATTTTCCTCCTCTTTACTTAACCGCTCCTTGGCAATTTGTTCAAACTCCTCTCGGTCCCACTTGCGTCTGTGGTCATCTGGTCTCTAGAGAAAAAGCAACAACATTTGAATTGGATTACCAGATTACTGCAAGATTAACCAATCACACAAATTTCTTAAAGGCATGATAGGGGCCAAGATCATTCATCACGTTCATTGCAAAAATTAGCTTGAGTAACTCCAGCTGACATGCTCATATTCATTCACATGCCATGCATGCTACATGTGAATGAATATGAGCATGTCAGCTGGAGTTACTCAAGCTATGCAAAAATGATAATCTGGGACTGAGAAACATTTCCAGTTTTGTTAGGAAATAACAAATTTCTTGACTCTCCATAGACTTTGTACACAATCGTCAGACCCCCTAAATCGACGAGATCCTAATTTCAACGCACTCCATTCAATTTGCGTTGGACAACACGGGTTGCATTTGCAAGCGACATCACAAAAAGTTCGATTTAAATAAAATCAATTACAACCTTGGCGTAAAACTAATACTTACATTTGTGGAGCTCGACTGATTTGACGCCATTTCTTTCACAGTTATTACTCTAAATATTCTGGATCTGCGTAAAAATAAACACCCTGCTCTGCTCTCGAAAAGTCGAAGAAGTTGGCGCGGCTTCACGTTGTATTGTACTCGATCTAAGCCCAATTAGAACATACGGGACGCGAAGTGTCCAATTGCGAACTGTTTATCTACGGTGGGTTTGAGGGACCATCACTGCAACCAGAAAAAAAAATAATAAATGAATATGAAGACCGATTGTCACCACAAATTAAATGTCACATAAAAAAAGGAATATGTGGAAATGGAAAATATTTAAACAAACCTAAAGTCAAAGACTAAGAAAATAAAAGAAGGAAAGCTTTGTGTTACTGCTAGGGAAATTGCAAGGGGGTAACATGGGGGGGGGGGGTCAGAAGTTGTAACTAGTACTAACCATCTGACAAAAACATCTTGCATTATATTTTTGCGACCAAATTTTTCCGTACAAATCCTAAACATGTTCAACTCATTTTCTTCACCTCCCTGTGTCCATATTTTCTAATGCAAATGCCCCCCCTCCCTTTTTTTTGGGGGGGGGGGGTGGTTTAGGGGGAGGGGGTCGGTTGGGTGTGGGGTGGGGAGGGATACAATTACATTACAATTCCTTGACAAACTGGAAGTGGGATTTGGCATAAAGATGACACAAATTCCTCATAATCAAGCTTAGGATCAGGGGTGGGGCAGGGAAAACTCGGGGGGGGGGGGGCATTTGATAAAATGGTTACTGTTGATAGAGAAACTTGCAGGGCTTTTATCTGGGTTCAACTGTGACATTATGTTTCATGTCTCTCATGTGCTGTAGTTACTTTGCAAAATGAAATGATGCTGTGTAAAGATCATTCACATCCGTTGCAATTACAACGAGTCCGACTGAAATTGAGGGAGGAAATTTCCAAGAAACTGGAACAAAGTTACTGTTAAGTAGTAAATATTAAGAGAGCAAACAAAAACAGAGAGCATTCAATTTGCTTTTAATGAAAATGTTGGGAAACTAACCGATTAAGACAATTATGTTGATTCAGAAATTCCCCGGTGGATCAAGCTTTAGCTAAAGAGCTCCTCCCCCCCCCCCAACCCCCGGCAACAAAGTGCAAATTTTTTTCTGCATGATTTTCCTATCTTTTTTTGCCTCCACTTTGAAAAGGGCAAACACATTTGTGCACATCACACCAATTGCAGTATTTTATTTATTCAAATGGGCCATACCATTGCCTGATACATTGTACATGTGTACACCAAACATGCATCACAAAAATGAAGCGCTTCTAAGCTATGTCCACTATACAGTGATTAAACTGAATCAAAATAATACTGGAATAAATTTAAATGGACTAGAAATATTGGAATGAGTTTTAAACCATCCTACACATAATGTATTTAACAGTGAACATTTTTTACGAGGGATTGTCTTTCAGATATCACCCTGTCACTTCAAAACATACCAAAGCTAGTAAAAAGACCGTCTAAATTCGAAAAGAATAGCTGTCTTAATTAGATAGACATAATTAAAACCATGCAGTATGACTTGTCTCAAGTGGGTATCATTTTCAGCAGATACATCAGCCTGCCAAATAGCCTGGGCCATAAAATGAATTTTCTACTAAAATATATTTGTACAATCATAATTGCCTCTGAACTGTATGAAAAATAATAGGGCCCCTTCTTTGTTAAAAAAAAAACATTTTAAAAGAGCACTTTTCAGTGTATTCAACAATGTGCATGCTATTTTCTGACACCTAAGGGTACTGATACTGTTATGTTACTTTAAAGGCACTCACTTGATGTCACTTCACCATTAAGGAATTTTCTGTACCAAATATGAACGCAAAACAAAATCCTTTGTAATAATTGATCCATAAAATCTGTGATTTAACTGTTGACAATCAAATCAACCAAGAAATACGAAGAATAGTGAGCCGAACTTAGCAACAAAAATCCTTTGAACTTCTTTGTGCCCAAGCATTTGCTTCATAAGACATCCCTGCTTTGCTCATCAATATGGAAAGTTTCATTACCATAAGAACCAAAAAGACATAAAGTATGGCAATATAAAGACTGGAAATGAAATTAAAAAGGACAAAAAATGCAGTTTAATGATTTATACAAGATTCTTCTGTGACTTTTAAGCCATTAGTCTCCGTACTGCCCCAAACTGCCCTCCTTTTTACTCCCTGTTCCGTCCAAGCACTATAATGGTTTGATGGGTTTATCAAGGAATATATACAATGTAATAATACAATGTATTGCATACGCTAATGGGGTAAAAAAAAATGCTCTAGACTATATGGTCTCATCATATATCATTCTATCTTTTCCCATTGCTGTTCAGTTTTCCAGGCCAACATAGGTTGTTGCTTTGCCAGTTTTCTTGAGAATCTCCAGCAGTTCATCAGAGGAGAGTGTTGATTCAACGACCACTCGCTGTTGGGCCAGATCCACGTCAAATTTGGACACTTTATCTGATGGAGAGACATTGAGAGAAAATGATTGAAATGCATGATTATATGGAATACACATATGGATTTCAGAGCAGGCTGTACTGAAGATAACAAGTAGCATTTAATGATGATATAGCTGTACTGAGTGGAGCGCTGGAACTACGGTGGGTACCTTAGTTGCAGCGCTCCATTCAGCAGAGCTAATGATGGATAATTATTAATACCTTTTTGTTTGTTTAGGACCCTTGTCACAGCACCAGAACAACCCTCGCATGTCATCTCAACAGTGAACACATGCTTCTGTTGGAGGGAAAAAACACACTTTTAACAAAAAATTTGTATTAGCAAAGCTGAATCTTTCATACACTGTACCCCACTACTAGACTAGCTATGCATTTTATGATGGCTGGGTTGTCATCTCATACACACTACACTAGAATAATTTTGTGTGTGAAGTGTGTTGTAAATTTGCTGAGGGACCATAGCGGGAAGAAAGAAATGTTTTCACCAGGAAATACACCGACCCTATGAACAATTTGTTTGAAGCTTACAGTTACACTGCATCATAATTAGACCGTAATAACTTAAACTAATGCATAATGTGGTGTATATTATATCGAAACTGACTACTGAGCTATGAGGAAACTGAAGTCAAGACAAATAATAATTAATATAAATTAATATTTTCCAAATTCCAAAATCATTTGTGACAATCTTTTCCTATCATGCGTACACGATGAACGCCATAAAAGATTCAATTTTCACTTACTTGTGTAGCCATAATTATGAGGAATTTGTAGAGACCAAGAGTTGTTGGAAAAGGCGAGAAATTTATCCCAAATATTTCAACAAACTGTTCGTCTGGTCTGCAGCACGAAATGCGAAACTAAGATTGATCAGCAAAATCCCCCAGCAAAATGACGTGTCGTTGATCACGTGGTGATCACATGACTACAAAATTTGGACCACCTGACAACAGCACGTGATACAGGCCCTGTTCTATCGCTATTTAAATTGGCCTTATACCCTGTAGGCTAATTTTGTATTAATTTTTTTGCAAGTGACGGTTGATAAATTTTAGTATTATATAAAAGATGACAATTCTCTATTTTGTAGTCCCCTCCCTCCGCACTAATAATATATTCAACCCTTAGTGTTAATTTTTATATGGAATTTGTTCGGATCCGGGATCCAACAATACACTTGAATGTCTCCATAGCAGTCCCGATCCTGAAATTTGTACAAGGGACAATGAAAATGAAAGCTACGTAATACTGTTCATTATCACACGACACCTTTTCAATAAAGCAAAAGCGAGTTATTCTACATTGATATGGGCGATTTTATTTTTTTTTTGAAATCTGTCACATAAAAATGATTCACAATCACATTTCCTGTCATTTGCACCGGCTTGAAAACTTGGGTATTGAGTACATTTTTGTGAAATCCTTTTTTACCATCTGTTCATATGATTTCATATGATAAAAAACAATCATTTTACATACAAAGTATGAAATTAAAAAAATATATATGAATCTTTATATCTAAATAAATTTCACTAACATATTAAATTTACACACTGCTTTTCATAGATTAAAAAATTAGTATAAAATTGAGGTCAGTGTACCAGAAAGAACTCATTGAATTGATAATTAAGTTTTAAAGATTAGTATTACTGTATGTACAAGCACTGATCATGGAAGCACACATAAAGGTCATGAAAGCTCACGAGTTGGTTTAATTTTCTTGGATGTCATTTCAGAATGGAATATTGCATTTTAATGCGCTGTATTTATAATTATGTCACCTTTGACATCATGCCTGTTGGTTGCTGGAAGGCAAAAATGCCACATAAGCATCTCGTTCAGGTTTTTAAAATCCACATAATGTAACACCATTTTTTTCAAACTGAACTCTATCTCAAGTGATGTATACATTGAAGAGTGGATTTGCTTTTTCCTGGCAAAAGTGGGCATCAAATGACTGCATCACATGACATGCAATTTGATAAACAAGGGTCACATGGTCTATGCAAAAGGAAATTGTCACATGTTACAATAACTTGGCAAATTCATCCCTGTAATATCTCTTAAAATTTCTTTTAAAATTTTCAAAGCTAAAGGTGTCCTTGCATTTACATTGATATTTCAGAAAATTCAATTTGCAATGGAGACAATTATTTCTGTTCATAAAATAATAGCTTCAAGTAATCATTGCTAAAAATGTTTACACATGTATTAATCTTTACAATGTTACTATTGTCACACAATACATTGGCCCTTTTTTTTAATTATTTTGAAAAATGATAGCCATATCAGACAAAATACAAACATTGGACTTGATTGTTACACAGATTCCCTGAAACAGAAATTTAAAATTAACATTAAAACTACTGGACCTCAGTGTTCTATTTTGTGGTGAGGAAAGTTGCTCATTAAACATCATACAAACATTTTGCACTGAGATTCTGTGATTGGTTGCTCATTTGAATTTTGGCTACACAATGCTATTTTTAACAAAACAATGCAGTTATCAACATTAAGGAATTCACAGAAATGCTCATAGGAGTTGCCATTTAAAAAGAACAATTTAATCTTCAGCCCCAATGCTTCTGTCAAAAAAACAAAAAAAACCCAACATTCATTCTAGGACCTACAAATCTAAAAATGGAGGTAAAACGATCATTGAGGCCGGGTGTGTAAAAAGCATCCCTTCTTGTACTTTTATGGCTTTATCAGATTCACAAATCAGAAACCAGCAAGCTTGATATTTGAGTGGTAAGACGTCTGCAATACATGCAGTAAGCAGGAGGTTGTGCACTGTAGTCCTACATGAGTTAGCATCAAGCTGATATAGTACTATGCTTGTAAACTTATACCAGTGAAACAGCTATTTCAAGATAATTTTGTTGTTGCTCAAAAAATTCCTGCAGATCTCTTCTGTTCTGTTTACCATGGGTAGCAGGGCTGGGGGCACTCACGGAGGAAGGTCTCCAAATAACCAGTGTCCACTTGCATCATGGCTGTGTAGGCTGTTAACTATTGAGAAGGAAGATTTGAGAATATGGTTTAAGATGAAAAGGATGATCGACGAAGCTCTATTTTCAGAAGACAGTTTTCTAAACCTCACCTAACAATGCCAATCTGCGGGATCCTTGCGGTTGTGCACTGGTTGTGCCAAAAATAATACAGAAGGAACATTCTGGATTTTGATATATTCCTGAATTTTCTAAGTACACTCAGAGATCACTTTGTCTCCTGGGGTGAAGTTGACATTTTCTGATTAATGTTTAAACTTTGTAGACTTGTATGAATATGATGTGATAAGACATAAAGCCACTTACCAGATTGAGATTTGGCTTGGTAGACAGAACATTGTAAATGGGTCCAAGCCCCACAGCCTAAAAACAGAAAGAAAAAGGACATCCATGTTATTTCAAGATGATAATGATGTGTGTGCATTAATATGTGGGTTTGAGCCCTGATCGAGGAGCTTGTGTTCTTGAGCAATACACTTTACTACAATTGTCTCTCTCCAATCAGGAGAACAAATGTATACAAGAAAAGATTCTGCTGATCTTGAGCTGTTACATAAAGTTAATTTGATAGCCTTGTAAAGTAAGGGGAATATTTGTCAGCACTGCATTAATAGTTTTATCATTTTTCTGTGGACTGTCCAAAGACGATGATTAAACAGAAATGCTACCAACAATTTAAAAAAAATTGGGGGGGGGGGGGGGAGGGGGTTTGAACGAATTTTTTCCATGCACCTTCTGAGTGGTGTTGGTCATGCACTTGACACCTGAGGTGCGTCGGTCGTCAAAGAAAGGTGGCTTATTCACTGGGTCATAGTTGGTCTGAAGCAGGAACCACTTGCCTTTCTTCGGATCCAGCCTTATCACAAAAAGGAACAAATAACAAAATGGCACAGATACCACAGATCAGAAACGTTATGTTAACTCTACTACAAATCTTGTCTTGGTAACTGTAACTGGGTCTAGACTAGAACAGTCACATATTGACCTTTTTAAAAGCAATTTGACACCATTTAAGTCACTCAAATTTACAACACAAAGGTGCACTCCATGGCACATCACAGCATGCTTATTGGCAAAGCACGTCTTGTCTGGCAGAAAAGCTCCCACTCATCAAAGTTTCCACAGTGATGATCCAATTTAAGTTGTGAGAACTAATTAATATCGTAAAATAATTGTGGTTTTTTGGTACACTTAAGTTGGGCCTGTTGCAACTAAGTGTTCTACTAAAACTCTTTACAGATGGGATCTTGGTCTAGTTGGTGCACAACAAAAACTCATGTCGCCTCAGGCCGACACATCACTTGGATGAAAAAAAAATTGCCATGCCCCTTAAACTTAAAGCAGTCAACGATTTTTGATGACCCCATACCAGAACTTTCACCATGCTACAGACTTTTCTTTTGTTTGTAAACAATGAGTGCCAACAATTGCCTCTTTATGTGAGAAAGAGGCATTTTTTATGAAGTGTTTGGTAGCATTTGTTAGTTATTTTGTATTTTCAACAATCCAATGGTATTTTGGAAACATTAATATTATAATAACTACTGTCTCATTTTGCACCATTTACCTTCATAGTTTGCCAACCAGTGGTTTGGCAAAAAGGTGTAAAGATGAATTTGCAAAGTGAAGAAGCAAAACTTACACTTCAACATAAGCCGGCTTCTTTCTGTCAACAACGATGATAGCGCCCTCACCACTTTTGCTGCCGCCCATTATGATGTAGGCTGGAGACATTACCTTGGCATTGATCACAGTGGTTTTAGCACTTGCATAGCTGCAATTGGAAAATCAATGGTTAATGTCAGGAAAGTTTTGTGGCTTCAAAACCAGTATGCGGATGCAGTGTGTCCCTGCCAATGGAGCTCTTGCAAGTGGTAATGAAGCAGCATGATCAACTGTTCACGTACAAAGTCCATTAACATTCACTTACTCAGTAGCTCCCAGTAGTGTGTCCCTCACAAAGAACCCCATCCACTGCTGTGACCTTTGACCAATGATCCACTGAAGAAGGCCTAAGAATCCGGGGTCAGTGCTTTTGCGTGCATTCATTGTCATGGTAACCACACCCTTTAAGGAGAAAACAAAAAGAAAGCATTCACATTTCACTTAAATCCAGGATTTACCTGGACCCAATGTCATGGCTCTGATTACCGAGGAAATGTGCGCTTACAATCACCGTTCCGTGCAAGTGCACATAAACACTGTATGATGTCCAGTGCTTTCTGAGAACATCCGAGAAACCTGACGACGCAATGCTTTAAACTCCCAGGGCTTACACAATTCCATCACAAGATCTAGATAATCTGAAATGAGCATCAATGGGTTTACCTTCAATTTTATAACACAAAAGAAAACATTGTGCCCAGTGCTGCTGTTCTGTTTACAACATTATTCTTTACCGGCTTGACTCCAGTAAGAACCCCGATGTAACCGGCAAAGTGTACAGCCTTGGCAACCGTTTTCCCGCCTTTTTGGTAGTCGACGTTCACAACGAGTGGCCTGAGCCTCTCTGATACATCCCACTGCTTATTCTTGACATCCCAGCTGAAACAAAAAATCATATGGATTGCCATATATACAAACAGTGTGTGCAAACTGGAATGTAGTCTTGCCGAACCTGAATGGTGTGTGATACAAAATGATTTTTTCGAAAATTAATAGAGCAATACAAATAATGAGGACTTATAAAGTTCCTTGCATGGAAAGCAACCTGGAATGGACATGGCTAGGCTAACCTGATATAGTCAGTCCCTGACCATTGTAATTCACAAGTGACAGTCAGTCAGTCAGTCAGTCAGATTGGTAATTGGTCTAAAGCATTGATGTATGTCAGTTAGTCAAGAACAAAGAGCAAAACAACTTAACCCCTTTGCGACCAGCAGAAGACGAGCTAGAAATACTGACTTACCCAAGAAAGACTCCAAAATCAAGGTTTCTAGAATGAAAGAGAGTTCCTATAACAGAAAAACAACATAATTTGCTTACATATACATTTAACCTGTGCATGAAATATGAAAATTCAAAATTAAATCTTTGTTTACTTGTGACCTTCCTGAATCCTCCAAAATCAATCCTTCTACAGAAATCTAACAGTACATTCTTTATCCTCGAAATGTCAATAAATATCAAAACAAATGTATTTAAAATAAAAGTGGCTGGGCTGTTTCTCCCTCAATCCTGCTGAAATCCTTAACAAAAGTTCTTAGAAGATGTTAGCTAATGGCTACGAGAACGATTTCATTTCTATTCCCATGGCAAACTTTTGCAAATTCAGCCCATGAGGAGATAAGGCCTCAATTTGCTTGGGGGATAAAAGTTTGATGGTCCAAAAAAAAAAGAGTGTTTCTTACCATTGGGAGTTTCAGCAACAATTGAGGTGCAAAATGGATTCACTTCATAGAAGATATTGAACAAAACAATTTGGCCTAAAGAAAATGAAAAGAAACAGGACACTTTAATCTGGTATGATGGAGATTTGAGTCAAGAAGACTTCATGTGAAAAAAATGTTACAAAGTAATTTTTAAGGCATTGTATGATCAGTGGTGTATGACGGATTGCAAGACTTTTCTTGCTTGATTAGTAGTGCAGATTGATTTTTGGCTGGCTAGTTAGAATCTTACATTTTTCAGTTAGGTTTTGTTATTTGCGTGCTGACTTTTCAGTGTTTTTTTAATAGTTTCTGTGTTTTTGCTTTTACTGTATTGTTTTGGTTACCAACAACCCTGAGCCATCACTTAAGCAGTCAGAAGACATACCTACTTTTTTTTAATGGGGTGATATTTGGTCCATATATTGTAAAAGTTGTGAAACAAAGTAATAACCATTACCTAGAGGCACTCCAGATGACTCAGAAATTCCTATGATTTCATCCTGATAAGGTTGTGGAAGGGTGTAGGCAATAGGAGCCTAAAAAAAGAACAAAAATTACCACTATTAAAAATTAAAAAAATCTTTGACAATATGCCAGATATATAGGTGTAAAAAGCCTAGGCTTTACTCAAAATATTTCTGCAAAAAAAAACACACACCCCCCAAAAAGCTGTTTATGCTATTTTTGTACTGGCAAAATCAAGCCAGGGCCCAATTTCATTGAGCTGATAAGCAGAAAATAGTGTTCAGCAAATATAAGTTCATGTCAGCTGAGAACCAGTCATTAACAGTACCAATCACATAACTTTTTGGCTGGTAACCTTTTTTTGCTAAGCAGGTATTTTCTGGGTTTAAAAGTACACCATCACTTACAAAGATATCATCCAGTATGCTGGTAATTTTGGTTTTGTCCTTGATGAAGTTACCAATCAGATCAATGATGTCGTCGATCAAGAACTGAATCTGAAAATCAAAACAAGAATTTGTTGAGATATATAAACCCCCCAAATCTTTATGACCCTTATTTCCCAAGACCTAATTAGGGTAACAAACTCTAAGTAACTGTTTAACCACCCAGACTGATATTTTGTGCGCACTTTGTCTCTCTTCATGATAAAGTCATCATTATCTGATTTTTACTATTTGTTGATTGATTGTCATCATTACCTGATTGATATTTTGTGTGCACTCTCTTGATAACAACTCTATAAATACATGATAAAGTCATCATTATCTGTTTGTTACTATTTGTCAATTGATTGTCATCACTATCTGATGTTAATTTTATACTTTGTTTTGCCTTTTGCAGACAAATTCTTATAAATATGCTCAGTGTTGTCCGAGGGCATGTGAGGAAAAATCCATGGGACTCGAACCCACAACCTCCTGCTTACTTGTGCAGACTGCAGACGTCTTAACCACTTGACCACCGAGCTTGCCGGGGTTGGCTGGCCGGTTCGAGTCTGATGTGGAAGCAGGTTTCGCAACCAAACATATTATATGATGGAATTCGCACCGGGGAGATGTAAATTTAATATTGGGTTCATATCTGATGTGGTTCATTACCTCCTTAGACTTGTTCTTTGCAAGTGGCGCCCATCTGTCCTTGGGGTCAAGGTCAAGGTTCAAGACAAACGTTGACACTTTGGGATCGCTGGGCGGGTATGGCACATCTGTTCTGCAGTTTCTATCAGTGTACTATAAGAAATAAATAAAGTTTGTTAAAAAATATGACCCTACATTTAAAGTCTCCACTGGCTTTTTTCATGACCAAAAAGCTATGATATGCAAAGTATCATTTGATTGTGCAGGGGAGATATTGTGCCCTCTAATGATTGGGCAACTCAAAACTGTTTGACATTTTTTTCTAGGAACCTTCTTGAACATGTTGAATACTCAAATGTTACTGTGTAGAACATGAATGGCACATTCTTCATACTTAAAAATTTACACAGGGCATCAGTAGTACTGACTGGACTCCATCTTCCTCCAAAACGTCCTGGTGGATTTTTGAGGATATGGGATGGTGAGGTTAATAATTTAAATAACAGACAACCTAACTAGACTAGAGGAGGAGGAAATGTTAAGGCTGGGCGGTGGGGTGGTGGAGTGGAGAAAGTGGTGGATACAAAGTGACTTTTTGTCATAAAGGCAATTGTTTAAATGTGCAAAATCTACTTTTCTGTGATTATCTGATGTTTGCATGATTGACTGATGCTTGTGTAATCGACCATGTCAATGCGATCAAATGATTTGGGCAAATGATAATGATGCATAATATATACTAACTTCAGTGAGATTGCCAGGGTACAACGATTTACGAACCATGCCCACGTCAGTCCCACATGTTGCCAAGCGCCAGAGAAACTAACTTGCATTTAGTTGCATATGTTGCATTTGCGGCATGGATTTGATAGTCGCACTGGGCATGACAACACTGACAGGAATGACAATGAGTGACAGACATCAACTTCTATACTCACAGGATAGATATCTTGGCAGAACGAAGGAACCAATAACACAACTGCTAGAACACCTAACGGAGCCAAATATCTTGCCAGCATATTCACTTTCTCCCACTTTCACTTCTATTAGAGACTTTTGATGGCTAACTTCATGCAAAGGCAGCAGGTCTGGTTGGAGACTGATTAAAATGTCCAGTTAGGAAATGTCTATCTATGGTGGACTTGATGGACAACCAGAACAAAAATAAATGAAACTAAAGAGGATTTTACAAAGGATCATGTAACGGTCACTCCCCAGAAAGAAATATAGAAAAGTAAATTGTGGAAATGAACACCTTATAGGCAAAAACATATACATTCACAGTCTAAGAAAATAAAAGGAAGGGATGTTTCATAGGGTCAAATTGAACTTGATGACAATACATTACATAAGAGCTTAGGAGAGTCCAGCGTGGTATGAAAGGAGCTGTAATATTAAAGGGGGGGGGGGTGGAGGGGGAGGGGTCAGTACGCACCAACTTACTACCCATTCCAAAAACTTTTGTTCTTCATTTCCCAAGAATTAATTTCCAATGCATTCCGTGTTCCATCTCCCTAGCTGCCATTTTGTTTTAGGAGATGGGAGGGGTTACAAAACTTATACCTAAAAAACTGGAAGTGGGGGTATTGGTTAAATGGTGAAACGTATTCATCATGCATATGCAAGCCTAGTACTAAACCGACAAAGAAAGAAACACAAAGTAAGTTAAACCATGGTTGATTCCTCCATGCCATGGTTAAACAAAACAATATACTGACCTCATAGTCATAATTGACAAAAATTCAAGCAAGCTCAGGGGCGGATCATAGCTTTCAGGAAAAGGGGGGGTGTTTGGGTGATATGAATAAATTGACAAGGGAAGGCACGCCTTGCTAAGGGGGGGGGGGCCCTCAGTTTTACATTAGTCAGCGGCTGAAGGGTAACCCCCCCCCCCCCCCCCCCCCGATCGATCCGCTACCACCTGGCTACTGACTGTCTGGAAGCTTTGGCTGTGCTGCATACATCTTGTGTGCTCCCGACCTCAATTTAGCGTGACAAAACAATCTTGTCTGCTATACATTTGGGGGGGGGGATTCAGTTCCCAGTGTGCATCTAACGTACTAAAAGTAAAACTTTAGGTTCTATTGTCACTTACTTGTGTAGCACTAGCAATTGATGAGAAACTATTGAGGTCAAGACATGAGGCAAAAGGCGAGATTTAATCCCAAACTCTTTCGCAAGCAGCTGCAGAGACAAGGCAGGCTGGTCTAGCTTGTAACATCAGCCTAGCGAGTAGCGGTGTCACGCCCCAACTATCGCATCGGTCCCAACTATAGTTGGGCCTGTCCCAACTATAGTTGGGCCTGTCCCAACTGTAGTTCCACAGTTGGGCTGGCCCAACTATAGTTGGGCCTGTCCCAACTATAGTTGGGACGGTCCCAACTGTAAGTTCCACTGTTGGGCTGGCCCATCTATAGTTGGGCCACTCCGATCTTTTTATTTTGCGGTGTCCCAACTATAGTTTACATTGATGTACAACTGTAAAACGTTCCCTACAGCAGCTCTGATACACGTCTGACTTTACTGGGGACCACTGAAATTAGTTATTGATGGGGCGAATCTATAGTTGGGCCACTCCAATCTTTATTTTGCGGTCCCAACTATAGTGTACATTGTTGTACGATTATAAAACATTCCCTACAACTCTAATACACATCTGACTTTACTAGGGACCAATGAAATTATCTATGGGTGGGGACCATCTGTAGTTGGGCCACCGCAATATTTTTATTTGGCGGTCCCAACTATAGTTTACATTGATGTACGACGACTATAAAACATTCCCTACAGCTCTGTTACATACTGTCCGACTTTACTTGGGACCTTTGACATTAGCTATGGGTGGGGCCCATCTATAGTTGGCCGGCCATGGCAATCTTTGAATTTTGCAAAATGTTGCTGGACAATCAACCCAGCAGCTGGACAACTCATCCAACTAGGCAGTACCACGTGACCGGCCAGCCTTGCGGCATGCATGCACGACGAATACACGGTGCCAGCGCCGCGGAACATTTAATCCAACAAGATCTATCAAGCATGAAGTATCGGCGCAACTCCAGTCCTAACTATAGTTGGGCCGACCCAACTGCCGCACTATAGTTGGGACAGTCCCAACTATAGTTGGGACCGATGCGATAGTTGGGGCGTGACAGCGGTGCACGTACCGGATCGGATCACACACACCGTTCACGTTCTGCACGAAAAGCGCGAAATGTCCTAGTCGAAGATCGATCACGTGGTGATGATCATGTGACTCCACAATAACATCACCTGATCTCGCGGCATGCCAATTGTATTTAAAATACAAATGTAAAATACGCCAGTGACGGCGAACACATTTAATTTATGTAGTTTCTTCTTCTTCGTTTTCATTGATGAATTTGTGCGCTCTCTGCCTCCCTACCTAGCCTCCGCATTGCTCTCACATTATTAAGACCAGGCAACTACCGTCGATCGCCACTAAACCTCGGCCGCCTTTTGTTTACAAATATATTACCATTTTTTTTTAAATCAAGAAAGCTCCAGAGTTAAACTCTGGAGCTTTCTTGATTTAAAAAAAAATGGTCTTACATTTTACAGTCCTGCATCTTTATGACGTATCAAAGCTAATTCAAAAAGAATTTGATTTTGAATGTAGCCACCACTTTTTGTTAGGTACTGATACCGCGAGAAGTTTTAAAAAAAGATCAATTCAATTCAATTCAATTCACTTTATTTTCCACATAAAAAGACAAAGTGTTAAATGTATACAAAATATGTGGATCACATCCCACAATGATGCCACACAGTCGCTGCAATTCTTCAATAAAAGGAAGTATATTGATACATTGATGACTGTATACATTTGACCATGCAAAGTTTCAGTCCGGCTGACTGGATGCGTCCTTCTGTAGGTATTGGTAGGTCACAATCAATCACTGAACACACAATCCAGGTTGAATTATTTTTTGGGTAAACAAAATAATCCAAAATTACTACAACAATCAACAGTTGTTTCACTATGCCAATATTCGGAGGACACCTTTCTCCTTAAAGCAAAAGAGACTTATTTTTGATTTAATATAATAAATTGCATTTGGAAATAAATCGGCCACTTTTAAAATGATTCACAGAAATAAATCCTGCAGAGTTAGACACAATGTGCTGTGGTGAACTATGGTTATATACTTTATTGTCAATCACAAATAAATTAACATCTTGTTAACAATATTGTACAATTTCAAATACAATGTAATTACATATGATAAAACAACGTTGAAATTTACATCCAATGTATGAAATTAAAAAGAAAAGGAATCTCTCTACTATTGCAAAATTTATTACAAATTAATTTTCACATTTTATAAAAAGAGTATAAAATTGAGGTCAGTGGGTCAGAAACAACTTTTCTGAAATCTACATTAAGGTTCAAAGGCTGATCCAACTCCACATAAATGTAGAAAAATTGCATGGAAGTACTGATCAGCAATCTTATCATCATATCATCTTATCAAGTACTAAAAGTTTCAAATTATGTTTCACCTTCTTGGATGTAATTACATAATTTGTTGTTGACAGTATAGACTATGGTGTGGATTTGCTTTTTTTCACAGGGAAGAATCACATGCTCTATATTATAGGAATCTGTCATCCGCAATTAAATTAATTTGACGAAATTCATCCTTGCAATTTCTTTTAAAATTTTCCATTCAAATTCAGAGCAAAAATTGTGTATAATTTCACCTGGCAACACAATTGCATTTAATTAACAAAACATTCTATCAAATGTTTGCAACACTTCATCATAAACCTAAAGGCTTGTGTTACCAGAGACAAGAAAAATGTATGTTCTAACAATTCAGAAATACAAAGGGCATATGATCATTGCTAATAATTGCTAAACAAAATGTTATTCATCTATATACTAATTGCACAATTGACTGGGTTTCTTTATAATTTTGAAAAGTGAGAGGCACGTCAACTTAACCGTGATCCCAATTTGCAATTTCCCAAGATTGCAGCATTGCTAATGTTGCTAGCATAATGATCCCTGGCTACATGTCATATAGGGGTTTATGGCTACTGACTAGCTAGCTCAGTTGATAGAGGTTCAAACCCTGCTTCTGTCAATTTCTTTGTTCAACTTAATTACTATTAAATTAAACCTTGTAAATTCTCCTTTGTGATTAATTTGATGACTTAATTTTTCAAAGCTGCAACGGACCAAAAAGAAATCTTTGTTTCAAACTCTGTTTGCAACAACAAAATAAAGTTCGTTCAAGAAATCCAAAACTGTACTATTGAGGTATGTGGAAAATATAGTCCGACTCGGGCAAGTTCACTGGTTGAGTGGTTAGGACGTCTGCAGTAGTAAGCAAGAGGTCATGGGTTCTAATACCACTAAAGCAAGCTTGAGAATTTTTTCTCTTAATCTCTCAGACAGCACCGAGTATACAGTGATTGTAAAAATTATGCCGGTGAAACTCATTAATGTTATTGATAGTAAGATTTTATAGTTCACAAGAAGCCTGTAGATCTCAAATTACAGTCTTGTTTACCATGGGTAGCAGGGCTGGGGGCACTCACGGATGAAGGTGTCCAGATAGCCAGTGTCCACTTGCATCATGGCTGTGTAGGCCGTTAACTGGGGAGAGAAAAGATTGGAAAATATTGGTGATATGACCCTTGATGTAATAAATGCCCACACAATGGGAAAAGGACAATGTCTGGAGCTCTATTTTCTGGAGACAGTTTTTAACCTCCTCTCCCAATGCCCCTCCCTACTGGTTATTCACCTTGTTCCCAAAAGCTGCATTATCTACATAGAAACTGTGGTCTATTTGATAAATAGAAACTGGAAACTTTCCACATTTTGAGATACTACTTAATTCTCCAAGTCACAGGATTATTGTTGTCTCTTAATGTGTTTAATAGTTTATGATTAATGTTTGACTTTGTACACTTGTATAAAAAATGATAGAAATAGAGTCGCTCACCAGGTTGAGATTTGGCTTGGTAGACAGAACATTGTATAACGGCCCAAACCCAACAGCCTGAAAGGAAAAAAGTACACAAATGTCATTCAATTGTTTCCAGTTCAGAGTGCCATACTGCGAATGCTTCCGACTAGTGTGCAGCAATACATGTAAGAGTTAAACCCTGATCATGCAGCTTGTGTTCTTGAACAAAACCCTTTACTGTAATCACCTCTCTCTGCCATAAAGTATAAATGGATTCCCAAAAAATTACAAAACCGATTATGCCGATCTCAAATTGCTTCATAAAATTGAAGAAGGGAAAAGATTGTAAAATGCTCTGAAGCACTTGCGCAAAACCGTTAACAAGTACCACATTATGCACAGAATGTCCAAAGTTGATTGTTTGTTTGTTTAATCAATGGTAAATTTCATATTCTTTTGAAAGAAACAGTTACAAAAAGACGTGAAGGGCCTGCTTATCAGTCAGTCAGTAACCGACCAACGCATCAATGCATCAATGCCCAGATGAGCTTTTTTTCACCAGTGGAAATTAAGATGAGCCAACTTCCATCATTTGGTTTGGACAAAGATACCTTCTGAGTGGTGTTGGTCATGCACCTGACACCTGATGTACGTCGGTCGTCAAAGAAAGGTGGCTTATCCACTGGGTCATAGTTGGTCTGAAGCACGAACCACTTGCCTTTCTTTGGATCCAGCCTAAAAAACACAATAAGGATAAATGCACAAATGTCCCTCAGGTCAGCATCAGATACACAATCAATTTTTATTTAATTTTTTTTGGGAATGAAGGGGGGGGGGGGAGAGGGGTACTGGACTTCATCTGACACTGAGCAAAGGGAAAGGAAAGGGGTAGGCATTGCTTAAAAAGCAGTCAACCTCACTCCTCTTCTGTTTTTTTATTATTAACAAAAAGGGAAATGACACTTTTTTGAGAGGGGGGGGGGCTGGGTCATGACCCCGTTGTCCCCTCCCCTGGAGCCGCCAGTGCCTCAGGTGTACACAATTCCATGCATAACACAGCATTATAAATATGTAATACTTACTCTTCAACATAAGCCGGCTTCTCTCTGTCAGTGACGATGATAGCGCCCTCACCACTTTTGTTGCCGCCCAATATGATGTACCCCGGAGACATGATTTTAGCATTTATTACTTTGGTTTTGGTACTTGCATAACTGAAATTGGAAAAGCAATACATAGGTTATTTTTTTCAACTGAGGCTACATTTAATAACAATGTTACAAACTTATGTTGGTGAAGGGCGAAGTGAAATAATCACATTCACTTACTCAGTAGCTTCCACCAGTGTGTCCCTCATGAAGAACCCCATCCACTGCTCTGACCTTTGACCCAGAATCCACTCAAAAATGCCCACAAATCCACCGTCGATGTTGTAGCGTTCATTCATTGTCATGGTAATCACACCCTTCAGAAAGAATACAAACAATTGTTCTGATAACCTTCAGGGATAAAATGGGCCAATGTCATGGCTCTGTGCTTATGACAACCATTATACGCTAATAGTGCTAGAGCAGACAAGCATTGCGTACTCTGTGTACTTTTTTGACAAAAGTTCACAATCTACTTTGGTGAAGTGTAAAACGAAACCAACATTTAAACTTGACATCTCCGTAGTGCAAAAGAATATATTAGATTCAAACTGGCACTCTGACTCTGCCAAGCTTGGTGGTCAAGTGGTGAGACATCTGCACTAGTAAACGGAGGTAAGTTGTGGGTTCGAGTCACACCCGAGCAAGCTTTTTGAATATTTCTCAATATTTCTCACATTTAGTATTCTATAACATCTGAGAAAGCCAAACCCTGAAATATCCATCTCCGCAGTACAACAGAAAAAGTTCCACTGCAAGTTCCAGATTTTCAGTTTAACAAAGAATATTGTGCAAATTGCTACTGTTATGTAAAATTTGATTTTGTCTTTACCGGCTTGATTCCAGTGAGGACCCCGACATAACCAACAAAATGAACAGCCTTGGCAACTGTTTTCCCGCCTTTCTGGTAGTCGACGTTCACAACGAGCGGCCTTAGCCTCTCTGTCAATTCCCACTTCTTATTCTTGACATCCCAGCTGAAATGACAAATTGTATACGTTGCCCTGATAATACCGAGTGTTCCAAACCAGAAAATCAACTCCGTGCATGAATGACACATGATGCTCCATGTAAGACACATTGCATGCATGCAATGATTTGAGTGCTCAATGAAAGAAGTGCACACAGTTAAGTTCCATGAGTGAGCACACACGTAAACCCTGGTAGACAATGGCAATGTGTTAAAAGTTCATGCCAAACTCTAAGCACCCCCCCCCCATAAAAGTAAATAAATAAATGAATAGATGGAATTACTATAAATTTAAAAATACCAACTTACCCCAGAAAGAGTCCAAAATCTAGGTTCCTAGAATGGTAGAGGGTTCCTAAAAGAGAACAATTAATATGATTTGCTAATATCTTAATATGCATAATAATAGCTGACTAGGCAGTACCCCTTCAATCCTACAAAATACTTTGAAAAAAACACCTTCATGGTACTGGTAGCTATTTAAAAGATGACAGGGTTTCTCACAGATAACTTTTGTTCACAGAGCTTTTGACAATGTCTGTACTGTTGTCTCTTAGTTTGTAAATTCCACACATTATGTGGATCTAGATCTATAAGATAGGTCTAGGTCTGATGGTTTAAAGAAAAAACGTTATTGTTTTTACCATTGGGAGTTTCAGCCACAATTGAGGTGCACACTGTAAACACTTCGTAGAAGATATTGTACAGAACAATTTGGCCTAGGAAAAAGAAAGAAAATACTTATTTTCCAACAATATTGTACAATGGAGTGTAGAGTGGGCATCTGCAATAGATAATTTAATAATGTTAAATAGATAATCTTTTACTTTGCCATTCGCCAAAGTACTTTTACAGCAGTCCAATCAGTGCTGTCTGAAAAGCTTGTGAGCATTTTTTTTTTAATGAGATTAGGTGTGGGTGTGGCTCGAACCCTGGACCTCTAGTTTACTAGTGCAGATGACTGAACCACTGGAGCATTGGTATTGCTGTCTTCAACTTTTAGTTCAAATCTGATACAACAGCTGCTACACTGTCTGCAAGATTCTCTCATTAAAAATATAACCAAATATAAGTTTCAAATGTTACCTAGAGGCACTCCAGATGCATCAGAAATTCCTATCATTTCATCTTGATAAGGTTGGGGAAGGGTGTAGACCAGAGGACCCTGGAGAAGATTACCACAAACGGGGAAAAAAGTCACTAAGACATCTTCAAAATTATGTTACCAAAAAAAGAAAACTCATCTAGGTTTTGAAAGGAAAATCCAAACATTCAGATCAGGTACAGAGTTTTGAAGAACTCTTGTTTATGTTTATTGTTTTGGTACCATTTTTTTTACCTTATTTAGAAAATGCTCTGGGTATACAGCACAGAACATTGAGAAAAGTGACCACTAAATAATTAAATTACTTTAACAGCAGAAAATAGTGTTTAGCAAATTTATGTATGTGTCAGACGAGAACCAGCCACTAAACGGTATACACAATGCATGACGTTCAGGTTGGTAATTAACCTATGTTTGCTAAGCAGATAGTTTCTATGCTTAGCTGCTTCCTAGCCACGTGTCTGTTCGACAGGAATGTCAGCGAAGGTCCATGGTCACAATATATACTAACTTACCAGGAGTGTATCCAGATCGTTGACAATCTTGGTTTTGTTCTTGAAGAAGGCACCCACCAAATTGATGATGTCACCAATCATAGCTTTCAACTGAAAATTAACAAAGGACAGAACTTAGCTCCTTTGACACTAATTTTACACAAAGTGGGGTCTAATTTGGGCATATTCATCTTCCATGTCACTTCCAATTCTGACAAACTCCTGACTGTTTGACCTCAAGATTAAATCATTTTGTGAACACTTTGTACCTTTTGATGAAGATGATCTATAAAAACACAAACTATGAACTAATGCATCTGCATCTTCCACTTCACTTCCAGTTTTGGACAAACACTGCATGATCAATATTGTTTTCTATAGGTCAACAAATTGTTTAACCCTGAAGTTCAAACTTTTTGCAGGGGTTGAGATTGGGGAGAAATGAAAAATGCACAGGATAATCGGCAGAGTCTTTGAGCGTCGTAGAGGGCCCCAGAGCAATGTACAATGAAGGGTCTATGGTATATGTTTGTGTTGACCTAAAGGCACCCCTTTAGGTACAGAGAACTTTATAGTAAAATATCACAAATTCAAGATTTCAAAACGATTTTTTAAAACTCCTGAAATCAGGAAAATGTCTGGCAAATCTGGCCCTGTTTCTGTGAGTACTTTGTACCTTTTGATGAAGATGTTTTTACACAGACTATGGACTAATGAAGCATCTTCAATGTCCATGTCACTTCCAGTCTGGAGCAAATTTTACACAGTTCATATATTTTTAAGGTCAACAAACTCATGTGTCATGGCAAATAACCCTAAGGTTCAATCCTGTTGTAAGTACTTGTCCCTTCACTCACTTAGATAACAATTGTATAAATTTACGAAATATTCATCATTATCTGATTTTTACTATTTGTTGATTGATTGCCATCACTATCTGATGTTGTTCATCACCTCATTGGTCTTGTTTTTCATGAGCGGCGCCCATCTGTCCTTTGGGTTCAGGTCAAGGTTCAAGACAAATGTTGACACTTTGGGGTCATTGGGCGGGTATGGCACATCTGTCCTGCAGTTTCTATCAGTGTACTGTAAGAAAAAGAAATTAAATTCTGTAAACATGCATGTGGAAGGTCTAAAAAATTTACCTGTAATACCCAGGACATTTCTGCTATAATTTGTAAAAGCACCAGTTAATCTGATGTCCCTTCAAGGTAATCACAAAGTTGTGTGGTTGGTTGATTGGTTGATCATTGCACATGCCCGTTCCTTTACGATCAACTGATCATACAGCATGGAACTGGCACGATCAACCGAAATTGTTAACTTTAAAATGTACCCGTGCAATATCAACCAATATGCGCGTGATCACAGGCATGACAGGATGCTTGCATGAATAACTGATGCTTGCACAATCAGCTGATGCTTGCGAGATCGAGGGATGGTCACGCAAATTACAGATCGTGTGTAATATTCCATAGGCCTGCCCTAGTGCAAATGACGAATCAAATGTTCACACCAAACAGTTAATCGTCTCGAGTTGTTTTGACTTATGGACCGTACCAAAAAGTTTTGATTTTTATTATCGAAAAGGTATGGGAATAAATATGTGCTTTGGCAGATATTAAAGTTTAAACACTATGTTTAATTTAAGACCGGTCAACTGTATCCTTTGTACAAACAGACTAGGATACTACACAAAATGATAGGTTTCATTGAACATTAGGCCTATCCTAAATTTTGCAATTTCACCACACTTCACAATGACAATCACACAATTTTCATTATTTTCAACATGTTGGAAATGATACTCACAGGATAAGCATCTTGACAGAGCGAAGGCACAAGTAAAACAACTGCCAGGACACCTAGCGGTGCCAAAATTCTTGCCAGCATATTCGCTTTGTTTCTTTTTCACTTGTAAAATTGTATTTTTGAGAAATTTTGATCACAAATGCCTGACACACCATCCACTGTTGATGGTGCACTTGTTGCAAAGACAGCAGTCTGGATCCAGTGCGCGAATGCACGTTCTGTGTTTACTGAAGGGTCAGTTTCCAGATCAAAACCAACTCACATGACAGGACCACGTGACAGAGAGTTCAGGGACAGTAGACTTGTTAAGTCCAACTTTTTAACAATTTACATTTAAAATTGGGTTATTATTTTTCATTTTCAAAAATCGTTCATCATATATAATCACACATGATAGGAAACCAATGTTCGTGTGGTTTTGTGCATAAAAAATATAGTAACATTGTAAAATGGACAAGTGACTGAAAAAAATATTCACACGAGTTGATATCAAACTAGTTTTATGAAAAAAATATATATATTTACTTATTGTTTTAGTTATTTCTTAATGTATAAAACAAAAGGACACTTAAAATAAACGACACATTAACTCGCAAACACAATGAAAACTAATTGCCATGAATAAATTCAATCAATATCCATTTTTTTTTTATTCAGCAAATTGGTCGAACTTAAAAAGGGAGTCACGTGCCCCCCCCCCCCCCCCCCCCGCAGAGATCTGTCCCCCCAGGTGCCCCCCCCCCTTTAAAATCTTGAATTGCACACAAACAAGTTGAACAAACAGTTGAACAAATACTTACTGAAAGCAGTTTTTCAAAAAGCTAAAATAAAAGCACTGCAAAATATCTCAGCAATACTATGGACAATAGTAACTCTTCAAAAACAATTTATGTAATATGCACCATTTAGCAATTGATCTCCAACATCTCCCAAAAAAGAATTAAAAACAATCATCTGATGCCAAATTCCAAAATTCCTTGTTCTTCATTACAGCACTTATAGCCCCCAGTGTATAGCAAAGGATAGTGAAATTTATAACATAAATACTTAAAGTGTTATTTTTCACATTAATGTTTAATAAAGAAATGCGATTCAACATTGAAACGAAAAAAAACCAAACATATTATGCAGGTGAATCTCAGTAAGTTTTCACTGAATAATTGTATATTACACTTAAAAATACATGACATTATACAAGAAAGAAAGTTGACACAAGACTAAAAAATGAACTTTAAAAAGGAAGAACATATTTCTTCTCAAATCAAGTACAAGTCATTGCATCTCAAGTCACGTCACAAGCTAATAAAGTAAACACAGACAAACGGGACTGCTTTGTCATTTTCTGTAACTTGTGACCTAATTTGTGATTGAATTGTTATCTGATTTGTGATTGATTTATGATGAACTGGACTACAAATTTGGTTTTAATATCAAAAGCCTGTGGCACAACCAGGTTGTTCCCAAAATGAGTAAAAATTGGCATTCAACTGATGCAAAATGTTTGCACTGTTACAACACTTATTCAGATATGGCTCCTGTATAGTTTTTTGGGCGCGATTTATTCATCAAACTTTACAGATAACTTAATGAAATAAAAAACCCAATCCGTATTTAGCAGGGTGTGCCTGGTTCTGGCATGGGGTATCAAATGTTATAATTTACAACACAACAAAATGGAAGAACAATTATGCAGCATGTGCTATGTCAATCCTGCAAAGAAATTTTCATGTTTCCCCTTGGCGTTAAAGTGCCTGAATTTGTTCTTGGGTTCGGCTTTTGCCTGGGGGTCCACCTCCTTCTTCAAGAGATGTGAGACATTCCAGAATTTGATTTTCTGGTCATGGGAGCAGCTGATGAGGACATTCTTGTCTGGTGTGACTGCCAGAGACTCGATTGGGAAGTCGTCATGGTCACCGACCACACCCAGGAACCGGTTGGGTAGGATACTCACAGCTCTGGTTACAAATAGAAACCAATTGTTTATTTTGGGAAAGGGTCAATGTAATATCTTTAGACTGTCTGTAATCCTTCTGTGTGCTGTCTGCAGACACACTGTGAGATATCTGTAAGCAGTCCGCAAAGTGTCTGCAGACTTTCTGCGAATTGTCTGCAGACTGTCTGCAGATTGTCTGAAGAATTTCTGCAAACAGTCTACAGACTGACTGCAGACTATTTGCAGACTGTTTGCAGACTGTTGGAAGACTATCAACAGACTATCAACAGACTGTCAGCAGACTGTCTGTGGACTACTTGCAGACTATTTGCAGACTGTTGGAAGACTATCAACAGACTATCAACAGACTGTCAGCAGACTGTCTGTGGACTACTTGCAGACTATTTGCAGACTGTTGGAAGACTATCAACAGACTATCAACAGACTGTCAGCAGACTGTCTGTGGACTACTTGCAGACTATTTGCAGACTGTTGGAAGACTATCAACAGACTATCAACAGACTATCAACAGACTGTCAGCAGACTGTCTGTGGACTACTTGCAGACTATTTGCAGACTGTTGGAAGACTATCAACAGACTATCAACAGACTATCAACAGACTGTCAGCAGACTGTCTGTGGACTATCTGCAGACTGTTTGCAGACTATATGTGGACTGTCTGCATACTGTATTTTGACTGTCCAAAGAGTGTTTGTAGACTTTCCACAGACGGTTTGACAGCTCCAAAACTTAAGAAAGTGAACATATGCACACACAAAAAATGAATCTGACAAGTGTTTGTCCTCTACCTTATCATCCCATCCATGCTACCCGTGCAGACTATGCTGTCAGTCAGCGCAACGCAAGCATCCACTGACTGGGGGTGCCCGGGGAACCGGTCGCTCAGATCCCCAAACTCATTCCAGTTGTACATGTTGAGGGCGCCGTCACTCACACCACAGATGATTTTCTTGCCATCCTGAGTGCGTGTAAGACACAGAAATGTGAGGAATGGGGGACTAATTGGCGCCAATTTCTCGGATCTGCTAACCACAGAACTGTGCTAAGCATCAAATTAAAACTTGCTTAACAATCAAAGGGGACATTTCATGGAATTTCTAAGCATAAGAATTTGCTTTAAAATATTGGCTCAGCAAAAATTAGTTACCAGCCAAACTTTATTTAAATTTATACTGCTTATGAGTAGTTGCTAGCTGGTTTTTGGCTTAGCAAGAATATATGCTAAGTAATCTTTTGTGTCAACAAGCTCCATTAAACTGATTAATAAGCCCCATGTTATCAGCCACAAATGGCTTGAACCATTTTGCATCAAGCGAGACAAAACGGCTGTTACTTCGACCATCAATATAGAGCTTTGAGAAAATGGTCTATGAAATTAGAAACCTTGTCAAGCTGGATATTCATGACAAAATGTGCAAAATTCAAACATTCTAGTAGTGATTTTGAGTACTGATTAACAAAAAAACCAGCACAAAAGCAGCATACCTTGACTATTGTAATGGTCATCATTTCATTCTGGACATTCTCCGACTGCATTACAAATTTCCTGCGGCGGATGTTAAAAGTTGACATTGTGCCATCTCCACTGAAAACACAAAAACAGCAAAGCTGGTAAAACTACCGACCTCTTTGGTAGAGGAAAGAATTATCCAGCTGTTATTGAGGTTAGAGGAAGCTTAAGTGTTCAAGATTAGGTCATATGCAGACATCTAACTTTTTTTTAGCTACTAAGATGTTTACAACTTGCCAAAATATATGATTTACCTGCTGGCTACTATGATGCGCTTGGCCTTATCAATGGCCATATCACTGATGTAATCTTCGTTCTCCTTTACTTCCATGATGGCATGCTTCTTCCTGAGATCCCAAACCTGTAGGTAAAACGAAGAGCAAGAGAATGTGCCTCAACTGTTTGGCAGGCAAGCCTGGCAGGCAAGAAACTGAATACTTTTAGGGTGGATATTCTAGAACCTTTTTGCAATCAATATGTGGTTTTCAACTATTCAACTTGCATTTATTGCAATCCTACATTACAAAATGTGCTCTAGTTGAGCCTATCACAAGTCAATCACAAGTAAATCATCAGTCATCCAGTCCTAAGTCAAATCACAAACTATTCAAACCAACTGTGAAAAAGGCACTTCGTGGCAACTGTTCAACCTTTGTGAGCTGTTTTCAAATGAACTTGTGATTTACTTGTGATCAGGCTTGCGATGGACTAGTGATGGATTCAACTATACTGCCCACAGCCAGGTATTCCATGTTTTGTACAAAAGCTCACAGTTATCTAAGGTTAGATCTGATAATTTCTGGCAGAATAAGTGAAAACTCTTAATCTTTTTTCATTACTAACTAGCACGATACAACAAAACAATAGTTAAATACTGTGATGTGAGACATGACATTTTTTTTTAACCAAAGGGGGGGGGGGAGGAAACTGTGTGCAAAGAACAGACCATGTCTTACATCACAGCAGTCAACAACTGTTAAATGTACAATGTCTTACTTTAAATTGCCCATCGTCATCAGCTGTTGCAATAAGGTTCTCATCTGCTACTAGCAGACAGTACAGCGGGCTGCTGTGCGCCTTGAGAAACTGTTGGGATGTGTGTCCGGTGGTGACGTCAAAAACCCTTAATGACTTGTCTCTGGATATCGTGTACAGAGCTAGGAGGTAAAGGATTGTAATGAATATTTAACCATTCTTGTTTCTGGGTACTTTTGCTAGAAATGTTGTAGTCTTCAAGACTGAACTTGGATATATTCCTCTAATACAGCCACTCTCTGTCAAGCACGGTAAAGCAGCCACCACGATGCAGAGGTCATCAACAAGAAGAATTAAATCTAGTCGCAGGAACTTGGACAGCGCTACCCAGGAAATTCCAAACATACCTCTTTGGCACTGTATTGAAACTACTGCATGCGCTTGAGGTAATAGCATGCTCAGAATTAATTCGCTTGTCAGGGATAGGCTGTTTTGGGAGAATAAAATCCAATGCCAGTCTTAAACGAAGACTAGGACTGTTGATAAATCCTGCAAATCCATTATTGTGCATGAAGCAAGTGAATATTTCTGTATAATTTAACTTTAAGTCTTGGGATGCCATTGCTGTCAGAGATATTTTGTTATCAGAGATGGGTTTTTTTTGGGGGGGGGGAATGCACTGTATCCTGCACTTTTCCAAGCAAAAGGTCTAGCTTAAAGAAAGACCCAATTATAAAAATAGGTTTATCTCCTTCACACTCATTTGTCACACACTAATGCTCAGGGCCAAATAGAATCAGATATGTGCTTTTCCAAGTAAAAAGCACATGGACATTTTTAATCATTTAAATTCTTATGATGTTGGTCTTTGTTAGATTGTCTGATCAATGGCATTCACTTACTTTTCCCATCTTCTGAGAATGCCACTCCTCGGCAGGCCTTCTGGTGTGCAGACAGGGACATGATCTCTTCATTGGGTGTCTCAGTGGAGTAGGAAAAACTGTCCAAACAAACAAAACTGAGATAATTCCAAGCAGTTCTTTTGCTTAAAGAAGTCACCTTTAATAGGCAATAACTGATAGGATTTCAAATTAAATTCTGGGCGATGCCAGTCTCCATTTTGAGGTTTACATTTATTTTAGAGGTCACAAAGGGCATGCAGTATGATCAAAATGTGCTGTCCAAGATGGAAAGTTATGTTGGGCATAATTGCTTAATCACACAGAAATGTGATTGTGCAATCAGTCAACACGTCCAAATTCTCAACCTTATTCCCATTAAAAAAAAAAGGAGAATGAATGATGAGAATGAAAAGTGAATGACTGTTGGCAGCAAGATCGACTAAAGACAGTGATAGTGCAGCGCCATCGACCAGAAAGGTGCAAATGCATTTTCTGTGCAATCCAATCATGGAAATATTCAAATATTTTTGTCAGAGTCCTTACAGTTTGACTGTGCCATCCATCATAGCTGCTGCCAGTATCTTGTCACTAGGATGACAGCTCAGCCTTGTCACCATGTCATCACATGTGATGGTTTTGGGTTTTGGTACCTGCTGATATTGATAAATGAAAATACATGTACAAAAATAAAATATTTGGCCAAATATGCTTTTTTAGTTGTGTGCTAAGTCTATGCAGAGTTGGGTGCATTTTCAAAGTGTTTCTAACAAAATTGGCAATGTTTCTCAGTCTGAAATTCACGTCTTTTCAACATTTTTGCAATGACTGAGATAATAATATATGAGGAAAGAAGTGGTGTCAGGATGCAACATTCTTTCCCTCTACTACTTACTAGTCCTCTTCAATACATGGACATCACTATTTTTTCCTTGCAATGACCTATCACTCAGCCATTCCATCAGAAAGCGATAACAATTAACAAACATTTCCTAAAGAGTCAAATTTAGCAGGGAAAATATTGAAGCATTTTATCTGAGAAAACTTCTTTCTTTTCAGACCAGTCTCATAGGGTTTTTGCACAGGGGGTCAAGCGATGTCCAGGTATGGAATTGTGGAAATATACGGACGTATACGGACATCCATATACAGACGTCTAATGACACCCTGTTTATAAACCCTATATGTGCTATGAGATGGGTCTAAAAAATTATGTGTTTTCTCACTAGTAAATGCTTCAATATTTTCCCTGCTAAATTTCACTTTTTAATTTTAGGATATGTTACTGAACTTATTTACCGCTTTCTCTTTCTGATGGCTAATATAGTAATAATACCTCACTGCAGGGAAAAAGTAGTGGCGTACGTATGGAATTCTTTCTGGAATTGTTCCCTGATTCGTCCCCCCCCCCGCCCTTCCCCCGCCCCCCCCCCCCCCAAAAAAACCCTGATTAGTGAGTGTCAAAAAGTAAAACAAATATAGGATTCCTCTGCTTCGTTGCTACCGTTTCGTCGCATTCTGCATCTTCTTCTTCTTCCACTTCTTCCTCTTCACTGTCTGACTCTTCTTCGTCATCACTGTCAGATAAATCGCTAGCTTTATCAAATTCTGCGCTAGTTTCATCCTTCACATTGCCCGTCGTGGAGGTCGCCATGTTTGCTGTAAGGACAGATTGCGGATCAAACCCAATTAAAGACAAAGCCAAACTCCGATGATCAAAAACAGTAGAGGGCAGTAGACTTCACGACCATAAAATTTAAAACCGCAAATCCTGAAAGCTATCAAACAGTAGAGGGAGCCAGACTGTACGACCGTAAACTTTTTGCAAGTTTCAACAGGGAGGCTTGGGACATGCTGGAAGCATCTGAGTCTATGTGATTGTGAGTCTGTGTTTTTTTGGAAAATACGTATTGACTTTCCTTGACATAATCATATATAATACAGGGAATTAAGTAGATTGTAATTATCTATGTTTATTGCCCTTTAAAATGAATAATTAAGACAAGTAAACTTGCGCCTAGTAAAGTGAGCTGAGCAGTCTTAAACATCACCGTTGGATCATTATACCGCCCTCTACAGCTGCAACTTGCAAGTGGATAATTTTTGTTCTACTTTGAATGTTTGGTTTTTATCAGCGCAGTGGCTATTGTTACGGCAGCTGTTACGCAATTTTCAACTGCTGCCCTGACGTAAGAGTATTCAACGTCAGGATCTTTGGCTGTTTGAATCATACTATAGTATCATTCAACCGCATGGTCAGATGGTTCTCAAACTTTATTTCCCTTTTTTAAAAAATCCTCCAAGTCCAAGCGCGGATTGTGAAGAAGGAAATGAAATCTACTTAAATTCAAAGAACGATTGGATTAAAAGCGTGAAATTAAAGAAAACTACAGCATGTATATAAAAAAAAATTACTTCATTAGCAGCGTGGCACCCAAATTGAACCCGCGTTCCCGGTACAGTAGTCCAATGCATTAATTACCAATCGAGCTACCGAAGCGTTCTGGTTGGATCGGTAGTTACAAATGTGATATTGATTTGCAGTGCCCATTAGCAATGGTGATGTTGCAATACTGTAACGATAGCCATTACGATTTTATAAGAAATTGCTACCAAATGATACGGTTGCTTTTCTTACATTAGTCCAGTTTACATTTCTGGAATTAAGTCCAGTTATTTTTTGTATTATTCAGAAGCAATCAGATTGTTGTCACAAGGTCAAGGTTAAAAATGGAGACAAGGAACGACGTCAACAGGAATCAACTGGCATTCTCGCCGTCGAGGGCGCTGTACATCAGTATGTCGGCTGCGACCATATTCACCACGGGTACTATGGCTGTTGGATTCCTTCTCTGCATTGGCCTGGCGTTGCTTGTCAACTATAAGTCCAGCATTGCAACACATTGTAGGGTGAGTATGAGGCGTACACCATGTGAACTCCGGGCGTGAACCGGGTGAGAACAATGGCACACAGAACTTCAGCATGCACACACACACACACAGTCAAAATGGCGGGAGCTTTTGTTTTCACACCCACAGCTAGGTCACCATTAAGGTCAGTGACCGGAAGTGATATCATGCCGAATCCGAGAATTACATCCCATTGGAAGGAGGCTTGCGCTTCAATCAGGGGTAACAATGACAATTCAGGGGAAAATGAGTAATGAGTGTGAAGTGCTTTGAGATATTGATATAAATCACTGTATAACAATAAAAAGCTCCACATTATAGGTATTATTGTATTTTCATCATTGTGTTCTGGGGGTTCCAGGTGCCCAACTTCCTACCCTCAATCAGTGCTGCCATAGCCCTCCCTCCATCCTGCTACATCTGGAGGTTGTCAGTCATGCTGACGACTGTTCAACGACTGCTCGCCATCAGGTACCACCACATGCAGTACGCGGGAGTCAAGACTAGGTGAGCTGCTTTGATGATATGAAAGCTTAAGCCATGAGCACAGAAAGTGACGAAGCAGAGAAAACATTGGCTTAGCCAAAAATGGATACTAGCCAACATGTTCAAACATGTCAACATGAGTCATCCCCATTCAAGATACAAGCCATTCAGATGACCTATCCCTTGTTACTTGTGACTTAGTGTATAATTTGACTTGATATTGACTTGCTTACTGCTCTGTCATTTGCAGCAGCTTCAAATGCAGTCACATTGCTGCTACTAAAATGCTTTACTGCAAGTTCTGCACGTGGGAGCTGCTGCTCAGAATTCGACAACACTGCTTGTATAATGTCATGCTTTCCATCCATTGCATTGAATAGAGTATGCATTGGACAAAAGCAATGTACATGTCTATACTTCATCACTTTTGGCCATTTCATTCAGCATTGTACACGCATTTTAACAACGTTTAGAATAAGGGTGGTGGCTAAACTGCATAAGGGTGGCCGCTAAACTGCATAAGGCTGGCGGCTAAACTGCATAAGGGTGGCGGCTAAACTGCATAAGGATGGCGGCTAAACTGCATAAGGGTGGTGGCTAAACTGCATGAGGCTGGTGGCTAAACTGCATAAGAGTGGCGGCTAAACTGCATAAGAGTGGCAGCTAAACTGCATAAGGGTGGTGAGCTCGTTTTAATCTACAGGTTGCTGCTACAATGAATTGTAATGCACAAATCTAACAACTTATTGTTTCTAATCCTAAAAATAGGGTTTTTTTTTCTTCTGTTGTTCTGTGTTTGAGATAGTAAGTTTAACATTGAGCAGATAGGAGATGTGCATCGGAACTGGGTACCCGAGTACCCGACCACTGATGTTAGGAACCGGTTCCAGATTACCTGATCGGGTACCCGTAACCAACGTAACAACTTACTTAGTAACTTCTCAGACAATCAAAAACAAATAATTTGAATGCCATTTGTGGAAAATTTCCAAAATCAAAACCAGGCTACATGAAAAACCAAAACAGATTTTATGTTGATGTGCATTTTAGCATGCGACAGATGACACTCGTGAAAGTTGCTGGTTACAATTGTAATGCTATGAAGCCCTTCAGACAATTTCTGGGATTTGAATTTAGGGGTTGTGTTTCTTGTATACCTATGTTTTACTTCAATAAGGTACCCAGTTCCCAAACTGCACACCACTACAGCAGATTTGAGAAAGATTTTCAAAAAATGTGTTTGTCTAATGGGGCTTGATGTGAATACTAATTTCTCCCCGGCACGATTGTGGTTTTAGAGTGATTCAGTGCAACAGATACATATTCATGAGATGGATGTGTGCATCCAGCTCATGACCCTTGACCTATGACCTCATGGTGAATGACCTCATCTAACACCCACCCATCACCTCCATCAAGCTATGATGTGCTTGATAAAGACCCAAAAACTGAGTGTAAGTATGAACAAACAAAATTAACAAAACCAAAAATGAGGGTTTTTTTGTGAGTGTGAATTTTTGTGTGATTAAAAAACAAATGTTTCTTAACTGGTAAAAAGCCTGGATGAAAAAAATGGAGGACAGAAAAACGGTCTTGTCAGAATTTTCAGATTGGGTTTTGAAAATGTTGTATTTTACAGTTGCTCATAATAGTTTGAAAATAAACCACCATATTTCCAATATTTTGGATTGCATGAGTGTTTCTTATAGGGGGCTACTCAACCCAATGTTAAAACATGGAGGCCTATTAAACATTCATGTAAAATTACACATGCGTGCAAAGTAAATAAAAACCATTTAGAATGAGTATGAACGAATATCATCTAAAATAGTTTGCTTGACCTTCACTTTGCCCATTTGGTTTCAGTGGCAACATATTCATCTTTCCATGTTTTTTTTCACCCAAAGAGGATGCATTAACATTTTGACATGTGGTAACCGAGTGCAGTGTAACATTCCCCCATGCAATCAATGCTGCAAGACTTTGCAAGGTTTAATCAATTATACAACTCTTTTCTCACGCTATAAAGTGCTTAATTTCTTAATGGTTAGGTTTCATTTTCAACATTTTCGTCTGGAAAAACTTTGCTCGAAATTGATTCGTTTTCCTTGCAACCCTTACTTCACTGCTGCTACAAAATTTCTGAATGGCATTCGCTTCTGTGCTCTTTGATATGTTTATTGATATTTTAGTGAATCTGATTTTCTTTTACAGGACAAAATGTTGTGTCTAAGTCTTGGCAAAAATGCGAAGAAAGAAAAAAATCGAATTTCTTTTCTTGATTTTTTTTCTCAGGCATTGCCAAGTGTGTGGATTTTAATTCCTCGGAAGAAACCACTTTTTCTTTGATGTCCCCATTTTCTTAATATTTTCTTCCACAGCTAAAAAAGAAAAACTTTTATTGATGATTGTTACACTCTGTGCAAACCTTACTGGGTTTAAGGCATTTGCAAATTTTGTTTGGAATTAATACAATTTAGAAATATTTTCTCCACTTGCAATGTTCTTGTTTACAAACGAAAATGTCATCAGCCGTGCCTGGTACCCTGTGTTGTGCAATGCATGTGCAATGGCTGAACTGCTCGAGAACCTGTCTCTGATCGCGCTGACTTGCGTGTCATCCACAGAAAACACAGGTTGGTAAAGATGACTGATTTTTTTTTAAGGAAGTCATGTTTTTAAGGCCAAATTGGCCTCAGTGCTTTCCTCAAATGCTCTCAGGAGACTAGTTGTCTTTTTGCATGTCGAAACTGACTGACTTTCACTTTTGACTGGTCTGGGCCCAACTTTACGAGACTTGCCGGTTCTTGTATGTGACGTAGCATTCTATTTATACCACATGTGCATTAAGTCTGGCGCCTTATGTTCTTTCATGGTACATGTGTCGGCAATATGTCAAGTCACCATTTCACAGGAAAAACAGATCCTTCATTTCCTTCACATTACCACGATGAACAGCACTCCAGGACCAGCTTTAATAAGCTTGCCTCTTCTTTTTTTTCCCTTTGTGTTTGATCACAGATCTGCATGAGAACTTTTTCATCAGTTTCCAAGTGTGTGCTACTGTGTTTATGATTCTCATGTGTCTTGTCTACAAGACAGCGTGTGGGTCCCATCCATCTGCATGGGTATGCAAATACATTCACTCATGAAATAGCTGATGTAGTAGACATTTTGTAAATGGAATCTTTAGAGATGTACTCGGTAGTTTCGGTATGCTAATTCAAATTTCCATATTCATGAGCAGTGATGTCATCTGAGGTAGAAGGGTCGGTGTTTACAGCTGCTTCAGCATCAAAAGTTATTAAAATTTTCGCCGTAATCAACCTTGCAAGCGCCATGCACAAATGTTTCATGAGATACCTTTGGGCCCATAATTTAATGTAGAATTTGGAAGCCTATACAGTGACATAGCACCCTCTGGCAATAAAATTGCAGTACAATTATTCATGGGTAAAAAAAGTAGACTTGGAAAAAAATTTGTATCAAAAAAGGGTGCTTACTAATGGTTTGATATCTTCTCGGATTTTAGAAAACGAGGCCACAGTTGAAAAGTGCTCAATGCTTAACAACTTTTCAGTGATTTAATTCCTTTTCTTCCAACAGGAGCGCAAATCTCTGAGGGCGAAATACATATGCCTTGTTGTCAATATCATCTGCTTCCTGATCGCCGTCGCCTGTTACATGACACATAGATACTACTGCAAACCATATGGTAAGCTCCTCTGTCAGCCCAAACTTGAAGAGAATTTTTCTTGGAATTTCTCAAATTCGAGTGGTCTTATCTTTGTGATTGGAAGAAACCCAGTAGAGTTTGGATATAATAGAAATTGTACAGATGCATTCCATTTTAGGAAGACCCAAGTTTGTGTGTAGTCTTTAGACTTGCATTGTAGGATTTGAAGTTCCAGAAGCATGAAATGGTTGGAATACCCTCAAGTCAAAGACCTAAAATCATAAAGCCCAGCCAGAGGTATACCTCACTTTTGTAGCAACAACCTCCCCCTTCCCTCCCCAGTCCCGGTTAATAATTCTGAGTCTAATTGTTGTACTTTTCTTTTTCTTCCCCCCCCCCCATTTATCAGCATACACTGTCTTCTCATTCTTTGAGTACATTGTGGTGCTGACCAACATCCTGTACCACGGTTTTGTCACTTACGACTTTGCCGATGTCGTGATCGAAATCTCCCTGCCATCAAAGAAGGACTAAGTGATTCTCTGGGATGTGAAAAAAAAACAGCTTGTTACCAGTAACTTTCAATGTAGATATTACGACTTTTTGTCAGGTCATTTGTTTCCACCAAGTGGAACATTTCTTTCCCCTGTTTCTTATGTTATTTTGAATTCAAGAGGACTGCAGTATTAGAATCCTGCCAAGCACAGAAATGTGGTAAGCATTGTTATATGCGGGCATGCAACTCTTCCTCGGATCAGCTGATTTCCTCTTTTTTTACTTCCCATGTGTGCCATTGAAAATAGAAAAACACTGTACAAAGTCTAGGAAAAATTTGAATTTCCTCTTTTTTTGTGATTTCCCAGTTGCATGCCTGTATATGACATTGAGCACTGTTTTTTTTTTATGAGTGGGGAGTGTATAGAAGTAAAAAATGTATAACCAAATACCATATGCAATGTTACTATCAATGCAATATAAGTTTTAGTAGGCTGAATTCTGCTTTTTGCAGTTACGGTTTAACTGTACTCGGAATGCATCTGAAGGTTGACTAGTATAAACATGTTCTATTCATTGGTCAACAAACCTAAATACAAATTGGGGGAGGGACATTATGTACATGCTATAATAGTATATATTATTCTTATACACCTCCCCATTCAGTATACTTTATTTTAAGCGCAAATACTGACCGACTCTTGAGAGTCCCTCGTACAATATTTGTACGATACTTCTCACTGCTATTTTGCTAAACTCTGAGGCCCTGCCACGGAGCGATATTTGATACTAAGATGGGCTGTGTTCAACGGCCAAGTTCAACACACGGTGTGTACAAAAACAATGGGAACCACTGGCTTGTATGTACATGTTCACTGCCAGAGACTGGGGAAAGCTTGAGGATTGAACCTGTCACCTGCTCCTGCAAATATACTTTGCCAGATTATTTTGTACACGTCCTCCAGCGTTAACTGGTTAGAGCACTAAGAATGACATTAAACAAAAAAGTTATAAACAAGTACATGCACTAGTGGATAGATTGTTATTTTTACTCAGGCTTCTTAACTGGCATTTTTGTATGGCTGTATTTGTATTTTGTATTATGTAATATAAACTGTTTTGTGCGTGTGTGTGACTTTAAAATATGTGGGTTTATTTTTTTTTTGCATTTAATAGGGGACGTTGAATAATAGAAGACAATAGGGTCCACAATGGCTGAAGGTCCACAATTTACACTTTTGTGTGAGTTGAAAAAGTGATGCACAATAGACCTATTGGATACTGTGGGTTTTAATATGAAATGGAGATTTAATATTTTTGTCAGATTTTGATTGTATGTAAAGTGCATTTCATACTGAGGAAAGTACAATTTATTTTTTGTGTGGAGATTTTTTGTGTCTTTTAAAAAATTAGTATATTTTTTACCAAAGTTTTAATAATAATAATAATAATAATTAAAAACTTATATAGCGCCTTCCATTTAAAAAACCAAAAAGCGCTGAACAAAAGATAAAACCAAAGTATATGAATATAAATGTAAATATCAAGATAAAACCTTCAATTTTTAAAACGACCAAACGCATTGTGAAACAGGCCGAAGACTATGTTAAACAAGTCAATTGAATTGATTCTGAGTTATTGTGAAAAGACTGTGATTTTGTGTGTGTAATCTGCAGAAGTAATTGATAATCAACCAAATGAGCCACAATGGAAACTGAATAGATATACTCTAAGCAATTTTGTGAGGGTTAATGTCTTTGTGAAATATGTAAATTTCTATAGCGGACGGATAATTTGGATAGCTTATGTGCTATAGTGCATGATGTTCTTGTAGTTTGTTTTCATCTATGTTTTCACCTTATTTGTAAGGAAAGTTTCAAAAGATGCTGCAAAACAAAGTTTTGGTATTATGTAAGAGATAGGAAAATACACTTTTTTTGCAGATTCATTTTTAAAAGATGAGGTTAAAAGTACATCCTTTTGGGATTCTTTCTTTACAATGACTTTTTTACACAAATTGTGAGAGGGATTATATGAGTGAAATGGTTTTGTTAGAGTTATCAAGTGAAGTACTGCTAATCATGTTGAACAAATGAAGAGGCTTCAAAATTTTAAAAGAAATATCGGTTTGCAATTGAATACATGTATTTATCATGATCATGATACATTAATGTAAATTGTTATTGGTAAAGGTAGGCTGTAGTCATGCATTTAGCCTAGACTGGCAAACGGTATATAATTTAATCAAAGTTGCGCTCTTTATTGAAAAAGGAGGATAATATTAGTGCATAACATGGCTGATCCTGACATTTTCATAGTCAACACTTTTTAAGGTTTTTGCTATTCAGTATTTGATGCTATGCAGTATGAATTGGTATGATGTACATTTTGGAGTTACTTTGAATTTGTAGGTTTTAGATGTGCAATCTTGATGTGATTTTGAATTGGTTTGATTTTTGTTGGCTGCATTTTGCAGAAGGATTTGGAGCTTAGGATAATACAATAAAATATAAAAACAACAACTTTGTGGTTGGTATGTAGTTTTCAAGCCTTTCATTTGTTCACGTAAGTGTTTTGATTAATTTATTTGTAGATTGATAGCTAAAACTTTCTTAGTAAGTTTGCAATGACTTCTTTTGTTTTACATTAACAGTGTACTTTTCGTTTAATCTTCTCAGGTGCCGAATTATTATTTAAAATAAAAAGGAAATAAATGTAATTCGATGGTAAACAAGTAAAGATTGGGATATTCCACAATGGAGTTGCTACTTTGTGATTCGGGCATTCCAGATAATGGCGTGCAACAGTGTGCATATTTACCCATTGTGTACATAATTGGGTGGGACCTTAATTGCTTACACGAAAATAACAAAACAACAAAAGATTGCAATATTTTCGACAGACGTCATATTTTTCGTTGTCCCTATCTAGAACACACCCTTCCCAACACATTGTCAACGAAAAACCCGCAAACAAACATTATCTTATACATCTCTTTCTATCAACAAAAGCGCCAGACTTGAGGAATAATAGATAATAGCAAAGTAGCCAGCCGCAAAATGCCGATTAAATACACCGCTAGACCAGACTTGGCGGTTTCCTTGTATTGTGTGATCTGTCAAAACATGGTCAAAACAATGTGATACATGGCATGCGTCATCAACGGTCTGGTGTCAAAACAGAATCGCAGTAGGCCTAAATGTATTTGGGTTTCGAACTTTCGAAAACTGTTCTTTTCCGCTGTTATGTTGTTTTCAGTAATGGTTAAAAAATTATGAATAGCCGGTTGAATTAATAGGACAAAAGAATCAATACCTGTGATAATCCGTCCTTTTTTTGTGGGGAACCCCACTCCTTTTTTGGGAAGGGGGGGGGGGGCAAAGTTGGTCCAAAAAGAGTTAATAGCGCCACAAAACGCGGTGATCGACCTCCGACCCAAACCCTGCAAATGTTGCCAAAATTGCCGACTCATTATCATAATCTACTCGCCTACTTTCAGTATTACATTCTTTACTTTGAACTTGAAGTAATTCACGTATGATAATATAAGAAACAAACAATGAGAGAAAAATAATTAAAATGTAGGAACCCGTCGACTGACTGACCCTATATTTTTCGTACGTGAACGGAATCGGCCTGATTGTGCAATTGTTTCAATTTATTGCTGGATGCAAAATTACTAAAGAAATTGGTTCATCGATTGCTGCATTTGTCAATCGGCCGGTTTATCTTCACTTTCGCTGTTTGAAACCCAAGTCTTAACCCACCCGGTGTCCCTCCTTCCCCCGCTGTATTTATTTTCAGTTCCTTATATATCCGTTCTCGTTAATTTAAAAGATCATGTTACGAACATAATTTTATGGAGCTAGCCTTAAGTAACATTACACACATGCACTTATTTTTATACTTTTTTTCGCTTTCTGTGCGTCATCGCTCATTATTCCCCCGCGGCGTAGTGTGCTTGTTTTATTTATTGCCCAATCTGTTCGTGTAACACGATAGACATTTTCACTGCAGATTATCATACAAATCCGACGGAATCGGTCTGGTGACGTTATTGCTATGGAATGCTGGCTCTGATGTGTCATGGCTATTTTAGTTACTTGGGGCACTTCCCTAAAACATAAATATGTGATTTATTTAGCAACTGAAAAAGCCAAACAAGTGAAAGGTACTACTGCAGTAGGGGTTCCGATTTTCTAAAGTGGGGGGGGGGGGGGGGGGGGGGGGGGGGGTACTTGAGTTGCGGGTGTTGAAGTCCAAGAACTTTGCAAATGCAAAGGCAAAGGCTTGGTCGAAGTTAAGAGACAAATGAAGGGGCAAAACTTGGATTTAGATGTGCAAATAAGGATTTTCCTTCAAACACAGACAAAAACACCTTCAAATTGGTTTCAAATATCCTTCAACAAAATATTCGGAAACTGGGGCCGATGCATTCTCGAAAGTGACGATGGGGCGGGCTAGTACTAGGCCATCTTTTGTCGAGAGGAAATCATAATCTTATGCCTCCACTTTTAAATAACCGGGGACACAAGGAAAATTGAAAGGATCTCAAAAGGCTTGTAAGCAATAAGTGTCATGCACTGGCTTCAATGATGCATGAAATGCGACAATGACGTCAAACTGCCAGCTCAGTGATATGGTCATGGTCACTTTATACTGTCCACCCTTTTGCTTAATACTTCGAAAGCATCTAAATTTTTCTTTTTACTTGAAAGCCAGTGAAGCAGAATTAAAATCCACACGATTGATAACTATCACTGACGTTTGAACTTTAAACAATCACGGAGGACAGGAGATATTATAAATCACATGATATTGTTATCGGGGACTTGAATACAAAAATAATAAGGGGTGGATTGTTGTCGCTCAAGTGAGTATTACTAACGTACGTGTAGTTGATGTCAAATGCTAAAACAATGTGTCCCGTTATTTTGATCGAAAGAAACAACATGCAAGTTACATTGTAGCATCGGTTATGAAATTTCGTGTCGTATTGATGGAGATTTTGCTGCATTTTTTTCAGACAGATGTGCTAAAGTTAATAATTCATTTATTGGCTTGATCTGTACGCTACGTTTTCTAAACGTCCGATCAAGGAAGGTAAGAACATGGCGACCTACACAAACAGGAGTACAGAAACGGTTGGCGGTGCGTGACTCACACCGCTCCGTGTCATCAAGACGGCGGGGGAATTCTCCGCCAGAACCAACCAACAAAGAAGCCTTTAAGTAGACGCTTGGGCAGGAGGAAAAGTTCAGTATGTCCAAGCACGTTCCGTTAGCGGGGGCCAAGAAATCGCTGTCGTTGGATAGTGGACTCGGTAGACAACCCAATCGGCGAGATGGCAGTAGCACCAGCGCGGTCGTAAACACGGATGTAGATAGGACAGTCTCTTTAGATAGCACCCGCAATAAAACGCCGCCTCGTGACCCACATCACACACATTGCAGTTTTCAGGTTGGACTAGCAGACGACAGTACAGACAGCATGCCAGCATCTTCATCATCGTCATCATTGAGCAACATCAATGAATCCATCACAAACCAGGATGAGGTGGATGGTCTTGGTAACATTGCAGAAATGAGTACGGTGAAGCTGCGGACTTCACTGGACTCCATCCCAAGAGACAGGAGGAGTAAGATGCTGGACACTCACCCAGTCATCATGAAGGGGAGGGATATGGGCGATGGAGTTGGCGGGGTTGGAGGAGGATGCGGAGGGGGAGGCACCAAAGCCGTCTTCAAGATGAAATACTTTGGCAATGTGCAATTGGACCGGCGCATCACACAGCCCATGCTGCCATGGATCTTGGCCGACAAGCAGCGCCGGGCGGGTACTGGGCAGAATCTGATCCTCCAAGTCTCCTCCAGGGGTGCGGTGGGCATCTCGGAAAGCAAAGGCAACATTGTCTTTGAGCACTTACCACAGAGCATCACGCGGTTCTCCAGGGGCCATGACAAGAAGTGCTTTGCGTATCTCTGGAGGCCTGACAGCGATTCAAATTTCCACTGTTATGTTTTTGAGACATCCGACCAAGAAGTTGTAAGTTCTAAGTGTTTTCACAGTATTTCAAAGAGCTTTAACTCTTTTGAAGTGTTTTGGATAACATTCAAGTGTTTTTCCTCTGTCTGAAATTCTTTCCTTGTCTCTGGAGTTGAGGCCCCAAAATGAATCAACATCCTAGTTCTACTGCTTTTGTTTTTGAAATGTTTGACTCTTGGTATTGTACCAAGTGTACTGAGTGTTGACACCAGTTTTACAATCTATAATTCAGTTTGTTCTTGAAAAGTTCAACTTAAGTATTCGTTTTCGTTAATTCGTATTATCAGACTTTGAATGTATTATTTAGCACTAAGCCTCTACAATTTTTTTTTAATAACCTGTCAGCTGTGCCTGTGAAAAAACAGTCGGTGCGTGTTATCACATCTTCCAACGTGAACTGGTTAAAAACGACACACATGATTCCTGTTATTGCCTGTTTATAAATGTATTCATGTGCACCACAACATAGTTTCAGTAATCAAGTTTAAGATAATTCTTTTATTCACAAGTCATCCAGTCTTAAGCTACTTTGTAGAACTTAGGCATTCCTCTTTATTGTTTATTAATTTTCATCCCATATTACCTGTCTGATGATTTGATTTGTCTTTGATTCTGACCACAAAAGTTGCAAACATGTTTACTAGAATTCACCCTGCTTTTTGAAATTGGAATGTTGTCTTTGCAGGTTCATCACATTGCCAGCGCTGTGCGTGATGCATCCAAGGAGGCCATGAAATACGACAGCATCAGCAAAGATGAAAAAGCCGGAGTGGAGGCCATCGAGAACCTGCGCATCAACAACGCCACCATGTTTGAGGTCCTCTACTGCGGCCGGGTGACTGTCACACACAAGCGCGCCCCACCAACCCTCATCGACGATACCATTGAGAAGTTCAACGTGCACGAGATGGAGAACAGCAAAAAGAAATTGGCAAATCGTAAACGCCACTATTCCTTCGGAGATCAGAATGGACAGTCGGTGGGTGCCGACGCCACAAGGACAGCCATTGAATTGGACCGACTAAGCTCTGACACTGCATCTTCTGTCAGTTCGGACTCACTCACTTCGTCCCCTCATAATGCGGCAGACACAGATGGTGACACAACCAGCAATGGCAGCCGGACCAGCCAGCAAGACCCACTGTCCCCCGTAGCCAGGGACAGGGTGTCCTCAGCAGGGGCGGCCATGCTGAAACATCGGACTTCGGGACACGGCGATGCATCATCAACAACTTCATCGACTGCCTCTGTAGCATCAGCGACAGAGATGAATGGTCAGAGCGTGACGAGTGGCCATAATCGGACAATGCTGTTCCAGATTGGCAAGTCCATGCTGACACTGATCAGCCCGGACAAGAAATCCTTCATGCTGACCAAGAAGTTCAATGACATCTCATTTTGCTCTCAGGTAAGCACTTTTTTCAGGGATCTCATGTGTAACTTATCATCATCATCATTGTCATTGTGCTTAATGTTATTATTAAATAGTATCATCATCATCATTGTCATCTGTCATTGTCGTCACCATTGTGATTGTTGAACTCATGATGTCATTGTCATAGTCATTGTGGTCATCATCAAGTTGTCATTGTCATTTGTACCATTTTTCTCATCACCATCAATTCAATCATCAATGTCACTCATCATCATAATCATATATAATTTGTCAGGATTCACATGAAAGAGAACAAATTCTAGAGTTAGAGTCCAACTTGAATGAGGTTGTGATATATTATCTCTCACAAGCTTTGGGACACAATTCAAGACACACGACATTACTTGGGTGAATGCATTAATTATATCCTTATAAAATGTAATTAAACTTTGTCCTTGCCTTTAGATGTCATTTTCCCACATTGTCCTTTCTTCCTCATTAGCATATGTCTTCATCTCTCAATCCCCATGACAACCACTTTCATCATTTCATCAACATCTTTAGATAACTTTTTTTTATCGCTTCATGTAAGCAGGCTGATTGATTTGTGCATGTTTATAAAGAAAGTTTTACATGGTTAGCGCAACAAAGTCACACACATTGTCTTTAAGAAAAACTAAATACAAAGTCGAACAAAACTTTTGAATGGACAAATTTTGTTTAATTTCACTTTTTTTTTAAAAATCACTTTTAAATTCTTTTATTATGCATACTAACAGATTGCTTCCAAATCTACGAAATGGGGAATTCTGTTAATTCAATGTGTTTAAGGGGGAAATCAAATTGTTACACTTTGTATTAAACAGCTACTGGTCTCATGTGTAAAGGCAATGTTTAGAGGGCAATGGCTTTGTATCGCTAGGATAGGTGTTTGATTAAACCTTTCACGCATTCATTGTTACTACATGTAAATTTGAATAATAATGAACACCTTCTGTGACACCTGCAGTATATAAGGTCTACATGTACATCAACAATCCCTTAAAAAATTGACAATAAAAATATCACATGAACACGTTTCGTTAGGCATGCCATATGCCTATTGCACAAAATCTGTCAGGTGTGTTGGACATGGATTCCAGCAGTGAATTTGTAGCGCAGCGGGACCACACAATGAATTCCTTCCTACATTGATGTGTGCGCTTTAGAATTCCTGCAATTTGATAGGGTTTTCTGCCCCACAGGAAATACATGGGCAGGCCATGGCATTTCAGCTGAGATTAAATGGGATATTTGCACTGAGATCCCATTTTTTTCCACCGGTTACTGTTCATACGTACGTCACAGCCTTTGGCCGACGTTAAAATCTGAAGCTCTGCTTCGAAGGACAAAATGTGTGACGTCCGCAGTGGAAACCCATTCTGCAGTGAAGCCTTCCGCGACAGATCGTATTGAATTGCAACATACCTGTATGACATGTGAAATCCTCAGCCAAGCAGTTGCAATATAACTTGCTGAGTTTCAGTGATCTTTAATTAATTTAAAATGTTTTTACAGTATAATAATTTCATGAAAGTTCCTGTGGGGTAATTATGGCCGTGCATTTTTGAATAATTTAGTTTTCGACTATTCTCACTTGGACTTGAAGGAATATTCAAAACGAGTTTACGTGGGGGAAGGCAGCTTCGCCGCCTGATAATTGACTGATTTTTAAGTAGAAATATTAGCTCATATTTCTCATGGAAGCTCTCAAATCATGTGCGGAAATGGCTTTCAACAAAAAGATTTCATTTGACAAACAATAAAAACATGCAACTAATAAAATTAAAAGAAAATAGTGGATGTTTCTCATCTCCTTTGAGCCTGTGGACAGTAGAAGAAACAGTACATCACATAACAATATAAAATTCAAATAACCATATTGCAACCAAATGAACGAGGAACAACAGAAGTCTTATATGTTTTTTTAAGGAAGTTGCTGCATTAACGTTACTGCCACACATGGATTTCCTTCCTAGACGAAACGTCACAAGTCCTTAGTTCCTTCCTACCTACATTGGTGTTGTGATAAAGTAAAGGATATGTACACACATAAGGTCAAAGAGGTTTTTCCCTTGAATAATTCCTCATACATTTTAAGCAGAGTTGGATGATGGTCTGGTGTATACCGTGAAAACTGAATTAGCTCACTAAAAGTTTTTTTTAAATAGTCAAATTTACAGTCTAGTATTATGATTGCCAAATGTGACTATTCAAAATCATCAGAAAATCAAAAGTTTTCAGTACTGAAAAGGGGTTGAACATTAGAAACTTTTTTTTTCAGTATTGTATAAATTTGCAACATACATGTAATTATTATTAACATAGATGTAATACATATCGAAGGTTTCCACAGTGGAGTCAGCAATGAGATAACATGTAAGTTACTTATTTGTTTTGGTTGTTTTTAGAACCACGTCAACTCACTAAAAAAAATTTTTGTCACATACTTGTAGTGCAAAGTTCTAAACTTAATTTTATTACATGTACCTAATGATCACCCAAAAAAGGTACAACCCCAAAAATTCCCAATTTGAAAATTGGTAAAACAGATGACATTTGCATTCTCATGCCCCCCCCCCCCTTTGGTCCGGTTTTGCAAGAACTCCCCAAATTTTTCCTATGGGATTCGTGCAACCAGCAAACACATGAATTTGGTCTTTCCCAGATTTATCTAGGGACTTTCCCTGATTGCGCAAGGTGTTATTTACCCCGACCTCATAATCCCCTAGGGTTACTTGGTAGAAAGAAGATCAAATCTCATGAAATTGTAGAACAGGATGTTTACACTGACCTTTTTGAGTAATGTCTCACTTTTTCCATGACCTCGAAAGGATGTACATCGTTCAGCAGTGTGAAAACAAACAGATAGGGTCCTATGTTTAACCCATTAGTTCGGGTATTTCCCCAAACTGCCCTACCTGTTCCCAGCGCGCAGTGGGGGAACACTTTTGAAAATTGGGGAAGGGGGGGGGGGGGCCCAAAGCACTGCAAGTACAGGCTGGCCATTGCAAATTCGAAAAGCAGGGGGGTGGGACTAAACCTCTTTCATCAATAGGGGGCACCCTTTTCCAATAGTACGTTATTGTGGAACATACAAGAGTGGGGGGGGGGGGGGCCATGCCCCAGTGGAAAATCTTTTTTGGGGGGGGGGGGCCAATGGCCAGTGCCTGTTCCTCTCTGCACTGTAGTGTCTGAAGCTGCCCAAGGCCGGGAGCTCCCTGTAGTTTTATCAGGAAATACAAGTACACAATGCAATGTCCAGTAGTACTGGTGCTAATGTACTACATTCCAGAACAAAAGATCCCCAATTCAGAATCATTTTACATGTATAGTTGATTCTTAATTTGTATCTTGACATGTTTAAATCTAAATATAATACAAAGCTCATTTTTTATGCTTGCTGATCTCTCAGTTGTTATTAAACGACAACATCGCTTTTACAATTACTGTACGCATGCATACGTGTGTCTTCTGGTGCTACATACCGAATTTGTTAAAAGTTTGAGAACATGCTTTTGTTTTCCCCTGTTCTGATTGCACATTTCTCAGAAATGACTAAATATTTCTAGCCTGTCAAGGATTAATTGCATTTTACGCATTAATGTTCATTAGTTGTTGTTGTTTTTTTCAATATTTTTTGGCCTTTAAAAAATAATTTTGGGGGACTTTTCCCCCCAACTACGCTTTACAGGTTGCTGCAACTTATTTTACTGACTTTGTTTTCTTTTCTAATGCATGTGTCCACGTTGGCACGGACGATAGTTTAAAAATAACCTCTCATCAGCAAAATCCAAAGGTCAAAATGTCACGCAGTTCTGTAATTCAGTATACAAATGCACTGTAAAGGGGACTAGTCACGTTTGCAGTATTTCCCTAATGGTTATAAATTTCAATTTTTTACTTGAACTTCCGAATACCCATTCAACATATGAATCAGCATTTAGGCAATAGAACAGTTTTTGTCATTCATTGACTTTTCCTGTTTGCAGTATTAAAACAAATATTCTTTTAAATGCATTTTTTTACATCTTCTTTATACACAGAAATACACAGTTTTGCTTTCATTCTAGTTGTAGCCCCAATATGGTACAAATGTATGCATAAAATGTACACATCCACAAAGACTAAAAAAAACCCAAAGACCCAAACAAAAACAAAACAGTTTGAAAAACACGTTTATTCATAAGAGGTTTAGGATTGATCGGGCATAGAGCTACATGACTTTTCAGCTATACAGGCACATCATATCAATTTTCATAATTGACCCGCTTTTCCATGCTTGGTAATTTATTTAAATGCATCCAAGCACAACGATTGACATGCACGGACATGATGCTTTTATGTTGTTTGATTAAAGTTAGCTCAGTAGCCCATTGTTTGTTGTCTTGACATCCTTGTTTATTGAAGAGTGTATAAATTGGACACTGTCCCTCATCATTGACACTCACAATGCAAGGTGTTATGGTAAATAAAGTGACACTGTAACAGGAAGCTTATCTTTGGGAGAAAAACACTTTCTGGCTTTGGAACTTTTACTGGTACTAAACATTGATTTTGACCCAGCAGTCAAAAGATTGAGCGCATATAGTGTATTTTCTTGACTCAATCAAAACATAGTATATTAATTAAACTTGGCTGATCATTGCATAATGTATTTAAAATTTCCAAGTACTCAACATGCTTAAAAGTAATTGCTTGGTAAATTTAAAACAATTATGTATTTTGATTCTTTGTGAAATAAAACTGAAAAGCAGATTTCTTGAAAAGAAGGTCCCATTTTAAATAAATTTCGACAACATCCAACATTGCAAGTGCCAGAACAGGATGTATAAGATTTTTTTCCAAGGTAGAAGATGTGGAAGGAAATGGCAGTTTAGTGGTGGGAGGAAAACCCCATAATGATATTCTAGGGAAAACCCACGGAATCAGGCAGGGACTGAAAACCCAATCCACATGTGTATTTGCCCAGGTGGGATTCGAACCCGGGTCACAGCAGTGGAAGGCGAGGAAAGAACTGCAGCTACGCCAACCTGACTCCCCCTGGTTTCAGGGGGTTTCAGTTGAAACATTTGGGAAAACTTGAAAACAGATTTCGAAACCTACCGGTAACTTACGTACATGCATTATGAATGACCATTTAAAATAACGTACATTTTACCTGTGCGCACGGCTCCCAATACCCTTTGGACCATTAGAGAAGGTCAAGTGAGTTAAGTACTAGTCTAGTGCCTTTTATAACTGAACTTTAGCCAGTGGTCTTGTAGGTGTTCACATTGTGATCATTAGTGTTTGAAGTCCAATTTAGGTCAAGTCAAAAGGTGATCTTAATGAACTGCATGTGGCTATTGTGCTTCTATTGCAAATAATAATTTTCAATGGGCAATTTTTGAAAAACTTTTTGGAAACACCTTGCTTCTATATGAAGTTCTGCAAAGTATTTTTGCTTCAGTTTTTACCCATTACTCTCCGAACTGCCCCAAAGTGCCCTGCCTGTTACTCCTGATACCGCCCCAAACAGCCCTGGCCATTTTGGGTTTTATCAATCTTTTCATTGAGAAGAAAATAAAGTGCAGTGCAAGTGCTGATGGGTTTGGAAAAAAAACAACTATTGTCCAGTGAAATATTTGAAGTACATGTACACGTACAAGCCCGGTAGTCTTTGTAGCCTTTTACATGAACTTAAGAGCCCTTGTACATGTACAATTTGAATGGAGATGTTCTTTCTATTTATTTTCAAATGTTAAGAGTTAATTAATTACAGAGACCGTTAGAATTGACGCAAGTGCTTGAGTTGTGTGGGGTTGGAAAAAGTCGCTGATTATACATCACTGTTCTCAGTTTTGTTGGGCACACCATTTATAATGATACGTCAGCATGGTGAGCTGCATATACTTGGACCCAATTAAATCTACATAAAATGGTGATCCAACAAGCAGCAACATATTCAAAGCCGCACACGTCTCCCATACTCGCATCGTTCTAATGGTCCCTGGTAATACTGTACAGAGTTTTGTACAAGTATGTTTATATGTACAGTATGAACCAATTTCGGCCTCAAAAGACCTTGATTGCCTTTGGTCGTTGGTGCTGTTGATGGCTCTCTGTTTTGTTGCTAGTAGCGTGCAGTCATGTTGCCTACCTAATGGAAATTGATCGTCAGCCAAATTTCAGTGAGGGTCTGAGGTATGGCTGTAGCAGTTCAATAATTATGTTACACCGACATACATACAGTCTGCCAGACTGATACACAAATTTGTTGGCAATAGGCAGTTTGCAAATTTATTTAACAATCTAAACCACACGACCGCTCATTTTCATTAAAAACAAATTCTTCAAAGGAAAATAAACATTCGCTTAAAGGGAATATACATCATTTGCTTTAGCTGTAATTTTCAGAAATGGATGGAATTGGGGGGGTTGGAAATATATAGCAAATATAGTTACACTGACTTTTTTGAGGTTTTGGGTTCGAAAATGCTATAAAAACCAAGAAAAAATATCATTTTCCTGTAGTCTGGTTCCCTGACTCCCTATAAGAAGAAACAGAGCAGTTTACATACATTGGGGAATTGTAAGGTCAGGGAACCAGTCTAGCTGGCTTGTACCCGTTCATAGGTGTGTAATCGATTGCAAACAAGTGCGATGGTCAATTGGGGCCAGTATTTGAAAAAAAGGCCAGTTTTTTTCCAACGCTGGTCGGCCGATCAGCGTTGGAAATTGATACAAAAATACCACTTTTCTTGAAAATGACAGTATACCAGGTGCCATGATTTTACAGGATGCTTTACACTGTCATTCACTAACAGTCCAGCAAGGTATTTCAAAATGATTTGGTAGTTTTATTTTTTTATGTTTGCAAATGTTGTATTTTCCCTTTAACATATATTATCGCTATTCGCTTAGCTATATTAATAACATTACCAGTACATTCCCATGAATTTGTGCAATTTTCCCGATTAAATTGTGATATCATGTCATTGCTGAAAAAGAGAACAGAAAAAGAGAAGAGAAAAGAGAAATTTACATACAGTTGAAAGCCACACTCACACAAGTTGGGGTATAAAAAATGGGTGTGTACATACATTACATTGTACGTACATGTACGTAATGTGGTGTGCAATGTGCAGTAGTACATGTAATTTGCCATCGCTCAGTTGGCATTACGGGGTAATCTAATACAGTAGAACTGCCAGTCGGGGAGTCAGTCAGTTGGTCAGATAGGTACTAAAGACCTTTTCACACCATAGTCAATCAGATGTGGCTATACATGAAGACTGACTGGAGTGCTCACTTGTTATTGTAGTATTAATTGAAGTGGTTTTAATGGATAAGGTTTATCTCCTATTTAAGTCATTACAGCAGACACTGGGGATTTTATTCAGCTCTTCACAGCTTCATCATGTATTGACTTCGGGGAGCTAGCCAGCCGGCCAGCCATGCAGTCCCCTTATATGGGCTTAATTAACATTAGCTCTTCTTTAACAGTTGGATGCGGACAATTTGCAAATCAATCTGCACTGATTGGATTGGCAGCTTGATATCATTAGGCTGTTGGCACTGCAGGGGCGAGAAATCACAACATTTAAATACCGTCTGTCAAATTGATTCAGAGAGCGGTGTGTAAGTGCGAACGGCTTGGATTGCAAATCTCTGTCACAGGAAATGCAGGATTGTCTAGGATAATCAGTGCTTGAAGAGGATTTTCTTGAATTCATTATCCAACAATTAATCAATTGTATTTATTAAATAATAAACAGCAAATGACTAAAGCTGAGTAAAAGAGAATTTTTTTTGTAAAGGCTTTTCAAAAGACCATGAAAGAAAGGAAGAAGACGGACCTTTTTTTTTAAACCAAGATGGCAGATTTGCCATGATGGGATGGGTTCTTCCATTTTCTTGATTTTTGCTTATAAATTCCGGTACTTTTGTGCCCAAAGGAGCATCACCCTTTCTACCAGATTTGAACTCGTAGCTACAATTTTGCTGGAAACAAATAAAAAGACAAACTATGTTGCAAGTGTATGATTAAAAAAACAATGTGGTCTTTTACACTAAGAAAAGTCAACAGTAAAAGGCAAACATTTTTTTGGTTCCTTTTGAGAAAAAAAACAACACATGATTCAATCCTTGGACTGATGTCATCACAACCTCCAAACATTAACAACGCCTATATTCAATGATGGAATCGAATGCATGCACATTCTTCAAAACAAATAACAAGTATCTAGAAATTCCAGGTTCTTAAGTAATGTCAATTCACTTACAATGTAAGTGTACATTGCTGTGTACATTGCTGTGAATAAGTCACCACAATCCAATAATGTAGCCATTTGTCATTGGACATTGTACAGGCCAGGACACCGACTGACGTGCACATTTTCGTAGCTTCTTATGAACACTTGTGTGTGCTTAGCGATGGCATCTTATGGCGTGAATCAATTTGGAAAGAGGGGTAATTTGTATCACGACCTCGTAAAGGGCATAGTATGCTGAAGAAATATCAGACTAGCAGTTTGATGACCACCAGAAAAGGATATAGACAAAATTGAAAAAAAAATATAGCAATGGCTTGTTTGGAAGGGCATCTCAACAAATATAGTTACCGGTAGTGTCGGGGGAGCATGCAAAATGTGTCGTCAAACTGGGAAAGTGAATTCACATGTAAATTATACAGTTAAGAAAAATAAGAAAGAAATTATAGGCTTCTGGGCAATTCCAGCATCACTTATATTATAAATCAGGCATATTTTTGTACTTTAAGAGCTCAGTGACTAAACCTAAAAATGTATTTTTGTCATCTGTTATACATCACCAAAGGATGGTCAATGTAATGGTCAAGAGGATTACAGACTACAAGTTTTTTAATTAGTTTGTTAAGATCATTAATTAGGCGTCATTGTTAATTGACTCTGTTATGGATACTACCGTTTTCTTCCATAATGCTGGAATTACCCTTTTTTTTAAACCACTTTAAACTTTACTCATAAAAGTCACCACGTTGAAATGTATGTGGTGTTTTAAAAGCAGAGTATTAAAGTTGGTAGAATTACAATAAAAAGTATACTTTTGACATTGTACTTAACAGTGTTTCATTACAGCTTTCCATGTTTGATGTTAGTTGTGGTAAAATGCAGATCATAATAGCTTTAAGGTTTTTGACTGGTGTAGTATTCACTCACATCTCTTAGTTGAAATTTCACCCACTCGGAAAAGAAGGAACAAAAAAAAAGGACCCAAAACAGACTACATGTAGGTTCAAGAAGACGAGTCTAGATCTTATCAAATGTCACCAAATTACATTATCCCGAAAGTAACACTGTTTTCTCTTTATTTTTTGCTGCAGGGCATCAAACAGCCCGAGTTCTTTGGCTTCATTTGCCGTGAGAAGTCGTCTGCATCCAGCTACATGTGTTACGTCTTCAAGTGCCAGTCTGAACCAGTGGTAGGTACTTTTTTGCTTTAAAGAAAAACAACTTTTAAAAAGTATTTCATTCAACAACTGTTGTGTGTGGGACACGGTGTTTTACATTCCTTTGGGAGATGTGACACCCTAGGAGAAGCCGAGGGTATCATCCATTCTTGAGAGTGCAAAAAACACTTGGCCTACATCACAGCAGTCATGTATAAAGGCACATTGAATCATTTGCATTTATCCCAAAAGTAACCTGCAGAACTGTTATCAAAAAGCTCACTTGGATTAAAGATCGTGCTGATACTAAATTATCATTTACATGTCATTTACATAAAAATCAAGAAATGTAGGTGATTTCAAACAAGCAGTCAATTGACTGATTTTTGGAAATGAAGAGCACTACGAAATCGTGTTTCGTGATCAAAAATTGTGCATGGTTTTCCAATGTTTTCTGTAATCCAATGAGCTGAAATTTCAACAGGTTAGGTTTTGAACATTTTCCTTTCGGATTTTGTATAAGTTGAGAATTGCTCAGTTTCCCACTTTAGTATCAAACACATATTTTTGTCATGTGACCAGCCAAACTGTTTTGGTCTTTTTCCTGAAAGAAAAGTGTGGTGGGAATGCTTCCCTAAGCCGGGGCAACTTCAGGTTGAAACTTGTGGCTCAAACTTGTGGTTACATCGCAACGTGGCATGGGGAGTTCTTAGCAGGGAAAGAATTATAGTATTGTAAAGTTTGTTCAATAAGTTAAAGGTTAGAAGTTCATTTCAATTAGAAAGACAGCAAGTGTACACATATGGTGCACAGCAAGTGGTTTTTGCCATTGAACTGTACCTTACAGTATGGTGAGATCCATTAAAAAAGACTCCCAACATTGTTCCTTGGTTTTTAGATGTCTTTAGTCACACATCAGTTGGCACGCATTCTATACAAAAAAATACTGTGCAACATTTTGCACTAAGTTTGGTTCTCTGGATCACAGCACAACTTGTTATTGTCTCATTTGAGAAGCATCTGGTTGTTTGGAAAGTTTGGGTTCAAGGTAAGGCATTGTTATGTCCACATCATCTTAATTTAATTTATGTGAAAGGTGGCACATATTTTATTCGGTCTTCTGCGTTTATACATCATACAAGAGTATGATCATGAAAAGCTATAGACTCCTCCCTTCATGAGGCGAATTGTACTCAAATTCTCCTGATATTTGGAGGCTAATTAAAAAGTCGAAGGGCAGACTCCTGAGATCAGACATTGATCTCTCATTTCCGGCCTTTTTTCCGAGACTAATTTCACCTGCTGTTTCGAGGCACCGAGTTCTTTCAGTGAGTTAAAATATTTTCCATGTTCAGTCAGTCAGGGACATGAATCGTCGCAGGCCTTTGAGGTAAAAGACAATGATTTAATAGTGTTTCCTTGATCGATGGATGGCTTCATGCAGAGGGGCTTAAGCAGATCCAAATTTCAAATCTCCGTCTACCCGCTGAGCAATTAACAGTGCTCGGTGGCAAGGCATTCACCCCGGTTATCTTCTGCCAGGGTGGATATTGTAGCAGTTGATGGGTTGACATTAAGGGCTTGGGGTGCTGAAAATGTCGTCATCTGCTGGTTGCCATGGAAACATAGGATAAGATGCCTTATGGCTGCGATTAAATACCCAGTCTCATCAATATACTTGTACTTGTAGCACAACTGTTTCCCTGCTGTTGCTGAAAGAGGAAATTTTTTTTAAATGATGAAGTTCAGACCCAATTTTTAAATTGTTTATTTGTTTAGTGGGAAATGGTACACATAAACAATTCTTAGAAAACGGTTGTGCTTCGCACAGTATTGCACTTCAGTCCGACTCGCATCTGGAGAAACCGACCCATTCAGCTGTCTGTGTACTACGCACATCATTCTTAGGTTACATGTACATGTACGCAGTCTTCCGGTGAACAGGTAATTCAGACCTGATGAGCCCCATATTACCTCGGTGAGACCCCAGTTCGCATTTCCACAAATTAAGAGGATGACGCGTATCGTCAGCGACGGTCTGGCATTCCGTATCGCAAAACAAGACATGTGTGAAGGCATTGGGAGTAATCCGTTCGGGCAGACAGCGGATGTTCCAATAAACCAGAAAAAAAATGTGTAGGTTCAGAGATTTTTTTTCCCCGCATAGATATTTGGAAAGGTCATACTGGGGGTGAAATATATAGTGGATTCTTCAGAGAAAATACTATCGAGTCTCTGCAACTTGTCTAAATGTAAATGATGCAGTCGCTAAGAATTTGTTCTCAGAATTGTTTTCCTTCCTTTCTTTTTAATTTTTTTATTCTCACACAAATGTTCATAACACCAGTTTATTTAATCATTAGTTTCTGGTTTTGTTCCTATTGACGAGGTATATGGTTAAGACGCATTGTTGGAAATTTCCGTTAGGCCAAAAAAAAAAAGTCTCCGGTTTCTGGTATGCGCGCGCGTCGCCGTAGCCATGCGCGTCGGCAAAATGAAAAAGTTTTTTTTTCAATGAAAGATGATGTCTCAAAACCGCCAAACTCACTGGTTTGACTGGAATCCTGCTGCTGCACAATTTTAACGTGTTTTTAGATGGGGTTATGATCGAGAATAAGCTTAATGTGGCCTCTCTGGTCTCCCATAATATTTGCTCTAAGTTTAGTCGGGCAACATTTGCAGTCATCAGCCGACATTTGAAGCCAAAAAAAAACAGGTAAAAAAAAAAAAAGCCGCGTCGCCGCACCACTTTTTGGGCAAGCTCCATACCAGAAACCGGACACTTTTTTTTTTTTTGGCCTTAGTAGTTCGTTTTTTTTATTTTGGCGAAGCGCGTGCAAGCATTGACACAACGCACAAGCCCCCGCAGTTGCTATAATTCGTCGGAACAGCGCGTGACATCGCGTAGCTGCAATCGGCCCAGTGAGAACGTGTCTCGGATGCTGAATTCAGGCCCAATTCAAACCGTGACTCAGCAACTTTTGATTTGAAATTGAGATCCTAGAATATTGTTTTCTCGGAATATACAGTATTTACTGAGCTGAAACTCCATCAGGTTAGTTGTTCAGCACCCTTCTTTACATTTTGAGCATGTTTGCTGCTTCTAACGAACAAAATGCACAAATTACAAATGATGGACTGTACCTTTAAACAAACTTTAATGTAAGTATAAATATGTGTGAATGACTCTGTAACATTGGAAATGAAGAAAAGGGTTTGCAAGAGATATATTGCTAGGCAGTGAATTAATTTTCAGTGTGCTAGTACTATCAAACATCCATACAATTTACATGTAATTATATGGACAAGTGCATACTATGTTTTATCATGCACTGGTAACATGTATCTTCAAGTAAACAAGATTCAGTTGTATCTATATAAAATGTCTTTAAATCCCTTTTGGCCGCCCTCCCACCAACGCGATTTCGCAGCCTTGCAGCACATTATTCAACTATTCGCGATCAACAAGCCAACTGCGCAGATAATTCAACCGGGAGCCGTACCCTGTCCATTACTAGGCTACACCCACGTGAGTGTGCAATTGCAAGGAACGGCTATCACACAATAAAGATATCAGCCGCGAGACTGTCGCGTTAGCGAACGAGCCCATGCCAAAATTTATACGCAAAATTAAATTGCATTTTGGTCCCTCTTGACAAATGTCGGTTTCGACAGCAGGCGCAAGTTGGTCATACAATGTAAGAGGGAAAAAAACACACAATCCCCATATATATCACCACAGTTGAAACATGCATTACCTTTTTTTCCTTCACTAACACGAACGTACGTGTTTATGCCATTATTGCTAGGGGTAATTCCTGTCTCATTTTTGTTTAAATCTTGGGACCTTGGTACAGGCCATTTCCTGACAAGTCTCGTGTGAAATGCATCAGTAAAATGTACCTTCCGTTAGGGTTGTTGGCTTTTTTATCATGGATATATATTTTTTCAACATCCAAAATGTTGTTGTAGTATCTCCAATATTTATGGAATTGATTCCGAGTCTGAGAATTGACTCAGTATAAAGCATCACTAGAGAAGTGGATAATATTGCAAATAAACTAAATGAAAAAACTTCAAAATATTACAAAATAAACTAAATGATAATCTCTGTCTGAAATGGAATCTCGGGGTAACTGGACTTGAGTCAACTGATTTCCTTACACAAAAAAAACAGTCACAATTCCAAATTTGTATTCAAGTTTTGCATGGAGTCATTCCTGCATACTGTACGCCCTTGGCCACATCTTATGTTTGCCAGAGAGCAGGCAGTGACAGCAGTTGACTCGATAGTCTTATTTCTACCGTAGGAGTAACATTATTGATCACATTATTTACAGTATGCAGTCAAAATGCATAATCGAAGGGGCCAAGTTTAGTCAAACAGTCTAATGCAAACAGGTAAACAAAAAGATATTTTTTCTGTTTGGACAACAAGATCAGAAAGATTTGAATAGTAGTAGTCTCTACATGTACATCATCGGTTTATCAAAATCAAAATCGAAAAGGTCATAAATTTTGACCCAGTCCCAAGGCAAAATTCATTTAATTTTTGAATGCACTTATGTTTTATTTAAATGTACCGGTATTAACAAATATCTACTGTACAAATCTACAAAATGTGGATTTCAATTTTCATCAAAGCTTTCCACGAGTCAAAAAAACTATGCCATGAAAAGTGTTCACACCATTGCACTCCATTAATGTCCACGCTATAAATATTTATGAGAGGCAATAAACTATCTTGTGATTGAAACCCATTGATTCACATTACTGCCTGACTCACATGCAGGTAGGTTCAGCAAATATAATATACTAAAAAGCAAATTTGCAAATGCTACGTTCGCTGTTGGGGTGATTTTGTAAATTGGCTCCAAAGTGTCACATCCATGTAAGGACCGTATTTTTTTTTTCATAAATTGATTCAACAAAACTTGTAAAACATGTAAATCTCATTTACATGCAAATGTTGTGAATTTCTTAAATGTAACATTTTTTTGCTACTTTTGAAAAGTTGAACAAAGAAATTAACTGGAGCGGGGTTTGAACCTGCATCCTCCGGATAACCGTTCCAGTGTTCAACCAACTGAGCTATCCAGCCCTATGTTGGCAGATCCCTAGTTTGAAAAGTGATGTCATTGTTACGAAAATAATACAAAAGCTGTCCTCAGTGGGGGTGCCCTGTGCAAGGGGTCTATGCATACATGTACATGTACCCGTAGTACATGTATGTCACACATGTACATGCATGCTCCAGTGACGTTAAAGCTGCAACTCGTAAAAGCCTGTAAAAGGGAAAGTTTGTTGCCCTGGACAAAAAAAACTCACTGGACCGTGAAGCTTGTGAAGCAATGAAGCATGACTCTGGGTTGGGAAGAAAGCCAGCAGTCAAACTGCTGGTCAGATGACCCAGTTGTAGTACTGTACATGTACATTGTACAATAGTAAGTTGGTTGTGCAAAACGTAAATGTTTTAAATTCAGTGGATTAATCTTGATGCCTGCCTTTTGTTGTATACCACTGCCTGTTGGTGAAGGAATGCTTAGAATGTAACCTTCGTGCATCTTTAAGACAAATCTGTCAGACTTATCCAACCAGGAAGATATGTGCATCAATATAGTGTGATACAGGATTGCATGTCACGTTGGATACTTGCAGCACTTAAAAGTACATGTACTTGTACATCATTCATAGTTCTTTTGAGTATACTTGTGGAGTTACAAGAATCCTTCTTGATTGCATACATGTATGACTCTGATGTGATGTAAGTAGCCATTTTGTCTTAACAATCCAGATTCAGATGTTTCAGATTATTTGCAGTTAAACCAAACAGCTTTTTCAAAAATAACTTGGACTACTGCCAATCTAACACTCTAACTAAGAATCGTTTCTACAATTATTTCTATACTTCCAGGAAACCATTTTGTTGGAATTTCCTTATTTCTACCCATATTCAAAAAGCTCAAGAACTCAAACCACACTGTTTAGTTTATCAGACTATAATTCCACTACACCGCCTCATATTTCAAAATTCAACAATCCAATTGTTAACGGTTACGGTTTTGTTTGTCATTACTGGGATGCTTTTATGCTTGAGCGTCCATCCCTCTTGCATTTTGCACAGCTCTGAACATATCAGTAAAGTGCATTGTGTCAAATACTTTGAAGTCAGCTTTGGAGCATCCCAGTAATGGTGGAAAGTCAGCCCATGCAGTAATCAGAAAGCATAGGCAACTCAGAGTGGTCTCTACTTGTCAGACTCAGAAAAGGTGTCAACCACAACTTGACCATAGTACAACATGTGTAGTAAAATCTTGCTCCAAGTTTCCACTTGAGGGGAAATTACATGTATCTTTAAAAAATTTGGCCAAGTAAACAGTCACGGTATCTTTCAATTTTTGGATTGAATAAAAACAAGGATTTGCTTGGAGTGGTTTGTTTTTGCACGTTTGACGGTGTGCATGCCTGTATTGTGTAGATTGCCCTTCTGGCCTATACCTTGTCCCATCCGGATCTCAACCAAACACATCTTCAGTTCTGAAGTGTCGCCCACGTGGCTCAAAATTGCATTCCATTAACGACCCTCTCCCGAGATGTATTTTAAGTGGCGGGGAGTTGCACTCCGGATGAGGGGACAGACGCAGAGCTCTACGCTCGGCGTTTCTCGCCGTCTGCTCCTCAAAATTGAATCAGTATCGTGCAACCTGAAACACAGCGGGGGTGTTAATACAAGACAGTTTTACTGTCATCTATTCTGTGGGTTCATAAGAAATGTCCGGTCGATCACCCTGGACGATGTGACCTGTTTCAGAAAGTGCAGAGCTGATAATCCTTTTAATTGAAAAAGTGGATGGGATGAAGTTTTAGTCTGTCTGCCTTCTTGAAGTTGATGTCATGGGGTTTACAAATGTTTGATATTTCAGATGGGGAAAGTTTATTATTTTAAAATTTATTATAAAATCCTCAGGTTTTAAGTGGATTATTTGTTTACTCATTTTTTTTGGGGGGGGGGGGTGTGGCCAAGTGGTTAGGTTTTGTGACTCATGATCACAGGGTTAGGGGTTCGAATCCATGCTGGCTATATCTTGTGTCTTTAGGTAAGCCACTTCACCTCCACTAGCCTCTCTCCACCTAGGAGTATAAATGGGTACCGGCATTAGTTGGGGAGTACCCTGCGATGGACTATCACCCCATCCACGGAGAATAGAAATATTCTCAGTCATTTCATGCCAAGGAAACCGGAGATACATGTAAATGCCGGCTTGATGGGCCATATTGGCTCATGACAAATACTGCTTACTCATTTCAGTGTACATGTATAGATGATATTTTCTTTCTGCAGATGAAATAAACATTTATTCACTAATCTATAAATTGTATTCTCTAATCTATTTTTGTTAAAAAGGTTAAGTTATGTATCTACCAAAATTTAACCCTGTGCAGTAAATAAAGGGCATTTTTATTTTATCTTTTCAATGGTATTTTTTTAGTTAAACTTTTTGAACCATTTGCATGTAAAATCTTCATTTCAGGACCATGCATGTACATGTACTTGTACTTGAATTTAGTCTGAAGTACATGAAAGGTTTTTTTTTTAGCCTATATCCCCACTAGGCTTGTATCTCACCTCTCAAACCCCCAGACTTGCTCAGTCTCAGTCAGAGTAAGGTAATATGCATCCTTCTCCACAAGTGGCTCTCCCTGCCAGCAAGACTGAGAAGAAAACAAAAAAATACTAGAGTCATGGCATTTAAAGCTGAAGTAGGAGCATATTATGAAGATGTGCCCCGGGTCTTTGCAAGATAATGGAGGACTCGCCTCCTAGAAAAGCAGAGCTGGGAAGCACCCATGCATCACTGGCTATTAAAGAGCAACTCCAACTTGTGAGAAGAATATAAGATCTTCAACTTACAAGTTGATTATGTTTTGCTTATAATTAAGTTGTAGAATTGACAGCCAATGTCAAGTGTCCAAAACTGTACATGTGTATGTGTGACTCTATTCGATGGCCAAGGCCACTTATTTTTATCATAACTGACAATGTTGTTTTAGCTTCATTTTACATATAAACTATTCATTTTCCTAAAATTGTTAACAAGTTTCTTGGTTTCTCTGGTCTTGGTCCTCAAAATCAAATTCAAAATTCCTCAAATGTCATCAAAGTGCAGGAAGATTGTGGAAATTCAGAGTGAATGTCAACACACAGATAGAGCATATGTATGTTACCAGCTTTAAGAAATTAACTGCCAAATCTTGTTGTTTACAATCTTAATTTATCTAAATTAAGTAACTTTATTCTTTGATGTTTTCCCTTTACGGTGTATCTGTGTTTCCAATTGGTCTTGAAAGTCTTATTGTGTAATACCAGTGCTGAGTTTCTGACTTGTGTTGTTGTTTAATGAGCTTCAACAAATACGCGAAGGCCATGCATGATGTTCATGCGTTTTTATCATCAATTGCCGCTCCTGCGAATGTACACTAGCTGCCAAGTGCCATACAAAGCCAGAATCTCATTTTGGGGGCTCTGCTTAAATTGAGTGAGGAAACTGAGCTAACTTATGCAGACAATACTGGAATTACTGTGTATCTCTGGTGAGCATGGAACTTTCATTAGTGCAAATGTGTAGCGCAGAATGATCTTCATGAAACGCTGAATTTTGTGGTTAACGTTAGCAGTGTCACGAAACTGATCTCCCCTGCTTCACTGTGTAAATCCAAGGCCGTTTTTTGAAGATCTTGAGCCATTCATGAAATAAACATAAACATTCCAGTCTGACATGTAGAATACCTGTAGGCAATCCACCTATGAGGTTATTATACACCAAATTCTTTTCTGTGGTCAATTAAATCCTATTGTTCCAGTGATTGAGCATGTATTCATAAACTGTTTGATTCAGCAGTTACTGTGTTTTACATTAATTTTTCCCTCGCTTTGTTTTTTGTTCACAGGTTGACGGCATCATGACCACACTCAGGCAGTCATTCAACGTAGCGTTACAGAAGAGCAAACTGCATGTGATATGCGGAACGTGCCCAATGCACCAACTGCACAAGCTGTGCCAGACCATTGAAGGTATGACTGTGAATAACTGCAGACTCGGAGAACAGTGTTACATTGTACATGTGCAAAAAATACAACCTTACATTTTGCTCTGACTGTTCACTCTATTCATGGCTTCTTTTTAAAATACTGCTTTGATGACAAAATACCAAAACAAAGTCACTTTTCATGTAGACACAAGCTATTATTGATGTACGAGTCAACACGCAATCTTTGCTTCAAACCACAGATAGGGAAAGGGATACTTGTACACTACATACACATTCAGCCTATGTACGTGTATGTCCAATCCCTATACACGCAGCACAGTAATGCACTGGTACACTTATTGCTACCTTTTCAAAATATTCTAGTCAGAATGATAGCGGAACTCTACTCTACTGTGAATTTAAAATAGTGCTGTAATTTTTTTATAGGCCAACTTCTGCAGTCAAAAATAAAGCCTATTATTATCCAGTCCTAAGCCCTCAAATAACTCCACCTGCTGCAGCATTTCATTCCCCCATTTGCCACAAGGACTCGTTGGTATATAAATTCTGTTGTAAAAATTGTCCTTGAAATTGTTACATGTATATATGAGAGATGTGTTCAGTTACCTATGTAATACATATTGAATAAATTGCCCTGTGAATGTAGCATTTCCCATTTGCACCTTCTGCAGTGTACATTTCTAATTTGCACATTTCTACATGAAATGTCAGATTGGGGCTCATTTTGCCTGGCTCTTCAAAGTACAAAATTCTGTGTTCAGGATCACTGTGCTTTGTGTACAGTATTAGCACAGAAATTGTGCACTAATCCAACCTCAAGTGCAGAATTACTTACATCTGGAGATAGTTTTCTTACAGCATAAAGTAAAGCCATGAAATTGGGCCAAATTAACAAAAACAAAGATGTACGGCTCCGTTGTAGGAAAGAAAATACACATAGGTTACCATTGCAAGATTAAATGTAATCAAAAAGTGTGTGAAATTTTACAGTTTGCAGTTCCCACGTCGCTCGGAGACTATGCCGGCTTTTTGTCTTTATTTACCCGCTGCCAAAGTGTTGGGCAGAATATTGGGACAGGGTGATGTCTTCACAACTCCCTACCTCGCGGGGTACAGGGCAGATCCCTCAGTTGATGCGGACATGTTTAGATAAGCACGAGATGCAAATATTGGCTATCATGTCCAGTCATTGATGGCGCGTAATGTCGCTCTCACTTCTAGTTTTTTTTCTATTATCAGGCCATCCCCCGGAGAAGGCGCACACTCTTTTGCTTAAGCAGCTGGAGACGCTGAGTGATTCTGAGCGCATCTCCGTGGTTGCCAAAACAAAGGTAATGTTTAATGACGGGGATGGGGTCTTAACCCTATAAGTCCCGAGGGTTTTTGACAGAAATCTTCCTTAATCCTCAAAACTCCTACACTAGTCCAGGGAAGTTGTGTCATGTTGTTTGTATTCAATCACTCAAGGAGCATGAAGCCCTGTGCACATGTGAAGTAATAGTAGCTGAACTTTACCTTCCTCAATCCTACACAATCCTTCAAACCTCCCGTCGAGGGTCTTGAAAGATCTGGGAAGGTGGAGGTTAACAACTTCTTTTCCTGCAAGGAAAAAGAAATTGTGATTTTCTTTGAAAGGCAAAAAACTTGAAGTTGTCCTTAAAATTCCAGAGTGTTAAACCATACAAAAGTAGAACTTAAATTTTGTAATCGTATCTTATCTGCAATTTTCTTTTGATGTTGATTTCTTTTCATGGCCCTCAAAACTTTCATATTGCTTCATCAACGGATAATAAAGTCGCGCAGTTTTAAAAATGCATTCCGATCAATAAACATATCACTCATTGATTTTGTGGGTATTTATAAAAACTATGCAACATTAGCTTTCACAATGCATTTGCCATTAAAAGGAGCCACTGAGTGTACAGCAATCATGCCCCAGATTCGTAGTTGGACATTTCCTATAGCTGACCATAGGTTCACCCTGTGGAACAATATTGCATCCTCCATTTTTTTGTTTTCTTTTTCCAGGAAGCCAAGGCGTGCAGTGCTCAAGAAGCCAATGAGATTATCATGAGCCAGCTGATAGCAATCTGTGAGCAGCAGCAGACTGCACACACCCACAACAGTGATGTAGAGGCAGGGGGAGGGGACATCGCTACTTCAAGTCCCACGCAGGTATATGCCATTATCTAATCAGTGCTATGGACTCGGTGTGCAAGTCACCCTCAGCGGTTACAAAGGGAGAGTTGGGGGATACCACTGGGAGGAACATTCGAACGCATTACTGGTGACATGTTCACTCCAAGACATTATGGGCTCCTATTGCACATCCAGAATAACATCAGTCATGCGTACTTCCCGCCGTACACTAACAAACCATTTTGCGCATGTGATCTGTCCCTATCCCACTGGGGCTCTTCTACTGTCTATAGTCCACACATTGCCTGATTTGCATGAGCAATTGATGAACACAGAGAAAGTGACTTTACATACGTGTACTGAAGTAGATTATAACAACATTCCTGTTTTTTACATCGTGGATTAGCCATTGTCTTAATAATAAAAAGGTAGATTTAATGGATAATCGATTCACCATACGTTTTTTATTTTGTAACACCCAGGAACGGAAATTGACCAGTAAGGGGTCATTTACGGAACCCGTCGAGGGTAAAGTGGGGGCATTCAAGAAGGCCAAGAAATCCCTAGCGTCGTCATTTGAGAACCTGCTGTCAAGAGTAAGTTAACTTAAGTACACATCAGGGCTGGGATTTTCTGTACATTTCCAGATTTGTTGATTTTAGAAAAATGGCAGTTTTAGTATTGCCTTTTCAGACAAATACATAAATATATACTGTAGATAGACCCTGTATTGGTCTGGGGCTCAGGCATGTATTTTCCCGTTGATTTTTATGTGTTTCCCAAATCTCACCTGATAATAGTCATTCAGATTTTAGACTGTACCACACCCAATGCAATACAGTTTAGCACAGTCATTAATAATGAGCTAACATTGGGTTGTGCCCTTATTGTTTTTTTTTTCTAGAAGAAAAAGAACTCGGTTGAGGAACAAGGCAGCTTTTCAAACTCAGGCTATCGGAGTAGGCAAGGCACCATGGACTCGGTCAATAGCGTAAGCATGCAAGCTATTGGTATATTGGGCAAAATCTGTTGTTTTTTAGGGGGAACAAAATATAATGACCAATTGAGGATGATATTAAAGTAGCATCAGCTGCATGTAATTCTGTATTTTAAATCTTGTGAAGGAAATGCACATGTTGCAAGGCATTGTGTGTAGTTCACTTTGATGTACATGCATATTTTGTGCACATGGAGTTATATAGCCGTGAATTACTCTATTTGATTCCACTTTGATTTTGTTTTTCAGGATTCATCGCTCAGGGATTCCCCCCGCGATTCCCCCATTCCCATGACTGCCACCGCAAATGCCCAGTCCCAGCCCGCCCCACCTGTCCAGATCCTCACCTCCACTACCCCATCCCCATCATCAAATCCCCCCACCGTCGTGGACATCCCCACCCCGCCCCCAAGCGAAGACCGCCCCCAACGTCAACCCACACGTCCCAGCCCCATCTTCTGTAAACAGGACAGTTTGCCAGAGGCCATGATCTCGCCTGGTATCCGGCCCCGCAGTAAGACACTTGGCGACACCCCCTCCCCATCACCCAAGACCCCGCCCCCAGATAGCCGCTTTCAGTACACGCCGACAGCCAAGCTTGCACTGCAGGCATCCCAGTCACAGAAGCCACCTTCAATGCAAAAGATGCCTCTTGGAAGGTTTGTCTTTCAAAAGTTTGAATACAGATGAATCCACACTGAACTGGCTATAAATTCCTACACTAAATGGAAAGAATTTCTCACTAGCCTCAAAATGATATCATTCCTGCTTTCCTAAACAGCTTAACTTGTGAGAATTTTCATATGGAATTTTAACCTGATTGCTCTCCCATAAACCTATTATAAATTTTCACACCTGTCTCAGACCGGTGTATTCCAGGGTCACACCTAACCAAATTAATTCGCAGATTTGTTTTACCAGTAGGGGAAAAATCAACTGTTGCAAGCATTCAGAACACACCAGAGTCTAGTAAAAAAAAATTTGTTATACATATAGTGTACCTGAACGCCAGTATGAGGTGGACTGAGCTCTTGTTGACTTTATAATATTATAATGACATTTTATTAAGATTGTTTATGCAATACTTTGAGGCTGATGATATTACAACCTTGAAAGATTAATTGAGATACATTTTTTTTTACAGAACGACAAGTGCATTCTATGATGACAGGCCGCGCACCCTGTCCCTCAGCCCGTTCAGTCCCCACCCTGGGGCTGCGATAGGACGTCGGATGTCCTGGCGACAACAGATATTCAACCGCGTTGTCACGCCCATCGCTGAATCAAAACATGGACAAGGTTTGTAACTTTTGGCCTCGAAGTGGTAACTTGTCAGGTCTCATTACACAAGGTACCAGTGGCATTATAAATGAGTTTTACCAAAAATGACAATAAATATGAATATTCATGATGTTTTGATGTATTTCATCTGTGGTTAATGCACTGATTATCTGCAGATTCTCAAAATGTACCAGATACCTACTTGTATTCATCCAGAGCTCTCTGAATACATCGCAATATTTTTTTTGCTCTTTTGTAGGGGAGCTAACAGAAGAGGAATCAGAAGACGTCTTTGAAGGGGAAGGGATCCCAAAAATCCGAGGTTTGGAGAGAAAGGAGAGTTTGACACGGGCCAGGCGGTTTACATCCAAGGAGCAGATCCGGGATCTGTGGAAGAAAGCCATCCGTGAGCAGATCCTGCTGATCCGCATGGACAAGGAGAACAGGAATTTACAAGGTGGGTGTAAGATCAGGATCAGTATTACTGATCAGATTTAATGATCAGGATTCAGGTTATTAGTAAGATCAAGGTAATTAGAAATAGCCTAAAAGGAAAGTGTGAAATCGTCCAGAAAGAAGATTAATCAGGAGACAACATAAAAATGGGACAGATTTAAGGCAAGTTGAAACAAAACGGAGGAGCAAACCATACACAGAATGACAAACAACCAAACAGCTTGACAGAGGAGACCCATAGGCTGATTAGGATGGGGAAACTGAGTTGGATGGTTGCTGTTCCTTGGGTCCAGATGACCCATTGGACTGTCTATAAAGGATGAGGCACTTGAAAAAGGAAACGGCAAATTTACTCTTATTACTGACTTCATGCACATTGTATTGACATCCACAGCACGACAGGATGCAGCCCAGGAGAAGCGCATCAAGCTGGACTATGAGGAGATCACACCCTGCCTCAAGGAGGTGACGGTGACTTGGGAGAAGATCCTGAGCCGACCCAACCGCAGCAGCATCCGACTGAGCAAAGAGGACGTCAACGATACCTTCAAACAAGGTAAAGGAAGCGACTAGCTGTATCTTAGTAAATTTAGAGCACGAAAAGGGTCTGGAGATTTAAAATCTAAGGAAGCCTTTCAGTTTTCAAGGGGAGCCAGTTTGGAGCAGTAGTTCGCATTCCGCCCAAGCTGAATTGGGTTTTCAGTTCCTACCTGATTCAATGGGTTTCCCTGAAATATTTTTCTTCGGTTTCCCTACTACCTTCAAACTGGACATTCCTCCATGGTCCTCTCCCTCTGGGTTACTTTTCAATAGTTTAATCTTCAGTTGTCCAATAATATATTTGAAAGGACCGTCAACCTTTCACAAGGGATTTTACTGTGCTATCAACATTGAGCCAATAGCTAATTGTTTCCAATGAGCATTTTGTGCCAATACAATTGCTTGCCATGTGCAAAGCGAAAAACAGTACTGACTCTGAAAGTTTTCTTCCATTTTGTTTTTACATCTGTTTTTTATTGTGAAGGCATTCCCAAGGGCAGGAGGGGCGAGATCTGGCAGTTCATCTGTGAGCAGCAGAAACTCAACGGCAGGGCCAATGGAAATATCCCGAAATACGAACCTTACAAGGAACTTCTGAAAGAGCTCACCATACATCAGCATGCGATCCTCATAGATTTAGGTAGGTGCCGTGTCAGGCCAGAATTAAAATACCAAACCAATTCATTGTGGTAAGCAGGAGGTCATGGGTTCACATTGTGATTACAATTGTGAAAGTTTATTCTGACAAGTTCTTGGACAGTGCTGAGTTTGAAGTGCTTATAAAGTTACATCAGTAAAAGGCAAACCCCAATTTTTACAAAAAATTCTTCATAATTGGTTAATGGGACTGATCCAAGATCACCCTTCGGTTTTGTCGTGGTTCTTCTTTCTTTTTTTACTTCATATTTTGTGGTGTTGTTTTCTTGATAGTTATTCTTTGCTATTTTTATTTTAAATGGATGAATGCATGCAAGTTTAACGTCATGATGATGTTACACTTGCCCACAACATTGACATTGATGGTATTATGGAGGTCACATGTTTAAACACTGCTTAGGTCAATTTTTGGTTCAACTTCATAAAAATCAGTCTTCTTACTTAAATATTTGATCTCTTCAATGCTTTCTTCAGGCCGGACGTTTCCGACCCATCCGTACTTTGCCAACCCTCTCGGCCGCGGTCAGCTGTCCCTCTTTAACCTTCTCAAGGCCTACTCCTTATTGGACACGGATGTCGGCTACTGCCAGGGGCTCAGCTTTGTTGCAGGGGTCTTGCTGATGCATGTGAGTAGAATGCCCGTGACCAATTTGAAATCCGCTGGCCCAATTGATCATTCTTACCCAAGTTGGTATTAATGTAGCTTTTGATTTTAAATTGTGTGATAAATTTTAAAGTCTTTTAAGATTGAACAAAATTATTTGATTTGATATGTTGATTTTGTTTTATTTTGCTGCTTATGTAAGACCAAGAAAACAGTAAGTTTTTATTTATTTCTAAGGTCCGGGTTGGCAAAGTAAACTTCTTGGTGTCAGGGAATTTTTCATGAAAAGAACATGTTATTTGTATGACTCATGCTACTTGATACTCCGGAAAATTCCTCTGGAATATATTTTTCTTAAATTTCTTTGCACTGTGAGAGAAAATTCATTTGTTGCATCTCTTCTTTGATTCTGGAATATCATTGGCCAAGACCTGTCACATGTCATGCATAACTTGATACATCTCTTGCATCACAGAACTGTATACATTGAAGATATACCGGAAGGTTACATGTACATCCATTGCATGGAACATTTTACTGTTCTATTTGCAAGACATCAGATGTGTGTTGCATGCTTGGTACAAATAATTAACAATGTTTGATAATGAACAAATATTTTTAAAAACCATCATTAGTGATAAATTGTGAACATAAAAAGGACCCTTTTTTATAGTACTTACAGAGAAAGCTGCGGTTGTTGTCAAAAACCATTAAACTTTTCTTGCGAAATCGCAATGAAAAAAATGGTTACTTTTGCCATTTTAAGGCCAGTGCAAAATCCATGAAAATGTACTTTCGGATTCTTTCTTGAGGCCAGCTATAATTTTTACTGGCCAAATATTGACCAGGAAATGTAATCAGATAAATCTCCCAGGGCGGACGGTGAAAGTTGGTAAAATGGCAGGGAAACTATGCATCCAGGCACGGTGGGAGGGCACACTACACGGACACACTGCTGGCATTTTGATCATTTCTTTACATACTGCGCTTGTTTTTTGTGCCCAATCTTTCGAGTCGATGTGCATATTACATGTTCCTTCTTTTGTTAAACTTTCCAAAACGCTTTCCCAAACTTCTCTCACCCCACCCCCTTTTTTCCCAATATATTTTACCATCAAATCTAAAGTGTAAAAAAGAATGAGGCCCTGTAGACTGAATTATTTTAAAAAAATTCTTCCCCTTAAAATTGACCTATCGCGATAGAATCGCATTAGAATCGAGTCAACGCAGCTTGTGAAATATTGTCCAATTACATGATATACGAATGGACGCGGTACACGCAAAATCTGAGACAAACAAAACTTAGTGTACAAAAACTCCATAGGGTTGTCTAAGGGGCGTGGCTAACTCGCAAACGGCGAAAGGTCAATTGTGTATCAAGAACCATTAATTTTTCAGTCTCGAACCCTACCTTCTGCATAACGATGTTATATCTCTCTTCTTCTTTTTTTCCTTTGGCAGATGGACGAGGAGCAGTCATTTGATATGCTGGTGTTTCTCATGTACTCTCTGGGCTTCCGTAGGCAGTACAAACCAGATATGATTGCACTCCAGGTCAGTAAAAAATCCCTCCAAATTAAAAAAGGAGAAGGGAGTCGTGTTGCAGTAATTTGAGTGTGATGCACTTTCCAGGCCAAAGGAGAAGTGAAATATTATTCTCCACCTGCTCTATGAAAAACCCACACCTTTTCCCTGTTTTTTTAAAGGATGGCATTTTTGCACCAGGCATAATGTTGCTTACACTGGTACATGACAAATATAAAAACTAGTATGTAAGCAACTCTGAATAATGTGTGCCCTGCACAGGTTTTCTTTTTGTTAGTTGGTTTTTTTTTGACATATTGGCCAAAGTTTGATTTTCTCCCAGCTGATTTTCTGCATTTTATGTTACATGCTTATTGACAAATATTTATTTCTTTAAATATAATAGATTTGAATACAATTTAAATCACAAATGTTGCAAAAATGTTTCACATATTATTGGTAATTCCTGTGGTCTTTGTTTCATGATGGCAAGCATATGTCATTGATCACTTCTTTGAAATGTCTTTAAAGTTTCGCTCATATTTGATTTTGACTTAATTTGATTTGATATGATATGATTGAAATCAGATCCAGATGTACCAGCTGTCTCGTCTCCTGCATGATTTCCACAAGCGTCTGTATGACCACCTGGAGCAGAATGAGATCGGCCCCTCCCTCTATGCCGCACCCTGGTTTCTCACCCTGTTTGCCTCCCAGTTTCCCCTGGGGTTTGTCGCCAAAGTGTTTGGTAAGTTATGAATACTTTACCCCAAACCTATAACTTGTTTACACCAGTGGTGTTGTTAATTAACCCTAAGCCCTAACCCTGAGCCCTCCAAATATATGATTTTCCACACACCCTAAGGGGTTATGGTTTAAGAAGTATGTGAGCTTCAGCTAATTTGGTTCTTTTGTCTCCCAATCTATTTTCAGTTTCTTTGTCATATTTTAATGATACAACTACTAGATTTCTATATTGGGCATCTGAAACCCTCTGAAAAGTATTGTTTTTTGGGGTTGCCTACATGTATGCGCACAAACAGATGTGCCCTGCGAGTACACTGGTTCCTGGTACCTACATTCTGTTGGGGACAGGAACCAGTCTGCCTTGCAAGAACAAAATCATTGTGGGCCACAAGTAATTGGAAATTTATAATTTGTGTTTATTTCAGTAGCTATACCTGGGCTGCTTTTCAACCCATGTGTCATTCAAAAGTGAATGACTTATGTATCGCAAAAAAAAAAGCAATATAAAAAATAAATGTATATATTGTGAAACTCGCAGGTAGCATGAAAAGCATATCTTTCTAAACAAATTTGCAGTATTTATAACTAACAATTAATAATTTCAGATGAAAAGAATTTTCTATCTGATCCTGCACTGTTCTAACATGTTTTATATTTTACTTTATTTGTATCGCCATGTAGAGGAAGTAGTGTCACAATTTCAAAGGCAGTAGCTAATTATAATATGGCAGTTTGTAGCCTGAAAGTCGTTAACAAATGGCCATGAAGTTTCTGTTTTGATTACTTTGTCTCTGTATTTCCTGTTTGTATGCATCGATGCACATATATGCTGCCTATGATGTATGAGATCATTGTGTGTGTAGGCTATAGATGAGTAGCCTATACATGTAGATCATTTGCACTACAGCCATCTTTGAGGTATGTGCTTTTGTGCACACCAAATCTGTGCTTAGCATAAATGGGCTACCAGCCATAATCTCATGTGACGTTTACTGTTTGTGACTGGTTCCCGGCAGACTTTTGCTCAGCACGTAAATTTACTTAGCATTATTTTCTGCGTAGCTACTCAATCACTTTGAACCTAGTTCACAGTATTAAATTAATTTGTGTGTGTGTATTTTTTTTTTCCAGACCTGATTTTCTTGCAGGGGTTTGAGGTCATCTTCAAGGTAGCCCTGATAGTGTTAGGCAGCCACGAGGAATTGTTACTACACTGCGACGGTTTTGAGGCCATTATTGAGTTTTTGAAAGACACTCTGCCTACGCTGGGCATCATCCAGATGGAGAACGTGATCAATAAGGTAAAAATAAACATTTCAGATAAATAGGTAGAAAAAAATGCAACTTGAAATTTAGAAGTTTATTCAGGTCCTCACGAGTCAATTACAAGTCATTCAGCTTCAAGTCAATTTCTAAGCTTTTCAAATGAACCATGATAAAGCCATTCCTGTTTGTATTGCAACTTGTCTAAAGGATTGCTTTTGCCACAGTTCACTTGAATATCTTGTGATGGACTTGTGATGCACTTGTGATAGATTAACTGTAGCACTGGTTCACTTGTTAACGAACCAGGAGTTATTTGAATTGACAAAGTGCACATGTTATCCTTTGTGGGGGTGTGGCCAAGTAATTGGGGTTCGAGACTCATGATTAAACGCTCGGGGGTCTCAAATCCAGCTGCTGGCCCCATATGTTGTGTTCTTGGGCAAGCACCTCACGCCCACTAGCCTCTCTCCACCCGGGAGTATAAATGGGTATCGGCATTAGCTGGGGAGTAACCTGCGATGGACTGGCATCCCGTCCAAGGAGGTTCGGAATATACTCATTCGTTTCATGCCAAGGAAATTGTAGGTAAACGCTGGTCTGATTGGCCATATTGGCATGTGACAGACTTTACTTTTTGCGTGTTATCCTAAATTATACAATGCGAGTCAAAATTAAAGCTTCTATTTCTTGGCACTTCCATCCAGGCCTACCAGTTGGACATCTCCAAGGAGCTTCACGCCTACGAGGTGGAGTACCACATGCTGCAGGAGGAAATGGCGCCCTCGCCTGTCCACCAGCGGGCGCAGCAGCCAGCGACCGACGTACATAAGCTGGAGACGGCCAATCGCAACCTGCGACGACACAACAGCGAGCTGGTGGAGCAACTACAGGGGGCACACAACACGATTCACAGCCAGGAGGCAATGATACACAACCTGAGGGTGAGTTGGGACTTGTCTCATTTAGGTGTTATAGTAACCATTTTACAGGCTTGTCAATTTTGTAGGAAAACATTTCTTCCTGGATTATCCCATTAGAAAGTTCCCCTTTTTTTCAAAACTGCGAAGAGGACAGTATAAGTTGTGCTACTAGGCAATTCTTGTGATTTATGGCAGAAAATGTAGCCAATTAACCATGAAACTCCTAGCCTGTAATCTCCTTGACCATTTCCAGATGATGGATGTATGATATTTGAAAAATACTGTTTCAGGTTTATTCACTGAGTTTTTTAAGTAGTCTGGTGGAACATTTGACATTCCGTACTGCAAAAAAGAATACTGTTTGAGCCATGCCATGATTGTCACATTTTGTCCTGCAAAAGTGGTTGCACATTGTATATTGAATCGCTCCTAATGAAAAAAAATTAATTGCCCCTACTTTTTCCTTTTCTCTTTTTTTCCTTAGAAAAATGAGGACAAATTGAAATCGGAGGTCCGGACTATTAACCTGGAGCGGTCTGCCCTGCTCAACACGGTAGCAAAGCTGCGAAGTCTCCTGCCTAAGGACATCCTACTAGAAGACGCAGGCATCAACTTCACCTCCTCCACCTCCTCCATCCTCTCAGGTAGCTCCTTCGAGGATAAAGACGTGTCTCCCGTCGACCAGAAAGCTGACAGTGGCACGGGGAATCTCTCTGGATCCCAGACCTGCTCCCTGGATGACTTGGACACGGAGGTGGCGGCCATTACGACCCCAAAGGGAGTCTGGGGTCGTAACCATAGCAACGGAAGCTCTGGGAGTGAGATCAGTACCAGTGCCAGTAGTGAGTTGGACTGACCAAGCTATGACCAGTCACACTCGGGTTCAAATTGATTGCACCCACACCCTGACCCCCAAAAATAACTTTTTTCTTCAAAGACAACAAATCAGGAGGGATTCAGTTTGCATTGTCAGCCTTCAAAATGTCACTAGTGTTAGTGAAATACATTACTGTTTGTGTTACTTTCAATTTTATGAATTGGCTTTGGGCCAAGTGGAATGCCTGAGTTCCTTTATCAGGTCTTGTAGCTGAGTACATCTTTTAAGTCAAGTCTCTAGTCCAATCGCATAACAAAGAAATTATTTCAATCGCTTTGTATTTAAACAAAATTGAAAAGGACTTTCACATTGCAACAGTATATTTATCGTGGCGTGCAGAAACAGTTTTTATTAATTAAAATGTTTTCTGGCAGTTTTAATGACATAACCATGTTGCAATGATCGTATTGTTCCGTGCGAATATATAGTCATATTCTCAGTTGGTGTTAGCTTGTAGATGACAAAAATCATTGCACTGTGTAGATGATGTCATGCCAACATATTGCGTTGTTATATCGTGTGCTTGGATACTGTAATTTCATTGGGCGAGAATGACCATGTGTCCAGTCTGTAAATATGCGCATACATTGATTAACCATAACCGAACTCAACCCATCAAAGTTCAACAGCAGGTTTTGTTTAAATCTGTTGGGATAGGTACAGTACCCCTAAACTGATGGTCTTTTACACAGAGTAAATTCATGTACTTGTTGGATATTCATATACTTGTTTTGCATGAAACCTCACCTGTACTTTCCTTACATTGGTGTTTATTTATTGCTGTCAAAAGATTGCTACAGAGATAAATTCCATTGGAAAGAGCTTCCAAATAAGGATAGCCCTTTACAAGTTCATAATGGGGAACTTTTATTTTATTTTCATATATTGAATTTTGGGGGGGTTATTTCCTACTGCCAATAAAAAGTTGTGGAAAAAGTATGAAACAATAACTTAAAATGGTGATGTAAAAAATTAATAACTTGTACATCGGTGTTTGTATAAATTGTACAGTAACAGAGATAAATATGAGTAAATATTGGTAAATAAACATAAAATGAAGTTCATCGCTTGCCAAATTTTGTTTGTATCATGTGTAATTTTTTCTGCAATGCATAATCAAAGATAGATAGAAATATTTGGGTCATATAGAGTATCCAATGTGGAGATTCGTACTAAATTTAAATGCAACAGCATTAGAGGTTTTTGCTGCCATGGAAGATCTTGGCCAAACCCAAACTTGTGTTACTTTTTTTTTCTTAATTTGTGTAAAAAAATGTTGATTTTTCCAATGGAAAACTTTTCCAATTATGTGGGGAATTCCAGGGGGAAAGTTTGGGAAATATAATTTCATGGTTGAAAACTTCCAGCGTGTACATTGAAATCACTATTACTTAAAAAGTTGAGTATTTTTAATCAAAGTAAATCAGTTCACTGCATGCAATATATAATAAAAAATTATTCCAAATGTCCAAGTTGTTTAAAGTCTATGTTTAAAAAGTTTTTTTAGAGAATGAGCAAGTATTTTTTTGTAGTTGTCAGTACTTAAAAGGTTTGAAAGTCCAAAGAAAGACAAAAGAAAAACTGTGATGCCATAACTTTGTGGATTTCTGCATGTAATTGGTACATTAGAAACGTTACTGAAAATAAGTTTGTTAAAAATGTAGCAATCAGTTGTATATGTTGTTCCAAGTTATCCAATTCGGGGTTTTTTTTTGGTAATTTTTTTATTTATTATTTTTTTGGCCATAGACCATAATGTTGATTATAGCCAAATAGCCATTGTTTCTTATTAATGATGAGTTAAAAAAAAATACATACCTTTAAACTGCCAAAGTAAGATGAGTAAAACAGTCATCACAATACCAGCTTTTGTTTTGTTGTGTTATTGGGTTGTTTGTTTGCCTGTTTGTTGGGTTGTTTGTTTGTTTCCAAGGCCTTATAACATGCATGCATGAATCAGTTGTCGTCGTATAATTTGATGTCCTTGTTACATCTCAACGAACGGAAGTTATTTATTCAGGTCATGATTTTCTATTCTGTTTTGCATTATAATTTGTGCTAAAAATTATGGCTGGATCCATATCAATATTGTATTGTTTAAGTTCAGGAAATTTGTTGTATAGAATTGGACCACAGTTAATTTAAATAAGCTTTACAATGTACTGATTGTACTCAACTAAGATGTAACCATTTATGTAGATTTTTGGTTGGGTATTTTAAAAGTTACTTTTAAGTTGATGTAATGTGATTCGAGGAATGTACATTTGAATGGACACAGAAAATACACATTTTTTTAATTTGATTTTTATTGTTCGAAAGAAGAAAAAAATTAAGATTTCAACTGAGTTAATTTAGTTGTGTAGTATGCACACATGCACTGATTTCAAAACAGTAAGCAAGTTAGAGAGAAAAAATGTAAACCAATCATTTAATAACAATGCAATCTTTCAGACTTTAAGGAGTGTTTGAAGTGTTTTTATATTATTTTCTTTGATCCGAATTGGTACATTCCAAAAAAATGGTTCGCGTAATTATTCCCTTTCTCTCACTGTTTGTAAACAATGTAAATGAGTGGTTTATCGCTCCTGTTAATTTCAAGGGGAACAAATATTCATCTAGTCAATATATACCCTCCTTAATGTTCTTAAACTGTAATAAAATACAGACTTATTTACAAATGAGATCCTTCTACAAAATCAAACTGGTTGTAAGTTACGTAATATGAATGACTTTTAAGTTGTTTTTGAAGCATTGTAAGAAAACAGTTACAGAATACAAGGCAGGCCCGGTAAAGCAGGTCCCAGAGTGCACACAATCCTATTCCATTGATTCAGAATGGTTATTCACTGGAAGTCTTCTGTTGCATATGGTGTACACAGTGGTTGAGATTTAGCCCATTACGGGTAATCCTATACAATAGCACTGCCCGGCTCTCTTCACCGACCTAGTAGGCTAAGTGCACAAAGAGGACAGGCTGTAGGCTGGCCCTCTGGGACCAGCAGGCATATTTTTCAAGTACTTTTGTCTCCAAAACTGTATTTTTTTACACAGTTGTGACAGTGAAAAGTCTTACATTTATGTTGTTTTCTATAACACAATTCGAACATTTACTGTCCATTGCCAGTGTTTTCAAGCTTTTCAGTCGCCTCCAGTAAAGTGATGATGAAAGTCTTATTGTTACTTTGCCGATCTTCAAGAAATTATTTTTTGCAAATTCATGATCGTTGGTTATTTAGGGGTACCTCGAGATATCCCGAAGTATTAAGCTGGAGACAAACTGAAATAAAAATCACACATGTAACATGAATTTGAAATTGTTTTGGTGCCAAGACTGCCACAACTATTCCATCATAGCATCACTAAAAACAGCAACAAAATTGTTCAGTGTATTTTTCTTCCTTTGTCTAGAAACATTCCAAGAAAATCTCTACTGCTTTAAATGTGCCAAAGTGTATAGTGGGCATTCCATATAAAATTGTTTAAATGTGTAAGAAATAAATGCACGTTTCAAATTGAAATAAAAGGAAATGTACATGTTGAAACCAATTAGCAGAATAAACTATAAAGATGCTGTATATGGTATTTTTATCTCTTTCTTTGTCTTATTGTCATGCTAACTTACTATGGGGTGAACTGAACACACTCTTTGACTTCACATTTATATATTTTTGAACGGATGATTACAAAAACCAGTTATTAAGAGATGGTATTAAATGTGCTCTTTTAAAGGGTATTTTGCTCTATGGGCTAAGTTAGATGTTTAGGCGAGTGGGGATTTAAAGTTGACGAAGTTAATTGTACCTTGGATTTTCATTTTAACAAATCAAATTGTCTGTGAAGTCAGATAGCAAATGTTTTGCAATTTTAAGAAAATTGAAAAGTTTGGAGATTCAGAGATCAGTGTATGACAACAAAATCGTAGGGCTTAGTCACTTTATTCTTTACGAGTATTTTTCGTAATTTCTTTAGGCCACTCCCCCCCCCCCCCCCCTAAAAACCGTTCTGATTTTTTGTTGGGTTAGCCCAATTCAACCGCATGGCGGCGCTATATCATTGACCCGTATTTTGGCACCGACGCCCTGAAATTCATCATACTAGGCTAGCATGCATATCATGCATGTACTTCCGCCTGAAATTTGAGACAGGTTTCCTGGTTCTTTGTGCTGACGTGACAGGACTAAAACTAAAGGTGAGACCGTTTAGTGATTGTGTTCTATTTCCGCATTGTGTGTTTTGTAAGTGGAGATAGTGTAGGTGTGAACTTTGTGAAGGTTTGACGTGTTTTGGCTTTGCGGAAGGCTGCGACAGTGCGAGAAAATGGGTAAGATCAGAAATATGTCTGCCAATGCCATTTCATTGTATTACTATGTGTGGGTGTGTACTGTAGTCTGTAATTACTATAATATGTGGAAACCTGCTGAATACAACAAACATTGAATGAAGGGAAAGAATTCCATACATGGCCATCACTTGACCACCTGTGCACAAACCCTATATGATACTGGTCTGAAAGATTACAAGTGTTTTCTCAGTATTGTTGATGTACCCTAACGTGGCGCGGCCCCTAACGTGGCGCACTTTGATTTTTCGCCTGTAGCGCCTAGCTAGAGCAAAAGTTTTAACTGAAATTTCACAGAAAGTGAAATTTCATCAAGTTCTAAACACTCCCGTTTATAAATCGCGAGTTTATTTACCCGCTACAAAGTTAAAAGAAAAATTTCTTTTGGCATGATTTTCCGATTTTATTTTCAAGTGCAAAGTGAACCCTTTGAAAATGCCCCGAAAAATAAGAAAATAATTTTCTGACAAACATCTGGCTGGGTATGTAAGTAGAGATAATAATGACTTATCAAAATGTATCAAGTTTACAGAAATTCTTAAATGTTAATTTGGAATTTTCCGAGATTTATTTAAGTGCGCCACGTTAGGGAACACTCCGCCAATTTGTGCCCAATTTCCGGACGCCACCGTTTTTCAATTTCGGCTTAAATTTTATGAAACCGAAATTGTTCACAGAGGTTAAATAGCAAGCATTAATAAGGTAAAAGTACCAGTTTTTCACTGCATGAATTTGAGGTTTGTCAACAAAGAGGTTTGGCAACACTACACGAGGAAAGTTGGGTAAGCTTCGAAGTGCGCCACGTTAGGGAACACGACTATAAATGCTTCAATATTTTCCCTGCTAAATTTGACTTTTTTACTTAAAATTTTAGGACATGTTGTTGCTTTTCTGATGACTAACATGACTGATGATAGGTCATTGCAGGGAAGAATGAGTGATGTCCACGTATGGAATTCTTTCCAAACACTCTGTTTTGTAAGAATGCAGTGGCTGTATCGTTCGGGCAGCCGTTACGTGACTTGTTTTTACGGAACTGTCTGGTTCCCTTACGTACATGCAATACTAATAATATTCAATGTCACGATCTTTGGCCGTTGGGAAACAGACTATCAAAAAGTATCATCCAATTGGTTCTCAGAATTTTTGTCCCTTGTTAAAAATATCCTCTTAACCACTGATTTTCAAAGAAGAAAATGAAACCTACTTAGTTCTAAATAAAAAGAACAATTTGATTAAAACCTAAAATTTAAGAAATCTATTATTTTTTCTTTTGAATTGAGAAGCGCGGCAGTGGTTTTGAAAAGAATGTGGTATCCAGATGTAGGGGCCTAGTATCCAAAATGTTCAAAAGTACAAATAGAAATTGTTCATTCTCTACACATAATTAACCAAAGTGGAAACGACATTCTTTCCTTCTAATTATATTTAATCATGAATAATTAGTGAATTTGTCAAATCCCAAGGGTACATGTACATGTAGGTATGAGAAAATATAACGATGCCCATTTTTTCTATATTTCCAACATCTCTGCACTGCTCGCTTAAAGTAATTGACCAAATTCCCTTCAAACAAAAGGTTTACAGTATACAACCCTGAATATTTCAATGTTCACTCCTCAAATGAAATTACAAATTATGTATGAAAGTATATATCAAGAATTAAGACTTTTTCTTCAAATTCACACAGAAGTCGACACTGAGCAAGAACCTCAGGGAGCTAGTAAACCTCAGCTCCAGCCTGGAAAGATGGCGGCCACTGTCACGCTTGAGGATGCGTTGTCCAACGTGGACCTCCTTGAGGAGCTGCCCCTCCCTGATCAGCAGCCCTGCATCGAGGCCACTGCAGTCTCCATCACCTACCAGGCCAACTTTGACACTAACTTTGAGGATCGGACAGCCTACGTCACAGGCATGGCCAAGTACATTGAAGAGGCTACGGTCCACTCGGAACTGGTAAACTATCATCAGTATTCCTCCCTTTTGACCATTTTCCATTATTCTTGGCTTTGTCTACAGCTCTTGCTCCAAGAGTGAGGGTTTTTTGGGAGCTGGAAGCTACTAAGCGCGGGATGAGATCCTTCACAAATATGACCATGGATGAAAATCATATGCTTCTAAAGCAAACACAGCTTGCCAGCCAAAATCAGCTAAGCACAAACATTTGCAAAGCAAGATTTCTTTTTGCTCAGCAAAAATAGGCTACCAGCTAATATTATTGACCAAAATTTTCTGCTAGCAGCTCCATGAAAATTGAACCTGGGCCCAATTTCATGGCTCTGCTTACCACGGAATTCCGCGCTTACAATCACCATTTTGTGCTAACCGCTCTAGCAGAAAAACTCTGCGCTAACCCTGTAACCCTGATGACTCTTGAAAACAGGCATTTTGGGTTGTGAGTTGGATTTTTTCTCTTTCAAATGGGGAAAGGTCTTTGTACTAATCAACATATGGATAGAGTGTACAACGTATTACAGTTTTTATGTTCTTCCCTTTACGCTATTATCTTTCAGCTATTTTGTTTCTTTTAATTCTCTCCAAACTGTCGGTGCCTTTCTTGTTGACATTGTTTCATTTCAACCCAATATCTTGTATATGACCCTGCATTCCTGCAGAGCCTCCCAGCCACTATGCATTCAATGGGCCTGTCGGACATTGTCGCATATTTGTCTGTGCAAAGTAGAGAAGAAATAGTGAGTCCCAGTAGTGCTCGCTGTACACGCACACGCTATGCGTATGCTGCAAGTAGGTCTTGTGCCTGAAGCATATCATGCTTACAAGCATGGGAATTGAGCATGACTCATTGAGTTGCCAGACTACATAGGTGTGATACTTGTTCACTGTTTGTTTGTGGTACAAAGCCTTCATGTATGCTCTCTATTTATGATGCACATTGAACATGAATATTGATTTCTGCATTTTTGAATTTGTAACACTAAGGAACTGATACCAGTTGTAAAATAATCGCATCGGGGGCTTGTTAGCATTGATATGCCCACTGTCTAGACTTTATTCAACTTCCATCACTTAGACAAGAAAGTGTGTCAGTGTTTATGCATGACACATCTAAAAAAATCTGCGCATTGATGTAGATCCCATTGGATCACACATTACCAAGTCCAAGTTGACCTCATGTCTCAGTTAGATACAATTTTTTTTGTACACAAGCTTGAGAAGGGCGTTAACTAATAATAACAATCAAAATATATTTCACAATTGTTGAAGAAAGTATTTACAAAGTCAACATTCCTAAAGTACATACATGTACATGATACGGATACAGTACATGCCCAGGAAGTATCCTGTTTGTCCTTTATACAGAAATTCTAACCAAGCTGACATGTACATGTATGTTATACATGGATGGTCCTGAGGTTTTACTTTTTGTTGCAACATATGTGTACACATTCCAGATGCTCAGACATGGTTTTTCTTTTGCAACAGCTTTTTTTTGTTTTATGAATGGCTGGCTGGCTCTGACAGGCATGCAGGATTCATGTGCTTAGCTGGTATTTTGTTGATTGCCAAATAAAATCTGTTTTCAGTTGCACAAAACCCTTTGCTTTATTATTTTTTTTTTTTTTTTTTTTATAAACAAGTAGTAGTTTGATTCCACTTACCAGTTCAAAAGGCTATGATAATTGAAATAAAAAAAATAGAATGTGACTGCACAAAACCCTGTTGATTTGCATGGCATCATAAACAAAATTTCGGTAAGAGTATAGCATTTTCTACCACCAAAATGTTCAAAATTACGTAAAACTAGAGTCATTAGATAAGGAAGAAGATTGTTTAAGGTTGCTGCAGTCATTTTGAATTGTCAAAAACACTAAAAGAACTTAATGAAAGAGGGACCCTTGACAATTGACCTATCGTCGTTTGCAAGTTAGCCACGCCCCTTAGACAACCCAATGGAATTTTGTACGTTATGTTTTGTTTGTCTCAGATTTTGCGCATTCCGCGTCCATTTGTATATCATGTAATTGGACAATATTTCACAAGCTGCGTTGACGTGATTCTAATGCGATAGGTTAATTGCCCAGCATGTAATGACAGTTGAATCATGACTGCAGAAGTAAGATTTGTATCAACATTCCACACTCTTATTTGGTGTCCAGTTTGATTTCCAATTTTGTTGTTCCTGTAGAATAAACTTCTTGAGGAAGGAGAGAGCTATGCTGTCAACCTGTACACATGGAGGAGCTGTTCGCGAGCCATGCCGGCGGTAAGTTGCTGTTTATCAAAAATGTTTTACTCCAAGATCTTGGAAGGAACTTGTATGTATTCTTCTGATCCTAAAAATAGGAGATACTTTTGTATCCTCTGTGAGCTTAAGCAGGAAATACATGTACACTGTTTGGCACTGTCAATTTGACTGTCTGCCAACAAGGATGAAGTTGTGATATCTTGCAATACAGACATGTTATACGAGGCGGTATAGAAATACAAGATGATTTGAGGGGAAGTTGTTCCAAGTGACTGGTCCAGAAAGCTGATTGGGCTACCTCCAGACGCGAAGCAGAAAGCAGGTGGTCACAATCAGCCAACACTAATGCTCCAGTTTGTACTGTTTCCTGAAATATACCATGTTTTAGATTTGAGTTTATTACACCCCTTGAATATGTATTTGGCTGCATTATCAAAATTTGACAAACTTTTATGGAAAAACCCTCCATAAAAAAAGGCATGTCAGTATTGAAGGTTTTAGTATGGCACCACCAGAAACCTCGTTTGTGACTGTAACTGTTGCATGATTTGGATTCTAGGAACAAATCTTGGGTAACAATTTCCCGGTGTTACTGACCAATTTGGTGATAGAACATGCTTTACCCATTTGTGTGTGTGCCAGATTGCTACATTACTTCCAAGACGCGTTGGAGAATCTACCAAGGAAGGTTAATTTTGCTTATCTTCTTCAAATTCCAACAGATCAAATCCAATGACCAGAGCAACCGTGTGGAGATCTATCAGAAGTTTGTGGAAGTCATTGAACCAGAGGTCACCAAGCTGGTCAACTTCATGTACTTCCAGGTATGTACAGCCCATCGTCTCTGTCACTCAGTGGCTGCAATCTTTTTGACTAAACTTTGGAATAGAATTATTTTGATGAAGTGCAAAACCCAATGTTAAGAATCCTATTGTTCTAAAGAAAGAACTAGAAAGGCTTGACGCACCTGCTAGATTTTCTGTAATATACTTAAATTGCCAGTCTAGTGATTTCTGTTCAAAAACTTCACTTCCTACAGGAAATGGACTTTTTTTTTTCTACTTACTCAAATAACAATGTCTACTCTGCCTTGGTGCTACATAGCCTTATATTTGGGTATATTTGGGTTTTTTAGGCAAAGGACTTGAGTTCAGCACAGCAGTGTACTTTAGTCTAGCATTGTCAAGTTATACATAATTTGTTCTGTGGCAACATCTTTCTATTCCCTTAGCAACGAGCTATCGACGCCTTTTGCCGGGATGTCAAGCGTCTGTGCCACTCGGAGAAGAAGAAGGATTTTGTATCAGAGTCCTACCTGTTGACCCTGGGCCGACTCATCAACATGTTCGCTGTGCTGGATGCCCTCAAGAACATCAAGGCGAGCATCAGGAATGACTATGCTGCTTACAGAAGGTATGTGCTGGCTAGTGCTTCAAATGTTGCGGACTATGGAATAAGCCACCTTTATGCACTGGTGTTGAAAGCTCAGTGCAGCTGTAGTTGACAATTTGCATTAAATAAAATACCCCCCCCCCCAAAAAAAATAACGATGTGTTCTTTAGTTTCAAGGTCCCGTTGTTTCCCAATTTGTGTCTTCCAGAGCGGCCCAGTTTCTCCGGGTAATGGCGGACCCCACAGCCTTACGCGAGTCCCAGGAAGTGGTCATGTTCCTGGCCAACAATGACAAGATTACCCAGACGCTGAAAGAAAACCTCGTCAAGATCGATGGCTATGAGGAGTTACTTTTAGACATCATTAACCTGTGCGTGGACATGTATGAGGCACGGCAGTATGTGGTGCCTAGTGAGAAGCATGTATTGGTTAAGGTTAGTTGGTGTTGGACTGTGCAATACCCAGAGGAAAATTATTGGTGTTTTAGGTGAATTGTTATTAAATGGATGATTTTTTTTTCAGGATGAAACTCGACTCAACTGCCAACTATCCCATTTTATCCAATTCCAGCCTATCCGAACCTAACCCAATTATACCCAACCAAACCTTGTTCGATCGTACCCAATCAAACCCAACCTAACCAACCCAACCCAGCCCAGCCCATTAGCCCAACCCAGCCCATTAGACCAACCCATCCTAGCCCATTAGCCCAACCCAGCCTAGCCAATTAGCCCAACCCATCTCAACCCAACCCGAACCAATCCAACCCAACCCAGCGCACCTCAGCCCAACCCAACCCAACCCAACCCAACCCAACCCAGATCAAACCAAAACAACCAAACTCAACCCAACCCAACTCAGCCCAACCCAGCCTAGCCAATTACCCCAACCCAACCTAAACCAAATCAATCCAACCCAACCTAGCCCACCTCGGCCCAGCCAAGCCCAACCTAACCCAACCCAACCCAAAACAGCCCACCCCCAACCCAACCCACCCCAACCCAACCCAAACCCATTCAGCTTGAATTCGATTGCATCATATGTTTTACTTTCTCGTTTATTTAGGTGATGGCATTTGGCCTGTTTCTGTTGGACACTAAGGAGATGGTCAACATCTACAAGTTGGACCAAAGAAAGAAAATCTCCCTTTCAAGAATTGACAAGATTTTCAAGGTACGAACAGAATAATTAATCACAGGTCCATTTCAAATAGATGAATTTCAAATTGTCATCCATGCCAAGGTTCTCAATGCACTAAGCTTATAACCTTTTCTTGTGTGAAAATTAGAAATGTATCTATTGGCAGACCACCAACGTAGGACCAGATACTTGTAGCTGAGTTAGTAGAGTAGTTGTACATTTTTTCTGGATGTCACAGGTTCAAATTCAACTCCAGTCCGTGTTCTTTGTTCTTTTGCAAGATTTTTCATTTTGCGCATGCACAGTTGAAATACCGACCTGGCTTATTGCTGAGGAATTCTTTTCATCACAGTTCAATTGAATCGTCTGTGACTTGACACAGGATGACTTCTGATGGACTTGTTGTAGCTTGTGACTGACTCATTCAATTCAGTAGTGCAGTGCCTGAAACTATCCGAGCTCTAGATTCTTCAGTGAATAAATACATCATGCTGTGTTATCGGTTAATGTCTGGGTTTTTTTTGTGGCCTGCAGCAATTGGAAGTTGTCCCACTCTACGGTGACATCCAGATCCCAGTCTTCTCCTACATCAAGAAGAGTCCCAACTACGAGGCCCACAAGTCTACCTGGAGCTGTGAATCTGGCAACACCTCCCAGTATGACCTATTGGAACACCTGGTATCCATCCGAGATGACCACACACGCTACATCAGCCAGCTGGCTCGCCACAGCAACAAGGTAAGGGATTTGTGTTCTTGGGCAAGACACGTTACCACATTTGCCTCGGACTGGCTTGTAACTGGCTCTCTTCCAATTAATGGGAGGATACATTTTGCTTGGTTATAGTTTCTTCTCAGCAGGTTCAGAAAATTGTATTTAAAAATAAGCTGAGCATAGAAGATATTTGCTTAGTACAAACAAATTACCTGCTAAAATGCTGTGGGATGTACAATACTTGTGACTCTTCTGTGCCTAACAAGTTTGGAAATGGCTTGTTGTGAGAACTTAGTAAAATTCTCCAACTTAGTAAAATTCTCCCACATTGAAACCTTCATGTATTTCTCTGGCAACAGCAAGTTATACATGTAGGTGTTATGTTTTGTTTTACTTTTAGGAAGTGACCACTGCGTTGAAAGATACCGGTCGTTCTGAGGCCGAAAACAGGGCACTGTACAACCTGGCATTGAAGGGACTCCGCCTGCTCTCCAAGTGGACATCGCTTGTCACTGAACTGGTATGCAAATCATTCCTCCATACACTAGCAAGAAAAAGAATAGTAAAAATGAACTTGTAAAAGATAAGGACTCCTTGCACAAGTTGCATATAAATTACCTCTGCATTGCGTGCCTGCAGGGCCAGCCCATAATTCTGGTTCCAAGTTTGAAATTGATTCTCTACAAGTCTGCCAAACTCTTTCAAATCACAAAGATAATTGCAACTGGAATTTAATGAACCACTGCTATGTGTTCATTGAGTTAATGATTTCTGGTCTCTCCTTCCAGTTTTCCTGGAAACTGATCCATCCCGCTGACAAGCGCTCCAATCCCAAGATTCCCGATAAGGCCGAGGAATATGAAAAGGTAAGATTAAAGTCCTTCATTCAGTCCTTCATTTAGTAAGAAATAAGAATTGGCTGTTCATCCCCAGTTACTACTCATGATTGACTTGCTATTTCACTTGTGATTCATTTAATGACAACTACTATACTTTCACTTTAAAATTTTAAACAAGAAAACAAAACCCAAAACTGCATTGTGCTACATGCAACTGTACATAAATTGGGAAAGGCAACAGCCTTTGTAAAGATTTGCACACAGTTTATTAAAATCAAATGTGGATTCGGGTCATTCCATAAATTTGGGGTCCAATTTTTTTTCGTATCCATGTTATATCTGAGATAAGATTTTGTAAATTCAGAGCACATTCTTTAATGCTCTCTCTCCTAGAGTGATTATGTAAAGCAAAAGACCTGCCAAACATGAATACTTCCCAAAGTGTTGTGCTGGCGTTTAAAACAACAAAACAAAATCCAAAACTGCAGGCAGCAGCCCTTGTAAAGTTTTGCAAAATGCTTACCAAGTAAAATGTGGATTCATATCCTTTACTACAACTGTGATAGCAGGGAATATTGGCATATGCACGTACATCCCAAAGTTCTGTGGTAGTGTCTGAATTTCTGTGGAAAGCAAGCCATAAAATCGGGTCATGATGTTTAGGTTGAGAAATCAGCAAGTTTTAGACCCATGTTTGTTTGTTTTTTCCTTTCAGGCGACCCGCTACAATTACAGCAGCAGTGAGAAGTTTGCCCTGATTGAGGTGATTGCTATGATCAAAGGCCTGCAGGTCCTGATGACTCGCATGGAGAGCGTCTTCCAGGAAGCCATCCTGCGTACCACCTACGCTGAGGTGCAGGACTTTACGCAGAAGACGTTACGGGATGCGCTGCGCACTGCTGTCAAAAAGAAGAAGAACCTGATCAAAACGTGAGTAGACGGTTTTTGAGTGACAAATACTAAGGGCCAGTTTATACTCCACACAAATGCAACTGAGACGTGAATTAAATGGTCCTGAAAAAGTCATTGTGAAATTTGCTTGAGTTTTACCAGTGACAAGAATGTCGCTGCTTATTTGTGAAAGTTAAGTACATTTCAATGTCGCTAGCATAGTGACTTTGCGCATGTGATTTCTGCTACGTGGCATATACAAGGTTATGGCTTCAGACTAGTTCCCCTTGAACATAAGACATTGACAAATTGGGAACCACCAATATAGGGCTTGATAGCTCAGTTGGTAGAACACCGGAACGGCAATGTGGAGGTCACAGGTTCAAACCCCTCTCCAGTCTTTTTCTTTGATCAACTTTGAAAAAAGTATTAATTTGAATATTTCAAATGCGACTTCAACCACAAATGCTTTGTGCAGTAAAATTCACAATGTTGTCCCTATTCTGCAGGATCATCCGTGCTGTGCGCGAGACCTGCTGTGACTGGACCAATGGGACAGAACCAGCCGATGATCCATGCTTAAAAGGGGAGAAGGACCCCAAGGGAGGCTACAGCATCAGCGTGAAAAGGCGGACAGTTGGACCCTCGAGCACACAGGTACAAAAACTATGCTGAATTTATTAAGTAAATTAATCTAATTGTCGATAACCAAATGCAAGGATGTTGCAATTGGATGGTTTTTATAGTGAATTTGGGGATGGCTGTAACAACGCCACATCAGTGTTACAAACACACTTGAATCATAAGTTATTGTAATAAATTTACATTTGATCAAAAAAATTAAATTACTTTTTAACAAGCTTTTGTACCATCAGAATGAATAAAAGTAGGAACACGTAAGCACCGGACGTTTTCTTAGAGGGTCCTTGACCCTTTGACCTCTCCGCCTTTGGATAGAACATCCCCCCTCCCGATAGGAAACTATTTGCCTTAATCAGACGGAATAAAACAATGCACCGTTATAGATGTTCCAGCCACTTATTGGCTCACTGTTCATAGTCTTTGAGCCAGTATATCGCTGTATGGATAGATTGGAGTTGCATGGATTAAAATTCAAAGCATGACCAACAATTTGATCTTCGTTTGCATTTTGCATCCATCAGTTGTACATGATTCGCACCATGCTGGAGTCACTGATAGCCGACAAGGGAGGTACGGGCAAGAAGACCCTACGCAAGGAGCTAGACGGACCCTCCCTGGAAGCCATTGATGAATTCCACAAGAGATCCTTCTTCTACAAGCATCTCCTCAACTTCTCAGGTAAAAACAATTTGCAATCTCTTAACCCCCAATAAGCTGAATTATTTTCTCCAGACTGATGATCGAATATGATGTGGACAATAAAATCGTACCTTAGGCTTATCAGTGTATGAAATATCTACTGGACTGCTTAACCAAGTCTAGTGATTTTGAGTGCTGGTCTAGAATTCAGGACATCATTGAAATTCAGTATTTGACGTTTGAAAGAATTAGGAGTAACTGATTCCAAAGATCAACTATTTCAGTCGCTCGGAATGACACCTCGGTATAGACTATGGAAAATTGATACATAAAATTTGCCCTTCTGAAACCAAAATCTAGTTTCATTGACTGAAGGAGTTTGGTTTAATGTCACACTGGAATGGCAGTTTGAAATTGGTGTGAGCTCTTCACGTGTGGCTTTTCTGATTGTTTGCTACAGAGACACTCCAGCAATGCTGTGACCTGTCCCAGCTATGGTATCGAGAGTTCTTCTTGGAGATGACTATGGGAGAGCGAAGACAGGTAAGATGTAATCCAGAGGCTAACTTAAGTGTTGTAATCAGTCAAAAACTATCACAATGTCAACATTAGTCAATCACAAGTCAATCATGAGTCAATCATAAGTCAATCATTACTCATTCACAAGTTAAGCTCTTGTTAATGTTAATCTCCAGTTAATTACAAGTCAATCACAAGTCAATCACAAGTCAATCACAAGTCAATCACAAGTAATCCATCCCCAAGTCAAGTGATAAGTTATACCATGGCAAAGGCATTCATCTCATCTTATTCCATTTACTCGTGATTTGTGATTTTATTGGATTTTAATCTGGGTAGCTTGATGAGACCACTTATTTCTTGCCAGCATACATGAAAATAGGTGAACAAACTCATGTATATATTGATATAAATATTGTTTGTGAACACCATAGTGCATAACATGTTTAAGACGGTTTCACTAGCCATTATTTAATGCAATTGTTCTCTTACAGTTCCCCATTGATATGTCTATGCCGTGGATTCTGACAGATCACATTCTGGAGACCAAGGAACCTGCTATGATGGAGTAAGAACAAAATTAGTAATTCTTGTTTTTTACATGGTCTTTTAAAACGCTTCTGGGCAGAGATTGAAATGGAGTTATGTATTGGAGTATTATTGTGTTTAATTATGTCAGTTTTCTTTGATAAACTATCTTATGGCCTAAAGACTGAGATGCATGCGATGAACATCAAAACAAAATTAAACATATTAAAATGCTACAATTCTCCAGATTCTCCTTTTTGGTCCGTTCCGCTTACTCGACAATCATACATAAGTGTTCTCTAGCTTGACAATCATACATAAGTGTTTTCTAGTAGAGCTAACATCTAGTCAAATGTAAATGTGTCATTTGTTTTCTTTCTTCTTTCCCTTTAGATATATCCTGTACCCACTTGATTTGTACAGTGACAGTGCCCAGTATGCACTGACAAGATTCAAGAAGCAGTTCCTCTATGACGAGATTGAGGCTGAGGTAAAATGAAAAAAAAAAATGAGAAAAAAATAATAACTAACTAAAAATCAAACCCAACTCCACAAGCGCTTTAGCTAGAAACTTTCCTGAATTCCTTTACGATCTTCCACGGTGTATGAAACCCATAGCACATGCTTTGTATTTAAACCCTCAAGGGTTACCAAACCTTCCTAAATGCTAAATCCTGCAAAATCCTCCAAAATATCCCGGTGCATTCTGAACGATTGGAGGGTAAGGGTCCAAAAGGGGGTTCGTTAGAGTCACACTTTGATGGCTACCATACAGAAGGACATGGGAAATTATTGTTACACACCTCAATCTACCTGAAATGTGTATAGCTTTTTATAACAAAAGACGTTCTTAGAAAGGCGAAACATTAAATTATCTCACGGTTCTGATTTCCCAAGAACTGAAATTCATTTGTCTTTTTTTGGGCTGCATAATAATGGACTATGTAATTCTCATGTAAACTTTAAATACATCCCTCTACATTGACCATATGTGTGGCATCATTTGGCCAGGGAATTACATAGACTTATCCAGTTTGATTGTGTCTTTCTGGGTTTTTTTTCATAATTGAACAAAGATATTGACTGGGGCAGGGTTTGAAACTGTGACCTCCGGATTGGCATTCCAGTGCTCTACCAACTGAGCTATCCAGCCCTATGTTGGTGGTTCCCCATGTTGTCAGTATCTTTGTTCAAAGGGCACTAGTCATATTTGTGGTTTTTTTTGAAAATTTGGGATTTTTTCCCCCTCAGGTTAACTTGTGTTTTGATCAGTTGGTCTACAAGCTCAGCGATCAGATATTTGCTCACTACAAGGCACTTGCAGCAAGGTATGAAACTTGTGATTGACTTGTGATTGGCTTTAAATTGACTTGTGATTGACTTGTGATTAGAATTGTGATTGACTTGTGATTAGAATTGTGATTGACTTGTTATGACTTGTGATTGACTTGTGATTAGAATTGTGATTGACTTGTGAATAGAATTGTGATTGACTTGTTATGAGTTTGGATTGACTTGTGAATAGAATTGTGATTAACTTGTTATGAGTTTGGATTGACTTGTGATTAGAATTGTGATTGACATGTGATTACAGCTCTGCATTTAAAGAACTGTTTAAAAAGATACATGCACAGGATACTTAAATAACTGTGGCTTTTTAATAATAAGGATGTAGCGCCTTGAGCTCCAATAATGATGGATATATGCACTATACTTATATGCATTATTATTATTATATGTAATTTGAATTGTGCCCTTTTTCTCCCCAATTCAGTATTCTGTTGGACAAGCGTTTCCGTACGGAATGTGAGACCTACGGCATCAGCATTCCCTACCCACCGGCCAACCGATACGAGACTCTCCTAAGACAGAGGCACTTACAGGTATTTTATTCACTTGTTCCATCAAATGAAAGTTGTGGATTTTTGGCCACCAATTTAAAACGGACAAAAATCCACAACAAAAACTTAGAAAATAGAAACCATTCTTAAAAGAACATGCTTTGTCCTTTTTCTTCCCTGTGTAGTTGTTGGGCAAACTTGTCTGTAGTTGAAAATACAAACCATACTAAAATAACATTCTTTATCTGTTTTCCCGGGTTGTAGTTGCTGGGTCGTTCCATTGATCTGAATCGCCTGATCACACAGAGAGTCAGCACAGCCATGTACAAGAGCATGGAGACGGCCATCATTCGCTTTGAAAGCAGCGATTTGACAGGAATTGTGGTACGTTACGTTCACCAGAAAATACCGAAGCAAATATCTTGACATAATTAAAGGTGTGTTGTAGTCAAGATACTAGTGATGGATCACAAGCACATTATAAGCCTGGTCTCAAATAAATCACAACTCCAATTTACAAGTCCAGTCACAATTTTCTGGGATGAACAATTACCAAGGGACAATAACCTGTGTCACAGTTCAATTGAATTGCTTGTGACTTGACTTGAGACTGAACGACTTGTGATTAACTTGTGATTTACTAGTGATCGACTTGTGATTGACTAGTGATCAACTTGTGATGGACTTGTGATTTACTAGTGATTGACTTGTGATTGACTAGTGATTGACTTGTGATTAACTTGTGATTTACTAGTGATTGACTTGTGATTGACTAGTGATCGACTTGTGATGGACTTGTGATTACTTGTGATCCATCGCAAGTACCAACTACAACACTGCACTATTGAGGATTCACGTATGCGAAGCCCACAGTCTTCCAATTTAATGTTTATTCCTTGTGTCACTTCCCCAGGAGCTAGACTGTCTGTTGGAGGTCAACCGCCTGACTCACTCCCTCCTCAGCAAACACATGAAGCTGACCAACTTCGGTTCCATGCTCCGGGAAGCCAACCACAACGTCATGGCTCCCTATGGCCGCATCACGCTGCACGTCTTCTGGGAGCTCTGCTCCGACTTCATTGTGTCGTTCTGCTACAACGGCTCCACGGAAAGGTCAGTGTAAAAAACAATTTGTGATGTGACATCACAAAAGTTTTTTCAGTGGAGGGAGTTTACAGGATTAAGAGCCCAGCCACTATTACTTTACGTGGGACTCGATGCTTCTTTCAAGTTTCAAAGTTCCAAAAAATATTCTCATAGATTCCTGCGAATTGAAGGATATTTGAAGATTCAGGAAGCTTGGAGCCAAACTTCCAGGGACATTACGGTTTTGTTACACCTTCTGGCATTTTCAAAAAAATGAATTCTTTACTTTATAAGAGTAATTAGTTGTATATTCCTGTCCTACATCTAGGTTTGTCCGCACCAAGCTTGCCTTTGCACAGCCACAGAACAGGGACAAGCCACCCTCTTCAACTGCATCCTACATCTATGGAAGCAAGGTAAACAAAATACAATATTGAATGTACATCACCCCAACGCAAATTCCATCTTATGAAGTAAAACAACAATTACATCTTTTTCGAGATGAGCAAACCTTTTCAAAGTTAGATAGTTACAACAACAAAAAATTCCACATTTTTAAACCCCAGTCCTCCCAATTTTGCCAGGATGTTTTGGAGGGAGTTAAGGTTAACCCATTCATAATATTTGATTTCTTGACAGTTACTGAACACAGCCTTTGCGACAGTCAACAGTCTCAACAGCACGTTCATTGGAATTCCGCACTGTCGCTGCATTGCCCGATTGCTAGGATACCAAGGCATTGCTGTCGTCATGGAGGAACTCCTGAAAGTCATCCAAAAATCGGTAGGGATTGAGAGAAATTTTCAAGAATAAAGACATCCAAAACTGAACATTCACCCAAACAACCCTCCCCAAGTTTGAAATCCACCAAGAGGTTTTTGGAGGATTTTGTAGGATTGAGGAGGGTAGAGCCGAGCTAGTGTACTTTGTATGGGTCTTTGATGCCCAATGATCTTGAAATGATGATGAGGCACCTTGCTATGCTAAGGCCAAAGAAAAAATAGAGTTAACGATAATCCGACCAACCTAGATTTTTGTTGCCAAATTGCTTACCTCAAAACTGTTATTGCCACGGAATCAAGTTAAGTCTCTCCCCCCCCCCCTTTTACAGGAAAGTTCCCTACCCTTCTGAGGGCCACAGTTTTTTATTTACGACACCCAAAAAAGAGAAAATCTTTGTGATATCGCTGCATCTATTATTAAAACTTTGGTTGTTTTTTTCCCAGATAAATGACTATATCTTGCCGTATGTGAAGATGCTAATGGACGTCATGCCTCAGACATGTAAGCTGCCAAGATTTGAGTACGGCACGAAAGGTATGTGCTTGAAACGGTAAATATATTTATAACTTATGAATCTACACACCTTATCTTGCATTTTTAGGCTTGTTTCTTTTATTGTTACACCTTAAAAGTAGCTCTGAAAAGACAGTTCTTATGTTGCAGTCACCAAAAGACTCTTTGTAAATTATTTAAGATTCTTAAGATTGTAATAAAAGTCATCATTAGTTGCAAGTTGTTATCCATTGCAAAATATTGTTTTTTTTTCGTTTGGTCGTGTCTCCATTTCAAGCACTGACAGAACAAGTTTAAAATACACCTTGACCTGTATTTCGCGTGTTCAATGTTTTCCTTTTGTGGTTCTCAGGTGTTGTTGCCTACTACTCGGCACATCTTCAAGACATTGCCCAGTACGCTGATCTCAAGATGAACCTCTTCCACAACTTCCAGGAAGTGGGCAACGCCATCATCTTCATGAAGATGATGGAGCAGTGTCTTGCTGTGGAAGAAGTCTGTGACCTGCTCCATGCATCGCCGTTTCAGAACATCATCCCGAAACCACACGTCAAACGTAAGATGAAATAACATGACCCATTTATTTTTGTAATCATTCAGTTATTTGATTGTGGCGTTTCACATATTGATGAGAGCCAGGCTGGTCAAGTAGTTTTTTACGTGCCTTCCACCTCGGTGACCAAGGTTTAAATCCAGGTTCAAGTCTTATGAACACTGAAAGGTTAAACATTTTATCTGCTTCATGAACATTAGTTTAAAATCATTGTTCCTATGTACATATATCCGCTGAATTTACTCAGATTTTGCTTTATAATATGGAGTGAGGTTGGTGAAGTAATGCTTTTCTCGCCTTTAACCTCTGTGATCTGAGTGTGAATCCTACCCAGGCCAATGTGTGTGGATTGGGTTTCAGTCCCTGCCCGAAACCCATGGGTTTTGTATGGAATGTCATTTAGGGGTCGTCCTCCCATTTCGATACCTGAACATTTCTTCATTGTCTTCTGTTGTGGGATGCAGTTCCTGTCTACTTTTGTAGAACCTGTTTCATTTGCAATAAGAATTTAGATAACATAACTTGTGATGTTTTTGGTGAGGGTCAAAATTTGGAATGAGATCGTTGAATGTGTGGTGTTTTCCTGTTTTTGCAGAGAATGAGAAACTGGATAATAAGTTGAAGAGATTGGAGATGAACTACGCCCCACTGCAGGTGGTCCCTGTGGTGGAGAAAATGGGAACGCAAGAGGTATAAGGAGGAAGTTGTTTAGGCTTTAACCTTCAAAAGGGCCCCGGGGGGGGGGGGGGGGGGGCACTCCAGCCCACTCCCCTCTTTTCCTTTGTTTCTGATATTACTGTTGCATGATGATTTTTTTTTTCATGCTGACATCAATTATGACACCAATTTTGACACCAATTTCATAAAAATCAGATGGAGGTTTCACACAAAATGTCATCTTTGAACATGGGGCTGTGAGAAAGCTTTTTTTTAAGATTATGTTTACGAATATACAATGGATTATACCTGTCCTCTGTTGTGTGGGTTTTAATGTTGAGTAAATCAATCACACTTCAAACCACTGTCTGTATCCACAACTTGTGCATTTTTCCTGTGAATTTTCCTCCGACAGCAAATCGCTGACGCCCGAGAAGGCGACCTCCTGACACGCGAGCGCCTGTGCTGCGGACTCACGATGTTTGAGATTATCTTGAACCGCATCAAGGGATTCTTGACGGACGAAATCCTGACCGGGCCGGAACCGGCCAACGGCGTCATGAACATCGACGAGTGTTCCGAGTTCCACAGGCTCTGGAGTGCCTTCCAGTTTGTGTACTGCCTGCCACTCAAGGAACACAACTTCACTCCAGAGTAAGTGAAAATATATCATTCGTTAAAAAATTAAAATGATGAAGGGCAAAACCCAATGTTAATATGAACAGCTGTCATTGAATATCATTGACTTCACACAAGGTTTATACATTTTGTCTTGTTTTGGAATATTTATTTATATCTTAGATTTTTACTATTGCTCATTACAAAAACTAAGTCTATAATTACTTCATCTTCTTTCTTGAGTCATAACTGGTACTGGGGCTGATTGGACTTACGAATCTTGTCAAGGTTTCATCCCCAAACCTCAAACTGTTGCTGTTTAATATTTTTACAACACTGTTTCACCAAGTAAGTTGTTTTTGATTTGATTTTTTCCCTACCAGGGAGAGCTATGGCGAGGGGCTGAACTGGGCTGGCTGTACCCTGATCACCCTGCTGGGGCAGCAGAAACGCTTTGAGGCCCTGGACTTCTGCTACCACATCTTGCGAGTGCAGAAAGTGGATGGAGTGGACGCAGATATCAACGGAATTGTAAGCAGAAATTAACCGTTGACCATTCCATTGGAAATTGGTCATAAGTCCCGCCCACTTTTGATTTTTCTCACAGTGCCTGTGACCAAGTCTAATAAACCAAGCGAGGTCACCTGACCAGAAGTAATGACCTAATTAGTCAGTGCACACTGTTTGATTGACATGCAGGAAAACTGCCAATTTATGACAGTTGGAGCTTCTCCCACTGAACAATGTATTGGATCCTAATTGATTTGTTTTCAGCTGAGAAAGCTTGGCACATTGGCAACTGTTGAATGTTGTTAAGTTGAGCGGGGTGTCTTGCAAAAATACCTGTGATTTACTTGTGAAGAAATGAAGTACAACTCTGACATTAGTTCCAAAATAAACTTGCTCTTGATTTTCACGTATGACACTGTTTTTTTCACAGCCCATCGGACGTCTTGTTGACCGCATCCGCAAGTTCCAGATCCTGAACAACCAGATCTTCTCCGTACTCAACAAGTACCTCAAGGCCAATGAAAGCGACAGCTCTCCAGTGGAGAAGATTCGCTGCTACCAACCTCCCATCCACCAATCGGTCGTTGACGGAGGAATGTAAGTTGCAGAGAGACAGTTCATGTCTGAATTTCACAAATCAAGTCTTAAGGAAATTTTTTTTTTTCATTTTGTAGTTTTTCATACACATACTCAGCTCAGTTTTGTATATAAAACAGTTTGACATCCTGAATTTGGACATTGGATTAAAACATTGGCAGAAGTTTTGGTGACTTTTGCTTTAATTTGATTGTCTAGTCATATCTGGAATAGCAGTTTTTCTCTTGAAAAATGTCTAGCATGCCTTCAATTTATTCTAAGCTGTTTTTTTTTCTAAGCTACAACTTCAAGATGTGTTACCCGTGCTTTTTTCAAGTTTCACCTCAAAAAAGATTTTTTCAATAGTTATTGTTATTTCCTAGCAACATGTTCATTTGTGCACAAAATGAAACCCATTTTTCAGAGGGTTGCAGTTACCCAAATTTGAATAAAGTGTGGTGTTTTTTTCCGTTAAAACAAAAACATACAAATGGAAAATTCGTCAGGAGAAAAAAAATCTTTTTAAGAGCACAGGGTATTACTTCATTTATTGGAAGTAATTAAACGAGATTGCACAACTTGGCGTTTGCATTGTTGTACAAGTGACAACTCCGCAAATGAACTTTACAAAAGATCTAATGGTTGCAAAACTGTTGAATTTCCAAAACACTATATTCTAGCTTGCTGATTTGAAGCAAACAAAGTTGAGGAGACCACTTCATTGTCAAGTTTTGCTCTCTGTTGTGGTTTGTTGTGGTTATTTTGCATGACATGTATTTATTAATAATATTTGGATACAAGAGTACCATGTAGGTTTTTGTGTTAAATGTGGGTGTTTGAATATTAACAAAGTAACATACATGTAGTACCCAGTCATTTTTTTTTATCAAAACCCATAGTTTACTGGGGGGGGGGTGTTCTTAAAACCATGAAATCTGAGCTTACAGATTAACTACAGTATGTCCGGTTTTTTTTAATGCATGTACAGTGTAAGAATATTTATCAATCATAACCTGTGAACTTTACTTAAGGTATAAGGTATTTTCCCCTTTTTGTTAATAACAATAACATGTCAAGAAGTACATGTAAATGCATTGAGATCTTCATAATATATGGAAAATGATGCTATGTCAAAAAATGTTATTTTTAACTCATCTAGGTTTTGACAAAGGCAAAGCTTTTGAAAAGAAAACTCATTTTCTAGTATAAAGTTAGAGATTCACTGTAAAAGCCTACCTTGTATATTGTGTATGCTATCTGCATTGAGAGAGACTTCTGTGTTTTGTATAACATGTTTCAATTGGAGTTTGAAGAGCATATCTATTAAGACAGCTTGGAAGGGATACTTAAAATGTCTATGGCACTCATTTAAGATTTTTTTGTAAATATATTTTGTATTTTCAATAGTATTGCTGACTTTAATTGGCACACAATATGTATGATGTATAGTAAGAACCAGATCTTTTTTTTTCCATTTTAGTTTTTAATTTAATAGCCTGATAAAGTAACGGTCAACATATATCATGTATGAACTTTTGAGGAATTCTGATGAAATAAAAATGCTTTTAATGTATTGCCAAATCTGTTCATGGTTCCTTTTGCGTACATTTGTCCTTGTAGTCTACTCTTAGGTGCTAGTTTCTTGTCATATTAACAAATCATTAGTCAGTTTGATTTGCTTCGAAGCTGGGTTTTGTTCTCAATTTTGTACACCGTAAAACAATTTCTTGTGTAGGGATGCATTGTGGATTTTGTGTTGTTTCCTTCTTTGAGTTTGTTCATGTTTTGTCTTATTCATTCCTTAATGCACAGGCAAATTAAGATCTCACCTTCTTTTTCTTTTTTTTATTGGGGGGGGGGGGGGGGGGTTCTAAAGGTACCACCTGCATGGGACGTGGAATTCCTCATCTATAAGAATTTCTCTCCATACTCGCCACAATCCGTAGGCTGAACCTGTAAAAACCAGTTAAAATAGAACAAAAAAAGTCTATATTTGTAATATTAGCATCTCCTGTTTTGAGAGAGATATTGTCGTCTGCCCTGATTGTATTTAACTTTCTGTCCAATGAAATTGGCCAAATAAAGTTCCAGATACAGGTTTGACCAATGAGAAACGCCCAGCCGCAACCGCCTGCCATTTGTGTGGCGTAGTGATAACTTACAGGTAAACAAAATATAGGCCTGCCTTTGCTGACAAAAATATACCATTCACAGGAAACTTACCACTGAAATCAAGTTGTTTCTTTTTGTAACTAATGTGTTTAAATTCTCTTTCAAAAAGGTTCGTTTATGAAACGTCGAGATTCTTTTTCGCTGATTATCATATGAAAAAAGTCAAACGCGGAGTAACATGAACGTAGTGATCCAGCCGCACTTCGCGATACGGCGCAAACGTCACTGTTCAACTTTTCGTACGTCTCCGTGCACGTCTCTACATATGCCGCAGAAATTGCTTGGAAAATAGCGGATTCTCGGAATTACTGCTCTGCTCGAATGAGAAGGGGCAGACTAGACACATTATCCAGTCAGGAATTTGTTGTCAGCAGCAAAGAAACTGGCTACCAGTAGCTGTAAGTTCCGGCTGAGTGCATCCGCCCCGGCCCGGTCTTACGGGGTGTTTCGTCTGTGTCTTTGGAGCACGTTTGACAGCATGGTAAAATAACCGCCGTTGTGCCCTTTCTGCAGCATTCCTGCATTGATACTTGATTTCTTCACATTGACTGAACCGAACGAGAATTACACACATCATGTCAGGTGAATAAACCCGACCAGATGAAATGTTTGTACACAAATGGCCTGTGGGAGGAACATAGGCATGATGCTCAAATGATTTAACACGTCAGGTACACCGACATTTTTGGAACTTGTGCTAGTTTGTTGAACTGAACTCAATGTGACTCGAATGAACCGAACACCGATAAACTGTGAGTTAAACTTCACATTGTGCACCGTGTCGATTGATGAGGATATGTTCAAGACACAAGGCGTCATTGGTGAATTTGTAAACCGGATCTGCAGGGTAAGTGATATTCATTTGGAAGAATTCATTTTTACCAAACATTAATAATAGGTCTACGTTTATAACCCCTCACTTAAAATTTTGTTTTGAAACTAAACTTTTTCCACATCCCCAAGTGAAATTTGTTATGCCTATAACTGGTTTCATCGCTAGTTACCCGGCGACAATTTTAATTACATAATGGATTTCATAAAATGAATGGCTTACGGCTTTGAACTTCACAGGTATAATGGGAAAATGTGTCGTCGGGTTGTTGCCTATAGTATCATGTCGTAAATCTTTGGTGCGTTCACGTACATACAGTATAGACAACGTGTACGCCATGACAAACAAGTTTGGTCGGCGGCAGGTCAAAACGGTGTCACGATCGGTAATTTACATATGAATTACCGGCACGCGATTTCACGTGTGTGGGCGTGGTTGTGGGTTTGCTTCCATTGAATGGTTGTATAAGAAGAAGAAAACGAGTGGTATGCGGCCAGGTGTTTTTGATGTAAAATCGTTAACAACTGAGAAGTGTTTACAGCATGTCAAAATTGCTGAGGACTTTTTGTTACTAATTTAATTACACAGTTTGATAATTGTTACTCTGTTTACAATTGCTACACTCCAAAATAACTGAAGCTGAATTTAAATATTACATTTTTCTTTTCAACAGACCAGACACGAACGGTGTTTTTTCTATCTGAGTGTTTGTTTTGTAATGTTTCAATCCTTTGCCGAAGTCTTCAAACTAATATTTTCTGTGCATCGTTGTTTTTTTATCTAAATGGTGAGAGCCTTAAATTGTGGATACCAGCATGTGCAATGTAATTCTTCACTCATATTGTAGTAATAACCAATGCCTTGAGTAAAAAAGGGAAAATTATGAGAAAATAGATGAAATCGTTTTTTCTTTGTAATTATTTTGGAACAATCCATGTTTGTTGGTTTTTTGTTGTCTAATCACAGCGATATAACCTACATGACTAATATACCCCATACAAAGGATAAAAACTACATATGGCCATATGTAGTTGTTATCATTTTTGACCAGCATCTAAACACATATATAAACATATCTGTATTGATCCCTCACTGTCCAGAAGTGAAAAGACGTTTTGTTGTATAGTATATTTTTTATTTTATTGTTTGCTTTTGTATTCATATTTAAAAGAGAAATAGGCCTACAGAAATGCAATCATTTCTGTATTTTTTACTTCTATTGTTTATCAGAGGTGTTTCTTTGGAACTTTCAACTATAGTCAGAAAATTCGAAAAAAGGGCAACCATTTCTTCCCATCCATTCATAAAGCATGATAAATTGACTTCTGCAAGGACAATCAATTGCTCTCTATTGAGAATTGAGGGCGCTAGACATGTATTACCTTCACCAGCAGCTGTTCACTTGTACAATTATTTTAACTGTCATTATTTTTCGGATCAGCAACAATTTTCTAAATACGGAAATACTTGTGGAAGTGACCATGATAATGAGGACGATTGCGATCGTACTCAAATTTGGCAATTTTAGAGTTTAATTTTAAAAGATGTAAGAATGGCTGTCGTTCACAAGAGAAACGTACAAATTAATGTCTTTCATACATAAAATTTACAAGTGTAGGCCTAGTCATGGAATGATAACTGAAAAGTATATAAACAAAAATGGTTTCTTTCAGGTAGGCCTATATGCATGACTATTTATTAGTCTTTGATTATTGCTTTATACTGAAAAACAACATGGTGGTCAAACAGGAAGAAATAGATGAACAAGGCAAGCTAGGTTCTTGACCTTTGGAGATTATTTTAGCATCTTAATTTTGTTGGAAACGCTTATCAGGAAAAGAAATCTCTTGCAAGGCGTGGGGGAGGCTAAAGGCCTCTAGAACCAGTGCACAACAGTCGAGAGTGATTGTATATGATTATTAGACTTATTACTTAGTATTTCAGTTGAAAGTCAAAGTAATATGCTATGCAAAAATTGTGGTTTAACTTACAGCTATAGGCCTAATCATTCAATTGTGTGTTTATTAGTTGGAAAAACTGCCCTGCCTAATTACATCAAAAGTGTGACAGAAATTACTATTTAAGCCTCAGATGGACCTTATGCTTGATGTTGTATGGTGTTTTATTAACCACCCAATAAATTGTGTGGTTAAAAAAATTTTTTTTTGGATAATTCAACTGGACGTACAATTATTGCTATTTTACAATTTCAGTCCATTGTCCTTTAATTGCCAGTGTAGGCCTAATGGTCATTTTGACAATATGATTGATAGAAATTCACCGAAAAGGAGTGTGCAAAAGGAGTGTGCAAATTTAAAAAGGTGAGATTAAAAAGACCTGCTTTTAGTGAGGTCTGAACGCTTTGTACAATTCACTATGGTCACCTATTGACATTCGATCGATTGACTTTTACCTATAGTACAAAAAAGAGGCTGCTCATTTCTCACACCGTGTTAATTACTTTCAGTAAAACCTGCGATTAAAGTAACTTATTGAATGCGATTCCAGTAACTTATTAACCAATCTGATTGGGATGTCCGGTGAAAAGAAGTTCGAAAAGTGCCCCCCCCCCCCCCACCCGTAGTTACGCTTGCACTGTTTGGCCTTCATTAAATCTGAACCTAACGTTAGGCGCTAAAATTGAAACTGGACTGAAGAAAAATCAAGAAATTTCAGAAATGTTTTCCATGGAAAAAGTTAAGTGTTGTAGTCCTAACATGACTAAAAACTTGCGTCAAGCTGTTGTGAAGTTGCAAGGTTATAATTTCACACCCGCCTGGCAATGACAGGTTTAGCGCGCGCATGAAAACTGAGCGGCACTTAATTGGACTACACATAAAAAGCATCAGTAATAATTTGCTTGGAGCCCGCACTGTTGAATATTTAAAAAGATCGTGACAGCCACGTAATTCATGACTATAGTCTGTTGCCATAACATGAAGAACAATATTAAATTATTAAACGCACAGACCGTACACAAAGGGGTTTGTAAAGGTAAAAGGGTGCATGGCCAGACTTGGCCCTCTTGTTTAAAATTCCTGCGGCTGTGCTACTTTCATGATTGATAGATATGCAGTTTGAGTAACATAGCCATTTCTGAAAACAGTATTTTTGAGCTGAAAACAGCTCATGCCGTATTTTTAATGGGGAGGGGGGGGGGCGCTCATGCCGTATTTTTAATGGGGAGCGCCAATAAAATCCTAAAATCATTCACACTATATTAACTAATGCACCCTTGTCACGGCTATTTCTTCTTTTAGGGGGAGACCGTTCGCATGTACATCACAATCCTTCTTTTTGCTAATGCAGATTTTTTTTTTTACGGAATTTATTTTGGGGGGGCTAGACAAAATTTTGGGGGCTACAGCCCCCCTAGCCCCCCCCCCCCCCCCCCCCCGTAGAACCGCGCCTGATCCAGTTATTATAATACATTGTGGTAAAATTTTACGCAAACCACTTTTTTTCTCTTCCAATTTACCAACTATGTTTTTTTTTCGAATTTATGTTGGCCGAAAGTATTTATGAACCCCGTCACCAATATCTTTCAAAAATTGTTTGATAGGCATCTAGTTATAGTAAATAGTTTTGTGCAAGCAAATTTCTAATTGACAAACAATTTTTTTTTTCTAATTTAGTAGGTCTAAAGTACATGTATACATGATGTGTGTCACTCTAAGGTCTATGGAACAATTATTGTTTGCTATATGTCAAGTTATAATTTTTTTTCTAATTTGTTAGAACATGACTTGTATCACATGCAACAGGGTCCGCTATTAGTGTTATTTTTGTTGGTGCTTGTCACTAAAAAGAGGTACATACAGGTGTTTTGTTTAGGCCTAAGTATGACTGATTTGATATTTGTATTTTATCATAAAGTGTGCCTATGAAATTGCCTGAGGTTTCAGTTTCAATTTGGAAATCTTTTTACTCGACGGCGATTAAGTGAACATTAACTTATGGGAAAGTATTGGAGTTGGGCCTATATCATGGATTGAATTAAATAATAGGGATCTTGAAAAGGTACCCAATCAACATTCACGCCTAGTCTGTGGAAATGGTTTTCCACGCTTTTAAACATTAGTTATGTGGATCAAGTTAATTTAAGTAGGCTTAGTTTATACTTATAATAACATAATTTCATCGCAGACATCAAATCAGAGTAGATTGTCATTATTTCCACGGACGGTCCGTACAATTTTCTTTGTTAATTACCCTGTTTAAAATCAAACACATTTTGCGCCCCCAATCTTTGGTTAAGAAATACTAAAGTACACCTGCTCCATACACTATAGAGGAATGATACACATCTCATTTCACTCCTTTTAGGCCTCGAATATTTGATTTGTCTTGAAATATATTTGTTTTCCTATAATTGTGAGGCAGAAATATTCCTGTAAACTATTGTTTCATTTCTTCTTCATTCTAAGCCTTGATTAAGAAGGGCTGAAAAGCACACCAGACATGGACAAAATCTCAACCGCGTGCACGTATCTTGGTGAGTTGAAATCTTATATCAGCATGAGAAAGGGGAGAGTGCTCTTCTAAAATATTTGATGTTACATGTAGTTCAAGAACGTTACCGCCAATTAGTGTGAAATCGCATTTATTAATTAGTTTGTACACGATCCAATTCTGTGAGACCCATAAGGGTTACCGTGACAGTTCATCTAACCTTGGAAAAGTCTTATTACCAAGATGTATTGTGTTACCTATTTATGAATGTGTCGAGATAGTCATGTTTACAATTACAAATTTAACAAAATTCTTCCAAATATTGTAACGAAAAACTTTGTATAACTACCCTGATGATTTCATTTCGCTATTCTCATCTTACTATTCGGCCCTATAACTGCCTCGTTATTGTTCTTTCAAAGTGCACCACCTCAAGTATACCCTCCAAGTGGGGGGAGGTCATAATTACTCTTAACTAAAAACACTATGCAGAAATTCATTGATGTCCTGATTATTTATGCTCTGATTCTTAGCCTAAACTAAGGGATGGAATCGCTTGAGACAAAATGTGCACACACCATATAAGAAATGAGAAAGGATGCCGCAATGTCGAGGTGAGTTTGTAGTGTATGTTCGGTTAAACATAACAGAAAAAAAACTAAAATCCAATCCGAAAAATGGGACTTAAAAATATGTAACAACCCTCTCCCCCCCCCCAAAAAAAAAATAAAAATAAATAAATAAACAAATGGAATAAAAAAAATTCAAAAAAAAATCGACAAACTCTGAGTCGTTTAAAGTATTTAAGACTTGGAAGTCAGTTACCATTTCTTTTATTTTGTGATCCGTAATGTATGTCTATCCGTTAGTTCGTACAGTTGGTCCCTGATATATGCATTTACACATTTGTCTTTTTCGTCGCCTCTGTTTAAAAAGTGATAAAGCACGCAAGTAGTTGTTAACACTATAACCAATCAGTTTTACCGTGTGTTTTGCCAAAACGTTAATCGCGACTGAAATGCTATGATCACGACAACGTCAATACACCTGGATCCGGCACTGCGTGCTTTTCCAAAAGTAAGCAGGACATCAATTAATAATTGATAATAAAAGATCGTGGCAAGGTTAAACCGTAGAGACGCCAATAAGGGGATGTCACGACAAACTCCACCGTGTCCAGGATCTTAGAGTACAAAACTCACATATCAGACGGTTATTGTTGGAGTTAATTACTAAAAAGCCACCAACAAGTGAAGTCCTTGTAGACATGGATGGCGGCTAATAACTGAGACCAAAAAACGATAAAAGCGAAAAAAAGAAGACAAAATGAAGTCATTTTAGAACACAGTCTAATCTTTCAGTATTGCACATACACATGTGATTACATTTAAATTAAGTTGTATACAGGACATTTTAAAATTTCATTTTCACAAGAAAGTTTATTTTTTGGATTGTATATTTTAAAGACACCGCAGAGATAGAAAAAGTGGAAGAAATAACAAGTAATCTTGTGTTGTGAGATTTTGATGTTGTTCTCCCTTTGATTGCAATTGCTCTTCAACATTGCCATTTCTTCTCCTGTAACGACTTTTCAATTTGCGTATTTGATGTTTTGACGAGGTTGTTGGATTCTGCGACCCTCTACTTTTAAAGCAGAGATATTCATCTGGATTAAGCCGCAAAATAATTCGACATTTGAAAAGTAATCAATTATTCATATAAATAAACGATGTCTCATTCAACAGTGACCACTTTTTGCAATGCCAGGAGAATAACAATAAGGACATCTATTTTCGGGTTAAAACTTGAAAAGTAATTAATGTAAAATTAATGTGGCCAGCTGAACTGTCAAGACATTATTCCATTTCAAATTTCATTTGTAACAATTACTGTACAATTTTTAGGAAAAAACACGTAATGTCAATAGGCCTATTGTTTGCCGCTTGTAGCCTCAAACTGAGACGCAAAAAGCGACTGATGAACTGACTTTTTTTTTTTTTTTAATCTAATACACGGTCAAAGCTGAGTATTGTCAGGTAGGCTTGCGACACTGCCAATCGGTTCCTGCCGTACTCATGCGCGGTATGTTTTTACTTATTACTTTACTCTTATTTACGCAGAAACGAAATTTCAGTACATGTACAGGATTTGAAGAAAAAAAAGCTTCCAAGATGTCATGGAATATTGCGTATGCATTCTGAAATCTTAACTATTTTAAGAATACCAAAACAAGAATGCTTGTATAGTAAAGAATTTACAATTTATCGCAAGAGCCATTCTTGCGAACACTACTTACATCGACAGACTCGTCCCTTCATGCTTCATTGTGTATCTTCTGAAAATATAAAGTTAATGTCAGATGGAATAATCCCACATTATATTCGGTAGAGCATCATCAACCATGCATCAGGAAAATGGAAATACATGTATCTCAATTTGTTGAAGAAGGCTTGATGCGTCTGGAGTGAAGCTTCTCATAGTATCGCATGGATGCCTCCATGCAAGCCTGGATATCACCGGGAAGACTTTCGAAAGCGGGAAGAGGTCCTGGATATTTGAATGCCGCGCTTCCAAGAGCTTCATCGTAAAACCCTCCGATTTTGTTAGCATTTACCATCACTTTAGACGAAATCCAAGTTTCAGTGATGGCTGCCCCCGCTTCCCAGGACAGAAGCTCACAGGTGTATGGGATGCCCAACTTGTGACAGTAAGATGACAGGATGCCTGGTGGATCAGTAAGGAGGTCATCCATGTCCAGAATGACCGGCTCTGGATCAAGATGCTTCTCTACATACTCCAACAATTCGTATTGCTCTTTGAATCCACCGCCTGCAGGAAACACGTGGTCTGGTAGCTTTTGTAGATCACCCATGAACTGGGCAATTGGTTCACCGAATGTTTTCAACAAGGACTTCTTCCAAGAGAGGAAAACCTTTGCTGGGTGGCGAATTAAAAAGCTGTACCGGAAACCTTTGGGTAACATATGGTATTTAGCATCAAGATAAAATGCCATATCTTTGCAGAAGATGATCTTCTTTCCTGCATATGATGCTTCCAGCAGCTCATCTCGAATCCAGCCATATGTACAATCTTTTTTGTCGAAACCACGGGCCTCATCATCGAGGGAGGTGTCGTCAAGTATTACTTCCAAACGTTTCTCCACCGGATGACTAAGATTCGGCTTGGGATTTTTCCTCTCTGGGCCCGAATGGTAGGCACACTGATAAGGCTCGTTAATGACTTGGAGGCCCTCGACAAAGCTGATACACTTCAGGAAGGCAGTGGATACCGTTCGGGGCACGCACCACAGAAACACTCGGTTTAGGTTGTCAGACATCTAACAAATCAACAATAAAATTTAATAATACAATTGGAGGATTCCGAGAAAAACAACAACATGGACTTTTCGTTGCAGTTGAATTACCATTGCCTGGTAGAATATTAGTAACGCCAATTTTTTTTTTATTGCACCGATTTCGACACATAGACCCCGTCCTGTTTAAACACTTCCGTATACTATACTAAAGCGGAGTCTGATATGCACAAAACGGACCCTTTCGATTTTACTGTGCATTCGGCTGTATCATCATAGAAAGACTATTATAACTGCATGTGTGTATTCCCCGAAGCTAATGTACTTACCTCGTCATCAACCAGATTAAATCGTTGACGTTCTGGTTGCTGTTTTGGTTATAAAATAAGTGACAGAGACACAAATGGTTGGTGGAATAAATGTTCTATAGTTTACCTTTGGTCTACTGAAATCTCAGAAGATAAGCGAAGCGATCCCGGCTTAATTGCGTATGATCTATTGGTTATGATTCAGGAAATCCCCGTCAACTTCAACCTTTACTCTGTGAACCCACTCTGTTGTTGCTAAATACTTACAGGCCTAGACCGTACCGTGGCATTGGTTGTGTACTGAAATATCAATGTTAAATTGACTGCATGGATATGATTCTTTTAAACATGCGTTGAATATGAAGCCGGGCGGATGTTACGACTCGCAGAGGAAGAGAAAAGGGATGGGGGGGGGGGATACCGCTCCGTGCACAAGTACCCCATAAACGGCCAGAAAAGGAGAGTTGGGGGTGATCTAGACTGGTTCCCGATCCATCCACTGCGTATTTCGAATGTCTCCAAAGTTATTGGAGGCGGAGATTAGTCTCGGAGACCATTGCAAGTTGAATTCAACAGTATTGGCGCGCCGACGACGCCTGACGCTCACGCGAAGACGCGGTTGCTATAGCTTTTGCACACTCAGGAAGTCGTGCGTACTTTGCGCACGAACCAGTACAGTACAGTACGCGCACGCTGTGTCCCCCGTCCACGCACGGAGCTCTCAAAAGAGGTAAAAACGCGCCCTCTTTTGTTCGCGCACGGAGCCCATATGTATGGAAGTGTAGATAGGACATGGTTAAAAATAAATCTAATTCGTACGTACGAATTACTCAACCGTACGTACGAATTACTCAATCGTACGTACGAATTAATAAACCGCCCATAATGCGCTGCGGCGCTCGCGTGCTTAGCTTTGCACGTAACGTCACGTACGAAAAAAAATAATATGATTCAAAACTCGAGAAGCCTGTACGATATGGATTATGTCAGCCGCGTTTTTCGCTAAAAAAAACCCTGTATCTGTGGTTGTAAAGGCACGAAAGGGGTACGTACATTTAATACAATTTTTTGCTAATTAATACAACGTCCAAACGTTGTGTTTGAAAGGATTGATTCTTCAAAATCACAACTTTTAATATTTTAAAGATGGCGCCGGCACGTAAAACGGATAAACTGCAGCCCTAATTATAATGTACCGTATTTTGGTACATTTAAATTACACAATTCCAGGGGTTACGATCGCGCAAGGCATGATGGGAAACAACATGGCGCTGCAAGATCGTACCCACGGGGCACGAGGTTGGTCCAGCGCAGCCTGGGCCCGGCTGTGGTGTATAACAACGCTTATTGAAGAGACAGGGTACCACGCATAAGCTAAAATATGGCCCATGAACATGAACACAAAAAGTCTGGAAATATCGCCGGAAAAAAGTCACAAAATTGGAGCATTTTAACTGTTTGTTTCGTCTCGGTCCATTAACAGCGGTCACCCCCAAACCCGGTCATTATCACGCAGTGAAGACCGGATCCTCACACTGTTATTCCCTTATTGTTAAACTGACTTGTTTCATGTTTTGGGCTTGTAGATACTGGAAAAACCAAGAAAACCTATCATGTTCTTGAAGTCTGGTTCCCTGACCCCACTTAAGATGAAACGATGCAATTAATACACTCTGGGGAATTGTAAGGTCAGAGAATCAGTCTAGCAGGCTTGCACCCCTTCACAGGTGTGTGATCAATTGCAAAAAAAGTCAGAATAACTAAATTTGAAAAATTATTAAGAACAGTTTTTGAAAAAAAGCCCGTTTTCTCCCAAATACATTTTTTTTCTTGAAAATGTCAGCACACCAGGAGCCACGATTTAAAAGGATGCTTTTGACTGTCAGTCCCTAGCAATTTTGTAAGGTATTTCGTGATAATTTGATCATTTCGGGTTTTTTTTATGTTTACAAATGTTGTATTTTCCCTTTAAGTCAGAAGCACTGTTACTAATCTGGTCCAGGAGTAACTACATGACGACAGCGCCGAATTGGTATTTCGTACGTACGGATTGGTATTTCGTACGTACTGTTTATTAATTCGTACGTACGGTTTATTAATTCGTACGTACGATTGAGTAATTCGTACGTACGGTTGAGTAATTCGTACGTACGAATTAGTAATTCGTACGTACGGTTTAGTCATTCGTACGTACGGTTTAGTAATTCGTACGTACGAATTAGATTTGTTTTTAACCATGTCCTATCTACACTTCCATACATATGGTATGGTAGTTGGTACATAATTTCCGACGTTTGGAGAAGTAGCAACATTTCTTATAGATCTAATTTTATACCACTTGGTAATTTTGTTGATAAAAGCTGCTTTTTGAGAAACACTAGATTTGGGACTTTTTTAATGGAGATGCATATCAACTCCCCAACCCACCCACCCCATCATCGGCGCCCCCCCCCCCCTCCAAAAACAAAAGTGGGCGGGGATATTAACAGGGACAAATAACTCGTCCCTCACAAAAACAAATCCCCTTGCAATTAATCTTGACTGTATGAGGCAGGTTTGGGAAAGTAATAACTGTAGTCCTACACTTAAATACACTCCCGGGAAATTTACGCCCAAACCATATGGCACTAATGGCGGTTGTTTTGACCCTGTAATGTCCAGCCTGACGTATTACAAAAAAAACTCTCATTAGCCTATGTCATGGCAAATTAAGGCATGCAACAGCAGGACTATTATACCTAATTGCATCCACGGGATTTGATAATGCCAGAATCTGCCTTCGCTCAAGTAAATGGTAGTCTTACCGAATCGAATCACACGAACAATAAATCATTCGTTTCCATTAATATAAATTTGTTAGTGTGCGCTTTAGTATTTTGAATAATAAGAAGGCAGCTATTTTATCGTCCGAATATAAATGCGCCATCGCAAATTGCTAATTTGTTGCGATTGATTAACTCAGAATATTTTTTTCAATTCGAGTTATAGATATATTTTTGAAATTTACGCACGTACTTGTGGACGTGTAGTAAAGGTGTCATCAGTTTCAGGGGGAAAAGGGATTAAGGTTCGTGATACTGTTCGATCTTACATTTAATACTGCGAGTCTTTCGATGCTGGCTGAATGAAGAATTGTTTCCCAAAATGTAAATTAAGAAATTGTAAACTCTGAATTGCTTGCAGAATTTCTGATATAAATCTCATGAACATCACGATATTTCATGAAGGTTTAATCGTGCAGTAATCTGCCGGGCTTGAAGTAGACGTCTGTGCAGAGACGTCCGCAGTGGATCGTTATATACGCCTGAACACGATCCGAGTATCGAACGACAAACAGTGCCGTATATAATACGCGTTACGCATCAACGGAATGAATTTGCAAATGCTTGAAATTTAACCAAGAAGAATCGCAATAAACACGAACTGCTTATGCTGGGAAATAGAAGTTAGGTACATCAGTCAAACCTTCTGCACGCAGCAGATTCCATTAAAAAAGAAATTCGCTGCACCGTGAAAATATTGGGGGGTTTTAGCCAGAATTCGCGTTGACTCAGGAATGGCGTTAGTCTCCTGCCAACGAAGTTATGTACGCGTTCGAGTCTTGCAGGAATATATGACATTGATATATTATGTACAACCTGTTCAAATTTACATTTTGGCTTTGTGGAATTCAGTATTGACATTACATTTTCTTAGTATATTATCTATCTTACATCCCTAATTAGAATTGTAAGAAGTTGATTTGTACCCTTATCCCAAAGGCAATTATCTATAATGTCGCTCAAAAATATCGGCGTGACAATGTTTTTCTGAAACAAGGGGGATACGGGAAAGTATTAAAACATCTATAATCTCGTAGGCCTAATCACGTCAGGACCAATGACGTAATAAAGGCCTACTGCTAATTCCACAGCTTCATTAACTACCACATGTTGTTCTGATATTCCGATCATCCTGGCTGCATTTTGATCTTCATAACTTCTCATTTGCAAATTGATATGGACTTTTTTCAGAGGACAAAGTTTCAAGTCAGCATATATAACAAAAGTGAGTGCAAAAGTATGAAATTTGAAAGCAGTTGATTTGCTTTTGGTAAGCAGTCACTCATCAACCGATATCTGTATTTTATTTTCCTATTAGGCTCACGGCCCCAGAAGACATCTCTTAGTAAGTCGGATATCATGCAGCAAAAGAAATACATAAAGCTTAATATAACAGAAAGTCAAAGCAGGTTCGCGTTGGGAGATGCTCAAGCCGTTTGCGCGCGCGCACACATTTTCACGACGTCACGCAAGCTGGTACATAGAGCTCACCTGTCTTCTCTTGCATTGAGATAACTCTGCTTCACCGAACTAATACTGTTGGTAACCACACGGTCTGGCACGATTGGTTTCATCAGCACTGACTCTCTGTAACAGTCATGTCTGTGTATCAATGTGTGCCGTTTTAATAACGACAGACAACCTTGGAGCGATCTAAAAGCCGTTTTATCAATCGCCGTCAAATTTCCTGTTTAAGTTATTGTCACGTTGCAATCAACTCCTTTCTATATGTGTCGCTTGTGCGACTTTTGTGAGGTATAATTATTAGATGTAGCAGTAAATATTTACTGTCTCTGCAGACGGACTGTTATTGATTTGACAAGAGCAAAACCGGCAGTTTGCCGAACTCACCCGAGAATCGACTTACTGCATTAGAGGTGAAGTCGAAGGCTGCCCATTACAGTTCAGGTACATTCAGAGTTTGAATGAGTTTGATCATAAATCGGTTTAAGACATTTTGACTTGCTTCAGACAATAATGGAATTAAGTACAACTGCTGGGGTGCTTTCTACGGGAACTTCTTCACCCGAGATGTCTACACCGGGCATAATCTCAATTCTGACCCCGATCCAACGAGTCATTCTTACCAGCATTATGATCTTCATTTGCATCGTGGGCGTCTTGGGCAACATCATCGTCATCTCTGCCGTTATCCTGTCCAAGAAACTCAGGTGTGTCACTAACATCTTCGTGGTGAGTCTCGCCGTGGCCGACTTGATGACTTGCCTGAACATTCCGTGGATGGCAGTGGCCACTCTATCCGAGGCCGGCTGGATTCTGCCCGATTGGATCTGCACCGCGTGCGGGTTTGTACTGATGGTATGCATCGGCAGTAGCATTTACACCTTAGCTTGCGTGGCTACCATCCGTTCCGTGGTGATAACGGGTTTGCCTGGCCGCTGCCGGACATTGTACACTCCTCCTAAGATCTGTGCAATCCTCATCCTCATCTGGACGGTACCTTTGGCCGTAGCCACCATACCTCTGGTGTCTAACTTCGGCAAGCTTGGATACGACTTCAAGTATAGCTCGTGCACATGGGATACAAGCAACCCTAACTCAGGGAATTTCAGCAAGTTAATATCCGGTGTTTTCTACCCGCTACCATTCATCATCATCACGTACAGCTACTTCAAAATCTACCGGCACGTGCGCCGTCACTCCCGGGCCGTGGCGCCCATTTTAAGCATCAGTTCATCGGTAGCGGTCCGGCCAAGCGAGAACAGACCAAACGCAACGGGGGAAAACATCGCCATGAACCCCAACAACAATTCTCGTGATCACCGGACGGGAAACAGCTTTCGAGAGAGACTCAACAAACGACAAGTTGATGTGACTAAAAACATGTTTTACATTGTGTGTGCATTTGTTTTGTGCATATCACCTTTTGGATTCTGTCTTATGTATGATGCCAGTGACCCTTTTGTGCCATATGCTGGCATGTTTTTATTCGGCAATAGCTGTATAAATCCTTTCATCTACGCCACAAAGCACCCTGATTTTAAGAAAGTCATCCGACTTATGCTTACCTGTAAATTTTCCAAAATATAAAAAAACTGAAAATCGTATAGTATATACTTAAAAAAACTAAAAACAAATATACAAGGTTGTTATGGTTCATATAAATCATAACAAGACAAAGCAAACGTATAGTAAAGCTGGTCAAAGAGCACACAAAAATCTATTTAATTTATTCAGAATGACTTCACCGGAAGTCACGTACAAAGAGGACATTATGCTGGGACCATTGATCTTACTAATGGAGATCAATGGCTGGGACCATCAAAAACAAATACGTGTGAAGAGATCTGATTTGCCTAAGTGTAGAACAGTGCACAAAAAGCGGGGTTCGATTTAACACCGGTGCTATCTATATAGGTCCATCAGTGTAAATAATTTTTTCCGTTGACGATTGTTGAAAGGCTACAGAAGAAAGCGCCTCTCAACAACCTACCCTTTAAAGGCTGACACATACGCGTAAACCCTTCATCATTGCATCGTTAACGTTAGCGTTGATGTATCCTACATAGTACATGATATTTTGCTGAATGAACCAATAGAGATGGAGATTGCATACCAAATAAGTTATATCGGTTCTATCCAGAACTCCCCTTACCAAGAGCAATTGGATCCCTCATGATGAGGCAGCTCGATGAGAAGTTCGTAGCCTTTGCTACATAATTAAGGTCGCTTCCTTAGAATCTCTCCGACACAGAGAGCGGCCCTTATCGTTGATATCCCGACCTAATAAAGCGGTATGGCATGATGTATCAGATGGCCATGTTTACCCCGTAGTAAGATCATGTAATGCTTCAAACTGTCAAACTGGTAGAATTACACCTTAATTAACCAGATAATGGATGGGGCTATATAGGCCCTGCACACGTCGTGCTAAGTGCACAGACTTGGAACAGGTTGCTTTAATAGTCTGCAGGAAACGCCCCAACGGCGAAAATCAGTGAAAAGGACGCAAATGGAAAGCCTACGGAGAGGCTTTTTGGACCATCTGAAAAAAAGCGGAAGCGAGGAAAAGAAAGACCAGTTGACGCATCTGCATTTACTGCACTTTATATTTATATATGAATTCGTTAAGGCAAAACACTGCAACATTTAGAACTATACCTGCAGAGATTCCCTGCAAGTTAGGTTAAAAGGAAGTTTTAAAAAGCAACTGAAAATATCAGAGTAGATGGGAAATAAATCAAAACTAATCCTCAAGAAAACTAAAGGGAGAAATTGTGATCAGAATACAAACTACTTATTCTGATAATCTTGTTCACTTTTTGAGATAAGACTAATTTTCCAAATGCAAAATGTACAGTTGAAGAGATTAAGAAATCTCCGTCTTTCCATAATCCATTCCTTTCAAAAATTCTTGAACGAGAAAAATGCCCACACTTTGAAATGAAAACAAAATTAAAGAGAAAAGGATATTTAAAAGAGTCATACATGCGCAACGAAAAAAGGAGAAAGTATCGGTTGATTGCATAAATCGAAGACAATCGAAAAGACAAGAACACAGTTCCGTTTACGACCGACATTTACTTAATGATTTTGCCTGCATTACTAAAGTGAAAACAACCCAAGTTAAGCCAAAAGACTTAAAGTCACGGAAATTTTGGTTACTGAAAACGATCAGACATAATTCTAAAAGAGGGTAATTTTGCGTACTTTGAGAAGCCAAATGAAACGTTTAATTAAATCAATTCCTATTTTTCCTTCATTTTAAAGATTTTTTTTACAATACTGCTTTCATAATCAACACAAAGTTCGTCAGCTGGCTTTAATGTTTATTTGGGGAAACCGCCTCACATAATATATGGCCTGAGAAATCCAAATTATTAGAAGAAAATTGCTCGATTCCCTGCAGGCCGCAGCTATTGCTGCTTGCAGTGCAGGCTCGGGTCCCTCTGGTGATTATTATCTCGAGTTACCTGAGCACAATTACTGTGAAATTGCACGCAGCACAGTCACAATCCGGCCTCGGTTTCCTGCAATCCTGCAGGTACAAAATTGAAGTTGCCCAAAGCGAGTTGTTGTAAAGTTCAGTACGATGCAAACATTATGGTACATGTATAAATATTCTGGGTCAACGTTTTAGGGTTTAAAGTAAATGTACACCACACGTTAAAAAAAAAGAACGTTAGCCAGAAGTGGTGGCAAGTATACGCGCTGGAAGACTGGCTCAAATTAACATCATTATTCACAAATTAGCATTTAATGGAATGAAACAATCTACATTCCCATTACCCAAACCTGAAAACAAGAGCACACACTAGCGTGATAACGCTACATCAAATTCAGAAGTGCAGACAACTGCAATGCAGTTTATGGATTAATCGATGTAAGCATGACAGTTCGAAGAAACACTGAATAATCTAAATCCATACGAACACTTGATCCTGACATTTCTGACAAGACAGCGGAAATTTCCACTATCGCACACATTGTAGTCAGACTAATTTCGTCAGAGGTTTCAGAGATTAAACTTGTTTCTTTGCAGGAACGCTATCTAATGCAAGTAGATTTAATAAAATGTCATAGGAATTCCACACATGTAGTAAATTGCCCATAATGTAGATTAATTAGAACAAAATACAATTATATAGTTTTGTTTTCTTAGACAGTTAATATTTAGGCATTAATACACATTTGTACCTTTGTAAATGCAACACCCCTTACATAGATCTTTAAAGCACATAAGTAGCTACTACTTGAGCGTGATAAGCATTTATTGCAGCAAAACATATTACAAAAATTACTTTTATTGCAACTTTAACTGAACATTAAAAAATTGTTGAGTATAAAATTAGCAAAAGATTAAAGCCTCTGGTCTGTTGTATAGGCCATTTACTAAGCAGCTTTTAGTTTAATCAGTTTTGGCCCTCGAAAGGTTTTCACTATTGTCTGGTTGTTGTTTTCCCTTTTTGGGCTACATGCACACCATTGCACATTAGTCCAACATTTTAAGTCAAAAAAAAAGCGCGAAAAAACAATTGGATTACAAGTTTGAGGCTTCATGGTGACACAAAGCCAAAGCCGTGATTCAAAAAATGCCATATAATATTTAGTTTAGTTCTCAAAATAAGAAAATGATGACCTGACAAAGTCGCACAGTAATTGTCATTGATATAATATGCTGCCTTTTTGAGGGCACCAATGTAATTCTTCATAGCAGGTGATAGATGCCCAAGAACCAAAGGTCGGTTTGAGTTGACAATTTTGCCATTAAGTCATCATGAGCAACAAGTATCACTCTACTTGACCTCTCATTCGCTATAATTACTGTACACTATACCCGCAAAATGACTTTGTTGAATGGGTAACTTAACATTTCTCGTCTCAGATCATTACTTGAAGTCACTGAATCCAGACACAAAATCTTTTTCACAGATATTAGATATTAGATTTAGATATTAAAGAGACACATGAATTAATTTAGCCATTTAATTTTGACGCAACACTAGCTAAAGGCATAATAAAGTGTAATAATAAAAAATAAATAACCAAACATAGGTAAATTAACTTGTTCTTTAATATGAGGATACTCAGTTTTACTTTAGGTTTCTTATTCACTCTCTGTAAAAAAAATACCATGATAACCTGCAAACGAATGAACAGAACCACACCACAAATTAAGCTAAGATTATTCTTAGTCAGTGAATAACTTTCAATACACGTATAATCACTCCTTTCTTCAGCCTCCCACATGTTCTATTCAGACCTTAGGTTGACCATCAAATATACCAAATACATATGTAATTGTGTGTCTATGTAAACTTAGATTGTTTCAATACCTTTCCCCCCACTATGATGGATGTTAGAAGAGAAACTTTCACTGCGGGGAAAATAATTGAGGAACATGCCTTTTTTAAATTAACACTGCCTTTAATTTGGCAATCTCATCTATACGCCAAAGCAATCGGCAATTTGTTTGGCAATTTGTCAAACACACAATTTTCTTTTGTGCACAGGATGGGTCACACGCTTTGCAATTTAAACAAAGTCACATGGAAATGTCAAACAAATTACTAATGCCTTTCGTACTGCAACTATAAACATGCTTGTCTCCAGCCTTTCTAATGGTTTAAAGATTTATGAATCTATAATGTGTTGGGAGAGTGTGGATTTCTTTGACAAAATCTGACCACTTTTTTGTAAAAACATAATTTTTAACTACTTATTCCAGAAAAAAATCGCATAATTGTTTTACCTAAAGATTTTTCTTCTGCTGTTTAGTTCCAACTACTGAAATGTAAACAGCTTATAAAATACCTTCAGCAAAGCAGATGCTGATAATTTTGTGTGTGCAAGTCACACATCTCTAAACTGATTAAATTATTAACATCCCCCCCCCAAGAAAAAAAGAACCCACTTCTTATTTCACTCTCTTAATAGCATTTCTCAGTATGGCTTTATTTCTGGCAAAATTGTACATTGTATACAAATGTTTATTGACCCCGTATAAAGAATTAATTGCAATCAATAAATGCAACAAATTTGAAGCCAAAAAAAAAAAAAAGGATTAACTAAATCTAGAATTATTTGTATCTGGACAAACTCACTTCAGCCATTGTATTAAAATCGCCCCTTTCATTACTTGTAGGAATACACTTAATGTGAATTAGCTAGGAAGAAATGCCGTTTTTCAAGTGTCAATGTTTCGAGTAAGGATAATGGATTTCATATATGTAGATGTACAGAGCAGCATACAAGGCCATTTTACTTAGCACACAGCACAAAGCCTATCCATCAGTGAACAAGTCATCTGAAAAACAATTATATCTGTTGGTGCTTGAGCACCCTACTGTGTGATTCTGCATTCTGATTACAGATTGCTCTCAGGCTGTACATCATACAGCTTATTGGTTATCCCTCCAAGGCTATGAACATGCACATGTTTCATAAAATCACGCTGTGGAGGTTATGGGTGGGGTGAATAACATTTGCTAGATGATGTGGTCCTGTTGAACACTTTTTCACTTGTCCACGTTTTCATTTGCAGTTGTAAGTGAAAGCTAATTTCTGGATGTACAACTCAGTTGCACCAGAATTCTGAACACTGACAAATATGAAGGTAGTGTGGCAGTTGGTACTGATTTCTGTTCTGTTAGTATAAGGACCGGGAAATGAATAGTAGCTCTAGCAAATTTTTAAAAATCATTTGGTAAGTTTTGTCCATTTAAGTATTAAGGAGCACTCTGACTTACATATGTCATGCTTCACATACAACGGCACTAATAGCTAACGGTCTAAATTTAAAGCCACTTTCTAATTTCTATCATATGCAGGGGCCAATAACAAGCGAGGGCAAACATCAATTCATTGATTCATCTTACATAATTTAAGTACAGCAAAAACTATGAAACTGTGTAGATGACAATTAACACATTTGTGTTTGTTTATGTAGTTGGTATTGTAGACATGCATAATATATTTGTAATCTACATTAAGGATGCGTATAGACATATTTATGGGATAAAAATATATGATAAATAAAAAATACTGTTGGCTTGTATATATGATACATGTACACCATTTACACTAGCTTCATATACTCTAGCCACATCACCTTATATCGACAAAAGCTTTTGGAAACTTGCCAGTCTTGCCTTTCAGTCGACCGTTAATCCAATCAGCACTGACGTATTCCAGAATCTCAATGACATCACCACTCTGAAGAAAACAGAAAAACAGCCAGTGTAATTCATTAATTATGCTTTGCAAGAAGTGAACTTTGTCATACAGAAATTTTGAAACATGAATGTGTACCTGCGCCATCAAAGTCAGCACATTTGATTCAATTTTTCTTTTGCGTTTGAGAAGGGTCCTTGCCAGGATCCGAAATATTAGGCCCTCTTTTTTTTTTGATTAAATTTTTCTTTTTACAGTATTTGTCACTAAGTAGAACATTTTAAATGTATCCACACTCACTTTGACCAAATGTCCAACCCAATTACATCAAAACAATTTTGTATTTTTGCTCCTCTGAAACGGTTAATTTGTGTATGTTAAATTTAAATGGCATTAAAAGGGCATATTAAGGCTGGTTTTGCATTACTACTCATCGCTTATAAAATCTACACATGTAACTCTGACATATAAAGCCAACAATAAAATAAATTTCCACAATCTGCCTATGACTCTGCTATGTGATGTCAAGTAATGATGATACACAACAAATCTTGGTTAGCTGGGTAGTGCTATCCTTTAAAACAAACTTTAATTCCTTCTAACCAGACTCTGCATTTTCTCTAAGATAATCCTTTCCCTTGAGTGGTCTTCTCCATTACGTTTGGCGAATTCCCTACCTGAGTTAACCCACATCCTTGAGAAACGCTGCATGAATATTAATGATTAACTTACAGTGATATTGAGCTCATCTGCTTCCTCTGCATGGAAGTCGTAAACAGCTTTGCAGGTTCCCAGGCTGGGCCCTCCACTGGATGGCCCACCTGTGCGTTAATTAAGAAAAAGTGTTGAAAACATGGCTATGGTCAGATATACTTCACAATCTTTTTGTCATAGTTACTGGAGGCATACTAATTGAAAATAAGGTTACCGTCTTACAATTTGTTATGTTGTATACTAGCTACTTGCATGTTTAGAGTGTCTAACCAAGTTTAGAAATGGTGTGTGACTTAATATGACAACATTTTAATGGCCACACAAACACTTGTTGTGTGAGATAAACAAGGTTTTATCTTGATCAAACAAAGGTAACTATAAAATAGTCAAACTGTACTCTCAATGAATTTAAAATTACACAATTGCTACAGTCTCATCTAGATTACTAATGTTGTATGACAGGACACATTTGTCCCTTGTGGCTGTTTGCAGAGGCATTTTTAATATGCACAAGCCCGGAATACATATCAGCACAATATTAGTCAAAAAAACCAACTTTTTTTTTCGTGCCCATCATACCCGACGAGGTAACAAGCCACCTCTGAAAAGCAGGAAATTAAATTCCACATATTCAGCTTGCTTCATGCAGGGGCTTCCTTGCAACATTTGCAGTTCAACTTAGACTGCTTTATTACTTATTATTTAGTCTTAATGCACTTAAGATTAATGGCTAAGGTTAATGATGAAAAGTGGGCGAGGGGAAGGAGAGATGGACTTACCTTTACCGACAATATCAGCAAATGTCTTGGGGAAGATGCCTTCTTTTGAGCCAATGCGTCCTCTTAGCCAGTCCTCTCCTACATATTCTAGTAGAGTGACTCGGTCACCCATCTTCAGGGCTAGTTCCCCCTCACCCGCAGGCTCAAAGTCAAACTTGGCAATGCACTCTCCAATCTTTGTTGCAAAAAAACAAAACAACACATAATAAGGTTGACATTTTCTAGGCAGAATACTGGACATACCCAAAAGAGGATACATGAACATTCATATTTGGCTTTGTCACTTTACAAAATCACCATGGAACACATCAGAGTTGTTCTGATATTCTTATTTCTTGTGATTTTTTAACTATCCAGCAAAGTAAGATGCAAAACTACTTAAGGCACCGAGAAGCTGGAAGAAATTATGAAATCAAAGAGAAGACAGTCAAAAAGGTCTCAATATGAGGGAATCCTACAGTGATTTGAATTCAGGGACTGAGATCCCAATCAATTGGGGGTGGCAATCTAAGCATCTACATAAGCAACAATGTGATTACACCAGGGCACTAGAGCTGTAAGCTGCAAGATACTATCAGTGAAGAGGTGGTGAAAATGACGTGAGGGAAGCCTGCATACACACTTGAAGTTAAACCCCACTGATTATATTCAGGGTCTAAAATGTGCATTTGAAGGAAAACCACAGTGACATAATTCAGGGACTGAAATCCCAATACAAATGTCATCTTGTGTGGGGTTTGAACCTGTGACATTTGAATCTAGCCTGGGTCTTACCTCAGATGGACTATCAGCTGTAAAAGATGGTAAATTAGCTGGGATATGATCCACAAATGTTGAGGGTAAGTTACCCCTGAGACCGCTGCCAAGCTCACCATGAAGCCAATCTGAGCTGACCTGGCTCAAGATTGTGATCTTGTCACCTGCCTATATAAAAGTAAAAAAAAACATGTTTTAAAAATCATATTTCAAATACTAATCAATGAAACATAATGTGACACACATAATGTTTAATGATTAGGCAACATCACTTTATTTTCTTGTTTTATTTTCGATAAACATGACAATACCATAAATGCACTAGGAATGCAAAAAAATCAGTCAACATAAAATTAACCCCCAAACCTTTGAGGATTGGTGATGCACTGCATTCTCTGATATTATTCTATATGACGGTACATCTTTTATTCCATTAATGTCATGGGAAGTTAATATTGCAACAAAGTAACCCCGGTTGTTCTCTAATGTAGAGATATCTAAACAAACACTAAACAAAAAAATCTTAACTAGATATGAAAAACCATAGTTATTTTTTCCTTCAAATATGCTCTATTTATTATTATTTAATTTTGTCATGGGAGGAAGGTAAAGCTATGTCAGTTTCTGATTTAAGGACGAAATATTGGAACAGATTGTACAAACCTTAAAACTGATTTCATTACTCTCAGCAGCGCTGAAGTCAAACATGGCTTTAACCACATTACCTGAAAAGAAGAACATGTCCATGAAATTAGAAACTTGAAACGTTGTACAATTCATCACGGATGCCATGTCTGCTACAACTATAATATAGTCTGAAGGGGGAATTTGATATGTCAGACATGAGTTGTTTGCTAGCTTGAGTAAACGCACACACAAATTGTTTTGATTATAATATTTCAAAGCAAACAAATAACTTCCATGCTGCATGGTGAGCACTGAGCGGTACACCATTAGAGTCAATGAGTGACATGCATAGTCAAACAGGATTGTTAAACCAAAATGTCATTGGATAAGAATCATTCACATGACGTTTTCTAGAAATTCATGTATAACCATGTAATGGACTCGACAGAGTACGTCATTCATGTAGCTCGGGTGCATAACCAATTTCTCAATGGCTGCACGGATCACTCTCGATACTCTTTTTCTAGAGTAGAAAAATGTTTAGTGCACATCGAACTCTGTCATATCCCTCAAGCATTCAATGCTGTTATCTGTCATATTTTGACTATCAATCAAATATGCAAAAGTAAATTTCATCAAAAAAAACCCCAGAAATAATGATAATAGACTATTAACTTTTGAAAAGCTCACAACGTTTACCCTTCCGCCATCTTGTAACCTCGTGATTTCATCAGGTGCAAGAGTATACATGTTCTCCCACTCTGAGAGAGAGTATACTCTCTCGTAGCCCGCAGGTCATACTCTTGCCATTCGTGCACTTAGGTGTATACTTGTGTAAACATGAGTGACTCGCTCGAAGGCAACCAAGGAATTTTGAATATTTGCACTCTTGCCATTTTATTCCATGCATCCAGAATATACCTTTGAACAGGCCGGTAATGCAACACAGGGAGTATTTGTACCTGAGTTTCCATTCATCACAGTCGATGATGTCTTTGCGGGTAGAGCCTCAGTGATATCCACAAACGATTCTGGGAAGATTCCCGTCTTGCTGCCAAGTCGACCCTTCAGCCACTGCGACCCCATATCCTCCACAAGCTTGATCACATCCCCCGCTTTGAATGTCAGATCTTCAGGATTGGTGCTGTCATAGTCAAATTTGGCTGTGCATCTTGGCCCACTACAGAAATGTAAAAAAAAATATAAACAAAATAGATATTCATCATGCATTAAAACCCAATGCGGTTGAAAACCTCAAAGACTTTTCCAGTACAATTTTGTGGTCAGATAGATCAGGTGTTAAGATCACTCCTAATATAAACAACCTTTTATTACAAAATATAATCATGAACCTCACCTTATGTTACTGCTTCCTACGGTAAGTGATTTTACTGGAAGATCCTCCTGTAAATACACAATGACATATTGTTATACTAGTTACTATAAGTATGACTGGTAACTAAACTTCAAGTCTGACTTCAGGTTTAAAGAATATGCTGCCAAATGCGTACTTTTTGCCATCATAAGTAGTATCACAGCCAATATCAACAATCAGTATCACATCAAGTTTCACTATTTTACCAATTTACCTCAATTTAAAAAAAATCTTGTAACTGAATCAAGCGTGCAATTAACTTTTCCCCAAGAGTCCCAAATAACTAAAACAAATCATTGTGTTTAATTCCTAATACTATAATGTTATTACAACATGTAGTAATTGAAGACTTCCCAACTGAAAAAAATCAGAAAAAGTTAAAGAGACAAAACAAACGCTTACAATAACTTTGACGTGATTGGCTGGAAAGATGCCAGTGCGTCCCTTGCACTGTCCCCGGTACCACTGGTCCCCAACCCTGTCCAGTAGTACAATGTTATCCCCCTCCTTGAAGCGAAGCTCATCCAATGCAGCGCCCTCAAAGCTGTACACAGCTACTGCACACGGCTCACTGGTACTTGGCTGGAAAAGGGTGCGGGGTGAGACCAGTGAGTACATATGGTGAGAGTTGGAGGAAAAAACAGTGTCAAACCTCAACATTTAAAATAGTTGTTGTTGTTACTTGGTCATGGATGTTGGACTGAGTTGCGTGTTAACTAGACAAAGTAAATGGAACAAATGTATTAGTCAATCTAAAAACAACTCATAAACATAATGGCCTGCTTCTTTAAACGTAACGTTGGTTGCCATGGAATTGCCCTTTTCTCAACAAGAAAGCAAGGCCATATGTACAAAATACAACTAACACATCATTTGATACATCGTCAAATGATGCATTATTTGTGTTAGGGATGGCGTTTACTACACTTGGAGGGAAAACACATATTTACCTTTGAAAAGATGATACTAACTGCAATAGAAATACAAATAGAAATGTGTATCTTTGGCCAAACTCAGGGTACCAGACTTGTGACAAGAAGTAGGCCTACCTTGTTGCCCGTCTGTGGAATGTCTTTGACGATCTTTAGAAAGGCTGCAGGGAGGAGACCCTCGGCATCACCACAACGACCTCTCAGCCAATCAGCATCAATACGCTTCAGAAGCACAATGACGTCATTAGCCTGTGACCAACCAGCGAAGACATGTTCAGAAATTATGGCAAGTACACGTAACTATTCCACTAACCAAAGTTAGGTGGACTGTGAGCAATATATTATTCTTTACACTATAACAATCATACATTTTATACTCTAAAATGCCTCCCTTGAAGAGCTGCTTCTTCAATACATGCATGGTCAGATTTAAGCAGGGAAAGCTGAACAGCTTTTTGGCCACCTTGTGGTGTCCTTCCCCTCCCCCATTAAAAAAAGAAAAGAAAATTGATCCTACCCCAGCATATAATGCAGTGCATTGATCATGTTGAACCCCAATGATATGACCCGAGCCAGGCATCCTATTGAACAGATGTTGTCCCAATTTAGAAACACACGTCCCATTTGTTCTGCTTTTGACTTTATACTGTGCCACACAAGACGTTCTGCTAAGTCTTAATTCAAGTGCTGTGATAACTCGTACCTTAAATCCAAGTTCATCAGGTTGGATTGGCTTGTAGTCATAAAGTGCAATCCCATGGGGTTCCGAGACCTTTGAGGAATAAACAGTAGCAATAATGACTTGATGAAAGTCCTACAAATACTAATCCTTTCCATAAATAATTGCATTATATTCATGTTTACAATATGTACAAGCATAAAGATTTGAATGAGTTAATTCAAGTTTCAATAAGATAAAAAGATGAATATTTTACTTTTTTAAGTTAAAATCAATGGCTTAGTGTTTCCATCTGCAAAGTAAACATTTTATGGTTAGGTGACCATCCGATATAGGCATGCATAGGCATGCATCCAATATAAAGATTTACAGTTTCAACCATTACGTTGAGTTAAGTTACATTCCTTAACTGCATCAGAGAGGCATAGTATCCCTCACTAACCAACCAAAATCATCTTTCCATTCAAAGATATGTGGCCTAATTGCTAAGATTACTTTACCCTCAATCCATTATACTAATGGACTGAGGGTCTTGGGTTCCAATCCAGCTAATAGCCATATTGAGTCAAAACGCAGGTTACTTGTCTCTTGCCATCCTGGAGTATTTGGGTGCCAGCACTAGATATGGAGTGACCAGGAAGTACACATATTCTCAACTAGTCTTGGGTAGACTTTTGTTTGGTTTCAACACATGACCCAAGAGACTGCCTAAATGTATGCATAATTCTGCAGTGTAACTATCTCATCATCAATGCGCTTGGACAGTCTTGCTCACCATGTATTTATTGTAGAGCAGATGACCAGGCCCAGGCCTGGGTGGCAGGGACTCCGACTGAGAGGACTTCCTAGGAGGTGCACCACCTGGCTTGAGTGGAGCCCGTCGCTTGGGTTTCAAGTTGGCTGATGATGTGGATGATTTAGGCTGACCACTTGGGGCATTGGGACGTTGTGGTGCGCTACCTTTGGACTTTCCCTGAGGTCCACTGGCAGGCTGTTTAGGATGAAGAGTCAATTTAAATAAAAATGTATTCATTACTCTGTTTTTTTCTTCAAGAAACTTTAAATATTATCAATTGGACTTTAAAATGTTTACCAGGTAATTTGACAAGTTACGTAAATTATCAACTTGTGTAAACCACATAAACATAACTTGTATATTTATCTGATGGAAAAATCTCGCATGAAGAGTTTTCCACCATTTAGGTTTCAGTAAATTTGTTAGGATCTTAGTGTTTCAATCATGTCCTCTGTGACCACTGACCATTGTCTGGATGTGATGTGAAGTACCTTTGAGCAAAAAGGAATTCTTGATTGATGGAATTGTAATCTCTTTTTCTGTCCGGAGATATGTTTTAAGAAGTCATTGTTTTACCATCCCATTCAACTATGTTCGCAGGACTAAAGCCCAACTTACCCGAGGTGGAGGCACCTTTCGTTTTGGCTCAGGTGAATTGTTCCGGCTGTTCGGTTTGGATCCTGGCTTCTCGGCTCCAGGTCTGATGATTGTGGGTTTGAAGCGTTGTGCACCTGCAGCTGTTGGCTCTGCAGAAATCTTAAACTTTGGTACTGGAGCTGGTTTATTTACACTTGTAGTAGATGGCTTTGCTACAGCTTGGGGCTTAGGTGGAGGCATCAATCCCATCAGGCTACCAAAACTGGACCCACTTTGCTGTCCAGTGTTTTTCGGTCTTGCCCTAGCTGTGGGGCTCGGAGCAGGTGGATTTTGTGATTGGGTCTGGTTCACTTGGTTCATGCTTGCTCTAGTAATATTAAAGATTGAGGAGGCTGCCTTACGACCTTGTTCGGATTTTGCTAAGGTAACACCAGCCTTGCCAATGTTCTTTGCATCATCAGCAGTCACATTTTTGGCAGCTGAGCTGGCCACTTGCCACTTCAGGTCACCTGATGAGGAATCTGCTGATCTAACATCAGATGCTGTGCTTTTTGCAATGCGGCCGAATGAGCTAGCTGCCTTTTGGCCATCCTCTGATTGTCTTAACACGTTCACCCCTCCACTGATATTATTCACATCCTGCTTTGTTGTGTTCTGAGCTGCTGCACTGGCAAAGTGCAAAGCACTGACTTCATTGCCTGATCTTGTTTTGTCAGATGCTGCTACTGTAGCTGCTGTACTGCCAAATTTCAGAGCATCCTCTGTGCTTACATTACGTGCTACTGCACCTGCAACCTTCTTCTGGGCATCTGAGCTGCTCTCAGGTTTGGAGTTCTTTTGGTAGGTACTGTCAAACAAAGACAGGATGTCAGTCCTAGAGTATTTTTGTCCAGATGCGTGAGGCATAAGAGGCATAGTGGGTTTTGAGGGCACTGGGCCCTGAGAAGGTTTGTGTGAATCTGAAGACGCTGAGGCAGCTATTGCTGAAGTGTTACCAGTTTGTTGTGTTGGTTTAGGGGGAGCAACAGGATGAGGCAGTGGTGGTTTTTCTGCTGGCTTTGGGGCGGTAACAGGATCGGTCAATGCTGGTTTGTCAGCCGGCTTTGGAGGCAACTGTGGAGTCTCTTGTGTTTTTGAGTGAACTACAGGTGCCTGACTTGGCTGTTCCACAGACACTGGTGGCTTTAAAGTAATATGTGGTTTACTAGCCCCTTCAAGCTCAGATGATGGCGCTGGGGGTAGCACAAACACAGGCTTCTCACTGTCAACCAGACCCCTATTCCTGGGAGTGGGTAGCTTGGATGACTCGTCTGACACGTGATTGTGAGTCACCGGCTGTGGAGGTCTGCTCGGAGCTGCGTGACCCTTGGGTGTTTCCTCAGTGTCTGCTAAAACTGATCGTGGCTGAGGCTTGGGAACAGGTGTGGCTTCAGAGCTGGCCTTTTCTTCTGTAACAGAACTAGAGGGCCCCGACCCAGGATGAACATAAGACCCCTTGGGCCTTGTGCTGGGTAGGGGAGGGGGGATATACGGGCCTTTCGGCCGGTTGGTAGGGAGAGGTGGGGGTGCACCAGACATGTCAGTTCCACCGGTAACACCAGGAGGCTCTGGGGGTTTAACAGGCAAAGGAAACAAATCATAAACACGATGTATACAACATGCACACTTATATCAAAATAAAAAACTATACATGAAATACATCAGGTAACAATTTCTACCATGCATATTCTTCCAAGAATCATTGCATAGAAAATTCTAGCAATAAACAGTACATTGTACAAGAAAGTTTACATTACATCAAACAATCAGCTGAAGAGAGAAAAGGTCAATCGGCCCATTTGCAATTAATGTACAATTTTCTGTTAACAACATCAGCTGCAGTGAATATATCAAAAATAGGATGTTTTAATAATGCCAACTTTGAAGTTCTAGGATTAGTGGATATTGTACATTTGAGAAACTGGTGAATTGAAACACAAAGTCATCAACAGCCAATGACTTTGGACCAAAAAAAAAGGTTTTTCTGGACAAAATTCATATCTTCAGGAATAATTGTGTCAGATGTTTTGTAACAATCCTGTTATCCAAGTAATTTTTTTTGTCAATCATTTGTTCGGTTCATATAACAATAATTGCAAATGATGGCCTTTTTAGTGAGTTGTAGGTTTTTAGTAGGTACTGGTTTAAGGCAGGTACAATAAAATTCCGTAATAATACAATTGTACAATGGACAAAAATGGACAATTCACATGCCAATGGGTAAGATATTGAAGTAAACAAAACTTTCGTTAAATTAACTGATATTCTGCCATGTTTTCCAGCCAATACATAGTGTTTTCTTTCACAGCCTGTTTGTTGAAAAGCAGAAAGATATCAATTCACTTACGTATTTTTCTGTCATCAACTGGAGCTGTAGTTTTGGATATATCCTTGTCTAGACCGCGTCGGGGTGCAGCAACAGGGTGGCTACTTGGTACGTTTGAGGGGGCCTCTGTTGCTGCAGTTGTTGCTTTATCTGCTGGTGTTCCTACAGTAGGTTTTGCTGCAGCAGTTGGGGTTGGCTTTCCTGATGGTGAAAAGGTGTCTTTGGAGAATCCTGCAACCTCACTGAGTGGTCTGGCGGACACTATGGTAATTTCTGGTCGTCTGATAATTCAACAACAACAACAACAAAAGTGTGATGAATCTTTATTGTGGGTTTTGACCTTCACTTATAATTGTACAGTTTGTAGAAAAACCATAACAAGCTGGTGGGACTGGACCGGAACCCATGAATTTCTGATCTGAAACACTGAGTATACAGTGCTCTTACATGTAACATTTCCTTGAAGGGCAAAGTTCAATACTATAACTTATCACCCAAATGCAGAATGTCAACAAAAGTCCAATACAAGATGAGCAACAAATGGTGATAAGAGGGACTTCTACAGGTCTTACTTTCTCTGTGGTTTTCCAGCAGCAGGTTTGTCCTTGACAGTAGGTGCCTGTGAGAGTGGGAGGTGTACACTAGCTGGCCGAGGGGCAGATTTCAGCTCCGAATTGCGAAGATGTACACTAGCTGGCCGTGGGGCAGATTTCAGCTCTGAACTGCGAAGGTGTACACTGGCTGGCCTAGCTGGGGCCTCGAAAGAGGCTTCTCTAGATGGGCCTGTAATGATCATTTATCAAAAAAATTGATTTCCTAAACAAAGATAAATAGTGTAATTCCTCGAAAGTACAGGTTTTCTAGGTTGCGCAAAATGCTCATTAAATATGTGACTTATGGACACATGTGAGCAAATTTGCTATTTTTTCAACAGTTTAACTCATATCCCAAAAATGTGAAGTGAACTTAACAGGTATTTTAGGTTTTTCACTTCAAATTATGTCTGTTTTAGTAAATATTGAACTAATGATATCCTTATACATTAAAAAGACCACTGGAAATTTTTATTTACAAAAAAAAATTTCTGATGGGGTAAGTTTGACATATTACCTGTTGATGGTCTTGCTGGGGGTGTCTTTTTTATCACAGTATCACTGCAAAGATATTATAATTGAAATTTTAATGAATAAGTAATGAATACAGTCGTTTCAAAGATAAAATATGCAATGCATACATGTGAAACATATGTGTAAGTTAAAAAGACCATTTTGCAAAAGGAACAAATTGCAAAAAATTTAAATAGCCTGATGTACAGCATACTTGTGCTCATGCAAACAATTTACCATGTAAATATAATGAATACATGACTGCAAAAATAATGGAAGTGATGAACATGCATAAACGTAACTGCAATGAATGCTTTATCTTTATCGCAATTCAAATTTGCTTTAGCTTCCAATAGAGTACCGAGGTGTGACGTCCTTTGGAACCAGGAAGTGCAAACGAATGGAGTACGCGTGTTGATTCACGGTCTGAATCAAGTGCTAATTGTCTTTTACACACACACATTGTGCGCGTGATGTATGTTCTTCGGTACTCTATAGAGATCTTGCACAGTGCGCCTTCGCTGTGGACAGTTCTTTGTTCAGGACTCTGTCATACGAATGAGTGGACACTTTGTACTTTCAATGTCACTGAATTTAAATAACAAAATCTGTCCACAGTGAAGGCGCTTTGTGCATGCTGTCCATAATGGTCCAACTTGTTTAGGCACGTATTACTGAAAATGAAATAACTGTGATTTTATTTTGGAAACTGTGAGCGGTGAACAGAATAGAAATATGAGTGCCTAAGTGAAGAAATGCAGTGTAAGAATCCCAGAGGGTAAAATTATAGCCACACACTGAACAGTTATGGTCTGATTGGTAAATATTTTGCACTGAAAGTCCTTTGTAAGATAATCAAAGGAATTTCTGACATCTTTAAAGAGTTTGTTTGCAAGTTCATGTTGTTCAAGTAGTAGGTGTGTCTAATTTCATCCTCCGGAATACTATGTGTTACGCTCCAACTAAAGCAATGGCCCCAACTATAGTTGAGATGATGCTATAGTTGGGGTGTAACATATGAAATGTAAAGTTCATGTACATGTCCATATACCTGTTGTCAGCAGGCTGTTGGACTGAGTCCACAGTAGAGGAGTTAGAACTCTGGTTATTGTCCTCATCGTTATTAGTGGTTCCTGAACATGCACACACATGGTTACTGTACACAATGCTTGACATGCATAAAACTTAATACATCTTATTTCATAAATATATTAAATATGTAAACCAAAGGATAAAAAAAATCAAGTGTGCATTGCATGGTATGTGCATTATTGAAACTGCTGTATTATATAATTTATAATTTGTTTTACATGGTGATTGCCCAGTCAAAAACAAATGAAATACATGCATTAACTAGGTATGGATCAAGGACAGGAACAGTTTAATTGGGTCACTGCACACATGCCAAACTATTGAGCAATCTCTGGTTTTACAACTTGAGAAGTGTCAGCTCTAGTTTGCTCATACTTTATATTTCTAGCTGAAATCATGTCGGGGGGGGGGGGGGGGGGGGGGTCCACAACAATTATTCAATTTGTTGTTAATTTAATTCTGGGATAAAATAAAAACCACTTTGCAAAACTCAGCAGTCTCCTAAGTCCTATGTTCAAAAGGCACAAGACACATGCCAAAAAAAGCCTTGATGCTTATAAGAAGTTAAGCTAAAGACCTCAAAACGTACACACACAAAACTCTTTCAAACTCAAATGGGATAACACAAGGACACACTGCCATTAGCCCTGGTGGACTCCCTTTCCTCCCTACGTTACTCGTATTGCAATGAAGACTTCGTCCAACCTGGGCTAACACTGCCATCAGTGCCATGACTGTGACATCATGCTGAATTTCCCAGGGAAATTAGCACATGCAAAACAAATAAACAAAAGATCAATAAAATGGTAAATAAAAAAAATGTGACAAAATAATATATTTGATAAATAAATAAAAAAAATGTTATATGGGCCTAATAACTGACATGACAGATGCAAGGTATTCCATGATACTGTAAACTACTGTTTATGTCGGAATTAGACGTCATCAATCGACGATCAACAATGATCAACGTTAATCGTTATTTACTGTGATCATAGACATGATAGATCATGTAGATGAATACCGGATCATCGTCATATGAATACAGGATCTCATCTGACCTGGGAACTCCAAAAATGTATACCTACCAGATCTCGGAAAAGCTCTAATGATCGTTGGTCGTTTGGAAGGGACAGGGTTACCAGAAGTTGACGAGGTTTCTGCTGATTCAACTCCGTCCATTTTTTAACGGCAAACCATCCGATTCCGATATATATATGCGCTTCCGCATCAAGTTTAGACTTTTTACCAGTCTCTGACTGTCCAACTTTTACCGCTAAACACCAACCGTACCAACTTTCACTCAAAGTTTGAACATTGACTGCGTTGACATCATATTTTTTTAAGTTGAGAGTAAGAGTAAAACGCACTTATTATATACGGAAACCGAAATGATTAAAACTTATTGATCAAGAGACAGTTTGTTTTACACTATTTATTATTATTATTTTTTTTAATTCCTAAAATACAGAGCAGTGAGAGCACCCTGTCCAAAACGTCGATTTCTTTTCAGAACCATGCTTCTTCAAGAGATTTCTTTCCACATGGTGTTGCCCGCATTTTTTCTATGTTAGCTCATCCGCCATGTAAAGCTTCAACAAGTATGATACATGTATATTTCTAAAGGTAACCTTTCTAAAATAAATCAAGTCTTTGGACGTGTACATGCACTCAATCATTACATGTTAGTTGGAAGGGTTAGGGGTTGGGCGGCATATATAGACGGATTAAAAAAGAATAGAATTTATACTTCCAAAGTTGACATGGGGGGCCCCCATGGACATTATACGGCCCTGTGGGTGTGAACTGGATAAAGTTCAATGCACTTTTTCGTGGAATACAAATGATTGGGGACTGAAACAAGTCGAAGTTGATGACCACTTTTTTCTAGTCTGTTTCCGCCGGGTACTATAAGTGTAATATGTTTACGAGGCAAACGCCAGACTAGTGAGAAAGAAAGTTTAATTCCAGTTACATTGTGACTTCTTGTCACGTTTTCATTCAGGTCTATTCTCATGATGAATCATTCTTAACCGTGAAATTTCGGCATCTTTGAGTTTCAATTACATTTAGAGAGGAATATTTTGCACAATATCGCAACTGGTTGACGCAAATTCAATCTGTCAATGGTTTCCCGCAGCATTCGAAACCTACGCACCTTTTAATGTTGTTTTATGCCACAGCTGGACGGATACCAGTGAAAAATTCTTGGAGCACGTTGATGGCGCCAAATACTCGGGAGTGCTCTGTACCAAAAACTAGCAAATTTTGATCATTTTTTACCGTAAGTTTATGTCAAAATTATTCCATTCTTTTGTACTCTTCACGATTTCCAGTTACTCATTGTATGAACAACGTTATTACAATTTCATGAAATGCAATACAAGTATTTCAAAACGATCCTGAATATATAATTAGGAAAGAGAACTTCAGTCTGTTATTCTGTGCACTGAGTCTATGGAGGACCAGGCTCACCAGTCTTTGGTACGGTACCAACTGTACTGTAGGGTCTACTTAATTTACACGGTCACGAGATGACTGGCATTACTGCTTTTGCCGGTTTTGTTTGTTTCATATGATATTGTTTTAGTGGGCATATGCCTATGTCAAATGTGCATTTTGAAATGCATATCCGTTACTCAACGCTCCATGCATGGTTTGTAATTTTGTTCAATTCAAACTTCAATTCAAAGTCTTCATGTATTGTCAGACCCCCTAAGCTACGCGGTCCTTTTTCTACGCATTTACCCTCAAATTGTGTGTGACAACGCATGTGCGTATGCAAGCGTTACCTGCGCAGATATGGAGGGTCGAGGATACAAAGCTATGCAAACATGCAACTTTTCCTCTTGTCTTGGCTCTTGTCTTGGAAGTTGGAACCAGACGATCAACTGAATGCTTCTCGGACTTTATTTTCCCTTTAAAAAAATCCTCCAAAGCCACGGATCACGAAGAAAAACTATATCTACTTCAATGAAAAGTAGAATTTCATTGGTAGGCAACCTCAACGTCAACATGCTCATGAAATATATACAAATTGTTTAGAAGCTTGTGAATTGTTGTTGCCCTCTGGTATAACTTATAACCATAACTATGGTCATAATGTGATGGTAGACATGGTAGAGTCCTATATCAATAATGGCGCCATGACATAAATTTGCTAATTGACCAAAAATATAAAACGATTAGACTTTACCCCCCCCCCCCAAAAAAAAAACCAGCCACAAACTGCTAGACATGTTTACTAAGATCCAGAAGAGAAGTAATGAAATAAAAATCAGGTGATATTATTGCCCCTGCTATCTCTTGCAGATGTTCTCACGGTCAGGTGTGGTGGTTCACCCAGTTCCCAAGTCGTGAATGTCGTCGCTCCAGTCACCCACAACTGGCAACATGTTCAGCCCTAGTATGGCGGGAACCAGCTCCAGTCATGGGCACCAACCTGCGGAGGTATGAGGGCCTCGGTTTGAGGCATCCTATCAAATGTTGGCATTCAGTATGAGTGGTATCTGAAAGAGTGCACAGCACAGTATGAGGAAACAACATAATGGATGTGTATCGTTTCGGTTTTGCGGTAACACCATGTGGTAATAACTACTGCTTAGAAGATATTAGTTCTGAGAAGAACTTGTCCTGCTTATTATCAACTTGCTAAGTAGTTTTTTTGTTCTGTTTAGAACAGTCCTGCTGTAAGTTCTAAAAGAACTTGTCTTTGGTCTCAACGTTTCGACTAGCCTGCTCTAGTCATCGTCAGGAGACAGTCTCCTGACGATGACTAGAGCAGGCTAGTCGAAACGTTGAGACCAAAGACAAGTTCTTTTAGAACTTACAGCAGGACTGTTCTAAACAGAACAAAAAAACTACTTAGCAAGTTGATAATAAGCAGGACAAGTTCTTCTCAGAACTAATATCTTCTAAGCAGTAGTTATTACCACATGGTGTTACCGCAAAACCGAAACGATACCGATACCCCACCATGCAAAGCCTCAAATCTTATATAATGGATGTGTAAATGTTTCACTTATGATTACATTACAGTCAAATGGGCATACACTGTCTGCTTCCAATATATATATGGAATTTATCCTACCCGATTTGCGACATCAGTGTGCTGATTATGTCATGAGTTGTGTCAAAGGGAGTAATTATTCAAAGTCATCTAAGCCTGTGTAAACATTGGCAATCAAGGAAGTGCATTATTTCACATGCCAAAAGTTGGCTGTTCAAATCTACCATTTCCATATCTTGAAACCAGAAACTGCATATAATCTTTATTTCAATGAATTACCGCTAATGCCAAAAGATCTTTGCTGGGAACGTCATGAATTCTCCACTCTGCAGGAGTCAAGTTCATGAATTGGGCATCAATTTCATTAATGGTGGCTGAATGGCTGTGGCCTTACTTAAATCGATCTGTTTCACAACTTCATGGTGTATGTTGAAGAATTTGGGAGGAATAGGGTTTATTTCAATGGAAAAATCACATTATCTCTCTACCATCAAACGTTAATTTGAACAAGAACCGATCAACATGGTATCTGATCTGTTCCCTGAAGGTTTTCCGCAAGGATCTCATCAGTGCCATGAAGCTGCCAGATTCCTACCAGCTGCAGCCAGACGATTACATGGTCATCACAGACACCTGGAAACAGGAATGGGAGAAGGGTGTTCAGGTGCCAGTCAGCCCCAACAGCATCCCTATAGTCTCCTGCACAGCCACCAAGGAACAGGACCAAAGCAACTTTAAATTGTAAGCGAAAAATACTGGTCTTCTTTTGTCATCAGCACAGCCACTTTTAAACAGTGCTATACTACACTTTTTAAAATATTTAAATAGTCTGTTGGAATAGTCCTGTGTTGTTGGATGGCCGTTACATTAGGGGTGAGCAACCGCAAACTCCAGGGAATACAAAGAAAAATCTTTGTTAAAACCACCATCCAAAACACCCAGTTTCGTGTCTTTCATGTGATTCTCACCGTCATACCCTCATTCTGTTATTGTTAAATTTCCAAAAAAGCCAGTGGTCCAGGATTGTTTTGTTCCTCACCTGCTGTGACGTATACATTAAATTGTCAACACCGCTGCCACACTGGCATTGTTAGCATGTGTTTAATACCGCCTTTTCATTTGTATTTTGTAGGCCAAGAAGGTTGATATGTATGTCTGAAGGTACCAATGAGCAGGAAGATTATGCCACGGCGTTGAATAAGAAACTGGAATCAGTTTGCTTATATGACCTGGATGAGGTGGATGAGCAGTGGCTAGATATCATCAACCAGGAAAGACAAGAAACGAGTAAGTAAACATTTAAACTGATTTGTAAGAAACAAAATTGATTTCTTTTGGCAGTGTCTTTAGGATTCTTTTCATCAATGTAGTTGCTTCTTTGTGAAAAAAATGTGAAATATGTACATGTAGCTCAACATTCATACTCAACAGCCCATATTCAGCTTTAGGGAACGTCTCAACATTACAGTGCCCTGGCATGGGTGGCGTGGGCGTAAAGCGCTCGCCTTTCACCAAAGTGACCATGATTCGAATCCTGGCCTCGGATCACATAAGAGTAGAGTTGTGCATTGGTTCTCTCCTGTGCCACGAGGGATTTTCTCCGGACCCACCGGTTTTCCTCCCTCCGGAAAAATCAAACACTTTCGATCTCAGGCTGTGCTCCGTGTTCATATATGGGTCGATGTGGCCGGCAGCCATAGGCGCCTTTATGTGCCAGCGGCCGGACCACGTTGTAGCCGCGTCCTTCGCAATTCAGCATACCAGCTGCGAGTAAGGATGATTAGCCTCCCAAATTATTATTATTATTTGTTCAAGAATAAGGATTTTCTCTCCCTATTTTTTCGCATACCCCATAGGTGATCCTTCAATAGATGAGTTCACCATGGAGCACATTATTGAAGAATGTGAGATGCAGGTAATAATTTACTCACCTTGCCAATCACTTTGAAAAGCAAAGCATCCGTGAATATATGTAACATTCACATGAACTCCTTGGTTGTTATTGGCAGGAAATTTCCTGGATCCTCCAAAAATCAAACACTGCGCAGAAAACTAATGACAGTAGCTTTGTACTTCGACTTCCATGAGGCATCGGTGGTAGTGATAGTGGCTAGGCTGCAAAATCTCCCTCAACGACTTAAATTTTGGATCATGATGGATATAGTTGGTTAGGTTAAGACCATCATTGGAAAACTTTTCAAATGCATTTTACATATCTACTTATTATATTTTTGCATTTGAGTTGAAAAGTATCTGCAGGCAACAAATTTTATTTGCATCATTTTCAATTGTTTGTTGATGTTAACTAGTCATAGAGTCTTTTCATGTTTCGAAACCAAGTAATTGAAAAACTTTTTTTGGGACAAGTTTATCTAGTGTTCATGCTTTACTCTTTCAATTTTTTATCCGTAGTGCCATAAAAACATGGAGCATGCGATGCAGACAGAGGAAGGGCTTGGTATAGAATATGATGATGACGTCATCTGTGATGTCTGCAGAGCGGTATGTCAATGTATTAGATAGTCATTATAGGTAATTTGTGGAGATATGTGTTTTTCAAAAAATATAACTGTAAAAGGGAGTGTTTTGTGAACGTATCAAACGTATCAGATCAGAGTTGTTAAGTGTGGACTTCATTGCAACTGATCAGGTACTTTGTATTGTCATTACATGTGGTTCTGAAATGAACATTTCGTTTTCATGCCAGCTATAGAGAAAGCACCCTTATATTCAACATTAATTCATAAAACAGTGCTCATATTATCATTTTCATGCTGGAAATATAAGTAGTCAACACATGTTCTTTATATGAAATATATCCTTGTCTTGCTTAATTTGTAGCCTGACTGTGAGGAGGGAAATGAGATGGTTTTCTGTGATAAATGTGACATCTGTGTGCACCAGGTAGGCAACACTAATTACCCTATATCCTTGCCATTTACAACAACAAAAATGTGAATTAATGCAGGTCTCCTTACTCGGCAACAAAACCAAGGATTCCTCAAAAATTTCATTGGCAATATAGCAAAGAAGCCAGAGCAAACCTAAAGAGAGAAAAAATTGAGGATTTGGTCCGTTATTGGGGAGGGAAGAAACCAGAATAATTTTCAGAGGAAAAATATTGTAACCGGGTAGGGACTGAAAACCCTGTGAGGTCTGGATGGGATTCCAACAGTGCTCACAGAGATGAAAGTAAACAAAATACTGCCACATCAACCTGACTCCGAATGAGCAAGAGTTTCCTTAATCCTGTGATTAAATATCTCCCAAATCATTTTAATCATACTAGGCATGTTAATTCACTTGTGATATATATTTTTCTAATCATTTGTTTATGATGCGCAGATTCGATTTAGAAAAGTATAAACTAATCTCAAAAACAATAATAATTAAAAATGTTGGCTTAACCCATAAGACTCTGTATTGTCTGAAACCACACCAGCACTCTTTGGTTTTATAGATTCCCCAGGGAATAAATATAATGTTACACAATGTAGTGTAGATGCTAATGTGTTAAATATTTGTATTCTCCCACCAGGCATGCTATGGCATTGTGAAAGTTCCAGAAGGAAGCTGGATGTGTCGTACCTGTGCTCTGGGCATCCAACCTGTATGCCTTCTATGCGGGACGAAAGGTGGAGCAATGAAAAGCACCAGGTGAAAATATTAACATTCAGCCATTTCATTATCAGAAGCCGTCATTTCAATTTAAAGAAATAGTCCATCATTTGTAATTTGTGCATTTTGTTCGTTTGAAGCAACAAAAGTGTTCAAAATCTAATGAAGGATACAGAACAACTAACCTGATGAAGTTTCAGCTAAGCTTCAGCTGTATATTCCAGGGAAAAACAGCATTCTAGGATCTCAATTTCAAATCAAAAGTTACTGAATCATGTTTTGAATTGTTTTGAATTGCAGCTATACGCGACGTCGCGCACTGATCCGACGAATTATAGCAACCGCGTGCGCGTGTGTGTCGTGCCAATGCTTGCGCGCGCTTCGCCGAATAACAAAACGAACTACTAATTTTCCTACGGTGCGTCTTAAGACGCACCGTTGGAAAGGCCTTCTTTCGTAGATTACTTCAAAATGACAGCTTCCCAGAAAGAATAATTTCAGGGAGTTTAGGGTTCAGGGAGTTTAGTTCCCTTACTATCTTTCAACCAAGTTTGTTTTTCAACAATAATTACGCCAGTTACTTTTCGGATGGCTGCAAATGATGGACTATAGCTTTAAGTTTTGTGACCTCAAAATTTGTGAGCCAGCAAAAAAAATATGAAGGGTTGGGAGAAAGATAGCTAAAATCAGAATGATGTAGCCTATTTGAACCAACTGGATCTTACTAGGGGTGCTTTTTGCAGTTTATTTAGCAGAATTGAACAGCATTGCTAAATACACATTTATTACATATGCTGCCTGGTGGGACACTGACATTGTCTCGAAGTCTTCATTTTTGCATCATATTTAGTGAAACGAAAGACACTTTATTACCATCTCTCTTTTATTTTGACAAAGGAGTGGCACAAAGTGGGCCCATGTTAGTTGTGCCCTATGGATCCCTGAGGTCAGCATTGGATGTGTGGAAAGAATGGAACCCATCACCAAGATATCTCAAATACCGGTAAAAGTCTATGAGTAACATTTTCAGAAGCATGATTGTTGCACAGATTTGTAGAAGCATGTAATGTTGCTATATGAGAGAAGACAATTTCATTATTCAATTCTTTTCAAACTTTTTCGATAAACAAAGAAAATAACAGCAGGATTTAAACCTGCAAGTGAATTTCATAAGTCAAAAGGTTCAAAGTTAGAGGATCAGAGGTTCTGATCCCACTTCAGTCCATATCTTTGACAAACCACATATTGATCCCTTGTATATTATCAGCTTGTGTTGTATTACATGCCTTGGTTTTTCATCTACAGGTGAGCCGCTGGGCATTGATATGTAATCTATGCAGGGTAAGGACCGGCGCTTGTATACAGTGCTCGGTAAGTAGCCAGTTGGTTTGCTCCTCACGTTTTTTTGCTTTTCTGGACAGTTTGGCTTTTAGATGTTGAATCAGCATGTCAGATTTACTCAGAGGAACATGCTTGGCAAGCTTGATGCCCAATCAGTTGAAATGTGTCTTACAGGCTGTGCACATTCACATGTGCAATGCGTTGCATGCATGGGATGTGACCTCTGCTGCCTTTTTTGTGCACGGACCACACTATGCCACCTACCTTTTCTGCACAGAGCTTGCACCAAAATCCATGAGTGAATTTCCAGCATGTCTGATTTAAGACATCTGAAATGTAATATCCATCATTTGCCTCTCATCTCCATTGTAGATTGAGACCATTATTAATAAACCTTTAATTTTCCAACATGATACATTTTTATTGTCCTTAAAAGTTGTCTTTACCATTGCTCATTTACATTTTTAAGAGAACGGCATTTTAATTTTTTTTTTATCCCTAAGGTTAAAACGTGCAAGGTAGCATATCATGTGACCTGCGGTTTTGAACATAATTTGGAAATGAAGACATTCCTGGATGATGAAGTGGAAGTCAGATTCAAAGTAAGTCATTGTTATCCCTTTTCTCTGTAACAAAAAAAAATGGAAATGAAAACTCAGTTTCATGATAAAGAATTAGATTATGATATATTTTACAAATAAATATGGAAATGATGCCATGCACCCTTTTTCTGTACTAAAGTTGACACAATAGGTCAATTTTAAAATTGTGAGTTTTTAAGTTGCACTTTAAGTGAATGAACCACCCCATGCCATATTTATTAAAGTAAATCAGTTAATCCTATTCGTCACTGTAGCACCCGCAACCACCCTGCCTGTTACTCCCTGTAGCACCCAAAAGCGCATGAGCACTCTATGGTTTTATTGATTCTTCAGTAAATAAACACAATGTAATAAAATGTAGTACAGTTGCTAATGGGTTAAACTGAAAAGTCTACTGTTGCATTCTCATGGAATGTTTTGTTCCTTTTCCCCCATATTTTTCATGGAATCTTTCCTCCCTCTTCAGTCCTTTTGCTTGAAGCACAGCAAGAAACGGAATGCGGATTCAGATACAGATGGCTCTCCCCAAAAGACCTCATCCACGGCAGGTACACCCAAGAAGGAGAAGTCTCTTGAGGAAAAGGACAACGAGAGAGCCATAAGGTGAGTTATCAAAATATAACTAATTGAATTTTTTCCTGAAGACGAGAAGGGTAATAGTGGCACTTTAGTTCAGAAAGTTTTAGAAATCGCAGTGGGAGAGTTGGGAAAAAATATTTTGAGAAACTGTATCAATATTAGTCTCAAAGGTGAAACTGAATTTGCTTGTCGACTTGTTTGCTAATCTAAATTTGATTCTGGTAAGCTGACTTGTTCAAATGGTTGAATCTGAAGTCAAAGCTGGAAGTTTGGAAAGCCCTGTTGAATCACACATATTTCGTTCATATGATTAAAATTTGAATGCACTAATGCAATATGAAATATGAATTCCTATAAACAATTCCAGTTTAACCCACAGCTGGATTACGAATCTCTTTGAGTTGTGCTAGTTTCTGCACCTGGAGTGCTATTGATCAAAATCTAATACATGAATGCATAATGCAATACATTTTTCTTGTATGTTATGCCACAGGATACAAAACATAACTGAGGACTTCTACAAGTATGCTAAAGCGAAGGAAGTTGCCAGCAATCTGAATATGAAGGATGACATTGAAGTGGTTGACCTTGTGTTTGAGTACTGGAAATTAAAACGAAAGGTATGTATCTAAAAGCAAAGTATGCTGAATATTGGAGTACTAGGCTGATGAATGGCAAATTATGGCTTACTAATGAAAGGAAATGTAGACAATTTCAAGGCATTCAATATTTGGGTTATGTGTTGGAAATCATGTCTTTTTTAATGTAAAGGTTTTGGTCTTACTTCCTTTCAGTCTGGCTTCAACAAGCCTCTAGTCATCCTTCAGAAAGAGGAATTGCCGAGTGACAATGAAGAGTACAATCTTCACGCTAGGATGAGGATGTTTGTACATCTCCGCCAGGACCTAGAAAGAGTAAGATCAGCTGACGTCCCCTTGACTCCTTCCCACTCCCCTCTCACCTACATGTTATGTCTGTCTAATAAGTCAACAACATTGGCTGAAGAGATTGAGACCTTGCATTTATTAAACTTGAGAGATGCACGATATCAAAAAGGAGGGTAACAATTGTCATGAGGTCCTTAAAGCAAATACCTGCTCTGTTACTTGTCTAATCAATGGAACTGTGAATGGCAAGTAACTTATGTCAAAACTCCTTCCCATTATCAAACAAGTGCTTACCTCCAAATGACCCTTGGCCAATTACCAAGACCCCTCAAATGTTTCAATTAAATTTTGTGGAGACTTTTCTAAATTCTCTAAAGGTGGTAAAAGTTGTTGACTAAATATCTTCATATTTCAGGTACGTAATCTCTGCTACATGGTCCAGAAGCGAGAGAAGCTGAGTAGGCAAATGGCCACGCTCAGGGAGGACATTTTTAGGAAGCAACAGCAAATCTTCTGTGGAGACGTGTCTCACTTCTCGCAAGAGGATCTAGAATTTGCTGAGCAAGCTGCTGCCCTGAGCTCTTTGGTCCCTGACAAGGCAGAGTCCACATTTGACCTGTTCTCAGAAGTGAGCGTCGACGAAGAGAAAGTGAGCGAGGAGGTGAAGTTAGTGGAAGACGTAGTCATAAGTGATACTGTGCCATCGCGGACAAAAACGGAGAGTGATGATTATTCATCGTCATCAGAAACGGAGAGTTACAGTGATTCAAGGAGTAGCTCCAGGGCTGAGCTATCAAAGACATATGAACCAGAACGGAAGCCTGTTAATTTGATTTCCAGCTTGGAATCACAAACGCTTGAGGATGATAACCAGAGTGGTGTGGTGATGGACACTAAAGATCAAAGGTTACATCAGGGGCAAGAATCCAAGAGTGGTCAGGCACCTGCTGATCCACCTCACTCTGTCAAAGGGAGTATAAACAGGCAGAATAGACAGCTGAAACGGACTGCATCTGATGTTGTTTACACAGATAGTATACAAACCAAACGTAAATCTAGGAACGGTAGATACAGCCGTAACTCAGAAACAAAATCTAACATTACATCCTACTTCAAGTCGACCAGATCAGACTCCTCTCAACCAGACCTCAATCAATCTCATGAGAAAACAGGCAGCAGTCAGACACGAGAGAAACCTGCTAGACAAGCCACCAGGTATCCTCGCCAGTCACTCTCCCCAAGACAGTTGCAGATGAAGGAAGAGGCTGCGCGTCTTCAAGAGCAGATGTTTGCCTCCAGCCCGACCTCTAGGGCCATCCTGAGTGGGTACCGCATCCCTAAAAAGAAGTCCATTCCCTCCAGTGAGTCCTCACCCCCCGCCATGGAGGCAGACACTGCTCCTCTAACATCATTGCAGCAGCTACAGAGGGGAGACCACAGCCTTGCACTCATCCCAGAAACGAGGAGTGCTCGACGGAGAATTGAAGACGAACTTGACAAAGAGAGTAATAGTAGCGACAGGCAATTTGAAAATATTGATGCAGAGGTTAGTATCTGCCTGAAAAGCAAGGAGTCTCCATCTCCTCCAAGCCCGTGTGATTCAGAAGATGATATCATCATCGTTGACGATGACCATCAAGAGCAACTAACCAAGCAGCTTTTATCTCAGAGTCTAAGCAGCGCAAGTGCAAAACTCACAAGAAGTCAAAGTGCAGATAGCCCTGATGTTAATAGTAGAGTCAATGAGAACAAACCTGTCGCCACTCGAATATACGATGCTGCATATCGGTTACTCAATAGCGCTATTCCTCTGTAGTTCTATTTTTATAGCTTTTTTTCTCTTTTTTTTTCTGTCGCCTTGTTCTGATAATGCCAATTATGCCATACTGTATTTGTATGGTGAAGGAGGTTTTCAGGGTAAATGCCCATAGTCTCAAATTCATAGATAATCTAGTCTGAAATCCTTCAAAGTGAAAATGTTGATCCTAATGTTGCACTTGTTCAAAAATCTGGTGATAAATTTGATTATTAGTAGAGAGGACTCAGTAAATTCCATTTGCCCATGCTACTGTGCATTACAGCATTATGCTCATTACCAAGAGAGATCTCTTAATAGAGATTAGATCTAATATTTGTGTCAAGTTTTCCTTCAGCAAATCAGTATTACTCGAACGTGTTGGGTGGCTCAATATTTAAATCCCTATTATTGTAACTGTTGGTCCCACTGTCTGGTAAAACTGAACACACTTCCTAAATTTCTAGTAGTGTCTTTTTACCCTTTACTGACAAAGCACCCTATTGGTTGAAAAAGCATTTATTGTGTTTGTATGAACACACATTAGAGTGGTGTCGCCCCAATGGCTTCTATTGTGGTTTTTAGAGTACATGTATAAAGATTTACTACAGAAGTACCCCTCAGTATTGACCAAGAGTGTTATAAAGGGAATATACAACATTTGCTTTTGCTGTAATTTTCAGAAATAATGGATGTTGGGTTTTAGTATTTTAAAGCAAATATTGTTACATTGACTTGTTAGAAGTTTTGTGTTTGTAGTTGCTGGAAAAACCAAGAAAAATAATCATGTTACTGTAGTCTGGTTCCCTGACCCCACTTAAGAATTAAGATGAAACATCAATTTATAGACGTCGGGGAATTGTAAGGTCAGGGAACCAGTCTAGCTGACTTGTATCCGTTCATAAGTGTGTAATCGATTGCAAACAAAATGCGGACTAAGTATGGTAAATTGGGGGCAGTATTTGGAAAAATCCGCTTTGTCCAACGCTGGTCAGCCCAAAATTGATACAAAATTACCCCTTTTCTTGAAAATGACAGCACACCAGGTGCCATGATTTTACAGGATGCTTAAGACTGTCATTCACTATTAACAGTCCAGTATAAAGGTATTTCATAATAAGTTGGTAGTTATGTTTCTTGATGTCTGTAAATGTTGTATATTCCCTTTAAGCTTAAGGCCATTTCACACTGGTCTTACAAACCTGTGTTGAAATCAACACTGGTGTACCTAAGCGGAACTGTGCTCCATCAAATATGGGTAGGAAAGGCATAATGCTTGAGTTTGGTTTGTCGGCTTTTCAAATCTCTTCAAAGTGAAAAATAATGATTACCCGTATTGTATTGTTCCCAGAACTATAACTGAAATACAAGTATGTGCATCTAAAATTGGTTTTGTTTTCAAGATCTGCTCATTCAAGATCTGTTCGCAAGTAGAGATTTCCCTTTTGAAATTCAAATGGCTCATTAAATAAATTCAGAATTTGTGATTTCAGAATTTGGGTTTATTCGCACCAATTGGACTTAGAGGGATTCATCTTTGGAAGCTATTATTATTTTTTTAAATAGGGCAGATAGTAAAATATTCAAATCACCAATGATATGGTAAACCTTTGTCTTTTCGTAACATTTGAAACTAAGGAAAGTAGGGAAGTATTGGAAATTTGTTTCTTTAATATTTGAGATTTTATATGTGTTATGTTGATTTATTTTTGTTTTCAATTTCCTTATTTAGCCTAAGTGAATGAATAATATGTCATTGTTGAAACAATGTGTAAATGTTGCTTTTGCATCATTGTAAATCTGATTCTGAAAGTGTAGATATTGCCATAATCTACTTTGCAATTTCTTCTCTGTTCTTGAATAAAATTATGGACTTGTATATAAACAGGCAACCTAGACTGAAGGCTTCCTTACTTTTTTTTAATACGTTTTTACCATTAAATGCAGAAAAAAAAAGTCGGAATAGAAAACCTTTCGAACAAAATGTTTATTTATTGGGCATGGGAATGTATACCATTAAACGCGGTTATTACAAATCAAAACAAAATATTAAGTAAATAGGAAAAACTGGCTTCGTGCACCCGGCGCGTGAATCTCTCGGACTGCAGAGGGCGCCACACACACTTTATTATTTTTGTAAATAAACACCGCACCTTCGTATTTACCGTCGCGTACCGTGACCTTAACCAAATGAAATGTCTGGTCGAACCTTTATTATTGTCGGACGTACGTGAGCAAGGCAGGCAGCCATAAAGTGCCAGTACTCCAGTCGAGAACCTTCTTGTATGTGGGAGTGAACATCGGCGTAAGTACACTATTTTCTTGTTAATAAACGGAGAAATAAGTCTATGTGTAAATCATCATGTATCTGTTTCTGTATGGGTACGTTGCAGAAACCTATTCAGGCATTAACGGCAATCGTCAGACCCTAGACCCGTGAACGTGGCTTGCTTGTAAACTTGAACGTGGCGTTGTATAAGCAAGCCACGTTCACGGGTACAACGCCACGTTCACGGGTCTAGTCAGACCCTAGCCTAGCCCCACTAGTGTGGCCGCGGTATGCTGCGCTGAGAGTCCCAAATTTTCGGACTAACCCTATTAGCCCCATAAATGTGGCCAATTTACTGGACTCAGAAAGTGCTGCCTTTTTCAGAGATGTCTAATTTCATGTGCACATGAATCTGGAAATTTCGCGGAAAAAAAAAATGAAAAAGGCAGCATTTTTTGTACATGGTGGAAGTGTGGCCTTTATTTACGGAGGTAGTCCAGTAAATTGGCCACATTTATGGGGCAAGTCAGACCCTAGTCCAGGTTGGACGACGTCTTCATTGCATTATGACTGACGTCCAGGGTATAAATTGTACCACCATAGCGAAAAAAATTATAACACATTCTTTTCATATTTTCATATTTTAAAATTGGAAATGTTTCTCAGTCCCAGATTCATGTCTAGTAATATCATCATTCTAAAAAGATATGATTATCAAATGCCAGAATAGGGTAGGCCCTTAATACTGAATGAGATAGAGAGTTAATTTGTGAATTGTAATCAAACTCCATTAATGAATATCAGGTGTATCCCTCTCTCGCTGCAGAGTGGCATTCTCTGCAAATCATCATCAAGATTAGAGGAATACCACCGAGCATTAATCAGCAAAACGTTAGGTTTGCAAGATGAATTACGCCCGGTTCCTCAATGCAGTCAGTAAGGCTAGACGCCCATCTCCGCTAAGAGGACTAAGTAAGTCTTTTGTCATGATTGTTACATTTTTATTGTTTGTTTGCTTGTGTATTTTGTTTTGGGGTTTGTGTGGGATGCATATTTGGTTTTTAATTTTGGGTGTTTTTACAGGGGGGGGGGGAGGGGCTGAGACTTTAAAAAAAATAATGAATAGGAAACTTTTTTTCCCTTTTTTTTGGTGATCAATTATAATTTGTTTGCCTGTTTGTTTTGTGTGTGTTTTGTTTTGTGTTTGTTTATATTGTTTTTTTGGGGGGGATGGGGATTTGATTTTTTGTGTTTTTAATGGAAGGAGGCTGAGACGTTTGTCACTATTTGTTTTCAGCTGAGATCCTTCAACAAAGCCCGGCAGGCACCATCTCTATGGCAACCGGCCTGCCCAATGTTGAGCAGTTCCCATTCCGAGAGGCCACCTTCCAGCTAATGTGAGTCAAGTTTTCATCAAACTTGCAAGAAATTCCACATTCACTTTTTCAAACCCATTTATAACCATAGCATTTGTGTAAGAAGCCATTCTGATTTGTCAAAATCCAATAAACGTGGACCAATAAACACCCCCAAAATTACTAATTGTCACATGAAACCTTTTCCAGGTTAAAAATCTCTAGCGTTCTCAAAAGTTACTTTACCAGAGATTTCCTTTTCACATCAGACAATCCAATCCGTTAATTCGCTTATATAGAGCTGCTGACATCTTCTTGATTTTGTATTGGAAATGCATAACTTATATACCTCTGTGGCAAAAATTAGGCCAATGACTTAAGTGTAATGTAGCTTGACACACAATGAAATCCTAGGAAATTATAAGTCTTATACAGGTCTCTGTTGTGAAACTGATCCTGGAACCAATTTGTATAATGTGTTTCTGATTCAGGGATAAAACTCACATGCATGTGAATGCCTCTGAGATGAAGAAAGCCCTGCAGTACACAGCCACACCTGGGTGAGTAGCCATAGGTTGTTGAACCCTTTGTATGCATTGACAGAGACTTCAGACATCTTGGCGCTTTCCGTAGTAGACTTTGGCTGTGTCCGAATTACTTGGTTGTGGCTGGGAATTTACACATGTGCCTATGGACCCATGCGTTATTTCTAGCCATAGCCAAGTCATTCAGATGCGGCCATAGAATCAATGGGAAATACTTTTCATCACATGAGGGCGCTCTACAAATGAACATGATTTTGAGGTTTGTGGCAGAGTTCACATGCTGCCATAATTTCAAAATCTTTAGTTTTCAGATGGAAATAAATAACTCATGGTGCTAAAAAATATGGTTCAGTTTGATTCCATCCAGAATCATGATTATTACCATATTACCATATAAAGCCGCATGCCATTGGCACTCTGGCAACAACATCCACACTGAATATTCCAGTCCTGCACATTATGTGTAGGAACGGAACATGCACATTGGACTTTCTCAGAAATGTGATCACGCAGTTACGGCTGTGATTAGTCAATACTTCATTGGTTGAGACTTAACAGATCGGCCCAATGATTCTAAATTTACTGAGCAGAAAGATAAAGAAAAACCCTTGATACAATCACAAATGAACACACTAAGTTAAATTTGATCTGAAATTGAAATCTTGAGAGGACTGATGACAGGCAGACTTCAAAATCAATTCTACACAACTCTTGCATATAGAGTTGCCAAAGCTCATTTAGCAGTGTGTAAAATATTACTGTTATTAATAGCAGAACAATAGTTTCATTTTCAAGGCAAACGTGCAAATACTCAAGTTGTTCCTCTTAAATGAAGAAGTTACATGATGAGTTATCCCTTTTAAATAGGTTGTCTGGTTGTGTTCATCAAAACATTTAAGAGTAATTTATGTCAGTACAGTTAAATATAAGATTCAATCTGAGGTTTTGTTGCATATACCAAGTTGGCAGGACACCTGGTGAGTTTAGGAGTGTCAGTTATCCAGGAAAGTGTGGGTAACAATTTCAGTTGCAACATTTTTGAGGCAAATTCCATCTATTTTGTATTGGATAGATTACCGGAGTTGAGAGATTGGCTTATCGACATGCAGACCCAGATCCACAACCCTCCGACGCTGGACAGCACCAATCCAGACAGCCAGATGGACTTGATAGTTTCTACAGGGAGTCAGCATGCACTCAGCACAGTAAGAGACAGTGGTATATCAAGGATGGGGAGGGGCAGCTTGCACAGCGTGGGGGGGGGGCCACACAAGTAGCAGCACTTCACAACTTGCACAAAACCCTACTACCCATTCTTGCTATAATAAGTTTATTAGATGAGAAGTTTTATTCAAATTGTATTATTCAGTGCTGTTCATCATGTTCTTGAATACCAACAAAACTTGCAAGAACTGTACTCAATGAAGTAGCTTGTGTACACTGACCATAATTTTCCATTTTCTTTTACAGTCCTGTGAAATGCTGTTGGCCAAAAACGACCATGTATTGACATCAAGTCCGCTATATCCAGGAACAGTGGCAATTGTAAGTCAGTAAGAGAACTTAAGTTACAGTTTTCCATTCGGAAAATGCTTAGAAATATGTAATGTGTAACCTAGTTTCCCCTTGGTAAAGCTTTTATTTGTTATATTTTTCTTATATGTACTTATTTTATCTTGCCTGTCTAACTTTTCCCCCAACTGTCTGACTTTTCCCACCTCTTCAATTTTTGAAACCCAATGTAGCTGAGACCATTAGGCACCAAGTTCCTGACCATTGAAGTGGATGGGGACGGCATGATACCAGATCGGATCAGAGAAGTCATGTCACAGTGGGACCCAGAAGAAGGCCAGAGCGAAAGGTAACAACTTTGTCAAATCAAAATTGTGCTTTGCCTTTCACCAATGTAATTGCATGAGCAATGTATACGCTTTCATGTCCAGGTTCGGATGGGACTTGAACCCCTGAGCTTGCCAGATCAGCTGGCCAGTTTAAATCTGATAAAGGGCTCTCTCACAACCCAGACTTCATCTGGGTACCAGAGAGTCAGAGTCACCATTGTAGTAGGCAAAGATTGTACAGCGCCCCGTGTAGTAAGTAGTAGGCAAGCCTTCAAAGCTGTGGTGGATGGCAAAGACTGTGAGACAAATGCAGAGCCAACACCCATTCATTCCAAGTTTCTTATTTTTTTCTTGAAGGTAAATAGTACTTAATATAAGCGATAACCAACCCAGTTGCTGCCTGTTTTCTTTTTCACTAGCTCTGATATCCCAAGGGTTCTGTGTGTGGTCCCCAATGGTGACAATCCCTCCGGTGCTGGCTTGTCGTTAGAAAGGAAGAAAGACATCTATAGTATTGCACAGAAGTATAATATGATAATCATGGAGGATGATCCCTACTACTTCATCCAGTTCAATAAGGTTAGAAAAACATGTGTAAATCAATGGTAAGTTGCATTTCTTCTAGAATGTTCAAAACTGTTGATTTGAAAAGAAACGCCCAAAGAATATCATAGTTTTCGAAAATTCTAAAAAAAAAATGTATAAAATAGTGCTAAGTAATTAAATGGCCATCATAAGAGAAATGTCCATTACCCATTTCCTTAAGGTATGAAAGTATTGTGAGAGTTTGTGGAAATAAATGTATACCTCAGTATTTAATAGTGATGCTTCTCCAAACGTTTAGAACATCCAGACTGCAATTTAGAAAAATTATCAAGAGAAGAGTTGATTTTAACATTGAAGAGAATTTGTACATTAGACATGTTAGAGACAATTTGAATACTGTGTATGGTAAGCAACCACATCATGCGTTGAAAACTAGACAGTAGGGCTTCTTTTCACATAAAATTACCGTGAACTCTTTATCAAATGGCATAATGGTCACTTCGTGTGCTGTCACTGCTGTGAACAGTTGACATAATGGGCAGAAGTAAGGAAATGTTATTTCAGGTATTTAACACCATGATTTCCCCCTCATTTCAGCCCAAGGTGCCAAGTTTTCTGTCTTTGGATGTGGATGGGCGTGTCCTCAGGTTTGATTCATTCTCCAAGATTCTGTCGGCAGGGTAAGACAATTCCATTCATTCCTGTTAATTAAATCCATTCATTCAAAACCATACGGATGTCCAAAAGATTCCCTGATAATTTATGTTCAATTCTATAAACTACGGAATGCATGAACATTTCTGACTTTTTGTTACTGAGGAGTCATCTCGCTAAATAAGGTTATCCACAATGGTCTCTGTGCGTAAACAAGAGAGGGCACTTTTTACCACTTTATAGAACCAAATGGACGGGACACACCATGTGTGTGTACTGGTTCGCAGACATATAGCGCAAAAAGTACGCGTGGCAGACTTTATTCAGAATGTGCACAATGTCATAGTGTCTTCACGTGAGCGTCAAGTGTTGTCGACAATGTGTTCGATTGTCTCTTCCACTTGTCTCCCCCAACTCTCCCTTTCTCACTGTTGAGGGGGGTCCCTGTGCACCGAGCCCATAGGCTCATTGTATCGGGTACCAGTAGCAAGACTCTAAACTACTTCACCAGAATCATTTCGTAATGAAGTTATTAGTTTGTAAACAATGCTAGTTCATTGTAGGAGGATTTTGTTATACTTGTTCCAAATCCTGCCACTCATAGCCAATACAATGAGCCTATTGCAGATAAAAATGTCGATAACATATACCCAGGTATTTTATGATGTGACTCCGTACCTTATTTTTCTTTGTCTAAAAAGAAAACCTTTTTATTACCATCAGTCAACCACCAACTTATATTGGAATTGTTTATGTGTATTTTAGAATGCGTGTTGGGTTTCTGACGGGGCCCAAATACCTGCTACAGCGAGTCAACATGCACATGCAGGCCTCAGTGCTTCACACTGGGGGCATGTCACAGGTAAGTTCAGCAAGTCATTCTGTCCAAAAGCAAGTCCTACTGATGTGGGTTTAATGTTGATGTGTTTGAGTCAGTCTGGTCTAAGTTGGTCTTGTCCAGTCTTAAGTGATCACAAAGGCACGTATGAACGTTGGTAATTACCCGGAAATGTACGTACTGTTTTATTGAGAAAAGCCGTGCTCAAAGTGAAGAAGGACTGGTACTCAACACCCTGTGAAATTATCCAACCTGTAATGGTTTCATCGAGTTAAAGGTGTTTTTAAAAAGTGTGATCGCGGGCAGATGTTGTACAAGTTTTTCTCAAAATGTATAGCAGACACTGAGCTAAAAGTTTAGCATGTTAGTTTTAGTGCACCCTACTTTTGAGTAATTTTGTTGCTTCAAATGAAAACAATACAAAGAGCAACTGATCCTATGTACCTCGAATGAGGAGACTCTCATCAACCTTCATATTTTTCCAATTCCTTGTAGATGTTGATATTCAAGCTGTTAGAAAAGTGGGGAATGGAAGGCTTCCTTGACCACACAGACAATGTAGCTGCATTTTACGAAGGGCGACGTGACATGATCCTAGAATCTGCAGATAGGTGGCTCCGAGGTGAGAAATGGTTCCAAAATCATATTTAATTTTCTGTTAAATTCACCATTTTGAGTCAGCAAATTGTCTGATGTAGGATTCAAGCCAGTGACCCCCAGAATGTCATTCTGGTGCTCTGCCTATGTGAGCTTCCTCACAGTAGTCTTAAGTCTTTTATAATTTAGAAGTCAGTTAACCGTTACATGCCATGAAGCGAATGATCATCCCCAAACTTGAACTGCAACAGTTTTTGAGTCACACATTTTTTATAGGATGAACAAAGAAATTTGATTGAAGAGGGATGGGAACGTACAACATCAGAAATACCATACTGTTTCATTTTATTTATAGGTAGATTAACATCAACTTGAAGTATCCTACTGGCAAAGCTAGTTTCTATTCACAAGCTTTTTTGTTCACAAGACAATTTTGTTTAGAAGTAGAAGAATCTGTCAAGTTTTCCATTATTTTTCCATTATAATTTTGAATTTCCTTCTTTTAAGGTTTCATAGTAAGATTTGTCTCCATCTGTTTTTCTTTGACAACCTTCCTGAATCCTCCAGATCATCCACCACAGAAGAAACAAATTACATATAATGCCCAACTGAAGTAAAAATGAAAAGTCCTTCAAATCCTCCAGAACCCTCTGGTAGATAAACCATAAATAATTAAAGGACCTGTGAGATTTAGGGTTAAAGCTTTACCCTACTTTCTTCTTTCAGGCCTGGCTGAGTGGCATGAGCCGCGTGGAGGCATGTTCCTCTGGCTCAAACTCCTAGGCATCCAGGACACCACTGACCTGATCATGAAGAAGGCAAGACACAAAGGTGTCCTCTTCGTTCCAGGGGGCGTCTTCTACCCTGAGAACAACAAGATGTCACCGCACCTACGAGCGGCGTACTCGCTTTCTACGCCTGAAGAAATGGATGAGGTACTGTTGCTCATTGTGGTCTAGAACCCTGAACCGTACATAGGATTTTTGCTAGTTCCAGAGGGCCAACTTAGTGTCCTCGTTGCACCTATCTGACTGATTCACTGACTCACTTGTGAGCTGGGCAGTGGTCTCGTATAGGACTACCCAGTAGCACCAAAGAATGGGCTAGATCCTGCCAATGGTGTATACCAGATGAATGAAAAGACTTCCAGTGAATAGCTATTTTGAATCAATCAAATAACATTTTGTGTGCTCTGGAACCAGCATTACTATCCTTGACTTGTCTTGGTCTCTTAGCACACTGCTAAATAATTATAACAGAATCAAACGACAGCAAAGTGATTAGTGTCTGTTGAATCCAATAGATTACAACAGTACGTAGTAAAGAATTGATTGAAGTAAATATCACTGGCTGAGTAAGAGCTATCTCAGTATTTCACAGTTGCTTTTTCTAACTTGTTGATCCTGCTGCAACATACCATCAAACATACGTGGGTCAATGTCTTCATCAATTTCTTCAAAACTTGACATAACATAAGAAAATATATGAATACGTATGAAACTATATGAAAAGAAAGCTTCTTTTTGCTTTGCTGTCATGTTTTATTACAAGTTTCGAACTCAGCTGTGGGTAGATTCTTTCAGTAAAATCAAGGCTGTGTACAAAATGTGTACAAAATGGTTGCATCCATCACAATAATGTGATTTGCCACTGTGCCCTCGTATTGATGTGTTGAACATGATTGGATTTTTTGGTAAATTTCTGCCACAATGAAATGATAAACAAGTTTCCGTTCTAATGATCCCCGTTCTAATCTCCCTTCTAATGGATTGGTATGCATTTTGTTTTTTCCTCAGGGAATGCGGCGGTTATCGCTTATTGTCAAGGAGGAGATGGGACTGTGAGAGAGGCAGGAGACGTCCAATCACTTTACACCTCACAAACATCAGCTGAAACAATGTACAGGATCCACCCAGATCTTCCATTTTACTGGCTGTTCAAATTCATCTATGTAAATGTTATTTATTTACCAGGTTCCTGCAACAGGCACAGCAATGTACATGTATTACTTGCCGTAAAGGTATAGTTACCATACAAAATATGTCCCTCCAAAAGTGTCTGTCTAACTATTTGTGATAGACCTCCCATTTTTAACACCCACCCCCACAAACTAGGATTTAAGAAACCCAAACTGAATTCCATGTATCAGGCAAAATGTATGCCAAGAATGTTCAGTATTAAAGTGCGCTACAAACAAAATGCTTCAAGAATCTCTTCATGTTGTGCATGAAAGTGTTGGGTTTTGAAATACGTTTTGTTAATCTTCATTTTTGTTTTGAAAAACGAAATATGTACATATTTTATATGCAGTTGTGTTTATATTTTTTTCAAGCTAACTTGAATCCTTGATCCTGATTGGTTGTTCCATGGCAACAGCATTGCTCTCCACGAATTGCACTATTCTAAAATGTGCTATTCCCAGTGCTAACACATGAAATAATATAACCGCTGAAAAGTTTGTGTACAGCATGCGTGTTCCATCTTTACTGTGTGTCAAGTTTGCTTTAAGATAAAGTCATTATATGTGCTCTTGGATCACGGAAATTTAGTGTATCTGTGTTCCATATGCCACTTGGCTTTTGGCCGCATGGTATATTGGACATAGACGTACTACATTACTCCAAGTGCCACTGGCGCTCATAGAATAACTACTATTTGGTATAATGGTTAAGTATTTTAAGAGTATATTAAATGGAATGTTAAGAATATTAACAGTATGTTGGTTTTGTTTTTTTAGTCTGTCACACTATCTGGTTTTCTTGATATGGTCGTATTGGCAAATGGTGGTAGTGAACTTCATGTACTGAAATGCACTGTAGATACATACGTTTAAGATGCCATGTCAATATGTAAGAGTCTGAATTTATGTACATAATACAGGTGTACCAATATTTTATTTTATCGTCTGGTTCATCCAATAATGTTTCTTGTTTTGTTTTTTAGATTTTTGAATTAATTATGCAATGTTCGAGTTCCGAATATTTTTTAAAATAAAATTTCATTGCAATTGAAGACACTGCCAAGTGTAATTATGCGTGTACATGTATATTGTTCTCTCTGGTATTTGAAATTTACAGAGAACCACTCTACCCCTTTCATTCTAATGGTATCTAATTTCTTGTCATGATGAACTCCATAAATGAACAATACCACCTTATTCATGTGTCGGCCATATTTAATTGAAAACGAGCTAATATCTTCATTTTTGGAACTTGAGAGTAGAAATGAAAGCAATGAAATAAATGTTCATTATTAATTAATACCAGTCTGCTATGATGAGTAATTAAAACTTTGTGATTAAACATACCCTTATATTTTAAGCCACATTGAAAAAAACCCAAACAAATTCAAAGTGAGGGTTGGAACGCAAACCCCTAATGTCATCGCTTGAGCATCAGGCACCATAGCGATGTGTTTGAATGTCCATAATAGGCAGAATTATTCCAAATGAAATGTTCAATTATTATTTTATTTGTCCTATGTAGTAGTAATAATTCTTTGAACAGTTCATTCAATCAGTACAAGAAACCAGCATCTTTTTAACCATTTCCCATGGCAAGGATGGTAACTCACTGCTTTACACAGCTAGAAAGCAAGCCCATTCTCTGACCTTAAACCCTCGGGGGCTGGGGGGGGGGGGGATAACATATGAGTTGGTTAATATGCGAGTTGTATGCTTGTAAGCTTATTTTACCAGAAACATTGGGTTTCAGAACTTTGGAGATTTTTGAATCTTATAACCCTCCAGCTTTACAAGTGCCAAGAAATTAAACATTAGGGACCATTAGAAATGGAACGCATACTGGACGGAACAGGATATGTATGCAGCTCCGATAAAGTTGCTTTTACTGGCCCCCAAACCCCCCCCCCCCCCTAATTTACCCCAAAAAAGCGCCCGGACGAGAAACTATTTTATTTATTTTTTACTCAGCTTTAAACTATTTTATTTCATTTGGCACACTTATGCGGACTAAATTTCTCGTAAAAAAATGATAAGCTGTATACTTGTATAATGGTTTTGTGAAATAACCACACAACTCTCGTGCCCCCCCCCCCCTTCGTTATGTGTACCGTGCGCGCGCTGCGGGCGAACAAACCGACTTGAGTTCAAGCCAAAGGCTCTGCTTGCCAACGTGTGACATCGGGAATCTTTTTTTTTTTTAATAATTTAACAGAGAAGAGAGCAATGCTAATTGGGCCGTTGGCTTCAATGCTTATTTGAAAATCAGCCATTTTTACTAGTTTGATGAAAAATTAGTGCAAAATAACCCTGCGCTCAGCGGCCGTCCACGGTAACTAATGACCAATCACAAGACTCCCTACATCATGCATAATGCATGTTGCAAGGGCGCCTTGTGATTGGCCATTACAATTTCGACAACATCATATCAAACATGGCTACCGTGCACGTGCGGCTTTCGCGGCGTGAGAGGTGAGTTTTATCAATGATTTTTATCGTATTTTTTGCGAGAGTTTAGACAATTTTCTTGTATTATATGGTTTCTAAATATACCAAGAAGCCTTTGAGACAATTTAAGATGAAATTCCGACTGTAAGTCCTCCGTTTGGAAGGCAAATAGTGAGTGTGAAATGATAAACGCACGTCGCTGAGTCAGAGGTGGAAAACGCGACGTGCATTTTTTGGGGGGGGGGGGGGGGGCGGAGTGGGCAGGAAGGCGGGGGGGGGGGAACAGTAAGGATTACTTTACGTTTTGATACGCACGTTTTTGGTTATGAAACACAGGAAATTTATAAGGGGCGTTCCTGGACATGCTGTAGGCCCTAAGTTTAGTTTCAACATGAGCATGGATGGTCAAATAATAGGAGATTTGTAGAATTTTGTCATGTTTGTGGTGTTCTGAAGTCGAGACTCGATTGGACAGCTGCGAAGTGTTTTAGGGGTGTCTTGTGCAAACTTTTGGGGGCGTCTTTCGTTTGCACGAAAAATTGCACAGAGTGAAGATTCGGTGATAGATTTTTGTTCCATGCCCATAAATTCATGGTCACCCTTGGCCTTGCAGTGGGCATATAGTGGGTGGCATGGGTGGCTTAAATTAATGGTGCGTAAAGCGCTCGCCTCTCATCATGTGGCCCTGGTTCTAAAACCGTCCGCTGACCAAACATGCCATATGTGACTGAGTAGACTTGTGTGTTGGTTCTCTCCTGTGAGCTGTGCTAGGAGCAGGAGGTTTTTTTTCCGGGCCCTCCTATTTTCCTCCTGCCAGAAAAATCAGTCAATTTTGATCTCAGGCTGTGCTCTGTGGTCATCATGGGTCGATGTGGCTGGCCGCCAGAGGCACCGCCAGCGGCTCGACCACATTGTTGCCGCGTCCTTCGCAATTCAGCTTCTCAGCTGCGAGTAATGATGACTAGCCTCCCAAATTTTTGTTATTGTTATTACATTCAGTCAAAGTTGAAATGGGAGATTATCGATTGACAGTTAATATTTTGCAAAGTGTTGGAAACAGCTTTTGAATATTTATTTTTTTCAATTCTGAACATTTTGTTGTTTATGGAGAAACATCATGGACCTATAATAGATTAGCCCCGGCGACAAAAACTGTGCTTAAAAAATGCGGACCATTTTTTTTTTATGGGGGGGGGGGGGGCATGCGGACACACTTGGAGCAAGACCCTACTCCCTATGTTCTAACCAAATGATCCTTTTTTGTTCTTTGTGGGATTACGTCTATGACAAAATGCCTAATAGTAAAATAAACAAAAACAACCTGGACCTAGCCAACCCCCCCCCCTTATTTTCCAGCAACATCTTGCATGAAGTCTGACCTAAAACGTAACTTGATACACTTACATGTACATGTACACTCGGCCAGTATAATAAGTAGGAGAGAATTCAGTCGGCTTAGAACATTGTAGAACATTGTATTTCATTACCATATAAGGTAACCTTGAAGTACAGATTTGCATATGCAAATGAAGGACAACTCACAACCAATCACTGGCTTTCATTGTTCTCATGTTGCTATATATATCTGCTACATTGTAGTGGAGCTAATGCTGTACTTTTTTGGTGTTGACAATTTTTTCCTATGTTGATTGTGTGACAGCTGATCAAATGATTTTTTTTTTCGTGTGCTCACTATACTTTCATCTTCTGTCATTATTCAATGTCACCTTATTTGTTTTGAATTTTGAAAAAAGAAACAATACACAGTCATCACGACTGGTACTATTTGGAAGATGAGTGCCAAGCTGTAATTATGAAATATAGGCACAATTTTATTCTGGCAAAATTGGAATATAAAATACTCAGCCATGTGAAAGTGACATTGGGGAGATTTCAGTTGTGCTTAGTTTAGTTCGGTTCTGTTCAGGAGATTTGTCTTCCACAATGGACATATTTCATTATTTTACTAGTCATGTGCTAGTCATGCTTGTGGAAAACTTCCTTGAGTTCCAGTCTGTGATTATACTGTGGTCAACTTTGCCCTTTTTTAACTCAGATTAAAGAGTCCAAGATTGCCTCTTTTATGTGGAGGGTATCAGTATCCCCACCCCTCTCCCCTTTCTTTGATCATTTTGGGTAATTTTGTTCCAAAACAGTGATCTATGTCCGATGTTCACATATTGCCCAGACAGCAAATAATTACACCCATTTGCCCAAGATTTTACCTTCACAGTCGATTATGAGGTACATGTACATGTATCACATGCGCTGAGAATGCCATTACATAACAAATTTCACTGATTGATTAGGCCAAAAAAAATAATAGTTCTGCTTCCGGTTTCCCTACCTTCCCTATTCTGACAGCCCCTACCCTAATTTTTTTATTGGAAAAATGAGGAAAAATTGCCCAAAACCATCAATTTCTACCATTTGCCCTTGACTACACGCAGACGCCTCCATATGATTGTACACAAAAAAAATTGGCAAAAAAAAATAATTTCCCTACCTACCTACCCTATTTTCGAATGCCATGTAATCGGAAGCAGAACTATTTTTTTTTTTGGCCTTACCTCCGTTTTGATTTGTACTAATAAAGTATGGTAAAAGGTTATCAGATGCCAAATGCCCGACCGTATTTTCATCTTTGCACTGCCTATTGTGAAACATGAAATTTAATGAAGTATTTTTTCCATGTCTCTTTCAGAATACCAGCCTGTTCTTCATACTAAAAAAAAAAGGAAGGTGAATACAATGTCGTACATCCTCACATCTTCAGCAAGTCATGGAGCCAACAAGCCTTTGTGTGTGAGCATGCATAGTCCAAGACCTCATGAGATACTTCCCACCAGTGATTCATCAACAAGTGGTCATGTTCACCCCTGCATGCAACGCCAGTGTGTTCAAACAATTTTGCTGCATAAAGTTTTCCTGAACGTATGACAAGGCTCTTCACCTGACAGGAGTCCAGCAAAACACTAACTTGCTCAAGAATACGCTACCATGGATTGTTATGTTAGTGACAACGCTTGTGACATCTGTAAGCTTCAAGGACTTGACCATTTCCTTCAGTGTTTTTGGCTCCATCCACAACCACACATGTCGTGTACATGTCAAATGAGGCAAAGACTTAACTACATGTATGATACGTGTATATGCAGATCGATGGACCAGACGGAGCATGCATTGTAAAAAGACGAAAACTTGGAGATGAAAACTCAGAGGTAAGAAAACCACTAAAATAGAAATTCTGATTTGGGTGCCTTATGTAAAGTACACAAATTTGCAGATATTTGCATGTTTTGACTGGAATGTATATTTGCCAAACATCAAAAGCAAGCCAACCGATCCCACAAGCTCGGTGGTCGAGTGGTAAGACATCTGCACTAAAAAGCAGGAGCAAGACCCAGACCTGCCAACTAGTACGATTCTGCCGTATTTCGTACGGGAATTTGTTGAAAATACGACTGTACGTTTTTCCCCCATAAAATACGGGTTTTGACCAACTTGACACGCCTGGAAAAATCCTAGTTCAAAGCGGCTGTGAGTGTAGATTTCTGCCGGATAAAATTGGCTGAAACAACGTAAATTGCAAGCAGCCAAGCAAATGATATACATGTACTGCATGCACGAACTGAATCTGGTTTCGCGATTCCCACTGTACGATGTACATTATGTACATGGTATCACAAACTAGAACCAGTCCATTCCCGGAGTGTGCCGATACTTCAAGCAGCGGCACCCCTGCCACAAAAACAAATGTCTGTATTCGTACACATGTATACCAGTAGGAGTACGTACGGCAGATTTTACGTGCAGTCAACAGACTTTCTTTTTCTCAGTGCACGCACGATACACAGAATACATTTTGATGTTCGTGTACATGTACATGTACGATAGTCACAACGTGCATGCACGTGGTGCTGTGTTATGTCAAACATTTTTTAATAGTAAAGTTTGATACTACGTTCTGAAACCGATTCAAAAATCTGAAAAGTCAACAATTAAAGTGGGTGGCCCAAACCGAACCAGGTACATGTAAATCAGCCAGCAAAAGCAAGAAATTGATTTCTTTTTCGGGTAGGCCAAGTTTAAAATCTGTTCGATCGCTGTGTATTTTTTTAAACATTCAGTGCGTGCACGTGAATTATGATTCAAGAATCAAACTGGCACTTGGCGGCGACGTGATAAAACATGAATAAGTTTAGATTATACTTGGAAGTCATATGAATGTTTCACCTGCATTAGGGTTTATTTATTTCAAACATGAGGAAGTCTAGTCTTTAGTTTATGTTTAAGTAGACTTGCATTGAATAGTTTTTAAAGCAGTTTGTTTATGAATAAGGTATATGATCAATATCCTTATTCATGCAAATTGTTTTATTGGGTTTACCACCCGCAGGGAGACCTCTGTAATTTGATAAGGCAATGACACATCAGTTGGTATTGACAAAGCACTGTGCAAAGTAAGTCCATTGATATTAAATGCAGCAACACCAGTCGGAGCAGTGAGCAGAACAGTCACATCGTCTGGAGTAATTGTTAATCTTCCTAGTATACGTACAGCTTCATTGTAAATACACTTGATCAAATGACTCTTGCCTGTTCCAGCTCCTCCAGTTATGAACGCATGAAAAGGTTCAGGAGTTTTTCCATTGACTTTATCCAAACACCACTTTCTGATCTTATAGAAAGACCTAACTTCATCTCTGGGCATTCTATGCGACCGGTATTCAATGCAATTCCCTGTACTGTCCTTTTGATTATCTTTCAAATCTGGAATAGCACCTTCATCTTCACTCTCTTCAACAACTGGATCCTTTTCATTTTCACACTCAATTCTTTGTGATTCAGTCTCTGGACAAATTAAAGCCCATGCATCTTCTTGAAAAGCCAAACTGCTGCAAATATTGCTCAACATCTTCCATAGATTCTATACCAGCTTCAAATTTCTGATGATTAGTATCTACATTGTACAACAAGGTTTACACGTTGTACATTACAGTCATATTCATGGAGTTTAACACTTCCAGTCTTGTAGAATTCCTCATAGGTTTTGAAGTGAGGAGGTTTCAATTGAGTGTCAACACGATAAGGCAGAAAAAGTTGCAGAATACTGTGATAATATTTCTCTGGGCACTTTGAAATGGAAAATGTAGGATATTTAATGACAGCACACTGACTTCGATTACGCTTCTGTACATATTTTAAACCATTTTGTAACTTATGAACAATTACACTGTGGGCTTCCTTTCTACATACTTTCAATGCTTCAGTGCTTGACAAAATTCTGTATTCCGAGACAAATGAAGCTAAACACATTTCATCAAATTCATGTGTCTTTGGTCGTGCTTTGTATCTATCAATCTTACTATGCATCCAAATACATATTTTCATCATTTTCATCTGATTTATCCTGGATCAATTTCAATAGTAAACTCATCCTAACAGGGTTTTCTCCAACAGGAATGAATTCTACTTTCCTTGAGCATTCTTTCAACCTTAAATTACAGACACGATACACTGCCTCCTGAGCCGACACTTCACGATTTTGCAAATATGCATATCCAATCTGTTTCATGCTTTCCTTAGCATCAAGATTTCCATTCCGTGCTTCACTATAGGCATGACTCAACAACTGTCCCATCTCACGCTCTGCTTTTGACATGTAAGATGCAACATATGCTACACATCCTTAAATATCTGTAATATATTGAATATCTAGATTTGCATTCCATGCTCGTAGCAAGTGAGGATTATACTGATTTACCCAAACATCTTGTGGATTGCGTTTCAATACAATGCTAAGTTTATTAGTTAGAATTTATTTGCTTTTTCAAGTTCATCTTGAGTTATTCCCAGATAATCAAACAATTCCTTTGCAGATGCATATAGCTTTTCCTCATTTTGTACTTCCTTCCAAACTCTTTTCAACAATTCTTCTGCAGCCTTTTTATCATTCATTTCATCAATGACTTCCTCAGTATCTGAAAATTCACTCATTACGTCACTGTTCGTTTCTTCAATGACATCATAGTTGTCATCATTGCCACTAAAATGTTTACTACTGTCTTTATTATCACTCAGTTGCTCTCGTTTCATTATAAATGTTGTTTCAGATGGTGGCCGAGGGAAATTAAACCTGCATTCTGTACCTTTCTTTTTGCAACTTTTTGAATGTTTTCTACTATGTAGTTGAACTTTCGTTATGATTTCATTCAGTTGCTCATCCTCATGCTGTGATGGAAAATTGCAGCTTACATGTACATACTTGTTGATAAATTCAATTACATCTTTATCACAATCAAAACCCAGTTTCGGAGCATTTTCAATCCAGAACAAACAATGTGTATGAGGTGAACCTCTCTGTTGAAACTCTACTCTGTAGAAATAATCCTTCACCTTTCCAATTGGCTGACATAATGACTTCCTTCAGAAAGATATGAAACCTTCTATCAAACATTCTTGCTGCAGTTACAGGATTGCTTCTCAATAACAGACATTTGTCATTCCAATCCAATTCATCAAGTGTTCTTGAGTCACCCTGTTGTTTCAATATTGTACCAATTACTTCAGGCCATCTCATATCAGCAGCAGAGAATGAACAAAACCAGGTTGGCAGTCCAAGTTGTGTAATCATTGCTAATACATCTCTGTGAGCACATTGCCAGTATGGTGGTGTTCCTCTTATAGGCTTCAGAAACTTGTATCCTTTGTCAGACTTGAACATATCTCTCAACTTGTTTTTGTCATTAAGCATTGAGGCAGTGATGTTACGTCCTTCATGTGTCTTGACAGAGCCTTGACGTAATGCAATAGAAACACTTGACAAAACTTGTTGAATCTCAGACAGATATTGAGCATAAAATATAAAATCTGTGTTTTGAGCAAATCTATTATCAACATGCATTAATCGATTGTGCAAGTATTTGCATAGTGTAAGCCGTATTTCTCGTTTGTCACTAAATATTGGAGCACCATTTGGAAATATTGATGGGAAACATTTGGCCTCATTTCCTTCTTCCATCAAGATTCTTACTGGATTATTGCCATCACATGGAGCTATGCAAAATATATCATCGAAGTACTGATCAAGTATTTCTTGCGCAACATTTGCAGGTTCAAGACAAGTATCGAGTTGTATTCCTCGCAATCGTTGATCATCATCTTCATCACTCCCATCATCATCATCGTCATCATCACTATCATCATTTTCATCTTCTACAGGTTGTGCTTGCTTTTCTTTTCCATCTTTAATTACAGCTTCCTCATCACTTGAACATTCAGGATCAGGATTTTCCCAATCATACTGTATTTCAATATCATGATACCACTTATTATTAGCTTAAAGATAACACAAAGCTTCCTCCACATTCTTCTTGTTCACAAACTGATACTCGTAGTAACCCTTGTAAGACAGCTTTCGTTTTAATTTTATTCGTATCATCTCATTTTCATTTGCAGGTCTCGGTAAGCTCTTTATTGTCTCTGTGGTATTTGATGGTACACAAACACAAGGTCCATAAATTCCTTTCTGCCCACCTTTTGGACGATGTACGATTTTCATGAATGCTATATTTCTTGCAATCAAATGCTGTTCCAGGGTATTCAGTCTTTGCAATTCTTCTGGAATGTTACACAAAGTTAAATTATTAAGGCATGCTTCTGCTGGTATTCTGTTACCAATTAATTTCCTATGACATGTGTAACAAATCCACAATATCCCTCGGTTTGATCTAGCAACTTCACAGTGAAACCCACACTTAGCATTACATTTATGAAAATACTGCTCACAAATAAACTGATCTTCTTTGTACTTGCCTTTATTACATTTAATGACTTGATTTCGAAACAGTAATTTTAAGCAAACGGCGCAAACACAGTCAGGACCACCTTTTGTTGTAATCTTAAAATCATTGATTACATTTTGAATGCATCTTCTCCTGATCTTGGACTTTAATGCTTTGTTCCTATTGCTTGCAACAATTTGACTTTTATAATGTGGATATTTCATTTTATTTGCAATCCTTTTATTGTGTCTGTAGCTTTGATCTGCATTGTATTTTGCTTTATTTATTGTTCTAATTGCTTCACTATCTTTTCGTCTAAAATCTGCATCTCTATGATACTTAAGTTTCCTTGCTGTTTTATTTTCTTGCATTACTTTCTTCCTAAATGCGATGTCTTTGTCGTATTTCATTTTCATTTTATTAAGAAGTTCGCT